CCTAACCCTAACCCTAACCCTAACCCTAACCCTAACCCTAACCCTAACCCTAACCCTAACCCTAACCCTAACCCTAACCCTAACCCTAACCCTAACCCTAACCCTAACCCTAACCCTAACCCTAACCCTAACCCTAACCCTAACCCTAACCCTAACCCTAACCCGAAATCAAGCCAAGATTGCCTTCCTACGCTTGCTTTCACTTTCTGCTACCCCATAGACCGACATAAAGCACACAAGTACTATACACAATGATACTATGACAAAACTTGCGCAACTACATCTGATATCAGAGCTCCAGAAGGCCAAAAGTCTCTCGCGCATACTACAATTACGTGATATGCTGATATGCGCGAGAGCCGTCAAGCTCACCGTGCCCGCCCCATGGCTTCGATGGCCACAAAACTTTGCATGCAGTCTCCCACAGAGATATACAAGGGCCCAGAGGTGTCTCGAGACCACTCGGGGGACGGTGAGCATGGGGGTGATGTGCACGTGCACGAACTGTGCGAATGTCGCACACACCACCAATTGTGAACCACTGACCGAGCGAGCCCCGGAGATGGCCAGGAATGGTCACAGAGCCCTCTACAGCTCCCCTAGCTACTTTGGTTTACTTGGGATGCTGGTGCTGGTGCTCAATCAGCCAAATCTCTCTCGCGCATACTACAATTACGTGATATGCTGATATGCGCGAGAGCCGTTGAGCCCACCGAGCCTGCCCTGTGGCCCTGATTGCCACCAAACCTGTCAGAATGTCTCTTACAGCCATATACATCTCTGTTTAGAAACATCAGCTAGCACACTCAACATTGGCTAGCCCGCACTCGGATTGGGCGAGCACGTGACCCCACCACCAAGAGCTAGCCGACGTCTCAGCCCTTTAGCCAACGTATGAGCTACAGAACATAAATCTACAACATATCGATAAACATTGTATGGCCTTCAAACGTTGGCTAATGCACCTGGACGTCGGCTAGCCCGCACTCAGATTTGGCGAGCACGTGACCTCACCCCCCAAGGGCTAGCCAACGTCTGAGTCCGTTAGCTGACGTCTGAAGCCTCAGAACATACTCATATTACATCTCTTCTTACATTATTGCACTTGAAAACCCCAGCCAACGCTTCCAACTCTGACTAGCCCTCGCCTGGTCTCGCAGGCACGTGACCTCACCGGCCAACAGCTAGCTCACGTTGTGCTGGGGCGCTTGCCTTGAGATTTACCAGTACCATTCACAGTGTGTATCTTCACCTCCCAGTGCACTTAAAGACGTCGGCTAGCCCCCTCAACGTTGGCTAGCCCTGACGGTCCCAGAACACGTGTGTGATGGACGTCGGCTAGCCATCACAACCGCTTTTGGCGACTTTTCCCACGGGCGAACGAATTTTTTCGTACAAACGCGTGCGAACAAATTCGTTCGCGCCATTGTCTGGAGCGCTTCCCCCTGCCCCCCTCACCTCCAAACTTCGTCCAGCGGTGGATGGACATGCTGGCTACCCTCCTGCACCATTGGAACGTTGGCTAACGCGCATGGCGGGGCTCCTGACGTCGGCTAGTATTTCGGTAAATCGTGGGAAAATTTGAACGCGTTTCCCACGGTGCTAGCTGACGTCGGCTAGTGAGGGCAGATAGTTAGAGCCTAGCAGTTTTGGTGGGGCGGTATTAGTACTTGAGGACATTGGAAAAGACACAGAGAACGTGGTAGGTGGACACGGCAGCTCAGAACAGGTGACTGCCCGGCCAGCGGGATGGATCACGTGATGGAGATCATGGCCGACGTCGAGCTCGCCTCTATCGCTGGTAGAATGCAGACTCATAGCATGGGCAGTGTTAGACGACCTCATAGAGCCTGCCGTTTGCCTATTCTACATTCTACCGAAGTAGGCGGTCGTCTACAGCAACGTCAGACCGCGTCAGACCGCGTCAGACCGGTCCCTCCGTTGGCAGCTCCGGTGTTGGCGGAGATCCTCGGGATCAACCCTCGGGCCCTCCCCCCACCTCCCCCAGCCCTTTCTGCAACCTCCGGGACGCTGGGGGCACCTCAGGCGCCCCCCACCGTCGCCCAGCGCGCACGGCCGGAAGCGGGGAAACTCCGGAGTTTCTACGCTACAACCTCCCGATTACTCATGGGAATTTGATGGCGCATCAGCGCTCGGCGAATCCCTAAATTCTGTGGAACGTGTCGTGGTGGCCGCCACAGCGCGATAGCCTGCGGCAAACCTGTACCATCGTGCGCGCGGGACAATTCCGGTTCGAACGGTGCCCCTTACGAGGGGGTGGGGGCACGGGTTCCCTAACCTTGTAGGATCGGGAGCCTACAGGTGCCAGAGGGTTAGGGAAGCGACCCCGGCGTTCCCATCACCCCACCAGCGAGAGACGCGGAAGACAGAGCACGGAAGCGCAATCAAGAGAATCGAGACCGCAACGAGGCAGCTCGCCAGGAGCGCCTCCGTGCGGACTTGGAGGCGGCGGCTAAGGCGAAGGCAGCAGCGCGAAGAGCCCAAGAAGCTGCAAAGGTCACGGCCATCGATCGTGCCCTCGACCTACTCAAAGGGGCAGGGGTGACCCTTGGTGACTTCTTGCAAGACACGCTCAGTGACCGCCATGAGGAGGCCTGGCGCTATCATCAACTCTTCAGTGACGAGGCGGTAGTCAGCAAGGTCGTCGATGCCATGGCGTCGAAGAGGAATCGAGCGAAAGCGCGGCACAGGGTCGAGAGCGCGATGCTCGAAGTGATTGCGCGCGTCGTCGAGCACGAGGCTACGGCCATCACGAAGAGCGGCGTGCTCCGTCCACCTTCGAAGGTCGACGAGGACTTCGTGTTAGGCTTCAAGTTCACGAACCTCGTCGAGCTCATAAACCCGGAGTGTCCATCCATTGTGACGCTCTTGAGGCGCATTGTCCAGACACCGAGGCAAACAGATCAGTGCTCAGAGGCGAAGCTTGAACACAAAGAGTTCGTAAGTACTCTCCGTGCACGAGGTGCCAGACAATGTACTCACAAACATTTCATAGATCACATCTATGTACACGGCGCTTCTGCTAGGTGAACGAAGTCAGCATAACTCGTGGTTCCGACACGTTTTCGGACTTTACCTCTACTCGGAGGGCGCATCTCGCCAGCTCATTACGGTCTTGAATCACCTCGGCATTACAGTCAGCTATGTGACCCTCGCAGGAGGCGGAGCCCTACCTGCGCTTCCGGAGACGTCCGCGACGGAGAGGCATGAAGGAGAGAACGAACCTGCGGAGGATGAGGTCGACGATCCCACGCTTGTGGAAGATCATTCCCATCCCCGCGCTCATGAGCAAGGGGCGAGTGGTGGGAAGATGGGCACGCTGCAGAAGCTGACCCTCGAGATGCGCAAGGTAGCGCGGCGGATGGCGAAGAAGAACAGCTTCTTGCTGGTATACGACAACATCAACATGATGTGGCGGGTCGCCGAGCAGATAGTAGGGCGTACCGGTGGGTTGAATGGAAATCCGCGTGCGCTTTCGCTAACTCAGTGCCGCACTACAGACTCCATGCAAAACGGCACATGCGCGACGGCCCTGCCACTTTTTAATGCAAAGGCTGAAGACCTGCGAACGTCAACGTTAGAGAAGCGCTTCGATGAGGCGCGCGAGCTCCAGATTGAAGATCTGCTGCTTACCCCGCAGTACTATGCGCGGCTTCGCAAGCTCTTCGTCCACTGTGTCATGCGAATTATCGTGCGACGTGGTGGACAGGTGCTGCAGGCGAAGTTTGGGAAGAAGCTGAAGCAGACTGAGCCACGGACGAACAGCAGGATCGCGCCACATACCACCAGTGTCCATCCCCTGCCCGCGCGTCCCATCAACGAGAACTCGAAGACCGGCAATGCCGATGTTATTCGGGAGTTCATGGAAGAGCTGGGACAGCCCACCACGGCGACTGAGTTTGCGGACGAAGTACGTCTGGTGGCTGGGGATCAGCTCTCCATGGCGCGCTTGAGGGAGGTGGGCGAAGTGAGAGCCGAGAACGAGGGCGGTGCGTCCAGCCTCCGCCACATCCTGTACACGCCGGGGCTATTCCACTATCGAATCAACGCTACAACGGCGCTGCTGCTGGCTTACCTCGGCAAGAAGAATCGCGACATCTCGAACCCCGCCTCCCTGCACGCGCACAACACCATTCTCCGTTGCAAGCCCATCGTCGCCACCTCCCTTCCGTCTTTTCGAACGTCCGAGGACGTCATCAACGAGTCAAAAGACACTCGCATCCTCGACTGTGCTCTGCGAGTTTCCGGCAAGGCGTCGCTCGCGGAATACGTGGCGGATCCTGACTTGGACTGGGCGACCTTGAAAGGGCATGCAGATGCGATAGTAGATCGCTATGCGGATGCGAGGGTAGCCGAGCGCCATCGCCGGGAGCGGGAACGGGGGAACGAAGATGCTGGGGATCAGGTTTTCGAAAGCGCCGTCCTATTCCTTCGCGATGCGCTCTTGTTGCAGGAGTTCAAGGACGCTATCAAATCCGGCGACTCTGGTCGTGTTCTCACCGTCCTCGAGAGCTGGGTCTTCAGCTACCGAGGCCTCGGTCGTGTGCAGTACGCGAACGAGGTGCTCATTCTACTTCATAATTACAAGATCGTGTGGCCTAAGAAAATTCGGTGAGTTTGAGGCGGTTTGCGTGATAAGCTGGAGCTGACTGTACCTTTGCTGTTAGGGACATTCTCTTGCAAAATTGGCTCGTCAACACCACAGGCCGACCCAACGGGTTCCTCGAGGTGGATCGCTTGCAAGAGCACCTCAACTACTGGATCAAGGTAAGTGCTCGCTTCTGCCTTTCTCCTCGTAACAGCTAACCTGGCCCCGTGCAGAATTATTTTCAGGCCCACGGGAGCAACGCATCGTGGAATTGGTTGGGTGCTATCTCGCCGTGCGTGGTGATCCTACGCTCCCTCTCGAACGAGATCAGCAGTACGCTCGGCGCGAGACAGGGCAAGCGCCACGCCACGCCCGACCGCACCAAGGATATCGACGAACTCATGGCCAGCCTCGCGCGACACAAGGTCTACGAGTACTGCCCGGGCCGGCGCTTCGATGCGGACGACACGAGCCAAGTTGACGACGTTATAGCGCTTGGCTTGAACAAGCTTATGAAGGGTGGCGCGACATTACCTTTGGCTCACCACAACGCATCCTTCAAAGCTCTTCAGGCCGCGTACCGCATCCCTCCCCTAGTTGGGACTTCCTCTAGCGCTCGGGAGGCGACATCTCAAGCCGCGGATGAAGAGGCGCCTGCACGCGCGGCTCCTGGTACGTGGCTATCTTCCTCGCGTGCTCCTTTTACATCTCATCACTCACTCTGTTAGCAACCGCTCCGGGCTCGTCCTCGCTCGCCGCCGCGATTGATGAGGTGATGGACCGGCCTCACATCGAAGTCCTCAACGACGAAGAGAACCTTTGGGCGGCCATGGAACGCGAAGCTCTTGCCGATTTCTCCGGCGATGAAGAGGATCCCTACGCGCCCGATCTTGATGCCGACTGGGTGCCAGATGAAGACGACGACATCATGTCGAACAAAGATTCCGATATTGACGACTCCGGCGAGGATGCAGAGGGTATGGGGGGTGGTGAGGACACGGAGGATGGCGAGGACGAGGAGAATGTCTTCTAGGCCGCGCTCGTCATGTTTACTTGCTTGCAATCTCGCATTCACGCCTCTCTGACCGACCTAGTACATGTCTATGTCATACTAAGTACCCACGAAGGCGAAAGGCGCGCTTCGGGCGCGCCACTGAGGCGCCGGGCGCGCGCGCCACTCTCAACTTTCAGAGTCGTCCTGGGGTCCGGACCCCAGGATTGCGTCCCCTCTACGGAGTTGCCCAGTCCGCTCGCGAGCTCGCGGTCCGTTTTCAAATATCCCCCTCCCTTTGCCAATTCCCCCCAACCGAGCCGAACCGCTCACGGACCGCAGCCGCGAGCGGGAACAACTGGCTGGCGAGTCTAGTGTGTCGCAAAAGACGACGTGGGTCTCGTCACGCTCGAATAATCGCGCTTGACAAGGTGTCAGTTGATGGAGAGGCGTGCATTGACGAAGGGGCGTACTTTGATGACCTAGCGTACCAAACAGACGGTTCTCAACGGTCGTCATGTCCCTGTGGTGATCTCGGGCTCTTCGGCGTTGATCCCCAGCTCCCAGCATCGCCTGAAAGACCGCCGCGCATTCGCCCGCGCCGTATCTAGTATCAGCCTTGCCGTGGGAGATCGACGAGAGCCGCATGTGCCGACGACGGGCTCGCCAACACAACATGTGATATCAAGAGGGGGGAGGCACGTCATACCGCTGACCAGATGCTCGTCCTCGACCATTCATTCGTCCTCCAGCTGTGACTGTCCGAAGTCCCCGGCGAGGAGAACAAGAGCGGTCGCGGGCCGAAACCCGTAGGACCTGGAATAGAGTTCGTCAGCACGCAAAACAACAAATCGGAGGATATACGCACAGGCAGTACCAGGTAACGGTGGCGCTTCGTCGCCCACGGTCAGGGTCAACGGGCGAGGGCGGGAGGTGTGCGCGTGTGGGCGCAGCGATGGTGGCGCTGGGGGAACTTCCCCTCCTCCGCCGTGGGTGCATGCTGGGCGTCAATTGGATGGAAGCGCGGTCTCACTCGGGTTCCCAGGCGTTCGCAGAGGCCATCAGAAACTCTCGGCGGGTCGGTCGGGCGTACCGCTGCGCCCTCTTTGGACCCACAAATACGTCCACTTGCAGGCCCTGAGCAGGAGCTTGGAGGTCGAGGGTGGCAGGATATGCATCATGTTTCGTCGTTGAGGAATATATTGCGAGATAGACAAGGCAGGAATGGTCTAGCTATCAGCGAGGAACGGCGGTCTGGTGGCTGATGGCCGGGATGACGGGAGAACAAGGCAAGCAGTATGTGGCGTTGTACGGCTTTCGCCGAGCCACGCATGACGCGTTATGTCACGTCACAGATCACGAAGTTCAATTTCGGCGATGACCATGCCGACGCAGCAGCTGAGCCTACCATCTTCCGATGATATGTGTAGGATCTTTGAAGGGCTCCTGTACTACTTCGCACTGTACAGCTTGCTCAACACCGATTATGTATGCGGATTACTTCGACCCCCAAGCATCGGCATACACGGCAGTGATGCATCTTGAAGACACCGCGGGGCTTTGTATAAGAACACACGCATGCAGATTCACTGCAATCGTGTATTTAATTTCTATATCGCTCATCAGCTAGTTGTGACGGCTGAGGCCAGGCGCCTTCGCTTGGACCGGCGCAGGGCGCGATCGTACCTTCCCCTTTTGGCAGCGCCCGCCGCAGCGCGCACAAGAACGGATCTTGGCTTCGACCTTCACAATCTCCCGGATACCCTCGAGCGCGGCTACCTATATACACCCTTCCGCCATTTCGGACGCTCTTGTCCCTCCGTGGTCTACTCTTCTCGCACTCTTCGCGTGTGAGCGGCGTTTGACTGTACTGCGTCTCGCTGTTCGCATTTGAACCTCCTGGAGTCCTACCCCGCGCCCGCCTAGGACGAAACTATCATCAGCACACTCTATCACTATTCCAAGACCTATGGCGCCCCCCCCAACGCGACCGCAAAGCGCCCTTCTCCCGCCGCAACGCTGGCTCTCGCGAGGCCCTCGACATCCTTCTCGAGCGAGAAAGTTTCACGCATGCAAGCGAGGCTCAGCAAAACATACGACTAGGCAAGATCAACAACCTGCTGCGATCTGGCGACCCCTTCGAGTGCCTAGAGCTCAACCCGTTCCATCTTCTCGGGGAGCGACAGACGTCTTTAGATGCCTGGGGCATGATCAAGATCTGTTCTCATCTTTTTACTCTCAGCACGTTCGGTGATGTCGTCAACTGGCACGATACGGCAGCAAAGGCCGACATAGTCGCTGTCGTACGCTCGAAACTCCATTGTATCGTCAATTGGCTGGACTTCCTCTTGCCGTCACATGGGTACACCTTCCCGAATTCACAGACCTACACCATTGGACTCGTCCACGCCAGAATCCTCTGCCTCGTCTTTCAGCTCAAGTACGAGCTTGTCGCAGAGCTCGCCGCCTGTCCGCGCATCTACGATATTCTGATCAAGCTTTGGGTCGACCAGGACATCTCGAAGACGATGAGCCCCGGTGAGTGGACGAAGGACTTCCATTCAACTCTCGTTCGCGCGCTATGTCTCGCCACTATCGACTGGAAGCCGGCGGGCAGACCACCTGTCCCCGACGACCACTCCGTCGCCTGCTTCACGTCCTTGCCCGGACTCAAGCCTCGCCAGTTCATTCGCGTCGCGCTCCATATCGTACAAGCGTTTCTCGACGGCGGCTTCGACGAGCTGAACAAGACCACATACCTGAACGTGATCTTCCTATTTGCGAATGACGTGTTCTCCTTCGCCGCCCGCCGCGCGATGCGATACGATGCATAGTCGATATTCTGCGAGGCTTCCTGGACCAGCCCTGCTCGCACGAACTCGCGTCCGTGGCCTTCAGCATTCTGTTGGGCATGTGGCTCGCGGACGAGACCGGGCGCTCGGTGGCGTGGTCGGTACGAGACGGCGTCGTCCTCGTGCTGCACTCGCTGCATCGCAAGAGGCCGGACAAGACCTGGGTCGAGGCGCTCTGGTACATCGCTGCGCGCGCGACTCATATCCCCGTCATCCGCGCCCTGTGCGCGGACGGAGATCTATGGCTGGACGGCGAGGAAACGAGCTCGGATGTTCTGAGCATCCGCCGTTGCATCGAGGAGCGCTGCGTGGTATACAAGTCGTATCCGGTCTCGAGTTGCGAGAACGAGAGGGTGAGGTGGCGTCTGGCGATCTCTGAGCTTCGGAAGACTAACCGTACTCGCAGTGCCTGCGCGACGGCACGACACCGCCGCTTCGCAAGCATCGCTCCGCGTGCTGCAGCATTCCCTACTGCTCGCTAGATTGCCAACGCGCCGCGTGGCCTCGGCATAAAGCGAGGTGCCCAGCTCGAAACCATCATACTACTTCCGAGGGTGCATGCCTTTGGTACGGTACGTGCCAGATTCGCCCACCATCCGTCCAACCCATGCTGACCAGCTTGTCCCCACAGGCGAATCCTCCTGGTCCTCCCTCCGCTTCGCGAAATTCTGCGCCCACAACATCCTAGGGACCCACATGCGCCGGATTCTCCAACTGCCGCCCGAGCTGAACGGCCCAGGCCCGCGCACGCCGATGAGCGTCCCGAGATACTTCCTGAGCATCGACATGACGGCCGTGCCGCCAACGTGCAAAGTCTCGGCGACCTTCCCCGAAGACCTGGAGGTCTCGGAGGCGATGATGGAGATTTACGCGCAGGTGTGCGCGGTCGGGGGGACGAAGAGACAGTTGGTATACGTCCGCGACGCAACTCTGCCTGAACTGAAGGCAGCGTACGTTCTTGACTTCACCCCTTTCAAACTCGATTAGTATATTTTGTTTTCTGTATCCTTCAGCCTATGTACGCACGCGGAGAGAGGGACCCTCTATGTACAGCCTATACCCAACGCCTCTCGCTCGTTTTGGCTTCGGATGCAATCTATTCTATCCAACGTCGACCGGGGTCTACTAGTGAGACCCGCACACTGAAAAAAGGTGTGAAAACCTCGACAGCATGCGACACAAGAAGTCTCACCTACGATATCTTGAGCGAGTAGGATGGCGCATGCATGAATCCAACCCATAGAGCTCACCATACGCCGGAGAAGCGATCGTCCATATGGGCCATTGCATCCCCGAATAGGCAGCTTCATATACGGCTGTCGAGAGATGGGTACCGTCGGATTAGACGCGCGTCGCCGTACGGATCGCGATGTTCATATCTGCGAGAAGCGTCAACGAGAGGGAAAAGGGAAGGGCGATGAAGTGCGCGAGGGAATGCATCAACGCATACCGGGAAGATGGAGTCGGCCGAGCGAGAAAGGGATTTGGGCCTGGCGGCGCGCAGAGGATTGAGCACGGCGAACGAGCCAACGTTTTCCTATGTCTCGCACACGCGAGAGGGACGAGAACCTCCTCCGGAGGCCTCGAGCACATACTGCCGACGCGAAGGCGTACAAGATCAAGGGACTTACGAGACCGTCAGATCACCAGACCTCTCCGGCGCTAGCATTGCAGCGCGAGGGGAACATTGCTCCTATCCGATGAGAAAAGGCGACCGGGGCTGTAGAAGGGTCAGGGGAGGCAACGGCAACTCGTCACGAGGGAGCGCCTGCTACACATAGAGGAAAGGACGGGACCTGCGACTTCGGGAGGAGCCGGGGTACTGGACAGAGTGGCGCGTACCCTGTACACGCCGTGAGCAATACGCATGGACGCTCTCACGTCCGGCGTCACCGTTGCAGAACGGCTCACGCGAAGGAGGGGATATTTGACGTGTGTTGTAGTCGATCGAGCGTCCTATTTTTCACTTGTATCGTGTAGTAATGCACACCACCACTGGAGACAAGGTCATCGCGGGCGTCGTACATCATCTGCGCATATTCCCAGGGTCCTGCCCCGTCAACGAAGACGCAAAGTGCTCGCCTGGATGAAGGCCACCCCGCGCATTATCGAAGACATTGTTCGCTGACGAAAGAAAGATACGGTATCAACCGATGGTCGCATGCGCTACACGTAACCGGACACGGCTAACGACACTGCAATTAGAATAAATGAGCGTGCGGCGAAGGGAAAGAAAAGCCATGTTCGGACTCACCCGAGCGAACGTGCATGACCTGAACACCTCGAGCGAAGATTTCTCTGCAGTCTGGACGTAAGCCTAGCTATCGCATTAAATCATCCACATCAACGTGGATATGATTACACGTCGACATCCCCCGGTGTTGCTAGCGGCCTTCATGAGAGTCATGCGACCCAAACACCCTAGTGACATCTCTCATCGCGCGTATCATCCGTAAGATGAAGACCGAGAGCGCACCTGGATGATATGACACGCTCGCGCAAGGTCTTCGCGCGCGGAAATGAACTTCTCCTCGTCAATCAGCTGTCCACCGGCACACGATCATCGCCATCGCGCGGCATCACTCGCCGCTGCGCCCGACAACGAGGATGAGCCCGACGAGCTGGAAGGCGGGCAGGATAATGGAGACTTTTCGCCCGCGGGAGCTTATCGCGCGCGCCGCGGAGGCTAACCTTGAGGAAGGAGCCTCGAGGCGGGACAATGTCGACTTGTGCATATGCGGCCGTTGCCTTGTGGTCCCGAAAATGGAAGTTTGAGGACGAGGAGTCGGATCGATGGCGTACCTCGGCCATACTGGCGATGACGTCAGCAGTACTGTACTTCCCTCAACGCCGTCGATGTCTTGAAGTCCTGATTTGCGTTCGCTGTGAGCGAAGAGATTACATATTTCAGTGCAGACACTCACCCGGTACATGTCCTAGGCATTTCAAGTCAGGCGTTGAGAGAGCGCATCGTGGCGCAGGGTCTTTGGCATATTGCGTTTGAGCGCCTCTTCGACAAAGGCTTCCAAAAGCGGCAACCTGAGCAAGCGAGCCGGACGCTTATTCGTATGCCTTGAGAGCTCAAAGAATTGCAAGTTGACGGACGTCTGGGCAGGAAGGTGGTCCTGAAGTAATGGAGGGCGGCGGCGGATCATCTGAAGACTTTGAGCGATAAGCGACACGATGTCGAAAGGGCCGGAGGAAGCGTACCAGACGTCCATTGTTTTCAGCAAAGGCGCTCAAGAGATTCCGATTGTCGCGTAGACAGCTTCTATGCGAGTCGCGTATGCACTCCTGGAAAGGAAATATCAATGAACACGCGAAAGGGATACAATGCTTGAGGCGCTCACCTTTAGCTGCTAAGCTACCGCGTAACGAGGCGCGCTTTCACAAAATACCGTCAGCCCGTGAAATTCACGTACTTCTCCGGCGCAAAGGTGGATATTATCCAATATATTCGAGCGTGACCCGGCGCGTATTGTACTAAACGCGCAACGTGCGCTGCTAAGGGTGAGTATCCCGTACATCGGCCGATACAGCCCGGAGGTTGTTGACCATTGTCCATAGACCTCGTGCTTCGAGTGAGCTGAATCAAGCGCCGCGAGGTCAGGTATTGGGGCATGGCGAGAGAGAGGCCGTCGTTCGAATTCTTGGGGACCGTGTTCAGCGGTACACGAGGCTCAGCGCATATTCAAAGTAACACAACGCGCATCTCAATTGCAGAAAGACTGAATCCTAGCAAAGAGAGACGACGACAGGTTCAAGGACGGCGAGGGAGATGAGGGTCAAGGACAAGAGCAAGCCAACGCCACGCGTATCCTCAAGGGGAAGGAGCCAAACACATGCATACAGCGGACGGGGGCATTTTCTGTGTACGTCGAAGTTCAATTTCCTCGATCCAACGCGTCTCTCGCACCCGCTCCGACTCAAAGCACACCGAGAATGGACTGGAGACGACCAGCGTTCCTTTCCAAAGTGCATTGATTTAATAATACAAACGCCGCACGGCGTGAATGCAAGGGTAGTAGTGCAGGTATGTATCCAAAAAACCATGCTGCGCGAGACCGCACCGGACGAGCATGCGATGCAAGCGTATGTATTGGGAGACAAGTCAAGGCAGGCGTTGACGGTATGGAGGAGGTGGAGGCATGCGTGTGGGTGGATGAAGGTGTGAATGGATGGGTAAGGAAAACACGTCAATGAAGGGGTTGAAAAAAGTACAATTCGGCGTCAAGCCTGAGTCGGGGCAGAGGGCGCGCGCGTCGTAGGTAGCAATACATGAAGTACAATAAGGGAAAAGAACAAACAACAGGCAGATGAGAGGAGATGGAGAGATGAGATGAGATGGTAGGGAAATTGTCATGTGTAAAGTCGTAAAAAAGGTATTCACCCTCGGTGTAGGTGCGCGCGCGTCTAGCCGGCGTGAAGGCCGGGGTATATAGACGACGCGCACACTTGATAGTTTCTATACGCCCGTGGTGGGCGCGTTGGCGGCGACGGGCGACGTGGCGTACTCCTGAACGTGGTACTGCTGCTCCGTCGCCCACTCCGCCTGGTACTGCTCCTGCCCCTGCCCGAAGCCCATGTCCTGCTGCCCCCACTCCGACGCGAACGTCGCCTTCGAGCCCGAGACGTTAAACTCGCCGCCGCCGAAGCCCGCATCGCCGAACTGCGCAGCCTCGCCGCCGAACGCGGGCTGCCCGTCGTCGAAGCGGCTGACGTCGAGCTGGACGCCCGGGATCGCGTTGATGTCGAAGTCGTCCGGCGCGAAGACGTCCGAGGACGGCGGCCACCAGTTGTACCCGGGGCCGTCGGCGGGGAAGGACGAGCCGTCGTTGGCGAAGAGCGCGGAGTCGTACTGCGGGTACGCGTTGGAGAACTGGCCGTTGTCGCAGGTGTTGAAGGACGAGGTGTCGGCGGCGTTGAAGCTCTCCGCGCCGTTGAACTGCTCCTCGGGCGAGTACGCCGGGGACGAGAACTGGTCGGTGGGCTGCTGTATGAAGGGCGCCTGCTCGTTCGGAGAGACGGGCGCGAGGTCGAAGCCCTGTTGTTGCGGCTGCTGACTCTCGGGCGCAAACGGGTTCGTGAAGGGGTACGGCTCGTACGTCTGGCCCGCGTACTGCTGCTGCTGGGCCTGCGCCGTGAGCTGCTGCTCGAGTCGCGAGTCGAGGTCGGCGCGGCGCTTGTCCTCCGCGAAATCCGAGACGTGATGCTGCGAGGTGGGCGTCGCTGGACCCGTTGACGACGCAGGCGAAAGCATCGGCGCGTCCTGGGCCCATCCGTTGTGGTGGTACTCCTGCGTCGGCGGTGCGTACTCCTGAGGCATCGAGGTATACGAAGGCTCCTACAAAAAAGGGATCACGTGAGCCCGTGTGTGAGAAAGAACAATAGAAGCGCGCGCACCTGGTATGTCGTCGCCTGCGGCCACTGATGCGGGTGTGGTGGTTGCGGGAGCTATAGAAGGACCGTCAGCACGCGCTTCTATGATAGCAAAAGACAATAGACGTACCTGAGGCTCGAAACCTTGAGGCGGGCGGCCGAACTGCGTCGCCGCCTGGCCGAAGCTGGGGGGAACGTAGTCGAAGCCTGGCCGGCCTTGAAGCAGCGGGAGCAGGCTGGGCGCGTCCGCGTTCGCGTCGGGCGTGCGCGCGTAGACGCGCGGGACCGTGATGGACTGGTACGGCGGCGGCGTCGGCGCGCTCACGCTGCGGCCATGGGTGCGCATGGGCACGACGAAGGAGTAGCGCGCCGGGAGCGCCGCGTCGCTGCTCTCCGACCGCCGCACGCTGCCCGCCGCCGCGGGCGGCACGTACTCGTCGTCGTCGCCCGAGTGCTTGCCGGCCTGCTGCGCCTGAGCGGCAGCCGCCGCGGCGCGCCGGCGCTCGAGAGTCTTGCGCTTGGGGACGCGCTGCGGGCGGTAGACGTAGCCCGGGTACTGCTGCTCGTGCTCGCGCTTCTTCTCGCGGGCGAGGGCCTCCCAGTACTGGCGCTCGTCAGAGGAGAGCGCCTTCCACTGAGCGGAGATGGTCTTGCTCAAGTCCGCCTGGCGCTGCTTCTTGGGGAGCGGTGCGCCATTCGGGTCGCGCTGGGCGCGCTCCTCGACGCACTTGCGGCGGAAGAGGATGAAGGCGTTCTCGGGGCGCTTGATGTAGTCCTCGTCGCCCTTCTTGGGGCGGCGATCGACGCTGGAGTCGGAGACCTGGCGACGATGGACCTGGTGAGCCCGCGAGGGAGAGGGAAGCGGGGCCGCGCCGAAGGGGGTGAGGGGGGCGGGGGCAGGGCCCGGGGTCGCCGAAGTCGAGGCGGAGGGGAAGGAAGCGGGGGAGGATGTTCGCTGGGAGGGGGAGAGCTCGGGCTCGAAGGGGGACGACGATGGCGTCGAGTACGGGCTGTCGTCCAGGTGGTTGTCAGGGGGGAAGGTGAACGCGCGAGGCGTGGGGGAAACTATCGCTACAGTCGGGACCTCGGGAGCGTCGGTCGTGACTTCAAGGGCTGCGGGGGAACGATGAGCGGGGGAATCCTGAACGATGTGCGCGGGGACGTACGACGTGAAGAGGTATCGCGAGTGCGCAGCACGGGCATGATCGCTGATCGGTCGTGGAACGAATCGTAGAACGAAGAGAAAGAGGAGAGGAGAGGCGGAGAGCACGCTCGTCCGCGGAATTAGCTCCTACGCGCGTTGGGGGAGGGAGAGAATAAGGAATGCTCTCCTAGCGCGGGTGTCCTGGTTTTCTCTTCTGTGTGCGCACGGATGACAAAAAGGAGCCGGGGGAGCCCACGGGGACGCAGCGGGAGGTGGCGGCGAAAGACAATAGAGGACCGATCTCTTATAGTCGACCCGGAGCCGGCGGAGAGGCACGCGGCTTGCCCGCGCGGCGCGATTCGTTGTCTTTGTCTTGTCCGGAATTGACGCATAAGACGAAATCGGAAGGAGGAGAGATCCTTCGCAGATCAAGGGCTCGAGTCACCGCCGCGCACGCGCTCGCCAGGATCAAAATGGAGATCACCGTCGCCGGTTATTGTCTTGTTTCCCCATTCTGGCCGCCGACCGCCCGAGCTGCCGGTACGCGATCTTATCGTCTTATGGCATAGACTCTCCCGCCTATTCTCCGCCGGTGCATCGGTGCGGGGGCGGCTGGCTGCTGGTCGTCATCCTCGTTGCGCGTTGCCTGCTCGTCGTCGCCAGCACCGCCTCGGGCGATCTGCATGAACGTCAGACGCGTATTCGCAGTGAATGAAGGAGCACGCACCAGCCCATCCCCCTCCGACAAAGTGCATCGAAGCGCATCTGAAGAGCTGATATCAAAGCTCCCATCGCGTGTCCTTGAAAGTTCCTTTTCCGCGCGACCCTAACCCCAGCGCTGGGCCGTGCGAGCGTCCCGCCGCGCACCTTGCCTCGACCCTTCTCCCCCCGCTCTTCCGCGCGCCTGTCATCGTCGGAGGGTGCGCGCGGGGCACAGAGTAAACGGCATGGGTCGATTCCCGCGGGGCGCGAGACCTGCTTTGTTCTCCGGGGTATTATTCTCGCAATCGACCGCGGCTGCTTTCCATCAGACATTCGCGCGCCGCCGTTACACGCGGCTGAGACATCGAGGGCGAGGACAAGAGCGAAAATTCAAACGGCGCTCATCACGTGCGACAGCCGCAACGTGCCGCACTTGCCGCCGGGACCGGCCTCCGCTTTGCCTCCGCCGCCGTTCTTTGCTTCCGCGGCGACGAGCGAACGCGTTCAGCGTCGTCCGGGACAGTCCGACGCCCCCCACTCACCCTCCCGACGTACACCTAATCACGCGCCTGCAATTCATTCCGCACGCGCGCGCCCGCATCGATTCATTGTACGCGCCACCCAAATCCATCGATTTATCCCTATGTCAGAGCGATATTACATGTCTATGTTATCTGCCGTGTATCTGCCTTCATGTCCGCCTCCCTGGGCACGGCGCTACGTCCCGGAGCTCGTCATCGTCGCCAGGGGCGACGGCCGCCCTGGGAATGATCCCACCGGCCTCGAGGCGGGCGCGCAATGAATCGCTCCCATCGCTGAGTCCTCGGAGGGCGGATTATTCATTTTATTGCTGTGAGTCGCATACGCCCGTCGCTCCCGCCGTCCCCTCCGCCCCGCCATCATGCCCCTCGCCCATACCGCCCCCACCATTCTCATCGCCCCCATCATTCCCATCGCTGCCTCGCGCCTGCCGGTCCAGACTCACAGCCAGCGCATCCATCCATTCCCCCCGCGGGAACCCGGTGCGCGACATATTGACCAGGTGTTCAAGCAATTCATTGCAGAGGACATTGCTCGGCGCCTCGAGGCGGGCAGGAAGTACGGTCCGCCATGGGGGAAGTACGCGCAGCACATGCAATGAGCGCATCCCTCCGGCCTCGAGGCCGTCGAGGAAGTATTGACCGGTACGGCCTTGATATTATCGTGTACGGTCACGATTATACCGTGTACGGTCACGATTATACCGTGTACGGTCACGATTATACCGTGTACGTCTTCAATGCTGACCGGCACGTCCTGAACATTGCTCGACATTGCCCGCGCGCCTTGAGGCCGATGACGCGGGGGGATGTCGGGCTAGGCCGCGGGGGCGTCGTGGGCTAAGCGTTGGGGGCGTGGGGGCGTCGGCCGACGCGGGGATTGAGCGGCGCGCACGGCGGGGCTGACATGACCGCTGAGTATGACGCCTGGGATCCGGTGAGTACGACGTCTAGGATCCGGAGAGTACGACACCAGGATCCGGCGAGCGAACTGACTAGCATGACGGCCCCGTGCTCCTGACAACGCGAGGGCCTCCATTCTTCGGGTGCGCTGCCTGCATTCCTGCTCGACGCGGAGAGCGACGTCTTACCGACACGGCGGGGCGACATCTTACCGACATGGCGGGGCGACGTCTTACCGACGTGGCGGGGCGGCTTCTCGACGCGATGGACTGCATACCGCTCGACGCGATGGGCTGCATACCGCTCGCCGCGATCAGGACCACTCCTGCTCAACGTGAAAATCGACATCCTATCGACCGTCCATTGTCCTGGATCCGGAAGGCGTGAGCCGAGGGCAGCTTCGTATGCTGCTGGCGCGTCGCGTATGCCACTAACGGTCGCGTATGCCACTAGCGGCTGCGTATGCCACTACCAGTCGCGCATGCCACTAGCGGTCGCGTATGCTATCGTCTCGCAGAAGCGGTGATCACGCTCGATTGCGAGACGCTGTATTGCGGTGCTGCGAGCGCTAATGTTGATTCAGCGTCGAAGGACAGTCTACTACCCCATTCCCTCCCCCTTCACTTCGTCATTCCCCTGGACTCTCGCTCAACAATCTCGCAGACAACCGTCGGGTGCGTTGATGCGCATTTCTCCGCGGTGCGCTGATGTGTGCTTCTCCACGGTGCGTTGATGTGTGCTTCTCCACGGTGCGTGCTTCTCCCCAGCGCCGTGAACATATCGCTTGACAGGAAACTTCTCGCCGCGCTCATCTAAGCGCACCTTCTCTCGCAGCCGACGCGTACCTCGAATTTGTATTCGTGCCGTGACTCGGTTCTGTGCGATTTCACGAGCATTGTACGTTCACGTCGCGGCCTTCGGTCGATGCAGCCAATAGTAGCGACTCAGTGCACTCTATAGCGCCGAATCACGACGGTCAATAACGACGACTCATTGTCCGCGGTCCTTCTGACCCTCGGCCTTGAGGTGTCTGCGACGAAGCCAGTCCCAATACGCGACCGACGAGTCACTCCCCGCGACCGACAATGGGGCTTCATCAGCGCAACTGACGAGTCACTGAAGGCGCGTCCCCTGAGCGTCTAACGGTGAGTCGCACGACGCTGACGGTAACGTACGCGCCTCCCATCTATACGCGCCGTCAGTGCGTATAGTACTCGCATTGTCCACTGTGAAACTCGCCATACCCCGAGTCATGCAAGAGGGATGTAGAGCGTAGCGTACGGTACCTATAGGGCGTAGGTATTCTTGCTATATACGACGCCGAAATGAATCATATATTCGTTGAACATTGTCCCTCGATATAGACTGAAAGACGTCTCATACTCTCGTTCTCATCGGTCATTAATCAGCGGCTCGTTGCTCTCACCCTTCCATCCAGAAGCGGACTCGCCTATATAGTGAGACATTGTACGCTAACTCGCGCAGAGCGGCTCTTTCCGCATCCTATACTCTATCTCCAGCCATTGTCCGCCAGATCGGGAAAGACGTGCGCCGCGAGATGGGAGGTACGATGCAATGAGCACGTACAGTGCGCATAGGGTCCGAAAGAGTAAGACGCCTGATAGAAGCGCACGAGAGTGAGAGTATGGAACATTGCACACCGATATGGATGGGAGGCGGGTTTGAGGTGGCGGGGAGGACAATGGGTCATCGTAGAGTAGAGCGACTGGCATATGGGCAATTGGAGCCCGCATTCATAGCTCACAAAGAGCATCATGCACGCGGTGGTATACAGAGCCTCGCGCGTGCGTCAGAAATGCTCGGACAGTCGCGGTTGGCGAGGTCTATGCGGAGATATAGTACTGTAGGACGTATAATCGGTGAGAACAATGAGCTGCAATATTTACGTGATAAGCAGTCACTCCGCAATGCAGGCATAATTTTCTATCAGTCAGCTGGCGCATTTAGATGCTGTGAGGCAGGCGTCGGCCTACAGCGAGCGAAAGATCGTTAGAGACAAAGTCGCCGGTGGAGCAGACGTGATCTATGCTCTTGTGGAGTAGCGCCAGGCGACTGTGACAAGTGCTTGTAGGTGGTCTCTCCTCAGAGCTCCGGCTCTTTTCTTTCGGACCATGGCCCTTAGCCCTCCTGGATACAATTCCGAGCACTGCGGCTAGCAGATAGCCCTCAGCGGCGGCTGGAAGTGCTGGACAGTCGGGACCACGTGCTGCTCCACCAAAGGTCAGATCACACGCGCTCCACGAGCGCGGTCGTCTCTAACGATCTTTCGCTTGCTGTAATCATCGCTGAAGTTGAAGTTCGTGACATGTGATGTGACCTGACGCGTCATGCGCCCTTCGGCGAAAGCCGTACGACGCCACATACTACTTGCCTTGTTCTCCCATCATCTCGGCCATCAGCTGCTAAGCCGCCGTTCCTTGCTGATAGCTAGACCATTCCTGCCTTGTCTAGCTCGGAATATATTCATCTACGACGAAACATGATGCATATCCTGCCACCCTCAACACTCCGAGCTTACGCTCAGCGCCTACTAGTAGGTGCCTTTGTGGGTCCAAAGAGGGCGCAGCGATACGCCCGACCGACCCGCCGAGAGTTTCTGATGCTCTGCGAATGCCTGGGAACCCGAGTGAGACCGCGCTTCCCTCGATTGACGCCCGGCATGCACCCACGGCGGAGGAGGGGAAGTTCGCCCAGCGCCACCATCGCTGCGCCCACACGCGCACACCTCCCGCCCTCGCTCGTCGACCCTGACCGTGGGCGAGGAAGCGCCACCGTTACCTGGTACTGCCCGTGCGTATATCCTCCGATTCGCTCTTTTGCGTGCCGACGAACTCTATTCCAGATCCTACGGGGCCCGGTCCGCAACCGCTCTTGTTCTCGTCGCCGGGGACTTCGGACAGCCACAGCTGGAGGACGAATGAAGGGTCGAGGACGAGTAGTTGATCAGCGGTATGACGTGCTTCCCCCTCTTGATATCACATGTTGTGTCGGCGAGCCCGTCGTCGGCACATGCGGCTCTCGTCGATCTCCCACGGCAAGCTTGATATCGGATACGGCGCGGGCGAATGCGCGGCGGTCTTTCAGGCGATGCTGAGAGCTGGGGACCAACGCTGAAGAGCTCGACAGCACCACTGGGACATGACGACCGTCGAGAGCCGTCTGGTCGGTGCGCTACTTCATCAAAGTACGCCCTTTCGCCAACGCACGCCTCTCCATCAACTGACCTCTTGTTGAGCGCGATTATTCGAACGCGACGAGACCCACGTCGTCTTTCGCGGCACATCCCCTGCTGGCTTCCCTCGTGAATTAGTCCCTGCGGGCATCCATCATCGCCGCATCACCTGCGTACTGTATTCGTCCTCGTCTCCCCTCGTGCGTAGTCGTCTTTCCTTTTGCGCGGCGGCAATCGGACGATCATATCACTAGCAGATCACCGCGACGCGGACTTCCACAAGGAGTATGGTCGCCTCTAGCCCAATATATCGCCCCCAACCGCGCCACAACTTGCTCTGGTCCTGATGAAGCCACCTATGGCCGAATTTCTCGCCCACATCCGGGCACTTGCCGCGCCACCGCGCGTGCTCGTGACTGATGAGCACAAGTGGTACGCCGTCCGTCGCATGCGCCGTTGAGGGCGAAGCGGCGGCGTGTCGTAACGCGCGTAATATTTGCCGGGCGGGGGATGTGATTGGGTAGGATTGAGTAGGGATGGCGGAGATGCGGTCCAGATTATCTGGTAGGATCTTCGTATCCCGCGTAGGGAGTTCTTTGGCTGACACGCCGAGCAGATATCGTGTACTCTCCAAGCATCGAATAGAGCTCAATATCCCTTCTCTCGCCCATAGTTTGCGACGATGCAGACCTCAGAAGTCGACTCTTCGCTGGCTCTGCGACAACCGATCCTTGCAGGCGACTTGTAGGCGCCTGTGTACGGAGCGTATAGAGACCTTTATTCCCAGCGCTTACAGGCTAACTCCCATCCCCCGCCATGCGGCTCGCATCACTGATCGTTCCCAGGACCTTCCTCTCTGGCCAAGAAGGCGGCCCGGGGTTCGAAGGTTCGCTTTCAGGTTTCCTCATTCGATGCAGCTCGCTGATGCGGGCTCCTCGCCAATCGCGCGTTTTTAGAGGGTGCTTTTCTCGACTCGGACTTCTAATCGACTACTCACTTTCCAAGGTGATATAGTCGTGGCGCGCTCTTTTGTTTTGTCGCGGCCTCGGCGAGCGCCTGGTATCTGCGCGCGGTTCTTACCAACAGTGGATGAAGTCTGACGCACCGAGTGGACGACGCCGATGCACCGAGTGGACGACGCCGATGCACCTTCGCAGGTCCACGATATTTCGAGTGCACCCGCCTGCCGGCGGCAGAGTCCTCGTAATCTACAGGTGAGCGTCCAGAATATCACTGGCGGCGTGTCATCCAATCCGCTGAACAAAATTTCGAGGGAAAGTTTCATACTGAATTGCGGGAGCGCGACCGAGATGTTCATTATGGGCGCCGATCTTGGCGCGAACCTTACGAGCTCCGACTCATCTTGTCTTTCTTCAATGCAGGCTCGGTGTCTACTTGTGGTCTGAACGTACGCGCGTTTCAGTCGGCCGCCTTTCTCGCCGTCGTCCCCTCCCTTTCCCCTCATCGATGCCGACAATGTACCCCCGTCCTGTGCTCCGAGCGCGGCCCGATGCGCTGTCACACTCAATTCTTTGCGGGCGCCCCACGAGGCTCACGAGATCGACCTTCGCCCAACATGCGGCTCGCAAGGTCAGTTCTTCTTCGACATGCGGCTCGCATCACTGATGCCCTCCCAAGACCTACTGTTCTGCGTAAGAAGGCGAAGCGAGGTACGATGAAGCGCTTTCAAGTTGCCTTTTTCGATGCGCAAATCGCCAGTGACGCGTCCTTCTGTCCTGCCAGTGCACACACTCAGTTTTCGGGGCGCTTCTGACCGACACCGTACCTCTCACGGCGATATCAGCTGTGGTGCGGCCCTCGATCTCGACCTTGGTGCGCGGGAGGCGTCGGATACTCACCTTATACGTGGGTCCGACCAACAACAGTGCTTGAACTTGAACGCGTTTTGTAGGTCCCCGTGCGGTCATCTTCCGGCGGAAGTCGTGAAGCGCGAGGGATGCATCCAAGATATCTCCAGCGGTGTGCTACCCGGTTCGGTGGGAAAGCACATCCGCATACTTCGCCTTGTATTCTGGACGAACTGTGTCGAGTGAAGGCGGCGGCGTCCAACTTCCAGTCGCTCATCGCTTGCTTTCTGGTAAGCCTACCGTCTGCCGTCCTCGCTATACGCATTCCCAGCGCCGTTCGTAACAGACGAGCAGCGTCGTCCTCATTCTCCCTCCTCCATGTAGATCCACTGATCGCTTACGCCCTCAGCCACTATTTACCAGGTGTAGTTTAATACGCTCTCACGCTCCTGCCTTTGTGGGCGCCCCATGAGGCGCGCGAGGGCAGACTCCCCGCAACACGGCTTCTCGATCAGCAGGCCGCTCGCAGGCCACTCCATGGGTAAGGAAGCCCGGAGCGCATCGGGGAAGGCGCTCGGGGACGCGCCGGCGAAGAGACTCGAAGCGCATTGGCGAGGAAGCCCATAGCGCGTTGGCGAGGATAACCCTGACCGCGGCGAATGGAGGAGGAAGCCTGTGGCGCATTGGCGAAGCAGCCCGTACCACATCGACGATAACGTCCGACGCACTCTTCGCCAGTCGCGGAGCGAATGCGGGTGGCCGCGTTCTTTCAGACTTCCCGATTCGAGCAAGGTCTTCTGTTGGATTGGGCATCGCGGCGCTCATGTTGTCCTTCTAGCTGTGTCGGCGACAAGCTCACGAGACGTGGTGCGTAAGCTTCGGTTGGGAGTTTGCTCTGCTTATGCGCTAACTCGTATCTCGTAGGCAGAGAGGACCGTAAGCTGAGGTTCTGCAACCGCTGCTTCCGCGCTGACATTTTGAGACCTTAGGTTATGACATTGGTACGCGCGTAATGTGTTCCGGTCGCGCTCGACTTCATGGTGCGCGATATTGACTACCTGTCGACTTTATCATAGAGGTACGGCCTCTCAGCCATGTTCTGTACCTTTGGCGATTTATTGTTCGCAGTTGGTCTCTAGGCGCGGCCCTCATCACAAGCAATCGCTTCGTTGAGTTCGGGAGGGAGCACGCGATCCATGAGACAGAGAGTCCGGGCCCTTTCAACAGTTCAAAAGGCTCTTATGTTGATGATACTCGCAGAGGACGATCTCGTTGTGTACGCCGAGCGCACGTCTGCAAGGCAGGAGCCCTAGAACCCCATACACTCGGCAAGCCCTTCGGTACGCTCGCCTTCTCGTGAATGGAGCTCACAGACCCCGTAGACATGGGTCCTAATCGTGAATGCGGACGAGAAGCGGTCGCGTTATCCTCATTCATGGTCGTTGATTCAGGCAAGTTCGATGACTAGTTTGCGCCTATTGCTAGTGCGAAGGAAGACTCACGTAAGTCTTCATAGGGACGCTGTAGTATCAGACCGTGAATCTGGTCATGGACCACAAATGAGGCAGGTACGCAGGGCTCCTGTCGACCAGCATACGTACGGCAGAGACGTTGGGCGCGACGTGAAATATGCGAGGCTGACGAGCGTTGCACAGCTATGGCAACGAAGATCCGAAGAGGAATGCAAACCGCTGGAAGGCGACATCAAGTCCCGATGGAATGCTCTGTCGACGAGGAGGGCGATGGGATGCGAGCACGAGGCGTGATGGCTATGGAGGCGCATATGGGAGGCGGAAACGAGGTAAGCTTACCGACGCGGAGCTTAACTATGCAGCCGCCGCGAGGCGACTGATGCGAGGGACGCCTCGAGGCCGTACCGACGACCACGACATTGTCTTTGTGGGGCCTGGAATGGAAAGCGGCGTACGAGACGTCGGATAGTTCGCTGATGGCGGTGTGATTGGGCTCGAAAGCCTGGACGGTGACGCCGCGTGTCCACAAGGTGCGTGATCTTGAGGATCATTTATCTCGGGTATGCAGCTCGCAATTTATCGATACTTAGGGACGAAGGGGGAGCAGAACATTCCTAAAGCATCGCATCAGGGAGCGAAGGACGTGGGCGTTACGCTCACGAGGTTTCCACGTGCTCTCCTTGGTTCGACTTCCCAATCTTGGCCGTGACCGCCGTGCCGCTAATCGCAGTCACTCGAATGATTCTGTTGAAAGGGTTACAGTCTTACAGTCCACCACAATCAACATGCCGTTATGTGCCTCACGAGTAACTTATCAAAGCTTTAGGGTTGGATATGACTTCGACTTCCTCTCGATGTCGCTCGTATCAACGGATGGTGACATTCACTTTACTAAACGGCGGATCTGCTGACCTTGATTGAACAGAGCGAATTCCGCGGCGAGATCATTGCACGCGTGACAACGAAGCCAGTTCCTCTACTATGACTCATTGAGTTCATGTTCAGCACGTTGTACTCGATCAGCCTCACGCTCGTCACGTTCTAAGGAGTGCCTCTCTGTACCATCCCTATCCCTGGACTTGCGGCAGGCCGCACAGCGCACATATTCTTTCGTTTCTCTCCATTGTAAATCCCTCTGCGCTGTCCCTCACACCGTGCCAACATGTCTTGTCCTGCATCGCGCCTGAGGTGCGTATATCCTTCCGCCCTAAAGCTCATGTAGAGCCTGATGAACGCTTGCAGCCTCCACTTAACGACGAGTTCACCCCACAATGATAGAGCTGAGGAGAACTTTGCGCCCATACGCGCGTCGTCCCCGGCGCCTTCCTCAATCTCATCCGAATCCACCAACGACCCTTTGACTCCCACACCAGTATTCGCCACGCCCTCCGCATGGCCGGCCAACCCGAGCAGCTGCCTGCAGCTCGTCGAGCAGCAGCTCTCGGACGCCGAATGCAGCATGCGACGCCTCGCCCGTGCGCTGCTCGACGCCCAATCCTCGATCCTCGAGGCCGACGAAAGCGTGGCGACCGCGCGACAGCAAGCCGCTCAGGCGACCACGTGGATGCGGGACGCGGAGACGCGCGCAAGGCTCGCGCAGAGCTACGCAGCCTCGGAGGGCGCGCGAGCGGAAGACGCTGACCAGCGTGCGGAGCGCGCTGAGGGGCAGCTATGCTCGGCAGAGCAGCGGGCGGAGGCAGCCCTCGAAATGGCTCGGCAGGCGGACGAGCGGGCATCGCGCGCGGAGAAGCGCGCTGCGACGGCCGTGGCCGCCGCTCGGGAGGCGTCTGGTCGCGCTGCCGCCGCGTCGGCGCACGTCAAGGACGCCGAGGCCCGTGCGGACTCAGCGGACGCGCGTGTCAGACAAGCGGAGTCGCGTGCTGAGGATGCCGAGAAGGACGCTGCAAGCGCGTGGAACCGCGTGAAGGAGGTCGAGGAGCGCCTACGAGCCGCAGAGACCCGCGCGCAGGCGGCCGAGGAGCGTACCCGGGAGGTCGAAGCACTCGCGGGCGAGCTTGAAGACAGAGCTGCGCACCGCCTGGACGAGGACAGCAACTTCTTAGGCTCAGCATCCTCGGCGAGTGCGACTCTACCTCATGACTCTCATGGGACGGACGTTCATGCTGGAGGCGGCCCGGCTCATGCCTCTGACGAGAACTCAGTGCTCGCCGCTGCTGAGGCGCGCGCAGTATACGCCGAATCGCAGGCAAAGAGCTACGCTGCCGCTATCCGAAAGCTCGAGGACCGTCTTGTCATCGCCGAGACTCGACTCGCGAAGGCGGAGCAGCGCGCTCTGGCGGCGGAGAGGCGGGACGCCGAATCGCACGAGCGGCTGCAGGCTGCTCAGCGATGCGCCGAGCTGACAGATAAGAGCTTGCAGGAATCGCTCGTGCGTGCTCAGGCGGCTGAGTCGCGCGCTGATGAAGCGTTAGCACGCGAGCGGCGCATCAAGGTCGACGAGCGGCGGATGGGCGAGCTGCAGAAGCGCGCGGGTGACTTAGCTAAGAAAACCGAGGGTGCGGAGCTGCAAGTACGGACTCTCGAGGAGCAGGTGCAGGCGTTGAAGGAGGCGCTCGCTTCGCTAACTGCGCAGAACGAGGCGTTGGAAAGACGGTGTCAGCCACAGAGTCAGGCGAATGGGTAAGCCTTCCCATCGAGTCCCAGTAATTAGCCTGAGCGCGTCTTCGCAGGTCACGACCGCCGCATCAATGGGGGCACGTATCGACACGCCCGCTGCCTCGACCTGCGAGTATGATGCCTCCCAACTGGGGTGGTACGCGTCCGGCACTATACCATCGCTATGCCGGTCCCGCCCCTCCTCCCTTCGTCGCACAACATATCGGTGCCCTGTTTGGACGACCGCACGAGGTAGATGGTAGACGGAGAGATGGTAGTAGGGGTATCACACCAAGAGGTAGAGGGAGCCCAGCGTCGACGGGACGTGGGCATCACTGAACGTAGACCTCTTATGTCGAATCGAGCGTCCGACTCAGGTTAACGCTACTTACCACTACCGCATTTGTCACCATTTGGTAGCAACCAAAGCTGGGGACGTCAACCGGCGTCTGGATGCAATGCAACGTAAATTGTTTTGGCGTGTACACCATCTTATAAACCTCCGCGGCAAATTGAGCTCTTACTGCCCAGCTTATCTCGCCCTTTCCTTGCAACCCTCCTCGGCACCTCGCTACGTCGACGTCCTCGACAGCCAATCCTGGATGCGTAACTCCAAAGTGTCGACTACTCTTGTCGTTAGCCCATGCTTCATCGATATATGACGAAGTCGCTTACCAGGACCATCCGCTTCGGCATGGTTCAACGCGGCGACCATTACGCCGTGTATCATCTTTTCTTCGGCCCTCGACTCTCTGAACTTCGTGTACGCCGTCACCGTCTCCCTTGTCGTCTTGAAGTTCGCATCCCGCAGGCTCGGGAGCAAGGGCGACACCTCCTCGCGCACGACGAGTACCTCCAGGACCGCAGGCGGCGGAGGATGGGCGAATGCCAGCTCGCGAAGGCCAGGCAAGCGCTCGAAGCAGCCTATGAGATCCTCCAGATTCTGCACGGTCCTGATGATGTCTCGTCCATTCAGAGCTAGGCGACGGAGGCCAGCGGCCACTTGCGGTTCGCGCTCGAGGAAACGAAGTAGAGTGCCGGGCATCTTCTTGTCGGGGCCGCCGAGGGTAAGGCATTCGATCCTCGGGGGACTGATGAAGTCCAGCGCAGCACACGAGCGATTGAGCAGGCGCATGCGCCTGAGTTTGGGTAATTCGACCGGCAAAGGGGGCGGTGTGTGGCTCTCAGATAGATCGCTGAAGACGCTGAACTCTAGGTCCTCCAACGTATCAGCAAGCTCGCGCAGCGTGGGGATGATGACTTGCGTGCGGGAGATCGTGATGTGCACGCGGAGAGATGTGAGTGCGGATGCAGGCCTGAGCGAGAGCGAGGAAGACATGGCCGGCGCGCGGAATGATACGTGCCTGAGTTGAGGCGCGGTCTTCAAAAATTTGAGAGGCTCCTTCATACTCGCATATCCTTCTTCCGTCAACTCGAGGTCAATTCGCTGCAGCAGTGGCGCGTCCACAGGTTCGAAGTCCTTGAAATCGCTCGTCCTGCCCCGGAAGCAGGCGGATTCCCATCGGAATGCGTGAGACCGCAAGAGAAGTAGGAAGGATCGCAGCATCCCGTCCGCAGAGCGCGAGTTGAGGTGAATGGGGAGAGTCCCGGACAAAGGAAGAAAGCGATGCACGTATGACTCCAAGAACATCTTCGCCGGCGGGCTCGTGAGACGCGTCCACAGCTGAGGGGTCCCATACGCCGCCGCGCGCCAGGATGAGCACACGCAGACGATCGTGAACTCGATCTTGAAGAGAATGTCGAGCTCATCTCGAGAGTTGACGAGGGCGTCACGGTAGTGGAGGAAGACCTCGGAGAGAAGCTCAGAAGGCAGACGGTGGACCGGCGTCACGAGCAAGCGATGCAGATGCAGCTGAGCTGATATGCGGCGCTGAATGCCGAGGAGGGAAGCCTCGCCCACATCGCTTCCATTGCGCTTATGAGTGGCTAGCAGCGCCGAGCGCATTGCGGCGACTACGGCGCGACGTTTGGCGGGACGATTCGGAGCGGCAACGGCTGGTTGTAGCTTCGACAGGCGCTCTTCGATACGCTTCAACTCCGTCTCCAGAGCCATAGAGAGTCCCTTAATTTCTACCCATTCGTCCGCATCAAGAGATCGGCCACTGCGTATCAATTCCTCAGTGGCAATGATCTCAGCCCGCCCCAGAGTATCAAAAGCGATAGGAGGGGCCATTCTGCGAGACTAATCAGTGTCGTGATGGTATCTTATCGGCTCACTGACTCTGTGATCAAGGTTCAGGTGGAAAGGCAATCTGGGGGGAAGCAAGGCGCGGGTGGCCGAAAACGAGTCAAAGGCGGCAAGAGCACGTGTCGTGACGCAGTGTCACATCTTGGGGGCCTCGAGGCGGATGAGCTGCCACCACGCCGCGCCCTTACCACCAGGAGCAACATGACCGGTACTTTTTCCTGGAATATAGCATGAACATGCGAATTGTACTCGAACAGACAAAGGGTAGGGCAGATCTAGACCAGACGATAATACGACTACTTCGAGCCTGGATCAGAACTGGCTAGCCAGGCTTTCATGCAAGTAGTCCTTCAGAGTAGCGACTACCACCTTGACGTACAGTCCACGATCTCCCGCGTCAAACGGCTCGAAGAAGTAATCGGGTACCCGCGAGCCGCAGAATCTCAGCTCCTCCAGGCCCGCCGCGTGCAGCATGCCGACGCTCCGCGCCAAGTGAGCCAGCTGCTCCAGGTCATCCAAGCCATCCATCCAGACGTCCAGGAAGGCGATCGTCTCCCTGGCGGAAGGCACGCGGACCACGAAGTGCTGCAAGAGCTCGGGCTTCTTGTCCGGCGCCTGAGCGTCGTGCAGTGTGAGCCGCTCGAGCGCCGGTGGGATGATGTACGCGAGGAGCGGGCCCGCCTCGCCAGAGAGGCGGAGCGCCTTCAGGGAGCGGAACTCGTAGACCGCGACGGCGTCGTTGCTCGGGAGGTTCTTGCCAACGCTGTACTCGAAGGTCTCCAGGGTGCGCGCGCAGACGTAGAGGGGCGCCAGGATCGCCGCCGCCGGGTACATCGCGACGTGGATCACGAGCTCCGTGAGCGCGGAGAACGGCAGGAGAGATATGAGCGGACTCTTGCACTGGACCTTGAGGTGCAGCGTCCGCAGATGCGGCGCGTCCTCGAAGAATCGCAGCGAGACGAGCTTGGTCTTGTAGTCCTCGAGGGCGACGATGGACGCCTGCTGGAGGGCGGGCGCACCGACGGGCTCGAGCTGAGAGAGCGCGCTCGTCGTCGCCTTGAACGCGACGGAGTGCCATCGCGCAGCATGCAGCCGCAGGACGTCGAGGAACGGCACCAAGCTCTCCAGATCACGACCCGACGACCACTGCAGCGGGTATCCGCCAGAGAGCGGGAGGAAATGATTAGTATACGGCGCAACGAGATATCTCGCCGGCGCAGACAGATAGGCCCACAGCCGCGGCGTGATGCGCGCCACGAAGCGCCAGTGCGCGCAGACGTGGGTGAGGATCAGCATGCCCGCGACGACGTCCTCGCACGCAGCGCGCTCCTCGACGAAGGACTCCAGGACCCACTCGAAGACTTCTTTGAGGAGGTCGACAGGCAGACGGCGCACAGGCACGAGGACCCCGCGATGCAGGGGAATCTGAGCCGCTATCCAGTGGCGAACGCCCAGCAAGTCGATCAGCGTCTTCTCGGGAGCAACTTCGAGCCTGAGGCTCGCAAGAGCGGAGCGGAAAGCTCGGTACACGAGGCCCTTTCGCTCTCGTGCGGCGCAGTACTCTTGCTGGTCGTCGACCGCAGCGTTGACACGCTGCAGCTCGAGCGTCAAGGACTCTGTCTGCTCACGGATGGCGAGCATGCCTTCGTCATCTGGGAAGAAGCCGCTGCGCAGTACTTCCGGATTGACGACGGCTTGGGCTTTGCGCAGAGCCTCGATTGCGGTTCGAAGAACTTGAGTGGCGTTCGGTGGCATGGAGGTCGAAGGATGCGTTCGAGGACAAGAGGAGGAAGGTGATGCGAGCGCGAGAGCGAGAGCGTGTTACAGATGCTGTTTCCTCGATGAGGATGGTAGCGGCGAAAGAAGGTGCGCACCATACGTCGTAGTAAGAAAGCCCTTATTCGTTCCCTTTGTTCCCTTGACAAAGGCCAATATGGGTCTTGGCGCCCGCTTGGGAGCACTGCATCGAATGCTTGACCGTCAAAGGAGGGCAAAGGAAGGGCCATATGGGGATACGTACCATGACTCTTGGTAAGACCAGCGGACGGACGATCACGACGAGCCGCATCCTTGCCGAGGTAAGCCGCGTCTTCATCCGATGCACTCGCCACGTCGCGGGAATACAACCAAGCAAGACCCTGTACCATGCATGAGATACGAGCGATAATCAATATCCTGTACGTACATGATCTCGTCGTCCTTACTGTCAAGCAATAATGCGGAAAGACCCGCTCGTGACGCGTAAACCCGTCATACTCGGAGTCCTTTACGTCGAAAAAACTGGTAATTTGTGGTCAGCGGCGACGGCATGCAGGAAGAGTAGACGTACTCACCAGGGATATTTCCACGTCCGAATAGGGCAATGTGAAAGACGACATGAAGATGAAGACGTAGGGACATGCATGCGAAGCCGTAGGAATATGAAGTCGAAGCCGTTGGATATGAAGTCGAAGACGTAGGACCCACGTAAAAAGCGATTATCGCGCGCAATCTTCCCTTGCATGCTTGATCTTCCGCGCTCGCCGCCGGGGTTCAACCATCCGGGTAGCAGTTCATTAGTCGGCCGTCCTCCCCGCTTCGGACCTCGAAGATGAACCCATTGTCATTGCGCAAAGTACTTACGAGACGGTACGAGTGGCCGATAAGAGATGAAGTACCCGCACGGTCGATATGACGGCAGCGGGCTAGAGCACGAGATGACCTTGAGATGAACTACGCGAAGTCAGGAGATTGGCACCTGATTGACGAGACGCGATGTCGCCATCGCTAGCACCATTGACGGAGATCCGGCCAGGAGTCGTCGCGTCTGAGCGATGAGCGGGAGAATGCACCGTCGACGAGGAGGAGAGCATGACCCGCGCACGCTTCATGATGGCGATGGACGCGCATACGGGAAGAGGACACCAGGCAATCTTATCGTCGCGGAGCCTAACCTAGGGCCGCCTCGAGGCCGACGGAGGACCGGTGGGGAGACCTCGTGGTCGTATAGTCCTACGCGGCCGTTGTTCTTTGTGGGGCTTGAAATGGAAGGTCGAAGGCCGGTGAGTTGGATGGTTCGATGGAGGCCTGATAGTTCACTGATGGCGGCTTGATTGGGACTGGGCTACCGCGATTATCGCCTCGCTTGTCCGCTTGAAGTGGCTAGATTGAGGGGAGACCGAAGTCGGAAGACCATCGGATACGTTGACTGTCAAGGTATGCAGACTGTCAAGGTATGTAGAGCTCCTTCCACCGACTGAAGATGTACAGACAGGGCGAGCGGCGCGGTGGTGATGGTTGGAGGCAAGGAGTACATCATTTGTGGCGTTGCCGGACTCGTCCGATAGCACGTGCTTCCACGTGCGCACCCCCGATTCGAACTTTTGAATGACTCAACCCTGTTTTCCGCCGTCATGCCGTCGCGCAGTCGCTCTATAATCTACAAACCGCACCCTTCTGTCTGATGAATTTCTCTGCTCGACTTGAACTCAAGGACAATGAAGCTGTCTATCCCTTTTTGGTGCTTTTCCGCGCGCTCTGTCAGTCTTCCCCAATGAAGAGCACTTCTAGCGTGCGTCCTGCGTATGCTTCTACGAGAGGGTACAAATGCACAATGTGCTTCGCTAAGTGCGTCCCCCACTATCTTCATCCACTCTTGTGGCGCTGTTTGACGCCCGCCATACAACAGGCGCCGACTCTCCTCAACAATGACTCGCACATCCTCCGACCCGACCGCTTCTTCCATCCCTCGAGAGTTCTGTCGTAACCGTCCACCATCCTTCCTTCGCTACACGCCACGACCTTCTTCATATCCTCCGTCCTCCACCCCACTTCACAGCATCTTGAGAACGTCTCGGTCCGGTGACCGCCCCTTCGCGCTGATCGTCTCTATCTGCACATGGTCTCGGTCCATGCACTTCCCCTTGATATTTCAGAGTTCAATCTCGTCTCAATAGGCCTTCAAGCTTCTCTCAATGGGATCGGAGCCTATACTAGGACAACAACGTCGAAGGCATGGATGACCGCGCCGTATTCCTGGACATCGGCGCCATTTCCCTGGACATCAACGTCGAAGCACACAATGCGCAGCCCTCCATCTGCTCTATACAGTCCCTCGATATGAAGCCCACTCATCGGTGCGTATGGCCTCGGGACTTTGTGCGCGGGAGGCACTAACGAAGCGAATTGCCTCCTCCGGTGGTCGACCAGCATTCCGGCAGGCGACCAGCGTCGTACCTCTTCATTGTCGGCTTGGCGGAGCCGGGGCCTGCGAACCTGGCAGTCCTTGTCGCCGGCTAGCCTTCATTCGTGGCTTCGCCCTCCGCTTTCCGTCCCACGCATTGATTCAAAGTACGCTCCCGATTCGAGTCGTCCGAATACACCTTCCTATATCCACGGACTTCCAATACAGGCGCGCGCGCCATATTTGGTACGGAGCGCGATTCATCGCCGAGAGCGGTCTGGGGCATTTATCCAGTGGGCTGCTCCCACTGCATCCCAGTCGACGAACGGCGCGACATCGACGAACCCGCTGCTGCCGCCCATCGAGCAAGCGGCCGCCGAATTCCTCGACGATTTGATCCGAGTCCAATACGCGCTGTTTCGTTTGTAGGTACACGGGAGAAGCTGGCTATCCCAGTCTCGCTAATGGCCCCTCTTCATTGAGTTGACGGCCCATTTCATTGAGTTGACGGCCCATTTCATTGAGTTGACGGCCCACTTCATCCAGCTGACGGCCCCTTTCATTGCGCTGACGACCCCTTCCTCGAGCTGACGGCCCCTCTCATCGATCTGGTTGTCTATGCCGCCACACTCACCGTCTGTCGCCAGAACGGTCGGGGTTCGAATGACGACGGAAGCAGACGGTTTGTGGCGGGATTCGGAAACTGCCGATGCACCGCCGGCCTGCTCTCGACGTTCTGCGCTGCGTGCGCCGCCGTACTCGGTAGCGCCCCTCTCGCTCTTCGACCCTGTCCGATAGGTATGTATGATATCCCTCATCCCTCATACTAGGCGTGGTCAATGACGAACCGACTAGATACTGACATTATTCAAAGCGTCGCCCAAGCGTTGGGAGAGCTGTTCGCAGTCTCGACCATGCTTCGCGATAGCCATGTCGTATCCACTGAAGCAGCCGCCGAGGCCAGTGAGTGCTCCTGCGTAATCAAGTGAGCGATCAATCGCATCGGTTCGACATCGCGTCCGCTGATGTAGTCGATAATTCACCTCCAGAAGGTCGCTCGCTCGCCTTCCTTTCATACTCGTGGAGATGCCTCGAAGGAAACTCGATAGTTGCAGAGCCTACTACGGCTGCGCTGTCTGCACGACAGGACCAGCCTCCTCCGCGCACTGCTTGCGCTCGTGCGGTGCCTCCCGCCCGAGATCGTCGCCGAGGTATTCCTATCTCTCGTTTGCGGTAACAATGGAGCGGACTAGCTGCTCGTAATGCTCTACGGTCGCTTTCATATACACGATCCGGCGTCAGTCGTGCGTAACCCTCGTCGATTCGGCTATTTCGCGTTCTGCAAAGTCGAGAAAGACACAGCCTACTGGTTTTCATTGGCGACAAGCAGCGTGTCTTACTCGTCACATTATACGGCAGATTCAGGCTACATCGTGCATTCCTGCCCGGAGATGAAGGGATGCGGCGCCCGGAACCGTGGCTTTGGTGAGTACATATCCTCTTCTACGGGGGCATGTGTCTTACGACCACTCAAACAAAAGATCATACTGACGCTAGGTTACAGGTCTCCGAGGGATTCGTGGAGGGAATTTGTGAGGGATAGCCTGCGCGATGCGAGATCTCTGAAGCTTGATTCCACTGAATCGGTCTGCGACCTCACTTGCTCTAATACATGTCACATCTTACGTAGACGTAGTGCTAGAAAGGTGTCCTTATGAGAAGCTGCCCTTGAGGCACTCGCCGAGTGCTCGTCCGTCGCCTGCAATTGCCGGCGCCACATGAAAACGGCGAACGCCGAACGACGCCACAAATCGGTATTCTTGCGCCCGCCGCCGGACCAGTGTCACTTCTCGCTCTTGGCCCCCATCATGAGTTACACCAACGCCTATGCTTGCTTATTGGACTTCCTAAATTCTGCTTTGCCTTGCTTCCCTACCTTAGCGATTTCATCCTACAACAGCAGATATCCCGGCTGAGCGCGAGCGCACCGGCGTCTGGAACTTTGCGACTTTCCCATCGTTTCCATGTTTTAGGCTGAGAAGCATTCGCATCGCGGAAGCGCTTGTCGAACCATCGATTGCTCATTGCTTCCTATCTGGGACTGCAAAGCGCCTGGTCACTGATGATGAGACTTTCCTTGTATAAAGACGATGCGGATCGACGGTTGGGCAGCTTTACCTCCCGCCCGACCTGCGAACATGTCCTCCTTGCCGGAGACGGTTTGGGATCCCGTACACTACGACCCTCCTCCGGAAGACGGCAACCTCGCCTGCTTGTGCTCTTCTCGCGAAGTCTCCGACGATTCTGGCCGCCCGTTGGACCCTCTGAAGGTCGGGGACATCCGCGGTATCAGAGCGCATCTTCTATATCCCTTGAAATGCGTCGTAGAGGAGAAGTATCGCGACGAGATCACGAAACTGCGGGGCAGGTCAGCCAAGCGCTCGAGTGCGCCTGCGTCTCGTGCTTCATCTCGTGGTCGCCCCAAGAGCGCACGCTCTGCGACCTCTCAACAAAGTGGCTTCAAGAAGCACCGCCCTTGCGTCATATGGGACGTGACGCACCGTAAGGAGGGCGACGTGGATGTCTTCCTGATGGGCACCTTCGACGGCTCATCTTTTGATCACCTGCCCGAGGCCGTCAAGAATTATGTGGTGGGCGTATATGTTGGAGAACACGTCGAGGACTATAGCGAACTGTATCACATCCACACCAGTCCTCCATGGGGCGCACCCTCGTCCTCATGGCTCATTCCTCTTCGAGTCACTGTTGCTGTAGACCGCTTGGTCGTCTACAACAATGACTGGATGGACCAGACAACTATCGGAGACGAAAGCTGTCCGTATATCAACGCTGAATCGATGAAGGTGCTTGGTACATATCACTCGGACACTGTAGAGTACCTGGACAAGGTTATGACCGATCCAGAGAAGCTGGACCGCGAGGCCTATATCCTGTGGGAAGGCACTTGGATAGTGAGCGTGTTTTCAGCACCCTGACACCTATTAACCATGCCCACAGAAGCGCTTGTTCACGAAGGAAGGCGCAGAGTACTCTGCCGAGCTTCCAGCGCAGCGCACAAAATGGGCTTACATCGGTGTGCCGTCTCGGTGGAGCGACCACCAGAGTGGCAGCCGTGGATCGTCGTCTCGATCCAGCAGCGCCTTTGAGCGCCGTAGGCGCTCGGGCGGATCCTCCACATCCGAGTGGCAGTCCATTGACGAAGAGCACGTGGACGCCTACGCCGAACAAGTAGAGCTCCAACTGGCCGAGCAGTTTGAGTCCCTGGACACGGAGGCTCAGCCAGCGGAAGAGGCCCCGGCTGGAGATGGATGGACGAAGGTGGAGAGGAAGTCCAAGAAGTCTGGCAAGTGGCAGAAAGGCTGGAAGAAGCTTACGCGCCGGGCCGAGGCTGGGCTTCGTAAGGCTGCCAGGAAGTTATCTGTAAGTCATTCTTCTGCGCGCTTGTTGTGCGAAATTTTCTTACATCGTCATAAGCCCAATCGCGACAATCGTCCGCTTCCTGGAAGGCGAGACGGATCGCAGAGCTATAACTCGGAAACTCGTCCATGATATCCGAGAATTCTTTTTTTTCTCTTTCGTGTATTGAGTCCTTGTCTTTGTACGATTTCATGTGCGCCTCAAACATCCCGATACCTATCCAAATCAAGAGCAATAGGCTGACCTGACCGTCCTCGTCCACGTGATTTTTTTGAAGCCCCCATAATTGGGTTGAGTGCGCCTGGATCATCAACGCATCAATACCTACTTGACCTTCAACCACGACCATCACAGTCAACAGCCTGCCATAGGACGATCTCATCGTCCCTACCCCTTTATTACGATCTAAGTATACCTTGAAAGCGTTGCTCGTCCGATAGCCAGTCGGCAGTGCTTTGACAACGGCGTTCCGCATTTCACGCGGCCGAAGGCTATATGGCAAGCCATCTGGCCGTAGAGCCGTCAGAGCGCGAAGGGCGCGTTGTAAGTCTCTGCGTGAGCTATCGTGGGTCCTCACCTAGAAGAGTCGCGCGAGCAAATGGATGCCCTGGATACACATGTTTGGCTCTGCTTGGCTTGATGGGCGCCGCGATCAGAACCCAATGATGGCCTGATGCGGAATTATTTCCCCTTGTTCCCTGCCTCCATCACCTCTTCTCGCTCTGCGCACTGGCAAAGAAAGCTCTAATCTCGGTGCCCAGAATTGGTTCCTCAGATGCGACTCAGTCAACAGGGAACTCGGCTGAGAGGGTGGGATCGCAGGCAAGGAGGACGAACGCGAAGGACGAGGGGAACACTCATTGCGATGCGCCTGCGAGAGACGTTGGTCCCGAGGTGCAGTGCGATCGCACGCGGTCTGCGCAGGGAAGATGATTCTGGAAGGTGCGTCTTCAAAGCTTGCGCCGGTGAAGCTGCTGCTGAAGCTGGCGAAGCACTCTTCCTTGCCTCACGGCGGCGTCAAGATAATCTCGACCTTCGCTGATTTACCCGGGCCCCCCTCGCGCAAGAGACACCATGACGATCTGATATACCGACGCTCCCCATACCTGTCGCTATACTTACCCCCTTGTCGTCGACTCAAGAGCCGTCTTGCGTCATGAGCCCGCCACGACCATGCCCGCGACCCAAGATCATCCTAACGCCAAATCAGAAAACCCTGACCTTGACTCAGCCCTTATGACAGCTCGCGGCGCGCACGTCGCGGTCGGGAGGCGGCAAGGAGAAGAGGAGAGCTCCGCGGCCGCGAGCAGAATCGCGCTTTCTGATACGCGCCAGCTCTTCTTTATTCCTCTCTGTACGCCCGATGTCTGAGCGCGTCAGGACTCACCCGAACGCGACCATGCCGACGTTATCCCATCTCGCCAAGAAGCGTGGAACACTCCGGCCCAGGACCCTCCTCTCCACAGTCCTCCGCCCTCGTTGTGTCCATTAGCGCTCCACTGCTCGCGGACGCCGAGTTGTACGACTCGCGCGTTCTCGACTGCACAACGATTGCGCCTGCATGGATGACCTCGACCACATCCATATCTATCCCACATGTTCGGCCTCGTCTCCGCCGACGAACTCCACGACGTCAAGGACGCGCGTGGCGCCTGCGCCGCGGACGACACCAGCAATGCGCGGACGGCCTCGAATCTCAGACTCGACGCGCACGACCCCAACAAGTGGACGACCTCAACGATCTCGATTACGCATTCCAACGCACGACGACATCAAGCCACGCGCAACGGTGTCGGCAATGACGAGTCCTGTACAACTGGAGGCGGACCAAGAGCGCGCACGGCAGCGGCGTCTTGCGTGCTCTCGCAGCGCCTCCGCGTACTCTCGCGGGCCTCCGCGTAATCCCGCGTTGTCTTCGCGCGTTTGTAGCCGAAGCAGCTCAGCCGACATATTCATCCTCTTTCGCGTCGTGAGCTTGTTTACGCGTGTAATCGTCCATAACCTGACCTCAGGCTCAGCTCTTCAGGCGTCGCACTTACGTCTCCGGCCCTCGCGCTCGCGCCCTCATGCCTTGTGCCCGTTGAAATTGCGACATGGTGTACTCGCATTCGCCTGCCCAGCTTGCCGCTGCTTGATGACGATGCGTCCCTCGACGTTGCTCGCGTCGACAGCGGCTGTGGCCAGGCCTTTTAAGGAGCGATGACAAGATATTGAGGTAAGCGATAGTATCGAAGCGCGCATCTCTACTCAGATACCTTCCATCACGCAGGCCCTCGCCTTTCACATGAGCAGTGACCCCCTTCGTTTCGTTCAGTTCCTCGTACCTCTGATTACAAATCGGAGAACAATAGCATTCGGCATTCGCCGGTTTGGTTTTGTTGGGTTATATGTACTGACAGGCGCATTGACCACCAGCCGTACCTTGACCTCCGACTACGATCATCAACATCTCCTTCAACAGCCCCTCATGAGACACTCCCCTAGTCTCGACGCCTCCCCTGCAATGGGGGATCCGAAGCTTTTAGAAAGCGTCACCGCAGTTGTTGACACTGACGAGGACTGCACGCCACTCGACTACGAGCCGACTGCGGTCCAGTCGCCGCCACGAAAACGCCAGAAGACCGACGACGACGACGGTGGCAAAGCGCCATCGGCATTGAACTTGCACGCGCCTGGAAGCGCTCTGTTGGAGCTACCTCTCGACGTGCTCCTCGAGGTACGTCGCGCCTCACCGTCTCGGAGCGCATCGCCGTCTCAGATTTCTCACTGTTTTGGAGCGCGTCGCCGTCTCCGTGCGCCTCATCCTCTCCTAGCTCTCGCACGATCCCATTTCCCGCTTCGAGCTCACCCACCGCAGATCCTCACTCATGTCGACCCCATGTCCCTCCGCCACGTATCCCGGACGTCGCAGGCCCTGCGGGACACCCTCACGGGTCCTCGGTCAGACTGGATCTGGCGCGCGAGCTACGCCAACACGGACCATGGGCTGCCTCCGGCGCCGGACGACATGACCGTGCCACAATTCCTGAGTCTTCTCGTTGACCGAGTGTGTGATGTACGTTGTCTTTCAGTGGCGCGTGAGCCTCCTGACTGACGCGCGACCCTTCTCTAGTTCTGTCACGCATCTCTAATTCCGAAGGACCAGATCAAGAGAATATGGGCCGCGCGTATCAAGTGTTGCCTGCACTGTCTGTACCACAGGTATGCGACTATATCGTATGGTCATGTATTCTCGCTGATCTCGCCCGCGATAGTCGGGACATAGTCCACGAGAAGGATATGGACATATTTTATCTAGTCCGCCTGATACAGCGTCACCTAGGACCCGACTTTCCCTTATACAAAGTGTTTCCGGCCTCGGAAGGTCAGAACGAAAGATCTTTCTGCTCATCGCTGCCTCTTCCTGACGACAAAATCACAGATCTCGGTCGGTCTCGGTCCTATCCTTGGGTGCACATCAATCGTCTTAACCAAGACTATGTGCGCGATAAAGTTGGCGGCGGGTCTGTAGATGACATCAAAGCATGGATACTCCAACAGGCAGAAAGGCATGAGAGCGTGATCAAGGTATGCACGAGCCGTCTGTCTTCGTGGCCTTCTTCTGGCACTCATTGACAAACTTGCCATCGTCAGCATGCTGAGGCGTGTTACGAATGGGAGCGGCAGGAGTACTGGAAACGGTGGGAAAAAGAGCAACATATTCGGGCTGAAAGGCTCGAGGCGTATGTCTTTTATTCGACAATGGTTCCTCAATTGGTGCTGATTCCCCCCTTTCAGGATCGACCAAAGGCTGAAGGACCTCGACATTGACGTCGACGAGCCTCAGGAATTCAAGAAGCAACTCAGTACGCGTCTCACAACACCCCCTACACCGCCAAACTATAGACATAAGTACTTCCCGACGCCGGCGTATAGCACGCCTATCGAGATTCACAAACTTGTGCGCGAAGCGCGGCCGCTCACAGAGGAAGGTGAGACGCTATGATTGATACTCACGCTGCATCCGATGAGCTCACATACTAGATTGGTCAATACTATTGGAATGGCTTCTCGATGCCGCCAAGGCGGAAAAAAGGCGCCAGATCCTCGAGGGCCGATACTCTGCGTTCAAGAAAGCCTATTGCCAGTTCCTGGATCGCAAATCGTACCGTAGGCAGTGCTTGTTTCCCAGTATATGCACCGTGGCAAATTGGGAGGAAGTCGTCGACTTGATCGAGGGCACGCCGCTCGAGCAGCACCTGGCTGCAGATGATATGCGCGTGTTCATCGGCAAGCTCGCGCGGGAGCGCTTCTCCCAGTGGCGCGCGACTTTCGAGGCCGAGCTCGTCGCCAAGCTCAACGCCGCCGACCCAACCCGCGAGCAGCCGGCGACCGTGGCGGACCTCAAGCTCGCGACGTCGGTATTCTCTCATCGGGACGCGAGCTCGGGTGATCCTTTGCGGTACCCAGAGCTGCTGAGTTGGGCACCGTTCTCGGGGGACAGTTTTTATCGCCCGGATGGGTCATACTATGTCGTGCGCAAGTGCCCGCCCTGGTCGGCGCACGAGGTCCGGGTCGATGGCTGGCGGCGGCGCTTGGCTGCCCGACTGGTGGCGATGGCGGGCCTGGATCCAGCGACGGCGACATACCAGGAGATGAGCATGCAGTCCGTTTGGTTCGGGCGGGCGGACGAGGTATCCATGCTCCACTGCGGGGAGCCGGCCTACCTGCACCGCTTCAGCTTGACGGTACGCTGTCGGGCTTTCTCGCAATTTGTGCGCGAGTTCCTCTTGTATTAGCTGACGGCATCACTTTTGTATCCCTAGATGTGCTGCGCAAGGGAGAAGGTCGATGAATATGTGGTTTTCACTGAAGCTGGTGTAGAACTGGCGCGGGCTTGGCTACAAAATCCGTCCGCACTCATGTGCAGCTGAGGATGGCTTTGAACCCCATGGCCGGTGCTGAAGGGTAAACTGCAGCGGCCATGTTTGTTGTTGTCTCTTGCGCTCGCTCTACTCTGCCTACCATACCGTTAGTCCTTCGCGTGGCCGTCGCAAATAATATCATTACTAGAATCGTTTGCGTTACCCAGGATATGTCTTTGTGTAAAACACCTTCGCCCCATTACGCATACACACTAGAAGAGTGCCTCTCCACTACAAAACACCCCGCTTGCGCGACTTGCCCCTCTGATACTTGTGTGGCCTCGGGAGGTCGGCATACCCCAGCCCCGCCCACGCATGTGCCGCTCTCGAGCGCGCTAGCGCCGTGTCCTTGTCCGACAGAAGCACGAACCTGGCCTTCTTCACGTCCTCGAGAGACCGGAGTGCGGACCAGTCGTACGTGCCGTCGGAGCCGAGCTGCAAGAAAGAGAGTCATCAGTGAACACTGAATGTGACAACCCAGTCCCCTACTCACCACCGCATACCGCCACGTCATCGCCCGGTACGTCCCCCCGCTGCCGTCCAGCTCGCTCTTCAGCGCGACCCACGCCACCTGCGCGTCCATCTCCGCCGGCGTCGCCGTCCGCGGGTCCAGCCCCGCCAGCCTGACGACCTGCTCCGCCAACTTTAGCCGCGCGGGCTCGACCCTGAACGCCCCCACCGCCCCCGCACCCCGCGCGGGCGCCCTCGCGTCCACCCTCGCAGGGCCGACGCCGCCCGCCTTCCAGTCGCGGTAGTCCGCCCCCGGGCGCTCCGCCAGCGCGGCGGGGTACTGCACGCGCCGCCGACCCGCGAGCGAGAACACCGTCGCCGCGAGGCGGAGGTCCACGGTGGTCGCGCGCGCCGGGTCCGCCGCGTTCAGCAGCGCTACCAGCTCGGCCTCACGCGCCGCGCGCCACGCGTCGAAGCGCGTCTGTCCGAGTGCGTCGACGTGCGTGTGCGCGAGCTGCTCGATCAGCGCGCCCATCTGTCCTTCGATGAGCGCCTGCCCCACGGGCGTGCCCTCTACAAGCTCCGTGACCTCCCGAAAGGTGACCAGGGCGCCTATCTGTGGGAGCAGGGCGCGCGCCGGAGTGCCCTCGAAGCGGCCGAGTGATTTCTCGTAGCGCGCCGGGCCCGTCTGCTCATCCAAGTACTTCTTGTAGACCTTCTCGAGCATGTCGTATCGCTGGCGGATGATCTCGCGCCGCTCGTGCGCGAGGCGCTTCTCCCGGAGCCCATTGACGAACTCGAGCAAAGGGCCGCAAATCTGATCCCACCCTGCGGGAGAGCGCGCCTCAGCACATCGTCCACTCTCAACCAGATGTCGAAAAGCCACCTTCCTCGGTGAGCTCCTTCGGCTCGCTCACGACCGCGTGCGCCCTGAGCGCATCCCAGTTCGCCGGGTGGCGGGCCTCCGTCTCCAGGCCTAGCACGTTTAGCCGTCGGAGGATTCTAACGGGGTTTGGATTCAGTATGCGCACTCAATCTGTGCGATTACGCGCAGACTACGACTCACCCCTTCAACCTCTCCTTCCGTATCGCCTTCTCCTTTGTCTTCAGCTCGGCCTGGATCTTCGCTTCCCACTGCTTGCAGATGTGGGCGTGCTAGATAGCGGAAGGGGGTGGTGAGCGCGGTGTTATCTTTCACGCGAGCTGGGACCGTGAATCCCGTGAAACGGACACCTCGCGCACCTGCTTGATCTTCCCAAACTCCGCCGCCCTGAGGGCTATATATGCCTTCTTCTCCTCCTTCGTCTTGTCTTGCACTCCCGCTCGTATTCCTTAACAAACTTCTCGACTGGCTCTAGCATGAAGAGCTGAAATATTCCGCCTGCGAGAGGGTGGGAGGTGAGAGCAATGAACATCTATCTATGACCGGTTGCTCCATACAAGAGCTTGATCACGCACTCGATGCACAAAAGCCCGGGAACAAATCTGGCGGGCGGAACTCGGTGTGCCCGAGGAGGCGGCGGACGTCGCGCATGACCTCGAAGGAGAACAAGTTCTCCTCGTAGATGATGCGGTCGCTGGCGAGAGTCGTCAATGGGATGTACGGAGGTCGGACGTGACATTTACTGAGTCAACGGTCATAACGCACCTTGCATAGAGACACGCCTTGCACCAACGTATGCGCGCGTTCCAGATGATGATCGGCGCCTTCTGGTTGCTCGAGGGCGGCGCGTTGCAGAGCTGGAGGAGAGGACCGTGTAAGCGTATGTGGTGGCGCGTAGTTAGAAACGCACCGAGCAAGTCTCGTCAATGATGAGCATTGCGAGTCGCGGGACCGAGATGTCGTCCGCCGCCGGGGGCAGCTCATACCCCGTGCACGCAGTGTACCGCTGCTTCCATAGCCTGATGATACTCTTAGAGCATTTCCATGAGCATGTTGCGCAAGATTATAGACATCTTCGTCAGCTGCACGAGCACCACGGGATCGCAATGGCTGAATATCTGCGAGGGATGCGGGTCAGACTTCGTGTATGAATGGGCAAGAAGGCATAGCGATACCTCATATAGCACCTCGGGAGGCAGCCCTGCAAAGGAAGCGGCCGGAATAGCGTTATCGAGGAAAGGTGAGATCTTCTTGGGCTTTGACTTGACGACGGCATCCCTCATCTTCTGCCGCTTGCGCGTTCGAGTGGCGACCGCTTGCGACTCGAGGTTGGGCGACGTGTTGTCGACGTCGTGACGGGCCTCATCGCCGCTTGAAGTTTCCAAGGATCTCTTCATGTCGCGCCGTCAACTTTGAATGTCGACGTCGATGGAGAAGAGCAACCTAACCGGCTGCGTGATGGCCGCAATCAACGCGCTTATCACCTGACTTACGCTTTCACGTGGCCTCGGCAAAGTCCGGTACGCGCTGTCTTGCCGCGTGGAGAAACTCCATTGTTCTTTCCGATCATCACTACATTCGCGAGCAGAGCTGCATAGACTCTGAGCCGGCTCCTACCAGACGCCTGAAAAGATTGTCATACTCAGTAATCGAAGACGGATTCCCACGCAGAGCGCTGAGCGCGAGGACGTTCTGCAGCGAACGCCAACTCTTGGGCGACGCAAGGGTCAACGGTCAACGCGATGCATACGTCCAAGGGCCGCTCGGTCAAGCACGAAGAGATCTGGAGGCGGATCTAGACGCGGGCAGCTGGAGGAAACTTTGGTTTGGAGAGATCGGAATTGACCCAAGAAGTGCGTCAGAGTCAACTCCGATTCCGTGCGTCGCTCATGTTCGTTCAAGTGCGCACCCTCGAGCTCCCCAGCCGGTACTGCTCGAGCCCAGATGGCGATTTGCTTGCCGCTCAAATTCAGTCAATCCACATTCACTCCTCTGGCATCGCAGGATCGACTACGTCCCGATTCCCTCTCCGTCAAGATGATCGCTGGCCGGCCCTACTCCGCACAACCCCTCACATTTGCGTTGCCTGCATCTGCGACCTCCACGTAGAGTGACTGAGGCGGGTTCTGCCAGGAGCGACTACGGCGCGCGCTGGCTTGATGCCCCTGCGTAACAGGCTATCCTGCGGCTGCCAGCCCGGCTCGCAGTTCGATCGTGGACTACCCTCGCGCACCATCGCGAGCTTCGGCGCCGGTCTTCGTGGACATCTGGACTCCGGACATTGTCGTTGGTGAGCACTTTCCAGCTATCCACGAAAGCTCGTCCTCCAACGAGAATTGATTTCTCTTAAGTTCATGTATTCGCGCGTCTAGACTCACTCCCCGTCTCCCCATAAACGCAACCATAATCAAGGCCTTCCCCCTACGCTTCCCCTCGGCTTGCCGCCACCCGACGACGAGGCGCCCTTCGGCGTCGTTCGCGTCGGCAGCGGCTGCGGGTAGCGCCGAAGACACGTTGTGTGATTGTACGTACATCGCCGTGAAACATGAGCAGCGCTCGTCCATCGAACTGGTGGACGGAGCGGAGGTACGGTCTCCGACAGGCAGCACATAATGACGACCCGTACGTCTGCATGCGAAGAGGCCGTCATTCAGCAGGGTGGCGTCAGCTTTATGGTAGCAGCGCTTGTTGGAGACCTCCGGATCCTGTCCCCGGCTGCATCATGATCTGACGACTGAGTTTATCTGGATCCTCGCTCTCCCGTTCTTCACGGACCTTCTTCAAGTCAGACGAGACGACTCCGTGCCTCGTGCTGCTCAAACATTCCTCTTCAGTCTCGCATCGCGCGCGGCAGATAGAGTCGAGCGGAAACCGAATTCGTGGCCATTGTTGCTGACGTCATCATCAGGTGACCGCCACGTTCAGCGAGCCATCAAAAGCAAATTCTCTGGTGGCTTGGCCATTGAACCGCGACCACCACGACGAACTGCGCAAAATGACTCAAATGGAGAAACTCTCTGCGGCGAGAGGAGCTTCAGCGCGCCCTTCTGACGCTCATAGCACTCAGGTCTCCGATATGCCACAGAACGTGCCCAACGCGCCACTGAAGAAGGTTACCATTACGCTGGCACGGAAGCGGCAGAAGACGGAAGAAGTAGTATCACAAGAGCTCCTAGATGACCGTGACAGCTCCTTCTCATTTACGGAGATGCCGTTGGACGTACTTCTCGAGGTACGTGGTTGTCGTCGTTCACAAAGAGCACCCCCATCGAGGCCTAACATCATCCACCCACAGATACTCGGCTACCTCGACCCCATCTCCCTACTCTACCTCTCTCACAGCTCAAGTTCCCTACGCAATGCCCTCATGAGCTCGTTCGCAAAGAAGATATGGGCAAAGAGCTACGCCGAGACGAAGCACGGACTGCCTCCCATGCCCGAGGACATGTCCATACCCCAGTTCGTCGCCCTTGCGGTCGATAACTTCTGCGATGTGAGGCCTTGTCCGCTCATAATATAGCGTTTGTCCTGAGCGTCGACGTCGAAGCTGACCGTGCCCTCTACCTCCTTCACTAGTTCTGTCTCGTGTCTTTCCCGAAGGAAGCGCTCATCATCCGGATTTGGGCCGCACGGCTTCGGTGCTGCAGGGAGTGCATGTATGATAGGTGCGCGAGTTGAGGCCCGCGCATTCCGCATCCGCTCACACTATCTACTATAACCTAGCAAACACATCCTCGTCGAAACCCACATGAGCGGACGAGCACTGGCCGACGACTTCTACTGCTACTTCGAACGCGAGCGCATCCATGAACTCCTTCCGGGATTTTCTGAAAGTGCGTGCTGGTCCGCGCAGTTTGCGCGCTGCACATTTGGCATTTGCCCGTCGCATCTCCCATTTGCTGACCGGCATATCCTCAGACGACTCCGAGTATAGCCGCCGCCGCTTCCCGCGCGCCATCGTCGAGGACCTGGGCGCCGAATATCATCGCGACAATGACGGCAAGACCGACCAGGAGAAGAGGGCCTGGCTCGAGCGGAAAATGGACGAGGGGAAGGAGATTAGAAAGGTATTTGGCGGTTCTGCGACCGAATCGGACGCTATCACTGCGGGCGAGAGGATGCTCATGACGTCCTCATTCTTTAGCACGCAAAGCTCTGCAAGAACTGGGAGAAGCAGCAGGCGGAGATGGCGGAGAGGATGCGGGAGGAGAGGCGGGAGGAGTGAGTTCTTTTCCGCGTCAAACTTGTGGCGCTCTAGGCGCGCTGACGCGTGTTCTGATCGCAGGATTCTCGCGCTGTTGAGGCAGGCAGGGTATGCCGAGGAGGTGAAGGATTGGGGAGAGTGGCAGTCCTTCAGGATGCATACGTTCGTCAACAGGGCCCAGCCGCTCATGAAGAAAGGTGTGTCATACCAGTAAATTTTTGTGTCGAATCGAATTGCTCACCCTCTTCTCCAATTCAGAATGGAGAACCGAAGGAGGCGCCCTGATCGCGCTCGCCGAGCAGACGAGAGTCAAACGGCTAGAGAAAGCAAGGCGATCTATCTTCAAGACCCGCTATCGCACCGTCGAGCAGGTCTACAAGAACTACCTGCGCGGCAAATCTGCTGAGGAGCAAACCCTCCTCCCAGGTATCGGCGACGTGGTCACCTTCGAGGAGGTTAAGCGCCTCATTGAGGGCGCGCCCGTCGAGCGGAAAATCACCGCCAACGTTGTGCGCACCCTAATCACCGAGCTCGAGAAGACACGCTTCCCGGCGTGGCGCGCGTCGTGCGAGGCCGCTCTCGTCAATCTGCTCAACGCCAACGCAACCCGCGCCCGCTCGGACCTCGACCTCGCCACGTCGGTCTTCGTCGACAAGGACAGCGGGTGTACCTTATGGTACCCCGAGTTGCTCAACCACCGCGGCTCGCTGGCCAACTTGGAGCTCGACGACCCGCAGGCGCTCGTCCGCCAGCGCGCGTGGTCGGCGGGGCAGCTCTGCGTCGAGGTCGATTTGGTGCGGAAGGCGGAGAGGCTCGTCAAGTTGGCCGGGCTGGACCCGAAGATGGCGACGCCGGAGGATATGGACGAGCGCGATGCGTGGTTCACGCGCGCTGGCGATATCGTGAAGCAGAAAGAGGGGCTATGCTTGATGATGTGGCGGGAGGCGGTGAGTTTTGAGTTGTCGGTCCTACCGTCTGCAGAAATTGGTGCTAATGACTTTGCCAGATGGACGACGATGAGGAGGACCTTGATGCTCTCGTTCTGGTCTCAGACGAGGACACGTCGCTGGCGCGCGAAATGCGTGCGGATTGGGGGTCGGATAACCTCTCAGGGTGGCTGAAGGTCCCGGCGTCGATGCTTACAAAGACTGCCGAGAAGCAGAGGCGGCGGGGTGTAGCTTAGCTTGTCGATATCATTAATCTCGTTGGGATGGATGAGTATATCTGACTTGTCCTGATCGATTTGTATACTGAGAAATGGATTCATATGTAATCTGATCTCTGATATCGTCTCTGAATGCAATGATGACCTTGCACTAGCAAACAGCGATGGCACGTGTAGGCGAAAAACGAACAATATGCGGCAATTGCCGAATCAACAAGATCAGGTGATGGGCGCGTTGCTGGCATCATCGCATCAACAAAGTTTCCCGGACTTCGTCTTGAACCGCGACGCCCATTGGTAGTAGTACGACATGAGCCTCAGGAGATCCTCTCGACTCGCTGTCTGCAAAGATGCGGCTATCCCCGCCGTACTCAAAGAGACTGACAACGCACAACTCGGCCGTAAATCGCAGGCGGAGAACACGCGATCACACAAGCGTCGCAGGACAACGGCGAACACTGGCAAAAAGGGTCGGAAGGCAGTACGCGTGCCTTCTTCGACGCTCCCCCTTCATGATTTGCCTCTCGATCTACTGTTCGAGGTGCGTGGTCTAACCCCTCGTCGACCTACTCATGCTGATCGCCACTCCTTGCAGGTTGTTGGCTACTTGGATCCCACATCTCTTCTTCACTTGTCCCGTGTCTCGCGAGCTCTACACAACACGCTCATGAGCCGGTCCTCGCAATGGCTATGGAGGAATAGCTACGCCAACTCCAAGCACGAGCTCCCGCCAGCGCCGGACGACCTCACCATTCCGAAGTTCGTGGGCTTCGTCATCGACGAAGTCTGTGATGTTAGTCCACTTCCTTTACTGGTCTCATACTTGAGCTGACGGCGACCACCTTTCTCAGTTCTGCCGCACGCTCATGCCGAAGAAAGCGAAGGTCTCAAGGATATGGCAGGCGCGCATGCGGTGTTGCAGCGAGTGCCTCGAAGATAGGTGCGATTTGTTGAGATTGAACCCACTCACGCCCCTCACGCCCTTCAAGGGAGCACTTCGTGAATATCAACAATTTTGGCAAGATCAAATTTATTCAGGACGTCCTTCGGTGGTTGGGCAAGGACTTTTCCCTCGGCACCCTGCTACCGGGGTCGGATACGTCGGGTGCGAAACGTTTTACGAATGCGACGCTCATATACTTACCTTATCGCAGGCAGCAACTATCCCACGAGGCATGACGTGCCGTTGGTCGTGCTCGAGCGGCTCGCTAGTGACTTCGCACGCGACAACAAGCGCAAGTCTGTGGAACAGAAGAAGAGATGGCTTATGGACAGAGTGAGTGCGCTGGACAAGGTGAAGCAGGTACGCGAGACATTCTATTCGTGCGTCGTTGGTCTGATGATATGTGCGTACCGACAATCAGCACGCCGACATCTGCCGGACATGGGAGGGGGACGTGTGGTACAAGCAGCTAGAGGAAACGATGGAGCTGAGGCAGAAGAGATTGAATGCGTAAGTGTTCGTACTGGCGCTCAATCATTGTGAGGAGCTGACGCTTTCAACGGGTCCTAGCATCCTCGACAAGATGACCATCTTAGGGTACGAGGAAGAGGCGGAGAACATTTGTAACCGGAGCGCGTTCTACGAGCATCCGCTCGTCAAGAAGGTGCAACCACTCACGAGTAGAGGTACGTCCTGCTCAAGCATCTTGTTGAGCATCGCTGCTAGTGAAGTTCTTCTGGCTCACTCGCGACCTGAAGAATGGTTTCGCATACGCGACCCGCTGCTTCGCTTAGCGAAGGAGCTCAGTGCGAAGGTCGCTGAAGAAGTCAAGCGCAGGGCGTACGGTGATCGCTATCGCGACGTGTGGCACGTGTATGAGGAGTATCTGGATGGAAAATCGCGTCAGACCCATCCGAGCATCGGCGATCTGGTGAACTTCAAGGAGATCAACAACCTCATCTACAAGACGCCCATGGATAAGGACCTTTCTCCGCTTGAAAAGGAGGACATATGCGCGGTTATCGATGAGGTCGCTCGGATGCGGTTCTCCGAGTGGCGGACGCGGTGCGAGACCGCGCTGGTCGCCCTACTCGCCGACAAGTTTAAGAATTGGGACCGGAAGGCGACCGCTGCCGATCTTCATCTCGCGGTCTCGGTATTCTCAAGCGAGGACGACAAGTGGCACTGGTGGTACCCGGAGGTGCTCACCATTGACGGTCGGCCGCTTGATATGCACATGTGGGCGTTGACGGAGGAAGAGGAGGAAGACCTGACGCCTCAACGGAGGCAGATGGACGCATTCTCGGCGGACGTCTTTCACGTGAACGCGGATCGCGTGCGAAGCGCGGCACGGCTGGTGAAGCTAGCTGGGCTGCATCCGAGCACGGCGACTGTCGACGACATGGACGCGCGCGACCCATGGTTCGCGGGTGCGTACAAGAAGCGTGATCGGAACACGTACGGTCTACACGTGATGACATGGAGGAAAGCGGTTTGTGCTCACCAGATATCCATTCGAAACACGTTACTAACGCGTTCTATGGCAGGCGCAAGAGCTTTGGGGGTCTGAGGACATCGTGTTGGTTTCATCTGAGGATACTGACCTGGCACGCACAATGCGTGACGAATGGCGAGCACAGAGTAGTAGGCCTTTCAGAGGAGGTTTGCGTCTGCCAGCGCTAGAGAAGAAGAAGACACGAGGGCATTGAGAGGATGGGGTTGTTGACATCTTGCTTCACGCATATTGTGCTGGTGTAGTTTGTATGTCACAATGTCAGTGTCGAACGAGGGCGTAGCTCCAGATGAGGAGGCTAAATAACATCAAGAGTCATTGAAGCGACTACGCGGCAGACCCAGGTGCACATGAACTGGCGTGCGGTAAATTCAACATCCCTTGTGTACAGTCAGGTGACTGCCACGAGGTCAAAAGCACGTTGTCAGTCCCAAACAATGCGCAGCTGACTTTGTCCTACCACCACGACCTCCATTTCGACTACGCAGCATGGCACGCACAACGAGAGGTTCTGCCTCATCGAAGCGTCCCCAGTCTGCTCGTAGAGAGAATACGCGTGATGAGCGACCTGGGTTCACGACGGCAAGCGATTCACGGCCGCGCAAGCGCGTCAAGAAGGAGGCTGCTTCGGATGAGGCGGAAGTCGACACGGAGGTCAAGCAGGATGATGCAGCCTTAAGCTCTCGCTTTACTGACCTGCCCCTCGAATTGGTTCTTGAGGTGTGTTGCCACTGTATCATCCCGTCATTCTCAGCTGACCGAGTCGCGCCACTCGCAGGTACTCAGCCATCTTGACGCACGCTCTCTCCTTCAGCTGGCGAGGACCACGAAGCTCCTGAGGAGTCTCCTTCTGAGTCGATCCTCGATCAAGATATGGAAGAGGGGCTACAATTACACGAAGCCTGCTATGCCGCCACCGCCTAGCGACATGTCGATCCCCCGCTTGTTAGCGTTCCTCGAAGACGAGATCTGCGATGTGAGCTCCGCATCTCTCGTGCTTGTCGCCTGAGTTGATCATAGTTACCCTTGCAGTTCTGCGACGAATCACCTGACGACGGTGTTCTAACAGTGTGGAGCTCCTGGCAGCGCTTTTGCGAGGGGTGCGCGGACAGCATGTGCGTTGGACAGATGTCCCGCTGCAGCCAAATCCTCACGCATTCAAAGATTCTGCCTCATACCAGACGAGTATATCCGCGACTTTCACGTCGTCAAGAAGATTATCCGCCTGTGTGGCCATTCGTACCAACCCGTCGACCTGCTCCCTTCCGTCGTTCTGCAGGGTAAGGACCCGGCTATTATGCCTCTGGTGCCATGACTCGTGCTTACTCTGATCTAGTTTACCATGGGTTCTATGGTCGTGAGGTTGTGCGTTACTCGCGAGCGGCGTACGACAAATTGGCGAAACAATTTGAGCACGCCACCGCGGGGAAGCCAAAGGAATACAAGAAAGAGTGGGTCGCGGGCTGGGTGGAGAACCTTAGAAAGTCCTTGAGGGTGCGCTCAACTTATGGCGCGATCGGCAGTATCTCACGATATCTCAGCACGTCGAGGCTTGGGAGAGTTGGGACTATGAGAGAGAAGAGAGGAAGGAGGCGGAAAGGCGCATAACCCACCGTCAGAGAATCGATGAGTCAGCCACTCTCTCGTTCTCCTCTTTGGAAAGGGACTGACGCAGATGTCAGGATCTTGCAGCGACTTGGCGAATTGGGCTGGGCTGATGAAATACAGAAGCCAGCTGTCTCCAGCCAACTCCGCAGCCATGAGCTCGTCGACAAGACAAAGCGGCTTACTGACGAAGGTTAGGGCACTAGTTATATCAGTATTGACCATCGCTGACGGTCCCTCCCTCAGAGTGGGCTTCGATTCGTGGGCCCCTCCTCAAGCTCCTGCAGGAGCTGCGCGACAAGCGCCTGGAGCAGGAGCGGCAAGTCTTATTGCGGGAAAGGTACCGGACGTTGAAAGAAGTGCACAAGGACCGCATCCACAACAAGACTCAACAAGAGCGCTGCTTCATGCCCGGCGCGGGCGAGCTCGCAGGCCTCAAGGAGGTCACCGACGCAATCGAGCGCACACCAGTCGACCGGACGCTCACCAAGGACGATCTACAATCCATCATCGACGCCATCCCTCAAGCGCGATGGGATGAGTGGAACGCCGCGCGCGCGGCAGCCCTGGTAAACATGCTCAACCGCGCAGACGCGCCGCCAAGGCATGGGCAGCCCGCGACCACGGAAGACCTCCAGCTCGCGACGACAGTGTTCACCTACAGCTACGAGACCCACCTCACCTATCCTGAGGTTCTGGGCCATCGCGATGGCCGCTGCAGTACCGCGGGAACACCGAAATCGTCAATCAAAAAGAAGTGGTCAGTCAAGGATTACAAGATCCAGCTGAGCCGCCAGCGCATCGCGGCGAGGGTTGTCAGGCTGGCCGGACTCGATCCCAAGACGGCAACGGCTGCGGAGATGGATGCGCGCAATGTGTGGTTCGCGACGACGGGAAACGTGCGCGCGAGCAACCACGATTTGTGCGCCATGACGTGGAGAGGCGCGGTAAGCCCTCGATTGCCTGAATTCCCTGATATGCGTTGAGACTGACCGATCCAAAGATTATGGAATGCTATCCGGAGGACCAAATTGTGACTCTGCCTGCTAAGCGTGTCGCTCAAGCGCAGGAACTGCTTGCCCAGAAGAAGTGCGGAGACGGCGACCCGGCCTTGTACGTTGACATTCCCCGTGGGAGGAAGACGTCGAAGAAGTGAGGTAGACGCTGAAAGGAAGCGCTGGAGAAGAGTACACCTAGTTTTGGATGAATTCTCGCAAGAGCGATTGAGTTTCAGCTCGTACTAGAATGCCACGCGCGGGCTTGGAGAAATCTGAGAGGCTTTTAAAGACGGTCCCCCATCTGACTATCTCTAAGTCCTTGCTTGATTCTCTCTCATGGGACCCCGGAAGAGGTACAGAGCGCGTGCGAAGTCAGGGCTCCTACTCCGGGCTGTAATGTAGATGCGGCGCCTATTTGACTTTGCTTGGACTTGTGGGCGCTGCGATCAAAACCCGTTGATGCGGACGCAATTCCCCCCTCTCCTGCACGTTGACCACCTTCCCCTCCTCTGCATACGTCTCCTCCTGCTCGAAAAGAGAACTCGAATCTCCTCATTCTGCTAAAGGCCAAGATGCACGCAGCACTACCTGATGGGGAGCGCTGCAATGAATGGACTGGCGACAAGGAAAACGGCGAGGGAATCGGCATTCTGAGTGAAGATGGATAGCCAGAGGAAACGCCGTGTCGAAGGCGGCGAGAAAACGTGCGTTGCAGTCGAATAGCGTCATACAGCTTGCTAATCCAGTGCCAGGCGTCCGTGCATCTCGACGCCCCGAAGCCTCGATCGCGATCCGTCCCCGGACATCCAGTCGTCAGCTCCCTGCCTTCCTGCGCAAGCTCGGCAGCTGCACTCTGCTCAACGCGAACACACCGCATCTGCCACACCGAGCCGCATCTGCTTCTGCCTCACAGAACGGCATCCGCTTTTCGACCGTACGCGCGACGCGCCCCCGTCATCACCCACCAGCAGTCAAGCCCCATAGACGATCGCAAGGGGATGGAGGACGACGCACAGACTTGAGTGGGACCACGAGGGGCGCGAGGAGAACTACTCTGCACGCGAGGAAGGACTCCATGGGACGCGGGAGGTGGGCGGTGGGGAGGAGGCGGATGGTCGGGACCGCAGCTCTAGATGCGACCTGCTCAGACCGGACCTGCTGGACGTCGACCCTGCCCTCGCCTCGACGGCAGACCTGTCCTTGCTCTCCAAAAGTCTCTCCCACTCTCGACGCGCCTCCGAGCGAGCTCTCGACGCACCTGCGAACAATGTCCTAACGCGCTGCTTACCGAAGCTTGCCGCGCCTTTGACCGAACGCGCGACGCATAGTCCTCGAGAGTGCGCGACGAAGTGCTGGAGGACGTGAAGTCTGTAGAGCGATCACCAGTTCATGCTCAGATACGTCTGTAGTCGGGCGTTTCGCATGACGCGACGCGCTCCCAAGCCCTCGAAGTCGTGCTCGACGCGCTCGTCGTCTTGCCCTTGAGGGTCGCCACCTAGCCCTCGACGATAGTCCCCTCGCGCTCGACGAGTGACCTCTCGCCCTCAAGGGTTGTCGTCTCGCGCCTCACGGTCGCCGCCTCGCGCTCGACGGCCTCCTTCCCTCGTTCTCTGGTCGTATGTGTGAACCCCGCGCATGCTCGATCGGCGTCGCGAATCCTGCGCATCGGACTTTTTCATTCTCGATGAGCGGAAGACTTCACCGGGAGCAAGGCCCTCTCCTCCGTGATCGAGAGAGCAATCAACCACATCGATACTCTGATAGCGCTCGACGCCAAAGCCAGCAATCCTCCTCCAAAACATCGGTCGTTCGCTTGTTTCCCCATCATACTCGTGCCGAGGCCTCAGAATACTCGAACGACCCTGCGCCGACCATGTTTGCACGATCTGCCCGACCGAAGGGCTCTACCGTCGCTCGCATATGCTTTTCGCTCGTACACATCATGTCGGTGCAAAGTCCTCACTTCTTCGGCTTGTTGCCGAGTTCTGTGACATGGCGCGCGTGTAATTTCGGTCCCTGATAATTCTCTTTCACCGCGGCCCCTCGACCATTCTGATAAAGTGAAGCGCTCCAGATCGTCCTTGGTACCCAGAACCTGTCTTTGGTCGAATCTTCATTCATTGTCCTCGTATCGGCTTCGTGTGCGTCTCAAATATGACAATACTGATTCAAATCAAGAACAATAGACTGACTGGACCCCTCCTCGTACACGTGGTGCTGTTCCCGCCATAATTGTGTCGAGTGCGCTTGGACCATCAACGCATGAACTTGACCTTCAACCACAACCATCGCACAAAACAGCCCGCCATGAGACAGTTCCCTCGTCCCGACGCTTCTCCTACAGGGACCACCTCATCACTCCCGGAGAGTGTGGAGAGTGTAACTTACACTGACAAAGACAACGTGCCACACGATAACGAGTTGACCGCAATCCAGCTGCCGTCACAAAAGCGCCAGAAGACCAAGGACGGAGGTGGCAAGGTGTCCTCGGTATCGAACCTGCACGCGCCTGTCAGCGCTCTACTAGACCTACCTCTCGACGTGCTCCTAGAGGTACGTCGCGCCTCGTCGTCTCGGACGACCTCATCTCCCAATTCGAGCTCACGCTTATTGTTGCAGATCCTCACCCACGTCGACCCCATGTCCCTCCGCCACGTATCCCGCACGTCACATGCCCTGCGAGACACGCTCACGGGCCCTCAATCCAACTGGATCTGGCGGGCGAGCTACGCAAACACGGACCACGGACTACCGCCGGCGCCGGACGATGTATCCGTGCCACAATTCCTCAGTCTCCTCGTCGACGAGGTCTGTGATGTATGTCGGTCTTTAGTGCCGCGCACGTCTACCAGCTGACGCTCACCCTCTAGGTTTGTCACGCATCCCCGGATCCGAAGGACCCATTCGACCGAATCGAAAGAATATGGGCAGCGCGTACCAAATACTGCCGCAACTGCTGGTACTACAGGTAAATAACTACACTGCGAATCTGTCCCCACTAACCCCGCCTGCGACAGTGATGAGCTGGTTCGCGAGGAGAATATGACCTGTTTTCCGATGGTTCGTGAGATGCAGGGCTATGTTGGCCCTCAGTACCCCCTGTACAAGATATTCCCAGCCTCAGAGCGTCAGTACTAGATCGTGCCTCATTGCCCCTTGCTGACGACTATATAGCATATTGTGATCGGTGCACGTATCGGCGGTATCCGCGTGTTCTTGCTCAGCGCGTTGCCAACGAGTTCTCGTACGATACAGAAGGAAAGTCCAAGGAAGATAAGAAGGCATGGATAGTACGACAAGCCGAGAAATATGAGAACGTGATAAAGGTACGCACGAAGTGTCCCTCTTCGTGTCTTTTTTCTCGCAATCTTTGACAGACTCACCGTCACTAGCATGCTGAACTATGTCACAAATGGGAAAAGCAGGAGATGCGGAACAGGCAGGAGAGAAAGGAAGAAGTGCGAAAAGGAAGGCTTGAGGCGTATGTCTCTGAGGCTCTCACTTACAAGTCTTTCAGTTGACGCTAATTTATCCCTTTTCAGGATTAAGCAGAGGCTATGGGACCTCGAGATCGACGTCGATGATGCTCAGGTCTTCAAGGAGGAATTCAAAGGGCTCCTCACTACAGCACCATTGACGCAGTACGACGAGGAGAGGACACCCAAGTACTTCCCAAGGCCAGTTCATAGCACGCCTATCGCGATTTACAACCTTGTGGGGGAAGCGCGGTCGCTCACAGAGGAAGGTGAGCCATGATATTTGGTCAGCGCGCTGCATTCACGTAGCTCACTGTCCATCTTAGACTGGTCGACCATCCAGGACTGGCTTCTCCAAGCCGCCAAAGCGGAGAAGAGACGCCAGATCCTTGAAGGGCGATACTCTGCGTTCAAGCGAGCCTATCGCCAGTTCCTGGATCTCAAGTCGTACCGTAAGAAGTGCCTGTATCCCAGCATATGCACTCTGGCCAATTGGGATGATGTCGTCGACTTGATCGAGGGCACGCCGCTCGAGCAGGATCTTTCTTCGGAAGACATGCGCGCGTTCATCAACAAGCTCGCGGAGGGGCGCTTTTCCAGATGGCGAGCGGCATTCGAGGCAGAGCTGGTCGCGAAGCTCAATGCCGCGGACACGGAGCGGGAACACCCAGCCACCAGGGCGGACCTCAAGCTTGCGACGTCAGTATTCTCTCACAAATCAGGCTCGGAATCCTATGGTCTTTTGTGGTACCCGGATTTGCTGGGTTGGTACCCGCGACCTTGGGGCCTCCCTCATCCGGTGGACTCGTACTATGCCGTGCGAAAGTGCCCGCCGTGGTCGGCTCATGAGGTCCAGGTCGAGGGCTGGCGGAGGAGCTTGGCCGCCCGTATGGTGTCGATGGCGAGGCTGGATCCAGCGACGGCGACATTCACGAAAATGAATTATCAACTTGTCTGGTTTGCGCGGACGGACGAGGTGGCGATGCTTCATCACGGGAAGAGGGCGTTCTTGCAGCCTTGGCATCGTGCGGTACGCCTGTTCAATCAGCTCGTGCGTGCACATGCTATTGGAGCTAACCAGGAGACCGGTCTTACAGATGATTGGAGCAAGGGAGGGCGATGAGTATGTTATATTTTTCGGTCACGACGAAGTGGATCGAGCCCGCGCTTGGCTAGCAAATCCATCCGCGCTTGTATACTAGAGCTGACGACGACCCGGCCGAAAATGAGATGAAAACTGCATAGACGTGTCAATGGGTCCTGTATCACACCCATCATCCGACTCACCATCTCATCAGCCTTCGTGCACGCATCCCCACCTCATAATTGTCCCTCAGGTACCTAGAATATGTTCTGTCGTATATACAATTGCAGTCCAAATGAGGGAGGTTCACATATCAATCACCGAACGAGCCAAGACTCACCTCAGCATCGTCCGGATTATTGAACCTTCCCCGCTGCCTTGCAACTGATTCGCCCATTTCTGCTGACGTCCGCGGACCCAGCCTTACATACCAGCCTGTTAATATGTTCTGCTACCACTGGCTCCAACCTCGCAGGCTTGACCACGAACTCCCTATGCGTGACGCGAGCACTTTTGCGAGGGTCATGGCGCGCTCTGGTGGAGACGGGAACGCCCACTCGTTGCACGGGAACACCCACTCGGTGCATGCTATATCTGCCGCGGTAGTCTGCCTTTTGGTGCTCGCCCTGTACCGCGGAGAACTGAAGTCGTTTCGAACCCCAAGGCCATCAGCGACGAACGAGAACAGCGTCGACGCAGGGTCTCCCGCACCTCGTTCTTCCCACCTTCGCAAGCGAAAAACGCTCCTCTCCTCGCCTTCTCGAATGCGGAGAACGCTCTGCTATCGCCCAGAGCTCCGCTATTTGCCTGCGAGACCAAAATTGGTTTTTCCATGCTGAGTGCCATCTAAGGAAGCCAACTCGGTTGTCAGTGCGATTGCGCTGACTCCCGAAGGATTGTAGATCAAGTGGAATTGAGCAGAGTACGATACAAGGGTTGCAGGCAGGATACAGGGAGAGAAAAGCAAGAACAAACAGACACTGGAGAAAAAGGATACAGGGATCGATGTGCGCCGTACCATCGCCAATGCGCCGCCGCTTGCCAGAAGCATCCGCCACGCGTCAGATGTTACCAGTCGCTGAAGGAGGACGACGCGCGAGGAGACAAGGCACCGGAGGGGATGTGTTCACCTCCTCGACGACCCTTCTCCTTCACCGGCGAGACCCGTTTGCGCCAAAAGACAGCCGCACCTAAGCCATGGTCAGTCCACGCTTCACATGAGAGGAGCATAAAAGTCAGAGTACGCACGGGCAAGCCTGCGGACGCGCTGGAAGCAGCGCCGGAGGCAGCTGGGTTTTCTTGGGGTGATGCGCACGCCCTGGGCCTCGAGCGCGGCGATGAACTGCGCGTTCTTCTGCTCGACTTCGACAACCTGCTGGTTCCAGCGGTCGCGGCAGTCCGTGGCAATTCTGGATCGCAACTCGTCAAAGGAGGTCGTCGCCAGAAGACTAAGATGGCTGTACCTTTTCATCTCGTCGAGCTCCCTCAAGAATCCGACCGGGTCGGGCGGACTCTCAAACGACGACAGATCGTAGCTGTAGCGCACCATGACGCGCTGCGCCGCGTTCCGGGAGGGGAACGCGAGGACCGGGGCCTCCGGCGTGCGAGACGACGGCGCATGGTAGTCCTCCTCGTCCGCTTCGGACGCAGCGTCTTCATCACGCTCCTCCCCCTCATACACCTTGCTATCCAGCATGAAGCGCCGCCAGCGCTCCGCGTCCTTGTAATCCTTGTCCGCGCCCTCAATCGCCCTCACCACGCGCGGCTCGTCCGGCGGGAACACCACCTCGCGCCCCTTCTCCCGGTCGTGCAGGCGGTTCCAGAGGTAGATGTCGTCCATCCCCAGATACGCCTCCAGCAGCGCCTCCTCGTTCGCCCCCACCAACATAGACTCGGGCTCTTCGTTCGAGATGCGCGGTTTGCAGTAGGCGGAGCGAATGCTGAGCGGCGATGTGTGGCAGCAATCGTCCCAGGGGAGGGAGGGGTAGGCGTGGACGGGGCGCCGGCCGAGCTCGCTGGAGGTGTTGGGGAGGATGGGCATGGCGGCGGCTTGGTTGTAGAGCGCGGAGGGGTTGGTGGGGGGTCGGCCCTGCGCGACGAGGACGAGGGAGCAGGGTACATAGCCGGCGACGCGGTCGACGTAGTCATCTTCCGACCAGGGCTATCATTAGCGGGTGAGTGAGGTTGAACAACATACGAGGAAGGGGGATACGCACCTCGGTCAAGTACGCGATGTACTTGCCACACTGCATGTTGCACGACTCTTCGAAGGAGATAGGATCATCGAGCCATGCGAGGCTCGCCACAGGGTCCAGCGAGACGACGACGTAGGAGCCGCCTATAGGATGATTTCGTAGCACCATTGGTGGGCGCAGGGCGCTTTAGCAGATGTGGGGAACAGCGGTTGTGGAAGTGGTCAAAGGGAAGTTCGAAGAGCGCCGATGCTAACACGCGCCGAACAAAGCAATGCCTGCACGCGCTCACGTGCTGAGCTATGACGCGCCTCGTGTGTCTGCGCCTTGTCTGAGCTGTGGCCATGCCTTGAAAACAAGAGATACACACCTACCGATCTGCCTCGTGTTCAGCATCGCCACACTTCTCAAGTGCTCCCCGCCACATTTCTCAGGTTCCCTTTGCCACGCCTCTCAGGTCCTCTTCGCCACACTTCCCATATCAGCCTCCTCCCATGCGCGCAGGACCAAGAGGTTATGGTCCCATTGCCGCAGGCTGCGCAGCCGCTGTCGACGCAAATCGGCGCCGAAGGGCGCCTCGCCACCGAGCAGCGGCAGGACACGACCCGGACCTGATGAAGCTCGACCTGATCTTGATGAAGTTCGACATGACCTTGACGATGCTCGACCATATCCCGATCAAGTTCGAGTAGTCCTTAATGAAGCTCAGCTGAACCTTCGCGCACTTCAACCGGACCTTGACGAAGTTCGACAGCACCTGACAGTTGATGAGGTTCGGGCATTGAAGGCGGGCGTCCCCTGGTTGTTGACGTTGTCGGGGCGCGCTGAGTCCATATGAGTTTTGATAAGGCGCGTCGATACCCTGTTAGCTTGAGCGGGTTGCAGGGAGGCTGGGAGAGGCGGAGGGAGTAAGAGCGATGGTGTGGGATGCGGGCATGCTTGGCGGATACGTTGACAACGTGAAGAGCGGGGAGAAGCTCGCCAGAAGCGGAAGGGGAGAGAGCGGTAATGTGAGGTGGCGCTTGGCGGTGTAAGGGGAGCTGGTCTGCGGCGGTGATCGAGGATGAACAGGGTTTGCGACGCTAATCGAGAACGAGCAAAGTTCGCGACGCCGATCGAGCATGCGCGGGGTACACGCATACGACCAGAGCACAAGGGGCTCGCGCATACGACCAGAGAACAAGAGACTGTGGCCGACGAGTTCATCGTCGAGCGCGTGGCGGCGCCCGTGGAGCGCGAGACGACATTTCTTGAGGGCGAGCGATTGCTCGCCGAGCGCGTGATGACGACTGTCAAGCGCGACGACGAACGCATCCAGTACAACTTCGACGTATGCCGCGTCGCACGGGGTCCGATTTTTGGACGTATCTGCGCATGGGCTGGTAGTCGCTCGTCCGACCGCACGTCCTCTTCGCTGCGTCGCGCATCCTCGAGGACTGCACGTCGCGCGTTCGGTCAAATGCACGGCAAGTTTCGGCAGGTAGCGCGTCGAGATCTGTTTGGGGGCGCGTCGAGTGTTGTCTCGCAGGCGCGTCAAGACTAGACAAGGCTTTGGAGAGCCGGGACAGGTCTGCTGTCGAGGCGCGAGCAAATTTGGTGTCCAGCAGCTCTCTTTGAACGCGTCGCATCCTCCATGATAGCACCGCGGTCCCGGCGATCCCCAGCCTCCCTCCGACCACCTCCCGCGACCCGAACAGTCCCCCTGGCGTCCCGCGTAGTCCCCTTCTCACGTCCCACATAGTCCTCACGCGTACAGAGTGTTTCGTGCCTCGTCCTCTATCTCCTTGCGATCGTGTATGGGGCTTGACTGGGTACGCGCTGCTGGGGAGGAATAACGGGGCGCGTCGCGCGTATGATCGAGGACCGGGTGCCGCTCGGTGAGGCAAATGCGGTATAGGCGCGTTGTACGGGGCGCGGCGAGCACCCTGCGAGAAGTGCTGCAGTCAAGCTCGCGCTCGACGACGAGGAGTGGACAGCTGGGTGACCGGCTCTCAGCGAGACCGATCGCGACCGAGCTTTCGGAATGCATGAACGCCTAGCTCAGTATAAGCAAGCCATTTAGTGCTATCCATCTGCAACACACCTGTTCTCGCCGCATTCAGCCAGACAGTTCCCTCTGGCTGACTATCTCCACTTAGAGTGCTGATTCACATGTCGTTCGCTCTTGTCGCCACTCTTCCCATCGCTTTACGTCACGTATCTCTGCGCCGTCTGCACCGTCAGCGACAGTTATGTATTCAGCTTCTCTTGACGAGCAGGAGGAGACGTAGATAGGCGAGGGACGGGGAGGTGGTGACTGCTCAGGAGAAGGGAATACTTCCGCATCAGCGGGTTCTGATCACAGCGCCCATAAGTCCAAGCAAAGTCAAACAGGCGCCGCATCCATCACCTGTAATCGAAATCCTGTAGCCGCGCGCGGTCCGTACCTGTCCCAGCAACTCATGGGAGAGAGTAGAGTAAGGGTCACTTGACATAGCTGAACAAAGGGGGGGAGAAAAGCGAAAGGAACAAGGCTGTCCGACGGATTGTCGGATGAATTCCGAGTCCTTCACCGTGATCTGACGAGTACGATCCGCATTTCATTGCTTGAATGAGAGCTACGTCGCCGTAAGCAATCTATACATAGACTACGAACGACGATAAACCTAATCCCTCTTTCGAAAATCTCATCAAGAAACACAAAGCAGACTGGGCGACTCGGACGTCTGCTCCAGCATTTCCTGCCAGCGTCTACCTCACTTCTTCGACGTCTTCCTCCCACGGGGAATGTCAACGTACAAGGCTGGGTTGCCGTCTCCGCACTTCTTTTTGGCGCGCAGCTCCTGAGCTTGGGAGACGCGCTTTGCAGGCAGAGTCACGATTTTGTCCTCCGGACGACATTTCATGATCTTCAGATAGGTCAGTCTCAGCACACATCAGGCGACCCAGGCAATCGAGGGCTTACCGCGTATCTCCAAGTCATCGCGCACAGGTCGTGGTTGCTCGCCCGAACGTTCTCCGTCGTCGCGAACCACACATCGCGCGCATCCACGTCCGCAGCCGTCGCCGTCTTGGGGTCGAGGCCGGCCAGCGTAACGACCTTCGCCGCGATGCGCTGGCGGTCGATCAAGACCTTGTAATCCTTGGCTGCCCACTCCTTCTCGATTGACACTTGTGATGTCTGTGATGTGCCCCAGTGGCCATCGCGGTGACCCAGAACTTCAGGATAGGTGAGATGGGTACCGTAGCCGTACGTGAATACGGTCGTCGCGAGCTGGAGGTCCCTCGCGGTTGCGGGCTGCCCATGCATTGGCGGCGCTTCAGCGTGTTTGAGCATGTCCACTAGGGCTGCTGAGCGCTCGGCATTCCACGCATCCCATCGCGCTTTAGGGACGGCTCTGATGATCGATTGCAAATTGGCCTTGGTGAGCTCCTGGTCGACTGGTGTGCGCTCGATTGCGTCGGTGACCTCCTTGAGGCCTGCGAGCTCACCGGCGCCAGGCATGAGGCAGCGCTCTTGCAGAGTCTTGTTGTGAACGTGGTCCTCGTGCACTTCTTTCAACGTCCGGTACCTTTCTCGCAGTACGACTTGCCGCTCCTGCTCCAGGCGCTTGTCGCGCAGCTCCTGCAGGAGCTTGAGGAGGGGCCCACGAATCGAAGCCCACTCTGAGGGAGGGACCGTCAGCGATGGTGAATCCTGATATGACTAGTGCCCTAACCTTCGTCAGTAAGCCGCTTCGTCTTGTCGACGAGCTCATGGCTGCGGAGTTGGTTGGAGACAGCTGGCTTCTGTATTTCATCAGCCCAGCCCAAGTCGCCAAGTCGCCGGAAGATCCTGACATCTGCGTCAGTCCCTTAACAAAGAGGAGAACGAGAGAGTGGCTGACTCATCGATTCTCTGACGGTGGGTTATGCGCCTTTCCGCCTCCTTCCTCTCTTCTCTCTCATAGTCCCAACTCTCCCAAGCCTCGACGTGCTGAGATATCGTGAGATACTGCCGATCGCGCCATAAGATGAGCGCACCCTCAAGGACTTTCTAAGGTTCTCCACCCAGCCCGCGACCCACTCTTTCTTGTATTCCTTTGGCTTCCCCGCGGTGGCGTGCTCAAATTGTTTCGCCAATTTGTCGTACGCCGCTCGGGAGTATCGCACAACCTCACGACCATAGAACCCATGGTAAACTAGATCAAAATAAGCACGAGTCATGGCACCAGAGGCATGACAACCGGGTCCTTACCCTGCAGAACGACGGAAGGGAGCAGGTCGACGGGTTGGTACGAATAGCCGCACAGGCGGATAATCTTCTTGACGACGTGAAAGTCGCGGATATACTCGTCTGGTATGAGGCAGAATCTTTGATTGCGTGAGGATTTAGCTGCAGCGCTACATCTGTCCAACGCACATGCTGTCCGCGCACCCCTCGCAAAAGCGCTGCCGGGAGCTCCACACCGTTAGAACACCGTCGTCAGGTGATTCGTCGCAGAACTGCAAGGGTAACTATGATCGACTCAGGCGACAAGCACGAGAGATGCGGGGCTCACATCGCAGATCTCGTCTTCGAGGAACGCTACAAAGCGGGGGATCGACATGTCGCTAGGCGGTGGCGGCATAGCAGGCTTCGTGTATTTGTAGCCCCTCTTCCATATCTTGATCGAGGATCGACTCAGAAGGAGACTCCTCAGGAGCTTCGTGGTCCTCGCCAGCTGAAGGAGAGAGGGTGCGTCAAGATGGCTGAGTACCTGCGAGTGGCGCGACTCGGTCAGCTGAGAATGACGGGATGATACAGTGGCAACACACCTCAAGAAGCAGCTCGAGGGGCAGGTCAGTGAAGGGCGAGCTCAAAACTCCCTCATCCTGCTTGGCCTCTGTGTCGGCTTGCGCCTTGTCCGAAGCAGCTCCTTTCTTCACACGCTTCCGCGGCGGTGAATCGCTTGCCGCCGTCGACTTCGACTTGAGTCGCTCATCACGTGCCTTCTCTTTACGAGCATCCCGAAGGCGCCTCGAGGATCTGAATTCTTGCGATGTATGTGCCATGTAGCGCAGTCAAAGTGGAGGTTGTGATGGTAGGATCTAAGTCCGCTGCGCCTTATTTACGACTGACAACGTGCTCGCACCTCGTGGCAGTCACATGATAGTACACGGGTCGTTGGATTTGCCAGGAGCCACGTGTGACCGTTCAAGCGTCTTCAAGTTCTCTATCGATGACGAACTGCAAACATCACGGCGCGACATGTCGAAAAGAACCCTTCGATTTGAAGACATTGCAGGAACCCTCCCCGACACCGATGAAGCGCCAATTACGATGCTTAAGTGGTCGGGCTGACGAAGTATATTCGAGCGCGCGCAGGAGACGGCAACGAGCCTAGAGTAGTAGTAGAAGCCATCAGGACAGCCAGGCCTTATGGCTAGCTAGGAGGTTTGGAACCATCTTCAGCTGCACACAAGTACGGACGGCGTGCCAATTCAGCACCTCTTTCAGTGAAAACAACATAGACATCGGGATTTTCCACTGTGCAGTACGTCTGAACGCGTTAGTATCAACGAAAGTCTTCCGAAAACTGCGATGAAACCTGGAAACATACCACTATGTTGAAACGATGCAGGTAACGCGTGTTGTACTCCAAATATGTTGAGGACTACTCGTACTATCGGCCGCCGGCTTGAGATCGGCAGCAGTGACGAGTTTGTGCAGACAGTCGCTCTTCGTCGACTTGGATGCAATGAGTTGACAGGAGTCATACTCGAAAGCTTGATCGATCTACCTTCGCTGCGAAACACGTAGACATGCATAAGTCATTGCGCTCGCCTTGATGTATTCTCAAGCAGATATCGTAAGTACGCTCCCTCGGCCAATCTACAGCATGGCAGGAAGAAGAAGTCCGGGTTCCCAGATGCCGAGACCGGGATTGCCATTGCTGCTCTCGGGAACTCATTCCCTTTTAAGGGCTCAACCTATTGAAGCGGAAATGAAATCCTTCGTGGCCTTCAAGTTCCAAGAGACGCGCCAACTGCTGCCGGATATGCCCCTCCTTCACTTCCTCGTCAGAAAGGAGGAACAACCCACCGTCGTCCTCCTCCGAAGGCGACGGCGACAGCGATCGAACCTGTACAAGAAATCTACTTGTCAGCATCACAAGTCGAACATTCGCCGAACGCAACTTACCGCATCCCTCCATCGCATCATCTGCCGCTCAAGGTCGCCGCCCACCACGTCCTCCGTCTGAGAGAACCACACATCGAGTCTATCCATGTCCTCCACCGTCGCGGTCGCCGGATCAAGGCCCGCCATCGACACCACTCGCGCTGCCAAGCCCGAGTGGCGCACGTCGACACGAAACTCGTTCGCTGCCCAAGCCCGCTTAACCACGATACGCTGCGCGTCCTCTCGACCAGTACTCGGCCTCGTCGGCGTCCACTCCAGTATCTTGGGGTACCACACGCACGAAGACACCCACGTTAGGCTGAACACCGTCGTCGCGAGCGCGAGGTCTGCAGTGGTCGCTGGGCGCGCGCGACTAGGGTCTGCCGCGTTCAGCATCGCGACGAGCGCGTCCTCGCACGTCGCGCGCCACCCAGAGAAGCGCCCTGCCCGCGCAAGATCGTCGACGAGCGCGCGGAGGTCTTCCTCAGACACGTCTTCCTCGATCGGCGTACCCTCGACCACATTCGTGACCTCCTTCCACGTCGCCAAGTCTCCGAGGCCAGGCAAAATGCAGCCCTTGTTCTCCTCGTCTTCCGCGAACTGCTCGCAAGCCCGCGCAAGCGATGCGTACCGTTCACAAAGGACCTCGCGCCGTCTGACCGCCTTTGCGAGCTCAAGTACCCCCGCCCGAATCTTTATCCAATCTGATGAGATTAGTCGACAGATGGTCAGCGCACGAGAGACACAGCTGCCATGTCCACTCACCAGCCTCACTCAGCGCCTCGGGCTTCCTGACCAAGGCCTGAACCCCAGCAGGTATCTCGAACCTCTCGATATGGTACTCCCGTTGCCGCGTAGGTGTCTCGGCAAGGTTGGTCAATATCTCGGAGACGGACGCAGGCAAGGCGTCAAGCTCCGGTAGCCTGCTCTTGATTCTAGAAGCGAGCAGGGATATCAGCCAGCAGCGCCTCCATCGACCAAGAACCACCTACTGCTGGACCCTCTCCTTCCGCTTCGCCCTCAGCCAGGCCTCCTTCCTCCGCTGTCTGGCCATATCCCACAACACACATGTTTGGGCGTGCTTTCAAAGTCAATTCAGCTATTCAGATCACCCTAAACACGATATACATACCTCCACGACGTCTTCGTGCTCAGCCGCCTTCCTTACAATCCACGCCTTCCTGTCCTCTTCACCCTTACCATAATTGTCGCGCTCGAACTCAGCGATGAGGCGCTCGACTGCCACGCGCGGGTACGGGCGGGAGGGTCCGAAGAGATCGCCTGCGAGAAATCAGTACCGAGTCACCACCGCACGCCGACGCAGAAGGCGGGTACTCAGTACTCACCCACGGACGCCGGGAAAAGATTGGAGAGGGCGTAGTCGTTCCCAAAGTAGCCCTGCACGTCGCGAACCATCTGAAATTCTCGTGGCATGTTCTTCTCCGGGACGATATGAGCGCTGGGGAGTGAGTGATGAGTGGGGACAACTTGATGCGGAACACACAACACGCACCTGTCATCTAAACACCGCTCGCAACACCTGAGGCGCGCGGCCCATATCCGCACGATGCGGTCCTCCCTACCCAAGGCCGCGTGGCAGAACTAGTAAAGCGTCAGCCAGCACGCTCGGCCATCATCAAACGGAAGACCGCTAACGCACATCGCACACATCGTCAAAGAGCAGGCTGAGGAACTCGCGGATGGAGAGATCCCTGGTGGGCGGCGGCAGCGCTTCTTCCAACGCATTATGACGAGCATTCTGGGGGATGATGACATTTGCGCCGGTGAGAATCTTGACGGCGCTGTGGCGCGGGCTCTTCAGCCATATACAGGTCGCCGCGGGGCTTAGCAGAGTGTCACGCAGGGCGTGCGAGGTCTGGGATAGACGGAAGAGGGAGGTGAGGTTGAGGTGGGTGAGGATCTGCGGGAATGAAGGAGTGTGATTAGCATCGTGGTTGGGAGCGCGAGTGAGGTTGGAGGTGGGAGGCAGTACGTCAACGGGCATCGAGCACGGCGATGGCTATCGGACATGGTGTCGAGCATCGACTTACCTCGAACAGCACATCGAGAGGCAGCGTGTACAGAGAGCCAGTCTGACTATGCGCATCGGATGCGGATGCTGAGACTTCGCTCTTGTCCATCGTCTTCCGAACTTCGCGCGGTGGCGACTGAACTGGCGTGAACTCGTGTTCGTGTGGCATAGTGGTCGCTGTGCGGGGAACGGCTGAGACGGCCAAAGCGGTCGATGTAGCTGTGGTACAAGAGGCGGGAAGGGGAGAAGAGCGACCCTTGCAGGTTTTGTAGTCGCGTTCCAAGGTCCAGGAGGTGGTGGTCAATGCGTTGACCTTGAAGTTGAATGTGTCGGTCCGATACCACGTGGGCGCCGCGGTCAAACAAGACTCTTGTTTGTGAAGATGAATGCCCAAAGATGCGTGAGCGGAGCAAACGCAGACGAAAATATGGCCTGTTGACAAGATGGAGTTACCGATAACACCTTCCCCTTGAGGTAGTCGCTGCGGCCTTCGACTAGATGAAGTAGCAGATCAAGCGGAACAAGCTCGAGAGAAAGTAACATACCTGAGAGCCGTCGGCCACCAGGAGAAGAATCACCACTCGCGGGCGCTGGTGCGCTTCGTCGGAATGCTCGCGAACAAGCCAGTAACCTCCGGTCCAGCCTCCGCATAGCAGCTGACGACGCGAACAACACCGAAGGGCACCTCGTCATCGAGCAGCGGCAACGCGAGATATAATGGACGAAGCAGGTCTTCCGCCCGTCATGCACCAATAGCTGGAGACGCGTCGCCTGGGAGTTCGTTGTGAAAGAGAGATGCCACGTCGCTCATAGAGCGAGATGCGGGCGTGTAAAGTCGGCGTCGCCGGCTCGGAATGGCGCGAGGATGTGAAGAGGGTTCGTCCGACGTATTGTCCTGACTTAAACAGCTTTGCCAGCCCAAGCGTGCGCCATGCCGCTCGCGCTTTGAACTCCGTCGGATACGTCCGTGGAGGGCGAACGAGTCGAGGAGTGGCCGCGCGTAAAGTCAAGCCGCCCCCAACCACGCTGCTGGCCTAGTTTCGGTAGACGACACGCGTCAGGGAGTGGGCGGGCCTTCGGAGCGTGAGGTACGGGACTGCCCTTGAGGATAGTGCGCGTGCCTGCGAAGCTCAGGTAGGCCTGTCGCCGGGGGTTGGGCGGGCTCGCGGGCGGCGGACGATGGCGTCGCGTTCACAAGGGAGAGCCAGGATCCGCGGTCCCGGCGATACGATCTTCGTCAGCGTGCTCCCCATTGCTCGTCCGCTTCCTGATCGTTCTCCGCCGTCTCCGCCCTGGTCTAGCGCGCCTTCTTCGGTTGATCGTGATTGGGTCGTGATCGGGTACGGGCGCTCGCGGAGACGATGGAGTGTCGTTGGCGGCCAGGGATAATGGAGCGCTCAGTTCGTACTCTCCGCGGGACAAGTAGGGCGGATGCGTTTAGGTGAGCTGTATGTTGAGGTGCACGGCTCTTGAGCATGCGCCAATGGGCACGAGCGTTGAGGATCGGAAGACGAGGTTTCCGCGAGAAGCGCTACACAATCGAAGGCTCAGCTTGGGGAAACGGTAATAGGTATGCATCTGATTCGATATAAGCGATGTATGCAACGGTATTGGACTGCAGCGCACCTCTCCCGACGAGTCTCGTCATAGCTACATCTCCACCCTTCGTCCTTGTCGCGGTTCCTCTTCTTGCAGCACTCTATCCCATATGTCGGCTAGCATCTTGAGCGTCGTAGGGTAGAATCCGATCGAGCTTCTCTGTCGACGAGGCCGAAGCTGAGGCAAGAGAGGGGGAGGTGATGGACGCGGAAGAGAAGAGGCATCAGCGCATTGCAGGCGTGATCGGACCTGGAGGGACTCGAACAAGCCCATCCCAAACCAGCATCTCCTCCCCCGTCTAAGCTCGTAGTAGTCTCCCTATCGATACGAAGGACTCAAGAATATGCATAGGATCCCCAATGGGCAGAGTATCGTGCAAATATCGCCTGAGGAACACCAAAGCAAGCGCTCGTCTCGATTGGCGTTCCTCGTCACTCCAAGTCTTCGGCCTTGCATGCGCAGCATCTTTGAAATCCCCTCGTGCTTCTGGCTGAAGCCTGTACCCGACAAGGCTTCCTTCACTGTGTCCCCCATCTGGTCTGAGCTCGCCCTGCCCGCCCAGAGCTCACGGCGACGGACAAGAGGAAGTGAATAAACAGCAGAACAAGACCACCGCCTGGACAGTAGGATGCACGGCATAGCGGCGGCGGCAGCCTGTAGGCGCACCAAGGTGAAGATCGTAGTCGGTTACAGGTATGCGGTCGCCCTTCGTGTGTTTTGTGTTCTGTATCAAGTCGAGTGGTCATGGATGAGGTGCGTCGTGCTCGCCTTCTTATATGTCGCGAGTCACTACGGGTGGTCGATCAAGCATGATCCAACACCGCGACTCCAGCGCTAAAAAACAGCGCCCGATACGAAAGGGATCGCAGGGGAAGGTTTGTGGTTCATCGCGTTCGTGTTAGTCTCTACTGACATGCTCGTATAGTTGCTGCAGTCTTACTAGATAGACCCGATCTCTACGTTGTGCCGTGTGTTGTGCAAGATCGTCAGCCAATGAAGATGGTTTTTCTCTTGAGGCCACCCTGCACTTAATGATCTTGCCTCGTTGTCTTGACTTGTGCTCGCGAGTGCAAAGACCAGGGACACAAAGACGTGAACAACATGCAGGACGCAAAAGTTACGTGAGAACATCTGGACCGTCGGTATAAAGCTGTGCATTTTGTGTTTTGTCCTCATCGCTCAGCATTTTCTCTCACCGCTGACCAACACGCTCACTGTGTCGCTGCGCCCCTCTTCTGATCGCAAGATAGGTCAGTGTGTATCCTTGGTACATACAAGTGTCTGCGGAAGACTTACCGAAATCATAGCTCCACCGGACGTCTCTGACGCCACCTTGATATTGGACGACACGCGCAGTGCAGACTCCCCGGCTCAGCAACTGACCGAACCCTCCCCGATCCAGATGAACCAGCATATCTTAGCGATGCAGGACGTCACCCCATCGATCAACGACTTCCCGGCCGAGATCCTCGCAGAAGTCTTCCTATGGCAACTGCTCTCTGTCACGCACGATGAGGAGGTGAAGGACCCCATGGTCACGTTCGACCGCGTCAGCCCACTGGTTTGCAAGTCCTGGAGGGCAATCGCGCTTGGTGACCCTCGCCTGTGGACTCACATTGTGGCGCCGGACCTCGCCATCCTGGAAACCTTCACTCAACGCTACCTCCCCCGCTCCGGCAACCTTCCACTCGACCTCGAGTTCCGTGGGCCACCCGAAGGATTGGCACCGTTCATCGCCGCGATGTTTCCCTACGCCGCGCGATGGGGCTCGCTGGACCTGCGCGGACCTTGCGAATCGTTGCGGCGAATGACGCCAGTGGTGATGCCAGTCCTGCGACATGTACGGATAGAAGGCGCCAGGGACGGGGACAGCACGCAGCACGTTCCACTGCACTTTATCCGCGATGCGCCTAAACTGGATACGCTCATGCTCCACTGCTGGTACATTGGCTCCCAATTCGAGCTGGCATTACCCCCGCTGGGGCACCTCAGAACGTTACGGTTCTCCGCCTGGGAATACGACCTATCATGCATGCTTAGGACGGTTCACGGGTCCTGCGCGACACTGCGCGATATCGAGATTGTGCTTCAGGGATTTGTGCCCCCTACAGACTTTCTCGGGTGCCCCGCCCACCTTCCATCGCTCACGAGCCTGACCCTTGGGGGCAGCGCCGGGCACTTTCTCCAACTGATTTCACCGCCGGCGCTCGAGACGCTCACGATGACCAACGAACCCGAAGACACACCTGCCCTCCTCGACCTCCTTCATCGCGTCCCCGCCGCTGGACACAGCCTACAGAAATTCGACCTTCAATCGCTCGGCGACTACGATGTCCTCTTAGAATGCCTCGCACTCACGCCTAATCTCAAGGTCCTTTGTCTAGGGGTATATCGGGCACCGGGCCCGCTCTTGCGGGGTTTGACTATACATGAGGACGACTCGGCTGAGCACCCAATTCTGGTGCCAAAGCTCGAGCTGCTCTCCCTCGATTACTGCATCGACTCCGGGTCGGAGGACCTACTGGCTGTCGATGAGTTCTTCATCAGCAGAGCTTTCCCGCAGGTTATCCGCGGGACACAGGTGGAGGGTGTGCGTATGGCGGTCTCCAGTGAACTCATGCAGGTGAGCGTGTATCGATACAAGTGGTAGTGGCACTTTGCTTACGCAGACCCACAGTGTATTCGCCCGTTCAGACATCACTCTATGTTCATTGGAGTAGAAGGCCTTGAATATAGCGACTCGAGCGACGACGAAGGCAGCGATTCCGAGTCAGAACTTTGAGAGTTCTCTATCTTTGTAGTGATTTGTGGCCTGGCGTACACAGCATTATTTCCTGAATTCTATCCGTCCCGCTAAGTGTACCAATATGTTTCTCAAGTTGGACTGGACTGGACTGGATTACCCGAGCGGTCCCTTAAGTATCGCTTAGTAGTACCGACCCCGCTTCTCTTTCTTCTTCCCTCGGGGGATAGTGACATACGTCGCGTAGGAGTCAGTTTGCTCCTTCTTTGCATACAGCTCGCGGGCTTGGGCGATGCGCTTCGGCGGTAACTTCACAATGTCGTCCTTTTCGTAGCTATCATGATGCATGATCTGCAGGATGCTCAGCCCCCGAATCTGTCAGATGAGCAAGGACGGCGTACCACATATCTCCAAGTCATCGCACGTAAGTCGTGATTGGTCGCCTTCACGTTCTTTCCCGACGCGAACCACACGTCGCGCGCGTCCATCTCCGCAGCCGTCGCCGTCTTGGGATCCAGCCCGGCCAGCCTGACCACCCGCACCGCAACGCGCTGGCGGTCGAGGCGGACGCTATACCCCTTGGTGGACCACTCGCGCTGTTTGAGCGGCCCCTTCGGGGTATACGACATGCCACCGCCATCGGGGTGATAGCCCAGCACCTCGGGATAGAGAAGGTGGCGCGGATAACTCTCGTACGTGAACACCGTTGTCGCGAGCTGGAAGTCCGCCGCGGTCGCGGGCCGCTTGTGCAGCGGCGGCGCCTCTGCGTGGTTGAGCAGGTCGATCAGGGAAGCCTCCCGCGCGGCGTTCCACGCATCCCAGCGCGCTTGGGGGATGGCGTCGATGACGGATTGTAGATCCGTCTTGGTGAGCGTCTGATCGACTGGCATACCCTCGATCATATCGGCGACCTCCTTCAGGTCAGCGAGGTCTCCCGCGCCAGGCATGAAGCAGCGCTCCAGTTGCGACTTTCCGAGAATACGCTCTTCATATACTTGTCTGAGCATTTTATATCGTTCCCGCAGTACAACGTGCCGCTCTTGTGCGAGACGCTTGTCGCGCAGCTCGGGGAGGAGCTCCAGGAGGGGCCCGCGTATCGATTCCCACTCTGCGTATGCGTCAGAAATGCACTAGGCGGTGAAAGCAATAGCGCCGCTACCTTCTTCAGTAAGTGGCTGCGTCTTATTCACGAACTTGTGCCCGTCAAGTTGGTCGCGGGTCACAATCTTTCGTACCTCGTCCGCCCAGCCTAGGTCGCCGAGTCGACGAAGGATCCTATCGTCTGAGTCAGTTGCCACCCACATCGGAAGAGAAGGAGTGCGACCCACTCATCAATCCTCTCGAGGCGAATTTTGCGCTTTTCCTCCTCCCTCCTCTTCTGACGCTCTCTCTCCCAATTCTCGCACAGCTCGGTGTGCTGCGCAGTAGTCAGTACAATGCAGGGCAGCAGCCTCACAACGCACCCGCTGAGACTTCTTGAGATTCTCTTCCCAGTTTGCGAGCCACACCTTCTTGAACTCCTTCGTCTTCCGCGAGGTATCGCGCTCGTATCGATCCGCCAAGTCATCATACCACGCGCGTGAGTACAGTCTGACAACTTGTTCATGATAACTACTGCAAACTATTATGGAATGAGTCAACGGCCGAGCAAGACAAGGAATCCCACTTGCAAGTTGCGCGAACAACGGAGGGGAGTAAGTCGAGGGGCTGGTACGAATAATTGAAGAGGCGGTGAATCTGTTTGATGGCCTTGAACTCGCGGATGTCTTTCTCTGATACGAGGCAACGTCTGGAGAAAAGAGTGAGAGGTTTCGTATATGACTGAGCGTCTGCCAAACGCACTTGTCGTTTCCGCAATTCTCGCAGTAGCGCTCGCGCGAACCCCACACAATCAGAGCATTCTTCTCCGGTAATTGACCGCAAGACTGCGAGGGCGGTGATCGTCAAAGGCCGTTCTTCAAAGTCAGTATAAGCGGAGCTTACCTGACAAAATTCGTCCGTGACTAGGGCCACGAAGCGCGGCACGGACACGCCGCTTGGCGGCGGTGGCAAAGCAGGGTTCGTGTTCTTATAGCTCTTCTTCCAGATCTTGAACGATGATCGGTTCAGGAGAAAATTTCTCAGAAACTTCGTGGTCCTGGCGAGTTGGAGTAGCGAGGGAGCATCGAGGTAGCCGAGTATCTGCGAGTGGCGTCAGGTGAGAGTGACGGAGTAAGGTCGGGACAGCGCACCTCGAGGATCAATTCGAGGGGAATGTCAGTGAGGGAAGAGGTCTGGACGAGTTCATCCTGCACAACAGCCGGATCTGATTCTTGCTCCCTGACTGTACTGATCTCCTTCTTCGCGCGCTTCCGCGGCGGAAGATCGACTGCGGCGGGTGACTTGTCTTTGGGGGCCTGGGGGCGCTTGGTAGGCGAGGCGAGTCTAGCCGAACGACGCATTTCGCGGCAGTTTAGATGAAAGTCGTGATGGTAGAAGGCAAGCCAGGCGCGCTTTGATTGTGATGGCTTGAGCGGGTAACGTGGGCGGAGCTCGTGGCAGTCACCTGACCACATGGCACGCGAGGTTGAAATATGACCCATAAACTTCATTCTGACCGCTCTATCAGCACACGGTTGAGCGCCTGCACGCGGACGCGCAAGGTGCGCTTCGGCTCCTGCTTCCACTTCACCCCCTGGATAATAAGAATGCACGGGAACTCAGGACCGAGACTTCAGATCTTTGTCCAAGATACCTACGCAAGATCTTTTCGCTATGTTATACAGAGACCGAACCAAATACAGATAGATCAATTATGACCTGGCTTTCGTTGTTTCCGCGGCTTTCCTCTCTTCGTCAATCCAGGCAGATGCATCGACCCCGAGAACTGGTGCATGTTTGGCCATATTGTGCGTGCAAGCTTAGCATCATCTGGAGATAGCGCGACCAAACTGCTAGCTGGCACCCTGCTGCGTATCTGAAGGGGTCACTTAGTCGACAAGGACACAAGCGCTCATAATCCGTACACGCACCACTGCTTTCCAGGTCATCACAAACAAGCCATCTTGACGGTTGGGCAGATCGCGCGCATACGCGTACCACGGATCGCGTCGCTCCATATCCTGAAGCGTCGCCTTCGCCGGGTCTAGCCCTGCAAGCGATACCAGTCGCTCCGCGAGGCGCAGGCGTGAAACCTCGACACAGAACTCCGTTGCTGACCACGCATTCTGCCCCACCACGTCCTTCGGATCGTGAATAACGTCGTCCGAGTCGTCGACCGCCGGCCGATACTTGAGTGCCTTCGGGTACCAGACAGGCTGTCGCGTGTCCTTCTTCGTGAACGCCAAAGCGAAGAGCTTCAGGTCGGTGATCGTCGCCTTGTGTGCGCGCTTCTTGTCCTTCTTGTTGAGCATCGAGACCAGCGCGTCCTCGCACACCTTCCGCCACGTTGAGAATCGCGTCGGTGCAATCTCCTTGATACGCGCCTCTATCTCGTTCGATAGGAGCTTCTGCTCGATGGGAATCCCCTCGATGAGATCGGTGACCTCTTCGAAGGTCACCAGGTCACCGACACCCGGAAGCGTAGACCGCTCCGGTGTGCCCTTGAGAAAGAGGCGATAGACGCGGCGGAGCATGTCATATCGTTCGGCAAAGACCCGGGAACAGTCTTCCTCGAAGAACTGTTTGTTCACTTTCTTCACGAATCGCAGCAACGGGGCACGAATTTGGACCCATTCTAGACGTTGGAAACGAGATTGCGTGAGCGCCTGTGAGGTGCGCTGCATTGAACGGACAGGTCGACGTACCTTCGCATGTGAGGGGCTGCGCTTTGTCGACCAGCGCATGCTCGCAGAACTCGCGTGAAGGCGTAACCCGGTTCACCTCCTCCTGCCACCCATCTTGGTTCAATCGGTCAATGATGCTGAGAGCGAGCAGGAATGTCAGCCGAGGGAATTTGATTTATAGTCAAGATACGCACGCTTTCAGTCTCTCTTTCTTAATCTTTGCGATCTCTGCCAGCCTCTTCCGCAAAGTCGCATCCTCCCACATTTCGCAGCGCCAGGCGTGCTGCTTAACAGTCAGCGTGCTGTCAGTGACGAATCCACAAGACAATGCGTACCTCTCGGATCTTCGAATGCTCCCTTGCCCTCTTTTCTAGCCACTTCTTCTTATCCTCCATCAACTTGCGCCGGTTGTCGTGCTCGAACTGCGCAACGAGCTCGTCGACTGCGGCGTGTGGATACGAATGAACTCGGGGAAATTCCCAGTCTACAAAGAGCTCAGTGTGTGCTCGAAGGGCATGCAGGGCACATACCTGCATAGAAGCCCGGGAACAACGCGGCCAGTGGATAATCCCGGCCGAAATAGCGGTGTACGTCGCGGACAATCTTGATGCTGCGCATCTCTCTCTCGTGCACGACGTGCTCGCTGGTGGGTGGTGAGAAGTCATCTGGAGTTGAGCGTCTACGACACTCACTACTTGGATAGGCACATGCGACAGCATCGCATGCGCGCGGTCCAGATCCTCTTAACCAAGCTCCTGCCATCATAGGTGTCCTTCGGCAGTAGCTTATGGCAGCACTGCCGAAGGTAGATGCGGTCAGATATAGAGCAATCACATGTACAGAGCAGCACGTACATCGCAGATATCATCGACGATGAATCCGACGAATTTGGGAATGGTGAGATCGTCTGGCGCGAGCGGAAGCCCGTGGTCGGTAGTGGCGTAGCTGTTCTTCCACAGCCACGATGAGGAGCGCTTCATGAGGGTGTTGTACAGGGCTCGCGAGGCTCTGGACAGATATAGCATCGAGATGGGGTCCAGATAGCCGAGAATCTCCACAGCAAGCGGGTCAACTAAGTTGACCGGTCGAGCCAGCACAAAGTCGAGATACGCACCTCAAACAGCACGTCAAGAGGGAGCTCATTGACGGGAAATGCATGCCCTTGTAGCCGAGGGCCCGAATCGTCACCCTCATTGAGATCTCTCGGCATGGGTTTCTGACGCTTGCGTGGTCGCGCATTGACCGGTTTCGACTCGGCGTTGGGTTGCGGGTTGCTAGATTTATCGGCGAGCAGAGTTGGACTTGTCTTGCGTCGGAGAGCATAGACTCTTGAAGAGCTTTTCATTGGATATCGCGGAAGTGAGGAAGGTCGTCGTGAATGTAGAAGGGTAAGACGCGAGAACAATGACTTTGATTCAATCATTGATGGCAGGGTCAACGCGCTCGTCACCTGACTTAAACTCGGCGAACGCCGGCCATTGTTCGTCTTGAATGTGGCGGTTGCATGGATCATCTTAATGCAATCAATGAAGACTCGAAACAGCGTAAATCCCAATTTATAACACATATAATCCTTTATAATTTAGACAGCTACATCAGAAAAACACTGATGCGCGTGGCTGCCGCGAATTTCCCTTCTTCGTGAGTCCCGGAAGGGTTAACCGCCCACGAAAATTGCGCATTCGCGGGTCCCTGCGCAGCTCGCGTGCCAAAGCGGCGTCCCTCTCGGAGATTAGAAGAACAGAATCGACGCCCGACCAGCTGTGTCCCATCTGGCATGGCATATTATATTCAGCATTCATGAGCGAGAGATCTGCCCGAGAAACTCACAGCATTTCGCCACATCATAACGTGGAGCCCCTCCTTCCGCTTGGGCAAGTCGCATGCGCGGGCAAACCATGGATCACGCTTGTCCATATCCTCGGGTGTTGCCTTCGTCTTGTCGAGCCCCGCAAGCGCGACAAGGTGCTCCACAAAGCGCACCTGGTCGAGCTGGACACACACATCCTTCGGCGACCACGCGCACTGGCGCACGATCGCCTGCGGATCCTCGAAATCCAGTTCCTCCGGTGATCCGCGCTCGTCGAGCACGTCTGGATACCACAGGGCCCGCTGATGTCCCTCCTCCGCGAAGATGGTCGTCACGAGCTTGAGGTCATCGGTCGTGGCTGGACGGGTGCGCGTGGTGTCCGTGGCGTTGAGAGTGTCGACAAGAGCAGTCTCGCACCCTGCACGCCATTCCGGGAAGCGGGTCTTCGAAAGCTCGTCGACCAGGGTTGACATGTTGTCGTAGGTTACTTCTTGCTCGACCGGCGTTCCCTCGATGAGATTAAACATCTCCTTGAATGTGACTACATCGCCGATTCCCGGAAGCAGTGACTTCTGCCTCCGCGACTTGCCATGCAAAAAGTTCCTGTAGACTTGCTCGAGAGTGCGGTACCGGTCGTGGATGATCAATCGTTGTTTCCGTTCTATTCGCCTAGCCTTCTGTCCCTCGACAAACGCGATTAGCTTGTCGCGATTCCGGCTCCATTCTAGACAAGAGTAAAGGCGAAGTCGTGAGTGATATTGTTCGGGAAAGACTGATTCGGCTTACCCTGCTCTGTGAGCGGCTGTACCTTATCGACGAAGGCATGCCGCTGGAAGTCGCTCCAGTTCTCCCACTTCTGCGCCTCTTCGTCTAATCCCACCTCCTTCAATCGGTCGAGAATACTGCGGTAGACGTTTACGTTAGCTTATGGGATTGTGGAGACCGTGATAGACTTACTCTTTTTGTCTTCCCACTCTAACAGCCTCGTCTCTCTCCCACTGCTCGTGCTCCCTCTCCCGCTCCCACGCTTTGCAGACCTTGACGTGCTGGCAAGGTCAGACATCATCAGCGCGTTGTGGCTCACACCAAGTTCAGTACGTACCTTTCTGATCTCCTCGTGCTCGGCCACCTTCTGAGTAATCCACGCCTTCTTGACTTCGACGGGCTTCCCCCTAGTGGCCCTCCCAAATTCCTTGTATAGGCTCTCTATAGTCACACGTGGATACCAATGATGGCGCTCGTCGGCTGTTTGAGGATCAGCAAAGGCTCACAATCAGCAAAATCCATGCCGTAGACACACCTTCAGCATACGCGGGGAACAGGGTATGGAGGGCAAATTCAGCCCGGCGGCCAAAGAGACGGTCAATCACTCGGGCCATCTTGACATCGTCGTACATGTCGACCTCGCGGACGAAGTACTTTCTGTGTCGTTATGAGTACGAGATACCGGTTACGCAAGACTAAATGAGGACGCACTTCATGTACATGCATTTGCTGCAGCATCGCAAGCGGGCCGCCCAAATCCGCACGATCTTGGTGTTTCCTTGCGGAGATCTATGACAAAACTGGCGAGGGTAATACAGGTAAGCTCGTATGAGCGCTATTGAGTACGACAGATCACGCACATCACAGAAACTATCAATCGCGAGGGCGACAAATTTGGGTATCGTCAGGTCTCTCGGTACTTGAGGAAGCCCGTGCTTCGTATTGGCGTAGCTCTTCTTCCACATCTTTTCGGAGGAGCGACTCATAAGCGTGTGGTAAGTACCTCGCGAGGAGTGCGATAGATGGAGGAGAGAGATGGGGTCGAGATATCCAAGTATCTGCAAGCAACGAAGCGTCAATTCACCATGCAATGATCAATCATTAGGTCGGGAATGATGGAGCATCGAGGCGCTCGAGGATCACGGACGTACCTCAAGCAAGATGTCAAGCGGAATAACCATAAGCGGCGAATGAGAAAATTGCTCGTTAGTCGACAACGCTGTCTCTGCCCTCGTCCTTTGCCGCTTGCGCGCCTGCGGATTTGCGGCCTGCATTGCGGTCTTCTTGGTATGATCGACGGGCTGATGCTTCCCGCCTGCAGCACAAGCGAGCCTCGAGGATCGTCTCATTATGCGTGGTGCGTGGTGTATGGTGGTGGTTGCAATCAAAGGTCAATCGACCGAAAATCACGTTCGTGATTCTGCGGAAAACGTGGCGGTCACCTGATCGAGCCAGAACAGGCGACGCCACGAAGTCCCCGGTTCGACTTTCTATATGAACGACTTGTGAGTGAATGTCGCAATCAAGCTCCCTCTGTACTTCAGCATACAATCTCATAGCGTGTAGAGAGAGCCAAAGCCCATATGCAGCACCGCTGCTTGCGAGTGAATCAATCATTTGATCTACTTTCATAGTCATCTATTAGAATCTGTCGCCGTTCAGCTCAACCCGTCGCTCGCATTCGGAGAATCCGGTTATCACATGGAGCCCCAGGCTCCATTGTCGGTCGATAGGGTACATAATGCAAGTTGTGGATGCTCTGTGTATGCGTGAGCAAGGCGCTGTTGACCCAAATGCATGCTCACCTCCAGGACATCGTCGTTGACTCTACAACACATGACGTTGACACTCTCTTCGCGGCTAACCAGCGAAAGTCCTCTGCTCATGCAAAATTCATACAGTGCGTACAAGTCTGCCACGCCACCGAGTAGACGGGCCTTCTCGAGCTTTGGAACCAGGACCGACCTGTCATGCTCATGCACGACCAAAGCCTGCAGGAACTTTGTTGACGCCAGCTTTGTGAGCTGCAACTCCCTGAGATTTATCGCAGAATATAGGCATTCCAAAATGCAGCGGCATCCGTAGCTCGCGACCCTGAGGCGCTGCAGGTGTTTGGCAGTAGTGGGGGTGCGGCGCAGGAACCTGAGGAGTGACTTGATCGATCTTCGCGGTACATATTCGACCGCGAGATACTCAATCACTGGCGCCGAGACCATATTCAGCAGATGCCCGGCATCCTTGTGGAGGAAGAGGTGCTTTAGTACCGGGAAGGTGGCCAGGATATCCAGAGGGTTTGAGGCACTGCAGACCGAGAGTTCGAGTGTTATGAGCGTCGCACGGCATCCCCCTAGAGCTTCAGCTAGGGTGGACATATCGTTGTCCACAAGGTCAAGTCTAAGGCTTGTCAGGTTTGGGAGCGGCGGAAGCGAGAACGAGAAGGTTGGAGTCTCGCCGTAGCATACAATGCTCAGGCAGCGCAGTCGGGGAGCGTCGCTGAGGAAATGCAGCGACAGGTGCTGATCGTCCTCGTCGGGCCATTCGACTCGAAGTTCCACGTAGTACAGAAGTGGTGTGGCCAGCGGCGTGAGCTTCTTGAGAGTCCGGTAGTCGGCGCTGACCGACAGAGTGGCCCATCGCGACGCATAGGGCGACATTGCCTCCAAAAACATCGGTAGCCGTTCGCTCGACCAGCAGTCGAGTTGAAGCGGACGATTGCCGGAGCGCGGTATGTAACGGTCCATGTAGGCGACCAGATGCTGGGGTTTTGGGGCTTCGTAGTACGTCCACAGGTAGGGCTCGGCGTGCGCGACCGCGCGCCAGAACTTGCAAACAAGGGGTATGACGCGCTCAAAAGCCAGCATAGGGTCATCGACGTCGGGCACTGGCATATCGAGGTAAGACAGCAGATGAAGCCAGAAGATCTCTGAGAGGAGCTCGACCGGTATGCTGTCAATGGGGGCCGCGGCGCTCGGGATGGCGGACTCGGTGTGCCGGAGCGCAATATCAGAAGATGCTTCGATGTCTTCATGCCGCACGTCGAAGCTGGTTGCAGTCGCGTCACTGGGCACCTCAGTGGCGTTCGACTTGGGGCTCGGGAGGACCTTCAGTGGCTGAGGTGAGCGTGTGGATATACAATGGCGGGCGACCTGCTCACCTTGTGGCATAGCCGAACGAGACGACGACGCATACTTGGAGCCAGAGAACGGCACAATGTCGGGGACGGTGAGCGTAGGAGACAAGGAGCGTGACGATCACGAGGTCGCTTTTTCTGCGTGACGAGCTAGGTTAACAAACCCTCAACGCTTTGATCGCGTTGCAAATAGCATTCGATGAAAAAGGCCGCCGCCATCACAGTGGCCTTGCATCATTCGACCCATTCTTAAGGACTTCAGAAACTATGTGATTATCGACCCAGTAAGTCATGAGCGAAAACGAGACACGAACCCGGTGGATTTCCGTCGTGCTGGTCCATACACGACGACAGAGGTCTGCGCTCGACGCGCACCCTTGAAGCCGACATCGCTGAGCTGCAACACCTAAAAGCGGTCGAATTCTCAATAGCCTGCGCTATCATGCACCGCCGAGTATCGAGTTATGCGGAAGGATCGCAGCGCAGAGCGGCGTCCGAACATCACCGTCGATGTATGCAAATAGCAGCCATGCCTCTCCTCTCAGCCGCTGTCGACGCGAACAGCGCCAAAGGGCGCCTCGCCGACAAGCAGCGGCAAGCGCAGAGAGTGCGTAAATGGCAAGGTCCCAATATCTTGACGCTAGGGCCCGACGACCTCGACTGAGACTAGAACTAAGTCCAAGGACAGACAAGCGAAGTTCAGTTACTCGGGGAACTTGGAAGCGCAACATCGTGAGCGAAAGGCCAGCACTTGAGCGATATACGGACAATAGGATGCGGTACCTTCATCTCGGTCGCGCGCTGTCAACGGCCGTCGACGTATGATGGGCCCGGCACCTCGCACCTGCTTCGAGCTCAAGGCCGCGGGCTACAGACACGCTTGTGGTCTTGTGATTTCGACTCGTCAGAGCGCGTCGCTTATGAGTGTATTGCTCGCGCCCGAGGGGAAGCGGGCGGTCCTTTCCAGTAACGTGAGAGACGCATGGAGAAAAGGTATACTGGAGCGCACCTACGGATGCAGTGCTAGACCGTCAAATCCATGCCGCCATCCAACTGTCCTAGTTCACCCGATCGCGACGCTTCGATTTTAAGGACTTGACACTCCTCGCAGTGCTCGACGACTCGGCGGACGATGTAATCTGCGAAAATACTCAGCTTCGCCCTTGTCGAAGTGACCAGGCCTCGGAGGGGGCTCGGACGAGGCAAGACCATGGATCCTGATATGCCGCGCCGTCTGCTTCACGTCGACGCTGGCAACAAGAATCAGGAAGCGATGATACAAGACACTCAACACGCCGCTCAGCAACGGCCAAAAACATCGGGATATACTCACTACGCAGAGTATTAGTTCGAGCAGCGGCCGACCGAAAAGTACGCACTAACCAAGTGTCCTCTCGTCCCCGCTTGGATATGCATGCGGCAGCGGCAGCTCTTCAGTCGCGCACTACCCGGTATGGCCGGATGCCCTTGTCCTCCTATAAAAGCGCGTCAGAAATCATTGGTCTACGCTAACACGCCCGAAAAAGCGAAGGGAAAAACACACCTCCTGCCATAATCGCTAGCCTCCGAGGTGCGAGCCACGGACGACCAAAGCGCGCGCGTCTACGCGTTCAGGGTTCATATCGAGAAAGCGCTTGCATGCCGCTCCAGCCGCTGTCGACGCGACGGCGCCCACAGGCACCACGCCGTCAAGCAGCGGCAAGCATAGCGGCAGCTGGGTCGTTAGAAGTGGGATGCATAGCGCGAAGGTCAACGACTGATAGATGATGAAGATAAGGCTGGGTCCCGCGCGACATCCGCGACTGAGAGTTCGACGTGCAAGTCTCCTAGACCTCAGCGCCCGATCATCTGGGTGGGAGCTCAAAGGTAGAGGCTGGGGTGAGCGATGGTGCAGAATATGAGTTGCGAAGATCTGTCGTGCTCGCGGCACTCCATCCCCTTCCCCAGACGCAACACACTCGTGCACGCCGGCCTTTGTTGGTCGGGCCCGTCGAAGCTCCTCCCCTCCGCGTCGCCCGAGTCTGCACTGCATGCGAGAAGCATACGCTGCATGTTGATGACAAATGTGGGGGAGGCGGTGCTTTGGAGTACGGCCTGCCCTTGAAGACGAAGGATCGGGGATTTGATCGGGGAGATGGACGCGTGAGGGAGACGGATTGCGAACGGCCGTTGAGTGTCAGGATCGCGGCCTGTGCAGAACCCTGAGAGACATGAGCAACGCATTCTCGTAGAATTGACTATGTCGCACCTATTGGAGATTTTTCCCCCTTCGGCTACCCTTTCCCCTCGCAAGGGCGACTCCTTGGCCCGGCAGCTCGCGTGTCATTCCTCCTCTGAAGCTCGTGAAGCAAGTTGTCTTCCGTGCTGGACTTCATCCCTGATGGAGGGACCATTAAATGCTCTGGAGTCGGCTCTTAAGCACTCTTCGCGTATGGGATGGAGAAAGGACATGGACGCGCGGGACGAAAGATAACGCCACATCATTGGCACTGTATGATCGTGACGCCCATACGTCCAAGCAAGACCAAATAGGCGCCGCTCAAGTCGTGCTAAGGCGGATGTGGCATTGCGCCCGCTTTCAACACCGCAAGGAAGAGCTGAGCTGGTTTATACTGTAAAAGACGAGAAAAGTCGGGGAAGACAAAGGAGAGCAGATGTCCCGCCAGTAGTCGATCCTCACTTCCTCCTTGAACTCCTTCACCTTTTCGGGAAGAATTGCCGGCGAGCTGGCTGTCAGTCGCGACTCAACATACCCATGAGACGCCCGACGCAGCTCGCCGGTTGAGGCGCGCTACCATAAACGACGATGAGGAACCAGCGGAAGGGAAGATGTCGGCTGAGAAGATGACGAACACAAACACACCTCGACAAAAGTATCGACCATGAGGGCAACGAGCTCGGGAATTTGATACATTTCTCGCGAAGTGGTCATACAGATTCATACAGTCTATGAACCTGTTCATCTATCGCAGACCCTTTATCCCTCAGCCCGACACATCGCCCATTTTCCCTGTCGACTTATAGACCGTCGATCTCGCAGGCGCCCTAAGCCGCCGACGTGACACATAATGCAAGCTGTATAGGCGCTATCATCAGGTCAGCAAGGTGTCACCACTCCAAAGTATCCAACGACGTATTGCTCACCTGAGCATCATTTTTGGCAAGTCGACATCTCATGTCCTGCACCCGCGTACCGCGAACGACTTGCGGACGAGCTCTGCTCTCGCAAAGGTCGCGCAGCGCATACAAGTCTTTAACGCCACCGAGAAAGGAAGCCAACCTCAGTTGAGGAACGAGGACCGACTTGTCGCGCCCATATACAGTCAAAGCCCGCAGTAGCTTTCCCGGCGTCTGGCCCATGATACACAGCTCCTCGAGATTTTTCGCCATTGACAGACACTTCACAAAATTATCGCAGTTCCCGAAAGTCCCGATTTCGAGGTGCCACAGGCGCCCGGCAGTAGTGGGGCTGCGGATCAGAAAGTTGAGGAGCGCGTCCGGCGTATCTGGCGGTAGACTCTCGACCGAGAGAAATTCAAGCATGGGCGCGGAGATCATGCTCAAAAAGCTCGCCGCGTTCTCGGTGAGAACAAGAGTCTCCAGCGCCGGGAAAACGACCGGGGCATGTGATGGGGTAGCCGCCGGCTGCGAAGTCAATACGAAAAGCCGAAGAATCTTGAGCGTCGCGCAGCACCCGCCCAGACTCCCAGCCAGGGTGGTCAGATCGTAAGCAGCGGCATCCAGCCTGAGCGTTGTGAGGTTCGGGAGTGGCGGCAGGGAGAACGAGAAGGGCGGACCCTGGCCATCGCAGTCGATCGACAGGATACGCAATCGGGGCGCGTCTTCGAACACACGCAGCGAGAGGTGCTGACCAACCACATTGGGCCACTCGACACAGATAAGAACATGGTCCAAAATCGGCGTCGCCACCGGCGTCAGCTCTTCGAACGTCCGGCACGTCCCACCCAGCGCCAGAGTCGTCCACCTTGCCGCATACGGCGCCATCGCCGCGAAGAACGCCGGCGTCCGCTCGCTCGACTTGCAGTTCAGGTGGAGCGGGCGGTCGCCGGAGCGCGGGAGGTAGCAGTCCATGAACGCGGGTAGGTGCTCGGGTGCCGGGGCTTTGTAGAGCGTCCACAGGTAGGGCTCGGCGTGCGCGAGCGCGCGCCATGACTTGCAGACGAGGGGTACGACGCGCTCGAAGGCCGACATGGGGTTGGTGACATCGGGTCTCCCAAGGTACGATTTAAGATGCAGCCAGAAGATCTCCGAGAGGAGCTCGGCGGGCAGGTTGTTAATGGGAGTGGTGGCGCGCGCCGAAGTCGCCGACTCTTTGTGCAGGAGCGCGAGATTGTTTTCATGTGGCGCATCGGAGCCGGTTGCTGTCGCGTCGTTGGGCATCTCAGTGGCGTTATAGGACAATCTTCTGCGGGTCTCTAGTTGCGATGAGTCCACGGATACATAGTGAGCGGTAACCTGCTTGCCTTGTGCCACAGCCGAAGGAAGAAGGGGTACAGATGTGAAGCCAGAGGACGTGGAGAATTCGGACAGGTGGGCGTCAGAGACAAGGTGCGCACCGATCGAAAAACTTTGCCCTTGCGCGCGAAATGCCGCGCTTGGCCATTCATTCGGATACTGATCTGGCCAGAAAAATGTGCTGCGCCTCGCGTTGGGTAGGCAGCGCCTTGTTGCATAGCAGTTCTGCGGGCGGACGTGGTGAGAAGAGAGAATGACATCAGCGCGCATCGGATTTTGCCGTAGCCACGTGTGGCAGCTCGAGTCAGGTGACGAGCGCGTTGAGCGCAGGCATCACCCAGCGGCTCAGGTTTCCCTTCGTCGTCGACGAAGAACACGAAAGAAAAAGGCGCGACATGAATAGACCCTTGGAACCTGAGATCAGCACTGGGTTTTGCCACGGCGCTGACAATACGCCACCCACCCTCGACTCCCAAGCGGTCGCTACTCGAACTCTCAAGCAACAGAAGATGAGAGCCGCCGCGGTCAAGTTGGAGCCCAAGAAGCTCTCACCTTTCCTCAAAGACGCTACTCCAACTGCTTCTTTCTCAGGACTTCCTCCCGAGGTGCTTTATGAGGTATCATCTTGCCTTCGCGTTCCTTGACACATAGCCTGACCCGCCTACCTTGCAGATATTCAACCACTGCGACCCCGCGTCCCTCGTCCTCCTAACGAAAACGTCCATCGTCTTGCGCGACATGCTAATGGAGAGCTCTCAGAGCATAATCAGATTGTGGAAGGAGCGGTACACCGCTTGCACGGGGTACGAGCTGCCGCCCGCGGCGGTTGATATCTCGATCCCCAGACTCGCCTGCTTGATCGTGGATGAGTCCTGCTCTGTGCGTCCAGTACTGCGCGCGCCATATACGCTCCTTACACTCCTCTTCCTCTCTAGCTCTGCAACGCGTATCCCGGGCCGGAGAGCAAGAAGGCGCCCATCATCATCTGGAACGCGCGCATACGGTGCTGCAAGGCGTGCCTCTACGGAAGGTGTGTTCTGACGGTCGACATGATCATGCATTCCACCGACGGCCTCAGTATCTCCCACCGCCGCCCTCCAGTACCTCCCACCGCCGCCCTCCAATACCTCCGTCTGTCAACCTGATCACCCCTTTCAACCCCACCGCACACCTCCCTTTCAACCCCACCGTACACCCCACTAACCCCCCTCCCAGCGACCGCCTCATCTACGAGGAGAACCTGACTACATTTAAAGCCATCCGCGACGTCCGCCGCCTCCTCGGGCCCGCCGGGTTCCGGCCGCATGACCTGTTCCCGGGCTTGTCTGCTTCGAGTGCGTGCACGAGTTCTGTTTTTCATCTCTTGACGATCTCTTGTGCCTGAGTTTCCTTTCCTTTGTTGTTTGAGTTGCTCGAGTTCATCTTTCGCTTGAGTTCATCTGTCGCTTGAGTCTTTTTTCGTTGCCCGAATTTTTTCGATCACCTCAGCTCGCACCCCTTCTCACCTCACCCGCCCGCTCCCCTTCTCATCGCACCTAGTACTTACCCGCTCCGCAGACGGCATCTACCAGCTCTTCATGCTCGAGCCGGTCGAGAGGTTCGTCAGGGATTACGAGAGGTTTGTCGAGGACGACGAGAGATTCGTGAAAGACGGCGAGAGGTTCGTCAAGGACGACGAGCAGGAGTGCACGGTCAAGACGAAAGACGAGAAGACCAACTCAAAAGAAGAGAAGACCAACTCAAAAGAAGAGAAGACCAAAACAAAAGAAGAGAAGACCAAGTCGAACGAGGAGAAGTCCAACACGAAAGAGGAGCAGACCAAGACGAAAGAGGAGACCAAGACGAAAGAAGAGAAGACCAAGACGAGCGAAGAGAAGACCAAGACGAAAGAAGAAAGAAGAGAAGACCAAAACGAAAGAAGAGGAGACCAACTCGAAAGAAGAAGAGACCAAAACGAAAGAGGCGAAGACCAGAACGAAAGAGGCGAAAAAAGCGTGGGTAGCGCGCAAGGCGGCGGAGTTTGCAAAGATCAGGAAGGTGCGTGGGGTGTTTCTGTGGTTCGACGGGCGTGGCGAGGAGCTTGGATCGAGTGTGGCGAGGAGCTGCGATCGAGCGCGCATCGCTCAACCCATCACCTTTCCGCGGGCAGTTGAGTCGTGGTCTCGCCGTCTCGCTAGCCATGGAAGCCTATACTCGCCAGCCGTACGTGACAACACCATACTCACCACCCTTCTCCCCCTCCCCTCCAGCACGCCCATATCTGCAAGCAGTGGGAGGCGAAGATCCAAGCGCAGCAGAAAGCGAAGGAGAAGGCGGTGCGCAGGGACAGGTTGGAGGGGTGAGTCCCTCATACTAACGCCGAGTGCTCCATACCTCGTGCTTATGTGCGTCCCTCAGGATACTACAACACCTTAATGTGCTTGGAATGGAAGCGGAGGTGCACCAATCGGCGAATTGGGATGCTTTCAGGGCGCACGCAATCGTAACTGAGCCAAAGGAGCTCACGGAGGAAGGTGAGTCGACCTTCCACTTGCGATTTTGCAACATGTCTTCCTAACTATTACGGAAATGCTAACTTTCCATCGCTCAGCCTGGAACCACATCCGTGTCCCCTTACTCCAGTTCGTCAACGACCTTCGCGAGACACGCCTCGCGCACGAGCGGCGCGAGATCATCCGCCAGCGATACAACACGCTCGAGAAGGTCTACAACACATACCTGGACGAGCAGACGGGCCCGGAGCGCTACAACGCGTCCCTCAACCGCTTCGAAGGGACCGCGGCGCGCTACCTGCTGCCCCAAATCGGCGACCTAATCACGTTTCGGGAGGTCGTGGACCTCATCGAGGGCACGCCCGTCGAGCAGCCGCTCACGGAGGACCAGATACGCGCTCTGATCGACCAGCTCACGCGCACGCCCATCGACGCACTGGGCCAGACGCGCTTCCGGGCGTGGCGCGCGGGGTGCGAAAGGGAGCTGGCAGCGCTGCTCAGTGCGGCGGACCCGGCGCGAACGGCGGCGGACCTTAGACTCCACCTCGCGGCGACGCTGTTCTCGCGCGTGGACGATGTCCGGACGCGGCTGCAGTACCCCGCCGTCCTCGGCGCGCGCCCGGGCGCGGACTGCCGCGACGGGTGCCCAACACCGCGCCGCGCGCCCGCCAAAGCGGACACCATGCCGCCGGCGCAGGTCCTTGCCCGGACCGCGTGGTCGGCGGCGGCGTTCACGGTCGAGCTCGCGCGGCTGCGGCTAGCGGAGCAGGTCGTCAGCCTCGCGGGGCTCGATCCGCGCACGGCGACTCCGGCGGCGATGGACGCGCGCGGGGCGTGGGTCGCGCTCAAGAGCGAGATGGACGGCAGCGGGGGCACATATCGGGCGATGATGTGGCGGTATGCGGTGGTGAGTCGGCGTGGCCGGCTTGCTTGCTCGGCGTGGACTGATGATTCTCTCTCCAGCTCAACTACGACGGGCCCGGTCTCCGGTCTCCCGAGGATGTGAGGAGGGCCAAGTTCGTGCTGCTGTCGGACGAGGATGCGGCGCAGGCGCACGCACAAGCGGCGCATGCGTGGGCGGGTCAGGGATATGCAGACCTCCCCAGGCCACATAAGTATTAGAGGGGCAAGTCGCGCAAGCGGGGTGTCTTGTAGGATGTATACGCACTTTCTCTGGCGCGGATGTCTAACGGGAGGAAGGATCCTTGTGCAAAATCTATCATGTACAGCGAAGCAGACGTAGCCATCTTTCAGCACGCTGGCGGTCAGAGACTTAATTTGTGCTAGGAATCAAGCTACTCCAAATGTACTGGCAACGCAAAATGGCACGCCAATTAGATACGGACACGTCTATACGCCATCGAAAAGGTACGTGGATGACACCCGACGCTTGCCCTAGATCCTTTTGCTGCTTATTAGGCTAGGAAGGGTTGAGAACCCATCGGACCAAGGTTCATCCCACTGTCGCGACCCTTCTCGCGAGCCAGCACAGTCTCCTTCTCCGATAGCAGTACGAGATCCACCTGCCAGTCAGCATCGTCGCAGGCAAGCTGTAAAATCGCGAGACGCGCCCGTCAGTTCGGGAGACGACCAAGAAAAGCAGCAACAAACATACCACTGCATCTCTCCACGTCATCGATTCAGAGTCCCTGCCATTCTTCCTGTTGATCGGATTGCCCACGAACGCGTACCACGCATCCCGCCTGTTCATGTCTGCTTGGGTCGCCGTCCTTGGATCCAGCCCCGCTAGCTCGACGACCTTCTCGGCGAGGCGCAGTCGGGTAGGATCGACCTTAAACTCCTTCGCCGACCACGCGCGCTGCCGCACGACGTCCTCCGGTCGCACATCCCTCACCGATCGCTTCTTCCTGGACAGCATCGCTGGGCGATGGCCGAGCACCTCGGGATACAAGAACCTCCGCCGCTGGTGCACGCTTGAGAACACGGTCGCCGCGAGATGGAGGTCTGCCGACGTCGCCGGCGGCGTGCGTCGTGGATCCGCTTGGTTCAGCAGATCGACCAGCGCGGTCTCGCACCCGGTGAGCCACGTATCGAAATGCGTCTGAGCGACCTTGTTGATCAGCGCGCGCATGTTGGCCTCGGTGAGAGTCTTCGATACAGGTGTGCTCTCGATGCGGGCCGTGACTTCCGGGAACCTCACCAGGTCGCCGATGCCGAGGTGAGCCCAGCGATCCGGGGTCATCTCCAGACGCGCTTCACCGGGCAGTGACACCGTCTTTCTGCGTAGGTAGTCCTCGTAAACCCGACCGAGCATGTAGTATCGGTCAGATATGACCTTTCGCCTCTTCTCCGACCTTCGCTCATCCCGAAGGCTGCGCACGAACTCGAGCAAAGGCTTGCGAATGTCTCTCCAGCCTAGATTGACAAGCGTTTATAGGTGAGCATCACAACTCACGAACGGATGGAAGCGGACAAAAATGCGCACCTTGTTCCGTCAGCGGCGCCGAGCTCCACACGAGCGAGTGGTAGATGAAGCGCTCCCAGTTGCGCGCGGGCCTCACCTCGCTAGCAAGCCCGAGTTCCTCCAACCGTTCAAGGATGCTAAGACATGCTCAGTGGACGACCGCTTATCACAGTCTGATTGACTCACGCTTCGCGCCTATCCTCCCTCAGCTGCTCGCGCGATGCATTGTACTTCACCATGATATTCCTCTCCCATTGTTCGCACGCCAGGGCATGCTATGGGAAAACAATGCGTCAGCGATGATCGTCACAACCTGGAGTGACGTTCCACATACCTTTCTGATAGCTTCGAACTTTGCAGCCTTAGCGGTGATCCAGGCTTTTGTGTCTTCGAGTGGCCGATCCACATAATCCCTCTCGTATTCTCTGACGAAGTCTCCAATCGGCGCTGTGGTGTACAGCCGATGAGGACTATCTGAGAATAACAGTTGAGCACAGCGGTGAGGAAACTGCGCCTGGAGCGTTCCGCACACAGGACAGAGTGGACCACGCACCTACTAACGCAAAGGCAGGGAAGCTCGGGAACATGTTTCGAGGTGGAAATCACACCCGGGAAGGCTGCGCACGTCGCACAGGTTCTTAAAGATGGCCAGCGCATCTTCATGGACAACATGCCCGCTAAATTGGTCCTAGATCAGATTTTGTCCGTGAAAACCCTCAGATCAACGCACTTTTCCGATGGTAGGCAATCCTCGCAGCACCGTAAACGCGCGCTGTATATGATTCTCAACTTCCCGTCTTCTGGGTAGGCGTGGCAGAACTGTCATCAAGGGCGACGTGAGTGTGAGCTCGAAGTGATCAAGAGGCGGACCTCAACGCACTGAGCAAGTATAGTCGTTGATCAGGACGGCGAGCTGCGGGACCGGCAAGTCTTCGGATGCCGGTGGCAGTTCGTGGCCGGTGGACGCGGTGTAAACCTCCTTCCACAATGTGCTTGAGGAGCGGTCTAGTAGCGTGTTATGCAAGGCCTTCGAAGTCTTGGTGAGATGTACAAGGGATAGTGCATCACAATGGCTGAATATCTGCGAGGGAAGCTATAAGAGCTGGTACGTGATCACGAAGGGTAAAGGGGTACCTCATACAGCACGTCGAGAGGCATTTGCTGGAAAGCGGCAGCAGACGCAGACATATCGAGCTTCCTTCCAGGTTTTCTGTCTTCGCCGACGATGCTCTTCCTTGTCCTCTGACGCTTGCGCGACGGGGTCAGTGGCGTGGCGGGTGCTTGCGAGTGGCGACTGTCATGCGCGTTGCCTTGCTTGTCACGCCTGGCAGCAGCATTCTTTAGTCTCAACGACCGTCTCATGGCGCCTGGTAGAGGGATGGATGGCGAAGACAAGAGATGTTTGATGGTTGCGGTCAAGCGTCAACGGTCAACGCGCTCATCACCTGACTCGGGCGTGGCCCCAACGCCACGTAAAATCGGCAAATTCCGACTCGACTGTTCGAAATCTTCTTTTCCTTCCCGGACACAGCAGTCCGCGTGTTAGATGCGCTGAGCCGGGCATATAGCGAGCATTTATTTGGTGGCCTTGTGTTTTGCAAAGGCTCAGTGCAGTACATCGACTCCCTAGAAGTAGCTCAATTTGCTACGCTCAGTGTACAATGAGAATTCAGCAGTACAGAAGTCACCAATCATCGTCGTCTATGATCAGTATCAACCGCCCTCCACACTTAGCTACCTCCGCCTCTTCCTCCTTCCAGATCGTTGGGATGAAGACATGTCCCTCGAACGCGCCCATCTGCGTGCGCTGCGCCCGCGCCAGCGCACTGTCCTCGTCCGAGACAAGCACGAAGTCAGCGGTCAGTCTGCTTTGCATCACCTAGCGGCAGATCCCCATCGTCAGTACAAGCACCATGATATACGATCCTGACTCAACGCACCGTTCTCCGCCACGTCATGGCAATTGCGTCCTTGTGGTTGTGCGTAGCGCATTCCGCGGGCGTAAACCAGGCGTCGCGCGCGTCCATATCCTCGGGTGTCGCCGTCCCGGGGTCCAATCCCGCCAAAGTCACCAGCCGCGCGGTCGTGTCCCTCAGATCGGCACTGAACAAGCGCGCGGACCATGCCCAGTGGCCAACCATGTGCTGCGGGTCGTCGAAGTTTGCCGCCGACCAGAGCTGCGGGGTGCGCGCGAGCAGCTCGGGGTACCAGCAGGGCTTGTCGCGTCGCCACCAGAACACGGTCGCGGCGAGTGTGAGGTCCGCGGCGCTTGCCGGACGCTTGCGCTCCGTGCCTGTCCTCTGCGCTCGCGCAGCCGCCGCAGCGTCAAGCTTTGCGATGAGCGCGTTCTCGCACGCCTCTCGCCACTCGGTAAATCGCCGCGTCTGTGCGAGTTGGTCGATGAGCTCCCGCAGGTCTTCACCCAAGAGCTCCAGCTCGAGCGGTGTGCCTTCGATGACTTCGGCCACTTCCTTCCATGTCACCAAATCTCCGATTCGCGGGAGGCCTCGAGCCTCGCGCGAGCCGCTGCTGATGAAGCTGCCCACAAATTCATCGTAGACCTTCTTGAGCGAAAGATACCGCTCTTCAAGGATCCTGCGCCTCTCCGAGCGCACACTATCCTCCCACATCTTCTGCACCCACTCGAGCAGCCGGTCGCGGTCCTGGACCCATTCTGAAAAAAGGGAAGAAAAGCTCGGTCAGCGCGACAGTACACAATGAAGGGAATACGTCCCGACGCACCTTCGTCTGTGAGCGGCTTCGCTTTCGAGACGAAGGGATCCCTCGCAAATAGCAAGGTAGCGTAGCACACTTCCGTTACCTCTGGCGAAGTCAGATTGCTCAACCTCTTCACGATTCTACAGATAGTCATGCGTTCAATCGAGATCATCTTGCAAGATCGAGACGAGGAGGCTGGCGTACTCTTCAAACCTCGCGTCCCGTATTTCTTGTTTCCTCGCCGACCTTTTCTTCTTCTCTGCAGACTCCCATTTCTTGCAGACTTTGGCATGCTGAAGAGCAGCATAAGCACCATCAGCGCCGAACCACACACCATGACGCACCTCGAGTATAACCTCATGTTCAGCCACCTTCTGTAGAAACCACGCCTTCTTATCCTCGACAGGCTTGCCGTTGGTCTCCTCCTCAAAATCCTTCGACAGCTGCTCGATCTTCACACGTGCATATGAGTTATAAGGACTAGGAGTGCGATCTGCAGGGGCCAATTTGAGCAATGAACGACAGAAGAACAATGACGAAATGGATGGTGCCTAGCGCACTCACTTATCCGGCAACTGAGGAACAAGGTAGGTAGCGGGAATTCGGGCCCGAAGTAGTGCCGCACAGCGCGTACAATCTCGTACTCGTCCATGTCCTTCTCAGCTATGAAGTACCTCCTATAAAGCAATGTCATAAACCTCGGAGGACGGCAAAGCAGCATATGGTGCATACATACTTTTTGACATGGCACCGAGAGCAACTCCGCAAGCGCGCGGTCCAGAAGATGTATAGAGAGTCATGGATCTCATAGAACGTCGTCTCTTCTGTCAGCTCCCGATGGCAGTACTGGCGAGGGGAATTGTAGTTAGCGGCGGTGATATAACTGCTTGCATAGCGGACGACGCACATCACATGTTCTGTCGACTGCGAGCTCGAGGAACTGGGGTATAGTCAGGTCCTTTGGCGCCGGTGGGAGCCCGTGGTTCGTGGTGGCGTAGGACCGCTTCCAAATCCAGATCGACGAGCGGCTCATGAGGGTGCTTCTGAGGGCCTTTGAGGTGCGCGAGAGGTGAAGGAGAGATATAGGGTCCACGTAACCGAATACCTAGAAGTACAAAGAGACAGCATCAGGCGGGGCCATGTAGTCGGACGATGGCGAGACTCACCTCGAAGAGCACGTCGAGAGGCAGTGCGTTCAGAATGCAGATGGCTGCATAGCGAGGTGAGATCGGTCGTGAACCTGCCCCTTCGTCCAAGGTCTTCGCTCGCGCCGGCATGTTGTCCGCGAGGCGGTCGAGTGGCGTACCGGTAGCCTGGTGGCTGATAGGGCTTTCGGAATGCGCCAATGCTCCGTGTGCAGAAAGTCGAGGAGAGGAAGGACATTGAGCAGATAGTCTCATGATGCAGCCCTATAGTACGAGATGATGGTCGTGGTCCAAAGCTAAGACATCGGCAATTTCATTGCGTGATGGCTACGGTCAACGTGTTAGTCACCTGATCGCGGCGACGGCATGGCATCATTGTCGCCACGTGGACCAAGGGCCTTGTCCTCTTTGCCTCGTTCTCCTCACATTCCCCACGAAGCCGGTCGAGTTCAAAGTAGCGCTAATCGATCCGAGCGCAAAGAAGAATGGCAGTATCAGACGTTGATGCCGAAGAAGGTTGTCTTAAGACAGAGAGGCCGCGCGCATTGACCACGTCTGGGGAATGACAGCCGCCGGGTACGCTGAGCGGCGATATGCATTCTGAGTCCGAGACGCGGGCGTTACGAGCGAGTGCTCGTACTCGGACGCGACTGAGCTGCACATTCCGAGGTCAAGGGCTCCCTTCTTGACGCCATTTCGTTCGTGATCAGGCAGTGGATTGGAAAGACGTGTAAACGAGCAAAATACTCCAGGCGTGTCTTTGTCTCGCGCGACACGACGCGCCGGACCGACGTTGTCTATAGGAAGACTTGACAGAATACGCGCTCGCCGCTGCGTCGCTTCGGCCATCGCCCGTGCGTCTCGCGCATCCTTGGAGCAGATTCATAAGCAGTAGCCACCTTTTGCTCAGAGTCATTTCGGGTAGAAGGTGCATGACACCGATATCACAGGATGCTGCATAAATAATGGCAATCAGTACGCGGCAATGAGCGAGAGGGCGCCTGACGCTTGGAAAAACGATCCACATGAGACGCTGCCGAGGGCGCATGCCAGTACAATCTGGCATTTGAGTGCACGAGAAGTGACGGATAGTCTGGTGGTGCGTGCCGGGTAGTGCAGATGTAAGTCAAGATAATAGAGGCCTCTCTTCGGCAGGAAGGGTCAGAGAGGACGAGCGAAGAACGTGGGCGTACCATCGAGCTGCTCCTTGGGATGGTGCGCAAATATCAGTCAAGATATCACGCGAGCTTGTATCTGCTGTGTACGCGGCAGGTCGGGCAAGAGGATTAGATGGCCGTTTTAAGGGTCAATGGTGTGTTTAGCTTGTCGGTGCTTCAGATCGCCTTTGAACGGGTCAGGCCGTGCACTGCCAAGTCCGCCACCCCTCCACTCAGGATCATACACAGCCGCTGCCAACGCAAACAGCGCCGAAAGGCGCCTTGTCATCGAGCAGCGGCAAGCGCAGGGGGAGGATACCGTCCGATTTTCCCCCCACAGAAGCGGTGATGGGAAGACCGGCCAATGACTTCGTGTGCGCGACCGACGAAGAGCCAGCACTATCCCTGCGAACTAATTCTGCGCGGAGACGTGGCGCGTCCCGTACGTCGAGGAGCTAGTGGAAAGACGTGGCGCAGCGCCTGATGCGTTGAGAATTGAATGAGTCGAGCGCGGGGTCGAGGTCATGTCATGTCGATGCTGCCATTCGTCGTCGCGGCGAAGGTTGAAATTATGCCCGTCGACTATGAAGATCCGGTAAATGACGCCCGCCGAGGATGTCGAACGACGAGACGACGAGTCCCTGGCCTCGAGGACATGGACACGGGCGACACAGTGTGCGCAAGCAGCCGGCTTGCTCGTCCCGCGACGGAGGTCTCGCGCGAGATGCAGGCGCCTTTTGAGGTCGTGGGGTCGGCCAAAGGCTGAGGGCATGGGTTCTAGTCGCTACGCGATCGGGACGGTCGGCGGGGTACAACTTCGCGTGCACGCCAGAACGCATCTGAGGCATAATCGAGGGTGGTGCATGTTATCCAGGCCAGAGGGAGGACGCGCAGCTTCGAAAGGATTAGTGAGGAAGGATTATTCAGGAGGCAGAGCGGCGCACCTTACGGTTACAACCGAGCGAATGAGGGAACAGCGCGCGAGATGATAGCGGCGGCGAATGCAGCGGGGAAAGAGGGCAGAAGGAATAAGACACTTGTTTGGGACGATGATCTTGAGCAGCTCGTCCATGTTCGATGTCGCCGTGAGGCTGGATGCGTCTGACGGTGGAAGGCGATCATATTGGAACCGCCTGCCTTGGCCTTAACTTGCAGCGAGGGATGGAAGATTCAGAGGGGAGATTTGAATATTTCACTAGCCGTGATGGACATCCACAAAGACTAGTGCTACAACCTCAGTATATGTCCATAGAACACGATCGACTGACGCACCACGCTTTCGCTCATGCCTTCCGTTCGGTTCCTTTCTATGAGTGACATCTGAGAACCACAGTCCACGGTCCCCGACGCACGATCATATCCTTTTCGCGATACAGACGCAGCTGCGTATGAAGCCACAGCGGGGTAAGGGAACAAGATGCGATCTCCGCCTTCTGATCGCGACGCCCGCGATGCCAACCAAGTTCAAACAAACCCACGCACTGATCAGGTGACCACGTTCACCATGTGGCGTAAGACCAAGCGACTCCGCAACTTGAATCGCAACCACCACCTCGCACACCGCGCAATGAGACGATCCGCACGACTTGCTTCTCGGAAGAACCCGGCTCGCCTTCAAAGCGCGTACGGTCACAAGGCTCCCGATACACCACTTAGCCGCGAGTTAACGCGGCCGGTCAATCCTCCGCCGCGCAAGCGGCAAAAGTCCGACAATGAAGTCGAAGGCTCAACATCAGCATTGCACGAGTCCTTTCAGGCCTGCCCTTTGTACTCTCTACCTCTTGATGTGCTATACGAGGTATGCTGCATCGCGTCCTTCAACTTTCAAGCCAGCTCATACCTCATGCCCCTTGCAACACAGGTACTCAGCTATGTCGACCCCATCTCTCTCCTCAACCTATCCCGTACCTCAAATCTCCTGCGTACGACACTGCTCAGCTCGCCGGCCCGCTGGGTGTGGAGGACTAGCTACACCGCCTCGGACCACGATCTACCCCTGGCACCCGACGATGTGACCATCCCCCAATTCCTCAGCCTCCTTGTCGACAGAATATGCGATGTGCGTCGCTACCGAGACCCTTGCAGAGCTTTTAACACTGATGAACACCCCTTCACCAGTTCTGCCACGCAACTTTGGGCCCGGACGACCGGATGGTGAGATTTTGGGCCGCGCGCCTGCGGAGCTGTACGAACTGTCTATATGATACGTAAGTGCATGCTCGTCGGCTCTCATAGAACGTTTGCTCACGATCTGACAGCGATCACATCGTCCGCGAAAAGGAGTTGGGTATCTTCCCCATCGTCAGGGATGTCCGCCGGTATTTTGGCGCAGCACATCCTCTCCGCAAGTTGCTCCTGGCATCCGAAGGTCCGTTCCGCCTCGGTTCCTCACATTCCCTGTCTCGCTAATCCTTTATTTTGCGTCGAATCCTACCCAGACCATTACAGTTTCGATGTCAAGTATTCGCGCGTGACGATCGAGCGCCTGGCGGAGGTGTTCAAGCGCGAGAATAGGCGTAAGCTTATGGCGGACAAGAAAGAGTGGCTCAAGCAGAGGGAGGCCGAACACGCAAAAATCGTAGAGGTATGTGCGGCGTATCAGTCATCGGCGAATCGTCGAGTTGACGGCTACCTCCTGATTCACAGCACGCCGCACTTTGCAAAAAGTGGGAGGAGGGAGAGGAAGAGAAGAAGCGAAAGAGGAACTACGAAATACAGATGCAAAGGCTTGGACAGTGAGCTCCCCTTGCATTTGTCGACGGCGCGATGATTTACGCTACACCTTTCTCCAGGATCTTCGATCGATTGAAGAACTTCGGGTGGTACGAAGAAGCGAAGGAGCTTCACAGCCGGTATGAGCTGCGGTGCAATGACTTCATCGCGAAGCGTCAGCCCCTCACGGACGAAGGTGCGCCCTGCGGGTTGATGCGCGCCTGCGATCGCGATACTCACGATTATAAACCCTCCTTAGAATGGGCGGATAATCAGAACTCGGTGCTCCAGTACTTAACGGAACTCAAGGCCCGTCGGCAGACAGAGATCAGGCGCGAAACATTCAAAGAGCGATATCAACTACTCAAAGAAGTATATCATTCTTTTGGCCGCAGGCCTCGCAATAGCGATTACATCCGGCCGGGAGTCGGCGATCTGGTCACCTTCGAGGAGGTCAAGGACTTTGTGGAGGGCACGCCTGTCGACCAGAACCTCGAGCGGCAGGACTACTGCGACATGCTTGAAAGGATCGAGCCCGTCCGCTTCCCCAAGTGGCAAGCCGCATGTGAGGAAGCGCTTGTCGCCCTGCTCAACGCAAAGGACACGGATCGTGCGACGCCGGCGACTACCGCGGATCTCCGCACCGCGGCGGTGGTCTTCACGCACAAGGACCCCCACTACGTGGATGTCGAAGTCCTCCATTACCCGTTCATGCTGCAACGGCGCCCGCGGATGTACCCGTGCTATGCCGAGGATGACGACCCGCAGCGGCTCGTGGGCCAGTGGGCGTGGTCCGCCGACCGCGTCTACGTCGAGCCCGCGCGCCTGCGCGTCGCGGAGCGTCTTGTCTCCCTCGCGGGCCTCGACCCGCGGACAGCGACCTACAGTGACATGCAGATGCGGAACCCGTGGTACGCCAATGCGCAGGACATGCAGGATCCCAAGGCGGGGCTACGCGTGAGGATGTGGGAGAAGGCGGTGCGTGATGGGCAGAGATCCGACGGAGCTGTCGACGCTGATGGGCTTCTTTTCAGACACAGTATGTTGAGCACGTGGATGAGTATGTGCTGCTCTCCGAAGAGGATAGGACGGTGGCTTGGCAGGTTCTCGCAAGCCCGACGGAGGTGTGCTGTGGGAAGGGCTATTTTGTGATTCCAGCAGCAATGAGGAAAGGAGTGGCACGGAAGCGGTAGCCTCTCTGGCGCTCGCGGTTTGTTGAGAAAAATATATGGTAGTGTATCTATACTGTATCTTTCATCGGGATGCTGTTGTTTTGAAGAACGACGTGCAGAATCAAACGCGACGCGAATGCGTACATTGCGAGTAGTAGTACGATGATCTGTATCTTCCGACCCACGTGCTGTTGGTACCGTCAGGTGACTCACACGTTGGTGACGTCCATCACTTACACTTTGACCGCGACCATCACATCGACTCGCACTCTATGAGAGAGTCTACGCAAATGGCTAACACTACAGACGCAAATTCGCGTGCGGATCGTGTTGTCGGCAAGTCAAGAGGCAGCACGACACCCAAGCAAGGGATAGGGCGAGAAATTTGTCCGCCGCGGCGCAAGCGCCGGGAGATAGGGGCAAGTGAAGGAGGGACAGCTTCAGAGCCGGAGCGTACTTCCTCCCTCCAGCAAATGCCCCCCGACATACTATTCGAGGTCAGTAGCCCGACTCCGTCCATCGACGCCGAACTGACCATCTGAACCTTCCAATTTCGTGCGCGTCGCTTCACAGATACTTGGTCATCTCGACCTGTTCTCTCTCTTCCATCTATCCCGCACCTCGAAAGATTTCCGCAATACTCTCATAAGCCGCTCGACAAGGGGAATCTGGAAGAAGTGCTACGCCGCCGCTCCGCGCGAGCTGCCACCCTTTCCGGAGGACGTGACCATACCGCAGTTCCTCAGCTTCATTGTCGACAATATTTGCGACGTACGTAGACCGCCAACGAGCTCCTTGCTTACTCGTCTCCTCGGCGCTCATATGCATCGCCCTCCCCAGTTCTGCCACGCGTCCGACCTGGAGGACCGCGACATCAGGCGCGCGTGGGCCGTTCGGGTCCGATGTTGCGAAAAGTGTATTCAAGAGAGGTGTGTTCTCGTCTCGGATGCTCCTAGACCGAGGGCCCTGTACTTATGAGTCGATAGCGCTCACGTCCTACATGGCGAGGCCGCGCTGCGCGAACTCAAGATCATCCGCGATATTCACCGCTATTTCGGCCGCGACTACCGCCTCGACAAGTTGTTCCCCACCCTCTCTCCAGGTCAGTAGGCTGCTCGCATACTCTCGGCACTCTGCGCGCTTATTCTCGTATGCTGTCTCGAGCTTACTCTCTTCTAGTTCGCCACCACAGCTTCGACGAATGGTTCCCGCGTGCGCCGATCGAGCGTTTGGCTGTCGAGTTCGAGCGAGACAACAAGCGCAAGCCGGTCGAAGTCAGGAAGCAATGGCTGGAGCGGAGGGCTGCCGAGCACATGAAAGTGCAGAAGGTACGATGAGGAGGTCGAAGCACAGGCGCAACGGAAAATTAACACGGGCACGCCTGCAGTACGCCCGTATATGCGAAGAATGGGAGCAGCAGACGCTGTGCAGGAAGATCGAGCGGGATAGACGGGTGCAGAGGGAAAGGCTGGACGAGTGCGTTTTGCTTCCTTCGTCTATCGTGGTTTGAGCCTCTAGTCTCCAATGCTAACCTGAACATCCGTGCAGGATATTGAGACGGCTTTCCGCGCTCGGATGGGGCAGCGAAGTACAGCACACCGGGAGCTGGCACTCCCTATCCCAACACCCCTTCGCTGCGAAAGCGGAGCCCTTGACCGAAGAAGGTGCGTCGTTGATATTGCGTTGCTTTACCTCGCTGCACTAACTTCGCGTATCCTGATCATGCAGACTGGCTCGAGAATCGCCAGGAACTGATACAGTTCACGCAAAAGCTGCGAGAAAGCCGGCTAGCGGTCGAGCGGCGCAAGACCATCGAAACGCGGTACCGTGAACTTAACGAGGTGTACAAGACGTATCTAGCCCGCATGACGCGCCGAGAGCAGTGGAGGCTCCCCGGCATTGGCGATCTGGTCTCCTGGCAGGAGGTCAGGGACTTTATCGAGGGAACGCCCGTCGGGGAAGAGATCACTCCGGCAGCTATGCGCGCGATGATCGACCAGCTCGCGCAATCGAAGTTCGCCGAGTGGAGGGCTTCGTGCGAGGATGCGCTGGTCCGGATGCTCAACGCGGAAGACACGACGCGCGCGCGCCCAGCGACCAAGGCAGACCTCAGACTCGCTGCAACCGTGTTCTGCCGAAAGCGCGACTACGGCGTCGCATGCTACCCCGAAGCACTGCATTCTCTCCGCCCAGGGTACTTCTCCCCGAGCGCAAAGATGGACGACCCTTATGTCATCGTGCGCCAGTACGCGTGGTCGGCGGAGGACGTCTGCGTGAAGGTGGACAAGCTGCGCGCTGCTGAAGAGGTGGTCAGGCTGGCGGGGCTGGATCCGCGGACGGCGACGCTAGAAGATATGGATGCGCGCGATTCGTGGTTCACGTGGGGGCGCGAGGTGCCCAAGGCGGGCGAGGTGCCCGACCGCAAGAAGGAAGTGGAGGTGCTGCCGTGGAGGAAAGCGGTGCGTTCTTCGTGCTCTGGCTGTTACCGACTATCGTGCTCACCATTCCTCTGGTAGATGAGTCAGAGCAAGGACGGGAAGAATATCGTACTGCTGTCGGAGCAGCAAACGGCGCCTATACGCCAATTGAGAGAGCGGATCTATTGGTATGAGGGCGGGTTGATGAAGTGGTCGGAACTCAATCGGAAGTCGAAACCGCGCAAGAAGCAAGGTCAGTCAGTCTGTAGCTAGTGTCTTACCTGTAGAAGTAATGTGTACAGACGGCACGTCTTACAGCTTCCAGAATCGAGGTCACGAACGTCGGTGGACCTCATTCGTGTTGATATCGCATAAGCCACGAGGAGTCAGAGCGCCCTTTTAGATGTCATCTTGCTTGATATCAGCTGAGGTGAACTTGGACGTGTGGTAGGGCCGGCGCAAGAGAATAAGGACCGTGTCTGCTTGCGTGTATTTGGGCTTATGGGTGCAGCGGACCAGCCATGTGTCACGGCGCGCGGTGGTCCTTCCTTCATCCCGCCCACCCCTCGGCCCTGTGGCAGTCTCCGCGACTCATCCCCAGCGCTCGCCAAGCTTTGGCTATGCGACGGACGGCAAAGGATCTACAAAAGCGGATGGAGGATCTGACGGAGGGAAAATGAGGAACTTGCGGGTGGTGCGTCGATCGCGCTCGGCTATACCGCGTCTACTGACTCTTAAGCCCTTCCAGATGGATGGTCTTCCTAGCTACCGCAGGACTTTCTTCCCCTCTCCCATCAATCTACAGCTAAGACATGGCTGCATGCAACCACGGACAAGATCGTCGCTTCGGGATGAAGGCAGCAATTTCAAGCTCATTCGCACCCGCTGCATCATCTCGTCCCCATCCGACCAAGCACACGAACGCGCGATGCAGAGACATTTTATAATAGTGAAGTGGATTCGCGGGATAACGAAGGTGCGTCTTACGCACTTCGACAATGAACTAGGCGCTGACTCTTCCAAAGCTCCTTCATAATCTCGTCGCCATCCTTCAGCTCCTCAATCTCCTCATGTGCTTCGTGGGCAAGCTGCGACAGTCTATCCTTCATGCCATGCCCAGCTGTCATACTGGTGTCTTCGAGCGGAAGTTGCGCTCTTATCTTCAACCGCCCGGGGCGAGATTCTGGATGTGCGCCATTCCCGCATTTGCATCCAGTGCACCGCAAAGACCATCTACAAGTTCGCGATCGGCACTCGCGGCCATTCGGCGGCTACATGTGCTACAACCGCAAGTTCGATTTCGACCCCGATAGCTGCTATTCACGCTTTTGGTGCTCAAACCTGCCCTCCGTAGTCCGCAATACCACCCTCTTCCTTTTGCGCGGCCGACCTCTGCCTTCTGCAAAGCCACCCTCAAACATCCTCAAGCACGCTCGCCGTCATCTGCGCCTCAGCCGTCCAGCGCCTATAATCTCGCTTACAACCCGCCGCCTTAGTCTCCTCATCTTCACCTCCCTGATGATCCGTCTCGAGCGGTGCGCCACTGTAGTGCGCTGCCGTCTATCCAGTTTTGCAACGCGCAGACTTTGACGGCCCGGACGAAAGTCAGAAAATCTTCGTGCGCTAGAAGGGCTGCGCGTGGGCGTTCGACTTGCTTGTCAATGCAGGCGGTTGCTTCTTCCTCTTCTGTATGCCGGCGGTCATGCCTTTCGCTTCTCGGTGCGAGCGGTCGCGTTCTTCGCTTCTCGCAGCCAGCAGTCGCATCCTTGACTCCTCGATATGGCGGTCACGTTCGCCGCCTCACCAGACGCGCCAAAACGAGCTATGGATGGTTTGGAAACGCTTGCAAGCACGGCGGGGAAAGGTCGCAGTGGCGCAAGCAGGCCAGGCCATTTCGTGTCGTTGAACTCGGCTCGCCCGTTGTTCCATTGCTGCTACAACTTAGCGGGGACGCTTCTGATATGATCTAGCTGCACCATTGAGCACGGTTGTCAGCTCTGGGCATTCTTTACCGAACGGGGACGCGCTGCGTCCTTCGTCAAGTCGCTCGCCGTCCCCGGCAGTATACTGCATCGCATCCTTGTCACTCAGCCGGGCTCGCAAGAACCCCCGTTCCTCTACCTGTGTCGCGGACCTCCCGACGCCATCGTTCTCTTGTGGCTTTCGAGCGTAGCTGACGTCGAACTTGCGTTGCGGTTTCATCGAGGCACTCAGACACGTAACAGATGCGCTCGCAAGCTGGCCTAGCGTCCGCCGCTGCCCGATGACGAGATGCCTGTAGGCATCGTTTGCGTCGACAGCGGCTACGCGAGCGCGCGAGCAACTTGGACCCATCTTATCTCCTGGCGTTCGCAATATGGAGGAACCTTGATCCATAGTGAAGTATACGTCTAGCTCCCGAGCCGGCAGCCTGCAAGTGTTACGCATCACTGGCGGGATGGACCCTCCGTCAGAGAAGTGAACGTCTCGAGTATGGCGCGGATTCTCGAGTCAAGCCAAGTATTGTGGGCAGTAAATACATCATTCTTGTTGGTTGAGGCATTCTCGCGCCTGCGGCCTCCTTCTGCTGTAGGACTGCCAGCCCGACATCCGCACCTTTCACACTATATTGACATTACCTAGAAGTACTGCCTTTTATCCTAGCAAGACCGCTGAGCAACCTGTCTCGGGTTCTCTACTTTGTTGACTTCGGGAGGACGAGTGAGCCACCAAAACGACGTCGCGGGTCCGCACGCATCTCTCGAGCAAGTGCTGTGTCCGCGTCAGAGAGTAGAACATACTCCTCCACCTTCCTCCCCCCGATTATTTCGTAGTTCTCCAGCTATCAGACGAGATCATATGTCAGGACTAGCGTATGTGGAGTGTACGGGTCCGCACTCACCACTGCTCGCCACAACATCACATGCACTGACAGGCCGTCCTTGCGATAGGCAATGTCACGCGCCCGCATGTACCACGCATCGCGCTTGTCCATGTCCTCCGGCGTCGCAGTCTGCGGATCCAGGCCCGCCAGCTCGACGAGCTTCTTCGCAAGCCGCAATATCGTGACTTTGACACCAATGTCGTTCGCCGAAAAAGGGTGCTGCGCCACCGGCAATCCTGGATGCCCCATGCCCTCATGTCTACCCTGAAGCACGTCTGGGTACAACAGCAGTCCTCCCCTCGGCCATTTTGTATACCTGAACACCGTGACTGCGAGCTTGAGGTCCGATGCGGTTGCCGGCTGCTTACGCTTCTTGTCTGCCACGTTGAGTATGTCGACCAGAGTATTGTCGCACGATGTCTTCCACTTGGGAAAGCGCGTCTGCAAGAGATTGTCAAAGAGCGCAAGCATGTCCTGCGCCGGAACCTCCTGGTCAAACGGTGTGCCCTCTACGAGCGCGACGACCTCCTCGAAAGTGACCAGGTCGCCGACATCCGGAAGCACAGATTGCCCGTCGCTCATTTTGAGTGCCCGATAGTCGAGATACGTCTTTCTGAGTGCGAGGTACCGATCCATGCGGGCTTTCTCCCGTTCATCGGCCAGCCGCTCCTCTTTCAGGGTTCTCAGGAAGCTGAACAATGTGTCTTTCGCCTGATTCCATTCTGAAAGGATAAAGGGGAGGGGAGGGATTCGTCAGTACTAGTTACAGCTCTTAAAGAATGACGCACCTTTGTCTGTGAGGGGCTGCGCCTTCGCGACGAAATCATTCTCCTTGAAGCAGCGCGCATGCCGTGCGTTCGCTGCCTCGTCGTACCACCTCACCTCCTTCAACCGCTCCAAGATCCTAAAGAAGCGCAATCACGTCAGTCGTCCTGAGAGTCTATGGCCGTGATCAGACGACTCACTCTTTCCTCCTCTCGTCCCGAATCTTGCCATCCCTCTCTGCTTGCTTCTCAAGCTGTTCATCCTGCCACTTCTCGCAGATTTCCGCGTGCTGAGGAGGGTAAGCGTCGCCGAGGAACGTCAATCTTGAGACATACGGCACGAATCCTCCCCTGTTTCTCCGCCCTCTCCGATAGCCACTTCTTCTTGACCTCGATACGTTTGTGCTTGGTGTCCCGCTCGAAGTCCCTTACCAGATCCTCGATCGACGCGCGCGGATACGCCCTTTCTTCGTTGTTATAGTCATCTATGACGAGGTTATCAGAAAGATTAGAGAGAGGTCTCCGGAAACGCACCCAAGAAGAAAGGGAACAGAGTGTGGATGGGGTAATCGCGCTGGCCAAAGTAGCGCTGTATATCTCGAACGATCTTGATGTCTCGCCGCATGCGCTTCTCCGCAACAATAGCTGGACTATAGCGTGGTTAACACAGTCCTTGCACTCGACATCCAACATTACGCACCTGTTCTCGCGGCATTCGAAGCAGTACCGTAGGCGTGCAGACCACACCCTGACAAAGCCGTCCTTTTGAGGTCGCTTGTTACAAGACTTATGAGGGTCGTGCGTGAGCAGTGAAGGTAAGGAAGTTCATCAGACATACGTCGCAGATCTCATCGACCATGAAGCTGAGAAATTGGGGTATGTTGAGGTCGTCTGGCGCGGGTGGCAGCCCATGGTCCGTCGAAGCGTAGCTCGTCCTCCAGATCCAGACCAGCGAGCGGCTCATCAGTGTTTTCCTGAGGTCGCGCGAGGACCGAGACAAGTAGAGCAGGGATATTGGATCAAGATATCCAAGGATCTACGGGTTGCAGCGCATGAGTCATAAAACAACACGCGCTACAAAGGCAAAATAGGGCTGAAACGCACCTCAAAGAGCATGTCAAGAGGTAGATGATGAAGGGGGGATACGCTGGCTGGCGACGATGCTGAACATACGCTGCCCGCCTTTGTCTTCTGACGCTTGCGTGGTGGCGCTGGAACGACTCCCTTCACCGACTCGATGTTTGATCCTGGCTTCGCGGTCTCGTTGGCAACGTTACTTCCGGCGCGCGTCTGTGCGCCTCGAGCAATAGCAAGCCGTGTTGATCTTCTCATGGTGCGATTCCGAGGTGGTCGTGGCCGTAGTCAAAGGCTGAGTCCACGGATCGCCTGTTTCGGTCCGCAATAGCCGCAGGCATCGTGGCAATCACCTGATCTTCGGCAAATGCCTCAGGGTGTTCGACTTTCCGACAGTCACCGGGCAGGAGTCCGGCACCCGAAGAGGAGGGAGTAGAGCTCGAATAAAGTTCGCCGGGGTGGACACCTGGAAGTGCGGCCCGCCAACTTCGCGTTAATCGCATTGATCGTCTGCAATCTCGCGATCTTCGTGTACAGCGATCGCATCACATACTATCCCGACCCCAAATCTAGCCCTCCACGGCCTTGACGATTAATCCCGCTCTGTCGCTCGTCAACCCGATCCAAGTCATCTTTGTCTGCGCCACTGTCAAGTACAACATCTTGCATGGAACTTCTTTTACTGTCTGACCCTCTATAGTGTGTAATACACGTCTAGAAAGCATAGGAAACACGGTATACAACATAAAGATGTTCTATAGTTGTTATGCTCGTTTCTTTCGCAAGTTCCCCTTTGCATTCAGTTGCGACCACTTCATGTACCCGCCATCCCAGTAAGTCCTCGCCCTCAATTCGAGAATCGGCACCATCTGACTCTCGGATAGCAACACGAAATCCTTCCCATCCGCGGTTTCGGACAGCTATCGGAGCAATTCAGCGAGGAAGAGGAAGCACTCCAAGTTAATCGTACACACCGTGCGCCTCCACGGCAACACCCACACCTCCTTCTTGTAGTCTGGCACTTCTCCCGCTTTGGGCACGTCGGACCTCCACATGAACCATGGGTCGCGCGCATCCATGTCCCTTGGCGTCGCAGTCCGCGGATTCAGACCCGCCCGCCTTACCACCCGCTCCGCCGCACGCAGCGTGCGCTTCTTGACGCAGACATCGGCCGCCGACCACGCGTATTGATGCACGATGACATGGGGATCTTGCTCCACCGAAGCTGACCCAAAATACCCTGGTCGAAGACGATGCAGTGCCTCGGGGTAGCAGGCGACGCCGCAATTATGCTTCTCGCAGAATACGGTCGCCGCAAGCCTGAGGTCGTCCTTGGTCGCCGAGCGCTTTCGCGCGGTGTCCTCCGCGTTGAGCATCTGGATCAGCGCTTCCTCGCACGACGTTCTCCACTCTTCGAACTTCGATTCCGCAAGCCGGTCAATTAGTGCGCGCATAGCTCCTGAAGTGATCTCTTCCTCGACCAGCGCTCCCTCGATGAAGTCCCTAACTTCCTGCCAGGAGACCAGATCGCCAATGCCGGGGAGCTCCCACTTCTCTCGGCGCGTCTTGCTGGCCAAATACACCTTGTACACCGCGTCGAGTTCGCGGTATCGCCTTTCAATCGTCTTGCCCCTCTCCACCGCTAGTCGCCTATCTCTCAGTCCTTGCGTGAACTGTATCAGCTGCTCTCTATTCTGGCGCCAGTCTGTACATCCGGGGTAGATGAAGTTAGCGCTGCTAAACAGGCGACGCAAGGTTAGAGACGCACCTTCCTCGGTGAGTGGTTCCGCTTTCGCGGCAAAGGGATGCATCGATAGGGAGTGCCAGCTCCCAGAGTGCTGTACCTCGTCGGCCCATCCAAGCGCTGAAAGCCGCCTCAATATCCTATACGGATGTATTCATGTCAGCAACGGACAATGAAGCCCAGACCACGAAGGACGCAGGAGACGAAACGCACTCGTCCAGCCGTTCCCTCTGAACCTTTCTATCCCGCTCGATCTTTCGGCAAAGCGTCTGCTCCTCCCACTCTTCGCATATACTGGCGTACTGCAGGTGCCCACACGTCAGAATCCACTGCGCTTGCTGCTCCGCCTCCAGTCCGTACCTTCTGAATCCTCACGTGCTCGGATGCCCTTTGCTCCAGCCATCTCTTCCTAATCACCACGGGGTTACGCTTATTGTCTCGTTCGAAGTCCGCAGCCAGGCTCTCAATGGGCGCCCGAGGGTACCATTTATCAAAGTCGTGATGGCGGACTGAAAGAGGGTGAGCTAAAGCTAGCAAACGAAACGACAGCGCGGAAGAAAAGCCGACCTGGCGAGAATGTCGGGAACAATTGGTCGAGGCGGTAGTTGCGGCCGAAGTAACGATGGATGTCTCGGATGATCTTCAACTCGCGCAGCGCGTCCTCTCCGTGTAGGACGTGGTTTCTTTGGCCTCATGAGCACGAGCCCTGGTCGAGGGATATCCTTATACGCGTACGCACCCGTCATGAATACACGTCTCGCAGCACCGGACTCGCACAGCCCACGTGCGCCTGATCTCGCGGTCCTTCAGGTCAGACGCGTGGCAGAACTGGGAAGGCGAAAGATGTTAGCAATGAAGGGATATTGAGAGTCGTAAACTTCTACGTACATCGCATACATTGTCCACAATGAAACTGACAAAGTGTGGTATGGTGACGTCCTCCGGGATGGGCGGCAGCTCGTGCGCAGTGGCGGCGTAGCTCTTCTTCCATAGTCCCCTTGTCGAGCGGCTCATGAGTGTGTTCCTGAAGGCCTTCGAGGTGCGGGACAGATAGAATATGGAGAATAGATCGAGGTATCAGAGTATCTGCGAAGTAATGTGCGCAAAGGGAGAAGAGAGGGTCGTTGTCAGCCTGGCAGCGAAGGTTGGAGGCGCGCTGCTCACCTCGAACAGTACGTCGAGAGGCAATTGCTGAAGAAGAGAGATACTCTCCCGCTCGGAAGGAGATGCCAAGCTCCCTCCTTCACCTGCCTCCACCTCCCGGCGTTTGCGCGGTGGCGAACAAACCGCTTGCTTTCCCTCGTGTTTGGATGGCGTACTGGCTCTCGCTTCATGAAAAACAGCGGGCGTCGGCGCGCATCGAGCAGCAGCAAGTCGCGTAGAGCGTCTCATGGCGGGCGAGTCGACGTGGTAGTTGCGGTCAAAAGGCAAGTAATGGCCGTCACCGGGATCAACGTGTGAGTCACCTGACGGCACCGACAACGCGTGGCTCGGCAGACGCCGACCCGTTCTCCGTTTTCGCTCTGCGGGGATAGTACAACACGGATTTACGATAGACCCGTCCTAGAAGGATTCCATTCCACCAGGTTATTGTGATGCCACGATTTACCATTTACGACAATGGATCCACGGCTTCACTCGGCGCTGCGTCGGACTGCGCTACAAAAACTTCACAACGTACGCTACACCGCAATTTCCTCAAAATCTACTCCAGTCCATCACCAATATCGAATTCCCCGCTTCTTGAACTCGCCCTTCTTCGTCAGTCCAGGAAGCTCGACGTGGCCCCAAAAATTGCGCATTCGTCGGTCTCCTCGCATCTCACGCGCGAAGGCCGTATCTTTCTCCGAAAGCAGCACGAACTCGTCTGCATCCTTCCCTTCTCCTACCTACAGATTAGACTCCTCGTCAGCATCAAAAATCTCCCAGACGCGAATGCAGCACATACCGCCACCCGCCACATCATCGCCCGAATGCCCTCCTTCCTCTGCGGCATATCCCTCGCGCGCGCATACCATGCATCCCGCCTATCCATATCCGCTGGTGTTGCCACCTGCGGATCCAGCCCCGCCAGCTCGACCAGCCTCTCCGCGAGCCGCAGCAGCGGAACGCGCACGCTCACCTGCCCCACCGCCCACGCGCGCTGGCGTACCACGAGCTGCGGCTCGTCCCCCATCTCGCGCACCTGGTCGCGCCGAATCACGACCTCCGGGTACCACAGGCGCGCATAGTCCCTCTTGAACACCGTGGCTGCGAGCTTGAGGTCGGCGCGCGTGGCGGGCCGCGCGCGCTCCGTGTCCGCCGCGTTGATGAGCCCCACCAGCTCGTCCTCGCGCACGGTGCGCCACTCTGGGAAGCGCGTCTCGGCGAGCTCGTCGATCAGTGCGCGCATATCCTGCCAGGGAAGGTCCTGCTTTATGGGCGTACCCTCGATGAGGCGCGTGACCTCGTCGAAGGTGACCAGGTCGCCGATGCTGGGCAAGAGGTCGAGGCTGCGGCGTAGTTGCTCTTTCAGGAAAACCTTGTGAACTTGGGCGAGGGAGGTGTAGCGTTTGTGGAGGGTCCTGCGCCTGTCTTCGGCTAGCCGCTTCTCCTTAAGTTTCTCGACGAAGCGTATCAACTCGGCGCGATTTTCGTTCCAGTCTGAATGGGAGGTCAGGGGGAAAGAATGTCAATATCGCAATGTCTGCGCGATTGGCAACCTCGACGCACCCTCATCCGTAAGGGGTTCCGCCTTCGCCACAAAAGCGTGCGCCTTGAACGACCTTTCGCTTTCCCAGTGGTTCGCCTCCTCGAACCATCCGAGCTCTTTCAATCGTTCCAGAATCCTAAGGAATGATATTTGCGTCAGAAAGGCTCATGATGAGGAACTGTGGGATACTGACGCCTCACGCCTCTCCTCCCTTATTCTAAGCTCATCTGCTTTCCTCTTGCGCTCCTGCTCCTTCACCCACTCTTCGCAGATACTAGCATGCTACAAGGAGTGAGTGCGGTGCGAGATCAACGGCCTCGCCACTACTTACCTTCCTAACCTGCTTGCGCTCGGACACCTTACGTTCCAGCCAAATCTTCTTGTCCTTCACCAATTTGCGCCGGTTCTCTGCCTCGTACTCCGCGGCAAAGCTCTCGATCTCCTCGCGGACGAATACTCTGAATTCAGGTTCCCAAGCATCTGAGAGGTCAGCATTCGTCGAGCGCGAATAGAATCAGAGGCTTACTTGGGGAAAAGTTGGGGAAGAGCGATTCGAGTGCGTAGTCACGACCGAAATAGCGCTGAACGTCCCGCACGACCTTGATCTCGTGCATATCTCGTGGTCGGACGATGTGCGCGCTGAATAATTCGGGGGTGGTCAGAGCGCAGTATAATACTCGGTGTATGAGTACGTACCTGTCGAACTGGCAATTCCGACAGCAACGCTTGCGAGCTTCCCACACTCGATAGACATTACCGTCCGCGGGAGAGGTGTGGCAGAACTGGCGTGGTCAAAGAGAGTTTGGATCAGTGAGAAAGGCGCCGAAGTTCGCAGTGAACTCACATCGCATTCGTCGTCAACGACAAGGCCGAGAAATTGGGGTATGTTGAGGTCGTTCGGGACTGGTGGTAAGTCCGCTCCAGCATAGCTCTTCTTCCACAACAAAACCAACGAGCGACCAATAAGGGTGCTCCGCAGGGCCTTGGACGCTCGCGATAGATGGAAAAGAGAGATGGGGTCGAGCAGGTTGAATATCTGCGAGAGAAAAGGGGTAAGTTAGAAAGTCTCGAGGACCCTTGCACGTAGACGTAAGGCAACAGCGCCACTCACCTCAAATAGTATATCTAAGGGCAGTTGCTGGAGAGAGAAGACGCTATCGTTCGCATGGTATGTCTCCTCGCACTTCACCATTGTCTTCTGACGCTTGTGTGGTGGCGCATTAACCACCGAAGATGGCTCGGGTTCGAGTGACGTGTCGGGCTTCTCGTCGGCAGTAGCGCTTTCGAGACGCGAAGGCACGCCTCTAGAGGACTCGATCCGCGTCGAGCGTCTCATGGTGCTATGATAGTACAGGACAAAGTGTCAATGATGGCTGCGGTCAACGTGACGATCACCTGATTCCGCGCCGGCATCAACAAAACGTGACTTCGGCGGTTACCGACGAATGTTCGTTTTCGGCCATCTGGGCATTTGTAGGCCGATACTTAAGCAAATATCTCTCCAGCCATTGTCCTGCGCATCTATTCTTGTAGATTTCGTGGTACTACAGCTATTCCATAACCTCTTTCTCGAGATAGACAAAGCCTTTGTGATCCGCATCGAAGTCCAGGCCAAAAACAATATCCTCCGATTCAATGATCTTGACGCGGTGCCTAATATTGAGTCAGTGACAGATTGGCGAGCAAGTAGAGCGAAGGGTATCTCGAAGGGCTCACTCTTTCGTCAAATGGTCCATCACCTTCTGGCGCTCCTCGAAGAGCTTGTCGCAGTACTTGCACTTGACCTCTTGCCCGTGGATGTTGGGCACGCTGCGCTCGGAGCGCTTCTCGCGCGCTCGCGCGGCCTGATTGGCAGTCAAGATGTGGAGGTCGACGTTCTCTCTGAAGCAGTCGAAGGAGGTGAGCTTGAACGGCATCGGTGAGCAGGAGACAAAGACCGAGTGAGCGCGCCACGCACCACATATCGCCACGACATCGCCAGATGCTCCCCCTGGCTGTTCGTCGTCCCATCCGCGTACCACGGGTCCAGCGCGTCCATCTCCTCAGGCGTCGCCGTCGCCGGGTCGAGCCCCGCGAGCTCGACGAGAACGCTCCCGATCTGCCGCTCCGACGGCGTCAACTGTTCCACCGACCACGTCCGCTGCCCAACGAGCACATGCGGGTCGTCTCTACTCCCGTCTTTCGCGTGCACGGAGGGGCGCCACTTCAAGACGAGCGGATACGGGAGGCCGTGCGCGCAGTGCTTGCTCCTGAACAGCGTCGTTGCGAGGCGCAGATCCGCCGCCGTCGCCCGCGGCTGGCCCTTCTTTCGCCACATATTCAGCACCTTCACGAGCTCTGCGTCGCGGTCGGCCCGCCACTTATCGAAGCGCGCCTTCGGGATGGCATTGATGACCGCGCGCAGGCGCTCCCTCGAGAGCGCCTCGGTAAGCGGCGTGCCCTCCATGACGGCCACGATCTCTTGCCAGGTGACGATATCGCCGATGCCCGGGAAGACCGAGCGGAAGGGGTGCGCGAGGCGAAAATCAGCGTAAGCTTGACGGAGGCGGCGGTACCTGTCCTGCTTTTCCCTTTCCTTCCCCTCCTCCAATATTTGGGCCTCTTCCTGCCGCCTCTCGCCCCTTTTACCCTGCAAGAATCGTACGAGGGGCTCGCGAATCTGATCCCAAACTGGGGACAGTGTCATCACCAAGCGTATGCGACTACCAGCAGGCTCACACACCTTTCTCCGTTAGCGGCTGCGCTTTGTTCACGAGCTCGTGGCGCGAGAACTCGTAGGAAACACGCCAGTCCTCTATCTCCTTGCGCCAGCCCATCTTATTCAGCCTGCGGACAATCCTATCGTTGGTCTCAGTACATAGATCGCCAGCAGAAGCGGGTCACTCACTCGTCGTGCCTCTCGCTTCGTATCCTTTGAATATCGCGCGCTTTCTGCATGCTACGGGCCTGCTCCCACTGCTCGCAGAGCTCGACGTGCTGAGTGAAAGACGGTTGAACACTCTGACGAATAGCTCGCCCTAGCCGCGCACCTTCTTGAGCTTCTTCAGCCCTGACTTCTGTCCATGCAGCCAGCGCTCCTTCTCGTCCTTCACCATATCTTTGACCCCATCTCGCTGATACGCCTCGACAAACCGGTCCACTACCACCACGGGATACAGATTATCGGCGATCCGCGCGCACTCTATACGTGAAAATTTGTCGTCAGCATGCAGCGTACTCGCCATTCATTCTCTCTCCCGCCACTCACGGTCATTCACGACCCAAGGGAAAAGCCTGTCGATGTGGCGCTCGCCGAATTCGCCGCCCAGGTCCGCGATGGCGTCCATCTTGTGAAACAGGCCTTCCTTCACCAGGCATTTGCTGTGCGGGGATGTGAGATAGGTAAAGTCGAGTCACCAGGAGGAACATCCGACGCACGACAGGAGACACTTCCTGCAAGCGCGGGCGCGTGCGGCCCAGATGATGGAGCTGTCCCCAAGGCGGGAGGTGGGGCAGAACTGGGGAAACGTCAAGACATTGTTGCGCTCAGGGATGTGTTACTCACATGACACACCCGGTCAAAGATGAGACTGAGCCACTTCGGGATACTCATATCCTCGGGGAGGGGCGGCAAGTCGTGTGGCGCGCTCGCGTAGCTGCTCTTCCAGATCCAGTTCGACGAGCGGCTCATGAGGATGTTGCGCAGAGACTTGCACGTGCGGGAGATATAAAATAGGGTCGCGACATCGACTTGGCTGAAGATCTAGGTGGATTGCGGTCAGCCGGTGATATGTAGCGCAAGCGAACCGAACACGCACCTCGAAGAGGATGTCCAGCGGCATCTCCTGCAGCGCGGCAAGCTTGCCACGCTTCGTCGATCTCAATCCCGTGCCAGCGCTCTTCTTCGTCGCCCTTGTCGCGTCTGGCTTCAACTTCTGACGCTTGCGAACCGGAGGCTTGTTCGCGCGCTCCGAGTCTTGGTCGAGTGGCGCTTTGCCCTTCCCCCTCGTCGAAAGTGCAGAGCCCTTAGAACGCGCCGGAGTAGGGCGCGTGCTACGGGTAGCAATTCGTGAGGACTGTTTCATCGTGCGACTTCAGGATTGGTAGAGGTCGTGGTGAGAGGTCAAGTCAGAACAATCCATTGACGGCGGTCAACGCGGCCATCACCTGATCTCGGCGCCGGAGCCACGTGGACCGGGCAATATCAACATTCCCATTGTTCTTTGCGGCACGTGTCTCGATGTCTCATTGCGCCCAGCGCTCTTGGTGCGCGGCAGCATAGCGCACTTCACTATGTCTAGCGAAGAACTCCATAGGAGCTTACCTCCGATAGCCTGAGCCTTAAAATCACTTACTGCATGAGGTAACAACCCCTTCCACGATCTCGCGTGGTAGTAACTATACTCCCTCGATGCGCAACTCTGCGTAACCTTGTAAATTTGGAACGTAGAAACAATGTAGCAACCTCCGAAGAGCGGGGAAACAAAGGACATAACGATGATGGCAACGGCTGACCAGCACGCATCAAGAATATAATTCTAATATCTTTTCATAGTCCCCTCGTACGTCGCATGCCTTGACGTCCAACGTGTCATCTTCTGATTCCTGGATAAGTAGGCAGTGTTCTAGCTGCCGCAGGCGCTGTGATTATGCATGAGCCACCAAGTGCCAGGAGCCACGACACATACTCACCTCTGCGACAGAGTCTGGGATTGTAGCATACATGGCTTCCACAACGGTCCCTCGGACATCTCGCGTGAAGGATCTGCACTCGATGAAGTCACGCAGCGAGTCCACGTCTTCGACGCAGTCGTCAACAATGACATATTGCAGTTTGGGGGCTATGACCTGGTGCTCGAGCTGATAGATAGCCATACCCCACAATAGTGGTCCCGGTGCTTCGAGGGGCCCGAAACGCAATTCTTCAAGGTTGGGCATAAGCGCGAGACATTGCAGGACGTTCTCATAGTGGTCGCGATCGGTGCCAGGCCTGAATAGGGCAAATCTGCGCAGACTCGTAGCCGCAGCAGGGACGCGGACTAGAAAATCAAGGAGGGCGTCAGACGCCTCTTCGGAAAGCTCGCGAATCATGATCGTGTGGATCATCGGGGCTGAGATCAGCTTCAATAGGCCACAGCAGTCGCCGGCGCCAAGATCTAGTTTCGTCAGACGAGGGAAGTCGACTGGTGGATCGTGTGTGGTCGAGCCTGAATAGGGATCTCGAGCCCTCAGCAGGAGATCTGTCAGCGTCGCGGAGTGCTGTCTCAAGCACCTAACGATCGTGGGCATCTCGTAGTTCGAGATGCTGACCATCATTTTCGTGAGACTTGCGGAAGTCGGTGGCGAGAATGAGAAAGGGGACCCCACATTCCGAGAAGAGCAGACGACTAGGAGGGACTGCATCCGGGGCGCGTCATCCAATAAAGGCAGCGACAGGTTCTGGTTCTCCTCGCGGTTGTATTGAGACAGTATATGCGCGTTCTGCAGCATCGGTGTCGCCAGCGGTGCCATGTCTCTGAAAGATTGGCAAGTCCCACGCAGGCTCAAGAAGCGCCAACGCGAAGCATACGGTGCCATTGCATTGACGAACGGTATCGTGTTCTCGAGGAACTCGTGCGACTTGAGATCGAGTGGGAGACCGCCAGAGCGCGGCAGGTAACGCTGGATAAAGGCGTCCAAGAGGGCAGGTCTCGGAGCTATGATGCATCTCCAAAGACGCGGTTCGCCATGCGCGACCGCTCGCCATAGCTTGCAAACAAGTGGAATGACCAGGTCCAGCGCTATCATAGGGTTCTTTGCCTCGTCATCATCCTCCATGGATCGTAGACGCCACAGAAAAACTTCTGAGAGCAGTTCGTTCGGCAGGCGATGAATGGGGGTACGGTTGCTCTGCATTGCAGACTCAATGCACGGGAGCGCTCGAGAGGACGGCGAGATGTTCGCGAGGCGCAGGGCCTCAGATTCGGAGACACTCGCGTCATTGAGCATCTTGGTGGCGGTGGCAATGGCTTTTTCGCGTGTATCGGGGTGGGGATGAGTGTATGCGCGCTTGAGAATGCTCACGATCGTGATTGCTAGTAGTGCACTTGGGAGAAGTGGCGAAGCGTCGTCAGAGATAAATCTCACGGAGTGGCAAGACGGGGGAGATGGACGTTGCAGACAAGGCGCGCAACGCGATCAAAAATGACCGCTGTCAGCGGTCCTACCACGGTCACGTGATTGTCGCATGCTGCGTTTTGCTGTCTTCCGAATCCCTCACCCAGACAAAGACAGATCAGCGACCATGCATTCGGCTCGGACCAACCTGCTCCACGACGAGGATCAGGATAGCACCGGGCATTGAGCATCGCTGAGGTCCATCGCAAGAAAACCATTCTTGCCGACCAAATGGTATTACAGGACACAAGACAACATAAACGCCCGGGTATGTCCAGGAACATGTGTGGCAACTATCCGAGGTATCAGTCCGAATGAAAGAAAGTAGAAACCCCTTATCAGAGACAAGGCTAGCGCGTCTCCTCCCCACCCTCGCTCAGGTCCGTATATGGCGGTGGCAGCTCCCGGATGACGCGCTGCCCTTGAGGCCCGGCGTCGCGGTGCTGGATGATGACCTCGTCGACTGAAGGCGGGTCAGCGTCTGCGGGAAGAGAAAGCAAGTATCGCGTACCGCCATCATGCTCATCACCACCCGACGTCCGCGACGTGGGATTCGAGCGCAAGTCGGCGGGAGACCGCGTATCTGACGGCGAGCTCGCGTCGGTGCGCGAGCGCGTAGCAGTCGGCGATCCTCGCAGGTCCACGGGCGAACGCGTATCCACCGGCGAGCCCTTCGACGACTGCCGCGTCGACGAGGCCAACGTCAGCCCGGGCGGGAAGCGCGCATCCGCGCTCGCCTCCGTACGCCTAGAGGTCGGAGACGCGGTGGTATCATGCCCCTTGTCGTGATAGGCTCCGGTGCCGCTCTTGCTCATGCTGTCCATGCGATTACGGTCGCCCGCCGCCGCCGAGTCCGGACCCGTGGCTGCACTGTGGGCATAGGGAGCAAAGTACGCCGTCGGCTTCAGACTCGGATCGTCCGCCAGCGAGCCCATCCCGCCCCGTCGTCTCTGCCATCGGACAAAGAGGAAAACGCCTAGCAGCAAGATGGGTATCCCAAGCCCCAGCGCGAGCCCGATAGCCAGAGGCGCAGGAGACTTGGACTCAGACTCCTTGTTGGATGACGGGTTATCAAGCTCGGACGCGACCCCGAAGCTGCTCTGCATGCCGTCGCAAAGCACGTCCGTACTGCCCGTGGTCCGCACCCACGGCGAGCCCGAGGCCCATTTGCCGTCTTTGTCAGAGACGCCGGCTAGATCTTCGTCAGTCTCCCCTTTCCTCAGACCGCCAAGCAATCAACGCACCGATCATCTGCGAGCCTGGTCCTGCCCGGTTGATGTAGGTATACGCATCGTTATCTGGGCCCATGGTTGCGTTCGTGATTCTGAGAGCATAGCCGCGCGTCAGCAGCCGGACGAGTGAGAAGATATGGTCGGAACACACACGGTAGCGCCCTGGAGGTGGAATGTCAGCGGAGCATAGAAGGAGAGTAGTAGAAGGGACGTACCAAGGACATCAGGTAGACGGTATATGGAGGGGAGCCGCCCTACAAAGTATGCTCGTCAGTTGATCAGTTTGTACCTAACAAAGTATACGAACACACCCTGATCCGCAGCCCCCATGGCTGGCACGTCTCCAGCGTCGTACTCGTGAGATTTGACCAGACCTCGAAGTCTGTCTCCTCGGAGGACGGAACGCACGAGGTGTTGCCATTCGCGGCGACGATGTTGTACGGTGATTGGGGCTGTAGAAATGACGTGAGTGCGAGGGCGAGCAAGTGAGAGTAGAACACGACGCACGATACCACCAGTCGCATTATTTGAGTCGACAACGCTCAGGAAGAGCTGGGTGCCTATTAGAAGATGCAGGATCAGCAGGTGACAGCTTTTTGAGAAGCAAGATACGCACCTGGCTCATGATTTGCCGTCCAACTCAGCTGGCCTACGCTATCGCCGATATGTTGCGTGGTGGGGGTACCATTGACGGGGAACGCAAGCATGTAGTAGGGGCCTATCGAGTCGTCAGTAAGCTTCTACCCGACTCAAGATTTCCGAGACGCACCCGTCCCCACGTCGCCATATCCCTCATCCAGCGATGATGCTGATACATTCACGCCAAAGCTATCGCACACTTGCAAATTCGTAGAGGCTTGCTATCGAGAGAGAAGATCGTCAGGGATTGGTCAAGATGTAATGGTACGCATACGCACGCTAGTGTTGAAGACCCACTGAAACGCCTCGGCTCTCGTAACGAGGAAGGACTGCAGGAGGAGCACCGCAATCGCCCGCACGAGGTTCGAGTGTGCGAAAACCAACGATGACGACCGGCTCGTCGGAGGCAATCTGGACGTCGATGGACCCGCAGGCGAAAGAGCGGAAGGGGACGAAACAGAGAGGGACAGAAGAGAAGCCAAGGGGGAAGCGAGCGACTGTACAGGGATCGACGGCCAGCGCGCGCATCTCTTCATCATGGTGGTCGGGAGGGAAGGTTGGGTCCGCAAGCGCACGCGCGGTGCCGCCTGATCAGCGCAGGGTGATCACCGGCGGAGGGAGCGCCTGACACGGGACGGCGCACGCACGCGGGGGCTTGTCGCCCGCACGGTGACGACGACGGCGGCGGAGCGAGCTAGTGCCCGCGCGATATCAGCATCCTGACAACAGCACATGATGCGGGCCGGGCTCCGCTGAATGGACCTGCGCGCCGTATAGCCAGGACGGGGACGGGGTGGATAGGGCGTGGAGGGGAGATGTGATTCAGGGAACAATGGACGTCGCGACACCCGGCTAGACTGACAGGACGTTCAAGGGAGTATATCCGGGCATACAATGGCGAACAATGGGCCAGCGATCTTGGAGGGTCCTCCGCCTGCGGGCGCAATGACCGACGTTCGAGGCTCGAAGTGTATCAATTGCTATCAGTATTTAGGCTCGGTAGTGAAGGGGATACGGAGGAAGATATGGCGGAGCGCATGACGAGGCTAAAGAGGTTGATCCTGCCATGGAGCATCCTCCTCGTCGAGGCCCTTTCAGAGTGGGCGATAACTGAGGCACTGGCGCCCATTGACAGTCATGCTAGTACAGGTCGATGGAGAAGCACCTCGTAGAACGACAGCTGGTTGGACCTCCATCCTGATCGTCTGTCGACACCGCGTCGACTCCGACGTCTCCGTATCACCTGTGGCAACGTGAGCTTCACGCTACGCCCCTCATGTTTCGCATAGCCAACGCGCGAGCATGGCGGCGGGGCGAAAGGGTCGTCAAAACCGGTTATATTTCTTGGCGTCAGTGAGAATAAGTCCGACACGAGACAATTGGCACGCCTCGCCTTGCGCGAGGGCGTCATCGAGCAAGGGTGGATATGACGTGGACAGCCTGCAGGCGCTGATGCGGAGCATCGGGGGGCTAAGGAGTAAGACGACTTGCGCCAAGTACGAGCAGACAGCGAGCTCTCAGAGCTCCCGCTTAGGCGAAGCGACAAGCGAAGGAGTAGCTCCGACGGCGATGCTACATACCCGTAAGATTCGCGAAGTAGCTAGAGAGTATCGCACTTCATAAGCAGCTGCACATAGAGTCAGACTCATAGCGCCTCAAGCGGCCGATGGCAGGACGCACCTCGTATCAAGGCTAATCTCGGTTGAGATGCCACTCATCTCGTCGAGAAAATAAAATATCTCGCCGACATCAAAGAGAAGGCGCAACCATGGCGTACGCAGCTACATGCACGGATCTGACGCGCTAGGTAGGCCTGGCTGGACAAATGACACGGTTGGCCGTGCACACCGACCACACACTGCAGCTGGTCACGATGCAGCCGAGCACGATCGGCGTCTTCGCCTTCGACTAGCACCAAGCACAGGCAATGGGAAGCGTCGAGATCCTGGTTTCGGCGGACGCGATATCGATGGATGAGAAGATCACCGGGAAGAGAGCGCTGCGAGCGTTCTTGAGGATGCCGAGCAAACGAAGTGTACGCGCATTCTTGTCGCATTAGCGTCGAGTGACGAGGGACTATGTAATCGGAGAGCACGCCACGAGAGAGGTATACGCAGGGAGTGCGACAAGAAGCGTGTGGTACAGTCCGTCAGACGTGAGCAGCAGCTTTGAGACGGATCTGCGGCGTCGACGATGCGGAGCCCTGCTCCTTGGGGAGGAACGAAAGCAGAGATGTCAAGGGGCCAAGAAAATTTGTCGCCTGTCGAGGGTCTGGGCTTGAGAGCTATACGATTCGACGACAATAAGCACGCCCGCAGAACTTCGGAAGATCACTAGAGACAGAGGGCATGCACAGTTTCAGATCGCGAGTTCTAAGCGTCTTGTGCGAAGAGCCCCAGGCTATTTGAGTCGCGATGAGAATAACGAACAGAGCTGCAATTGACCTAGTTGGAGGTCTTGATTACACGGAGCGTGAACGCAGTCACTGCCTGTACAGACGAAGGAGCTACGGGAGATAGGTGGTGTTTGATCATCCGCGACGGTTGTGTGATTTAAAGCAGGATGGGACGAGGACGCTATTCCGCCTTCCGACTGCAATTTTCGAATGGCGTTTTGTTGACCACACGAAGTCAGCTGTTTCGGAGCAGAGGAGTAGGAGGTATGGCCGTCAGGCCAGCCAGCAGAGGCTCCGAGGGTCGAAGGTATGATCGCTAGTCTGGGGGATGCCGAGCGTCTTCATGAAGTTCTCTCGGATGACGTCCAGTATGTCCGCTTTGATTGACTTCGTCGTATTGTTGGAGTTTTCATGGTGGATGAGGGAGAGTTTTCCAAGGAGGAGATGGCGGACTCTGGACGAGGCAAGATGATGGACGTCGATGACATCGCGATCGCCGGAAAGCTCATGACAAGCAATCATAAGCAAACGCGGCCATTGTGCCGGCCCGGCCCGGAGGACCGTGTCTTGAGTCGCACCACCATCACGCCCTCGCACTCAATCTGTACCTCTCAAGTCTGTCTTCTACCTAGATCGTAGCGTTCGGCGCACAAAGGCGATGATGGAAAATGCAGAGTCTGCGCTTTCGAGAGTCCAACTTGACATGCATCGACATGGCGATCGCGCAACGCCGAAGACTGTTCACAGCCCGAGACCGCTACAGTGCGCCCTTTGATGGCACTTCTCTTGTACTTACTGCAACTCTCCATCGATAAACACCACATCTGCCGAGCATCAGGCATCTGAAGGCTGGAATGTAGGCGCCAGGGGGACGTAAGGCAATTCGCGACTGCCTCGCGAACGACGAAACTCGAATTTAGGCCCTGGGGTAGCCTCGTGAAGATCATCTGTAGGGTCCTTCCAACTCAGCGACACCTCCTACAAGTCCCCCACCACCCACAGTGAACGTCCTCACCCCCACCACCATGACACTACCCCCGCGTCAGCACCGCTCCCGTCCTCGGCGCTGAAATCTCGAGCGCGCCGACGCGTCTGAATATCGCTGCGGAGACGACCCTCCGAACATTCAGAGTAGTGATCAGGCGGGGGGACCACATGTTTGTTGACGCACCGGGGGCGTAGCCGGCGCGCGCGTGCCGTATGTATTTCACGTCGTCTATGACGCGCTGCATGGGCCCGGGCGTGGTCGGTTTTTGCGCGCTGGCAGGTTGGTCCTGACCACGACGACCGACGTTGACTTCGCGATCTTCTGCAGTGGTGAGCTGCTGTTCTTGTTATCGCCTCCTCGCGATCTCAACCTTGACGAGCAGATCCTCACGCCCCGAAGCCACCGATAGTAATCTGCACACCCTCCTGTCGCGGACGCGCCCGACCTTCCGATCGACGTGCTCCAAGCTTCCTTCGACGCGTTTTCCTCGATCTCCAGCCATAATGGACGCCTCCTCCTCCAGCGAGTCAAGCACCTGGTCTTCGTCAGACGCGCACTCCGCATGGTCTCCTTCTCCCTCAAAGTGGTCTCCCTCGCCCTCGAAGTGGGCCCCGTCCCCCTCGAAGTGGGCCCCTCGATCACCGTCCTCGGACGCGTACTCTCCTCTCACGTCCCCGACCCGGTTGACCGATTCGCCCTCCCGCTTCACGGACTCTCCCACGTCTTCGCCCAACATGATCTCCCTCGACCCGCCCGGGTACCTCACGCCCGTCGAAGACGCGGACCAGGCGAGCGTCGTGCTGTCCGCCGCGTCGCACCGGTTGAGGGTCCGTGTTCGTCCTGTGACTTGCACTCCCCCAACTGACAGCATTCTACCCAGCCCTACGCGTCCTCCGACCCCGAGCTCGCGCGGCTCGTCTACCTCTTGCAAGTCGTGCAACAACAGCTCGTCGACAACAGCTTCAAGTGCAGCGTGGATGAGGAACTGGGCGTGTGAGTGGTCGTGTGCCTCGCTGTCTTGTACTTGTCCTTCTTCCCTCACACCACGCCCCTTCCCACTTGTCGTCACCTCCTCGACCCAAGTTAACCTCCCTCCCAGCAACCTCCCCGCTCTCCTCCACTCCATCTCCCGCAACTTCACCCCGCGCCTCCAGAACGTCTCCCGCTTCAAGAAGTTCCTCGCCGCGACGCGCATTATGGAGAGCCTGGAGGACTACGCGTTGTATCTGGCGAGTGTGCGGCTGGCGCCGGATGTGAGTGTCTCTTTGTTCATTGCAGTCTTGGTCTCCTTCGTTCCTCGTCCATCCATCCTCCCGTTCCTCGTCCATCCATCCTCCCCAACCTGCTTTGCCGGCTCGTCTCGTTTGGGTTGCTGACGGCGTCTGCTATACATCTTTGTCCTTCCACTCGACCCCTTCGGCATGAACTGACTCTCCCCTCAGCGCACCTCCTTCGAGATGCACGCCGCGCGCTACAAGCCGCCGCGTAGCCTCAGCCCAAGCAGCTCCATGTCGGGAGGGTCAAGTTCAATACCTGCAGGCTCACGGTTGGGCGGCTTGACATCGGGCGGCTCGACCTTCTCGGGCTCGCGTCGGCACGTCACGTTCGGCGGCAGTCGAGTACATGATTCGTCCATGGACCACTCGTATTCGGGGACGATGAGGTCGGGGAGCTCGGGCACCTCGACGGACGACTCATGGACCTCCTCGACTCGCCAACTCGCCTTCCCCTACCGCGAATTGTCCGTGAAGCTGCAACCACACGAGGCGACGGAGAAATACCGGTCAAAGGGGTCGGCGCATAGTGGGAGAAGGTCGACGTCGTCGAGGAGGAGGAAGGACTCGATAGACAATGTGAGTCGGATCGTCGTGAAGAAGTGAAGGACCAGGCTGACGTATCGACGCAGTATCGAACGCCCGGCCTCGCAGAGTTATATGTCGACCCGGACTGGTTCTAGCCGATGTTGACAAAAGCTTCGGTCGAAACTCGACCGCTGTGTTGCTCAAGCGTCGGCGGTCATCGCCCGCCTCTTGGCGTCTCAAGCCAACTCACCCCTCCCGCCCATCATAACCATCTCATCCACCTTTGACGCCATACACGTCCCTTCACGTTCTTGTTTACATCCTTTCTTTTCCACTACACCCCTTATTCATTTACCACGTCGGTTACCTTTTCTCATGCGGGATTTTCATGCTCGCTTGTACCACTGCTCGATTATACCGCGCACCGCCTTCACCTTCGTGTACAACCTCACGCACACCTTCTCCACCATTACATTCGTACCTTACCCTGTCCTCCTTGTTGTCGAGTCGCTTGTATCCTATGTAGTCACTGAACACTGTTAGTCGCTGTCTTCGCTGCTGTGTTTCTGTCGTTGTCGTGGAGCGTGACTGGCATCAAGCTATCTGGCAGACGCGCTGGCCCGGGCTCCTACGTTCGTAAAGTAACATCACTGGTAGCCGAGTCTTTTGTCCGACCAGATTCACGCGCACTTAAAGGTCCAGCTGCACTTGCCATTGCTCAAGCTGGCTTCCCCGAGAAGTAAGTAGAGGAATCATCACAGGAACTCGTCGTTGACAAGACTGACCTTTTCGTTGAGTAGATAGCAAGCGACCCGCTGCATGCTTGAAGATAAATACTGAGACTTCGCAATTATAAGGGTACAAGTAGAGTAGTATCATCCGAATATATAAAACTCCCCGTCACCAATGTCCGACCGACGTCCCCACGAACCACAACCATCCATGGTACGCCCTAATCGCGGCTATCCCCCGAAGGCGCACTCGACTCCGGGCGACTGTGGGTGGCACCGCCGACGCGTAGGAGATGCGCGACTTTGACGAGCGGCGACTTGAGGGCCGCCACCTTGCTGCTGTTGGGCGACGACGGCGTGCTATTCGGCCTCGAGGAGGAGCGCAGGCTGTTCGCCCTCGACGTGCGCCGAAGGCTGGGCTCCTGGGGCGACAGCGGGTCGCCGCGCTCCCGCGTCGGGGTCTGGGCAAGCGGTGCACGTTAGCTCGAAGCGAGAGCGAAAATGACTAGACATCGAAATGCACGAACCTCCGCGTTCTCCTTGCTGCTGCTGTGCCGCCGCCCGAAGCTCTTCAGGCTCGGAGGCGACAGCTTCTTGAGCGACGTGAGCACCAGGCCCGGCACCTCCGCGGTCGCGCGCTTCTTTCGCGGCGTCTCCGGGGGCGCGAGTGGCTTCTCTGGGGGCTCCGGGAGGGTCAGACGTAGCGGCGGCGGTGACGGGAATGCGAAGGACGCCTGCTCCGGAAGGTGATGGTCGAGGTGCGTCACCCTCGGTGGTGCAGGCGTCTGCGGCCAGGGTGCATGCGTCGGGGGCGGTGTGGGGGTCGCGGGGGTCGCGGGCGGGGAACGCTTGCGCTTGTCGGCCCGCACGCTTGACCCGCCCCGCTCAAGCGCGCCTGACTCCCGTCGCTCGCGTGCACCATTCAGGTCGCCAGAGCCGCTCCAGAAAGCAGACTCACTCGATACGCCAGACACATTGCGAGTTCGGATATTAGGACCGGATGCCTCAGACTGCGCGGTCGAGTAGTGGCTGGAGGACTGCGAGGCCTGCGAGGCCTGCGAGACGTGCGAGACGCGGGAGACGCGGGAGACTTGCGAGACATTCGAGGAGTGCGAGGACAGAGATGTGGTGCTCCGGTGGCCAGCCGAGTTACGGTTGAGCGAAGTCGTGGAACCTCCGTTCGCGCGTCGGGGGTGCGGACCATGATCGCGCGAGCGACTGGCGCCGCGCCGCGAGCTAGCATTCCCCCCACCGCGCTCATAGGCGCCCCTCCAGCCACGCCCGACACCGGAGTTGTGCTCTGCGGGCTCTATTCCCTCGTGTCGCCTGCGCTTGTTGGGCGGCTGCATGTCGTTGGATGTTGGCGCGAGGCTGAGAGAGCTGTTATTGGATAGCCAAACGGAATGCTGGCCTAAGGCTGCAAAATTCGAGGGCCGGTCGTACAATGGGCTGTCTTTGTGCATGATGAACTTCTGCGGCGTCATGAAGTAAGCACCGAACCAAGTCGATAGCGCGAGGCGACTTACAATGCGGGTGTCATCAAGCAGTCTGCCGGAGAAAAGCTCCCGTATCGTACTGGTTTGCAAGATGGTGTCATATTCTCTCTGCATCCGACGGTGGATCTTTGCGAGTACGTCCAGTTGGTGTTGGTTGATGTAGGAGCAGCGTCCGTCCCGGTCATGCTCCCGCAGACGATCGGCAGGAACGGTGACCGCAAGAGGAATAAGCCAAGACGGATCCGACGTCCATTCCGGGCTCGAGTGAACGTGCATCAGAGTATTCCAGTCTTCACGATGGGATCTTCGGTAGATAGTGATTACCCAGTGTCGAAGGGCCGGCGAGAGTGAATGATAATGCTCGACGTGCTCAAACGTTCCCATGAGAAAGACGTCGACCAAATCATCAGGCCCGTCGTGGATGTTCCATATGATGCAAGGGCGGGAACCCTTGCGCTTGCGCGGTGGAAAGAATGGGCTTAAGTTAGCATTTCGCTTCGAATGAAGAGCAAGCTCCTCCTTCGTAATGAGACCTTTCAGTGCCGCCAAGAAATGTGCATCGATCTGCATGATGCTCCCTCGTTGCAAAGGGCTGCTTTGTCTGGGTCCTTTGTCAGAGACCAAGGCCATGTCGCACGAGCATGGCGCTTCTTTGAGTTCAGACGATGGGGTGGTACGGCTGGCTGTGACCGAGAGGGACCTCGTAGAGGTAGAGCTTCTGAGTGTCCGATCGAAGGGTAAGTCTCGCTGGCGAAGAGAACCCGAGTCCATCGTCGAGATATACGCTGTGAGCGACGCAGGAGTGGGCCCAGGATGAGAGGTAGACGATGGATGCGAGCGTTCCCGAAGTTCTGTTCATATGGGATCTCGTCAAAGGCGCCGAAGCTGCGCGAGGAGAACATGGTATGCTTCTTTCTTTGAGGTTAGCGAAGCTCAAAGAGTACTGAAACAGGACTGCAGCCGAGGCATAGTCGCGTTCGGCGTGAGTGTCATGCGCGTGAATTTGTACTCCGCCGGGATTTGCCGAGTTCGATTTCCTCTGGACACGCTACTTGCGCGCTGTGAACCTCTACGATTCGGTAGAAACGCCTTTCGTGATATTTATCATACATATTTTCTACTTATCTGGGTCTTTCTCAGCGCACTGCCGTCACGGGTCAGTTGTTCTCGCCGTTCCCTTCACGCGAGTCGCGCCGCACGGACCGGCGTCCCATCCCCACAAGTTCTCGCACCTTCCTTTTCGGCGTCTCAAGCAATCTGCTTATGGTCGACGACTGAGAGAGAGTCAGCCTTCAGCGCGTGCTTGGCGCGACCTCGCACTCACCGCGTTAGATTTCACGCTCGGTGATCTTTGTTTGACCGCTGGTGCTGGCGCCAGCTGCCCTGCCACCGTCTCCGTCGATTTCCCCTCAATTTTCGTCGTCTCCGTCTCCTTTCGCCGGTTCGGCATAACCGTCGCCTGTCGCTCCCGGGCCGGCCTACTCGTCTCCTGCCGCTCGGGGCGTATCGTTGCCTGTCGCTCGGGCCTTGGACGAGCACTCGCTGTCGAATGCGTACTAGCCCCGCTCTGCGTCGCTCGTTTGGCGATGCTCGAATAGCTGACATTGGGCTGCACGGGCCTTGCTGGCGCTCGCGGGGGCTTGAGCTGGCCTGCTGTGCTCGGAATCGACGGCCCGGCGCGCATGCTCCCAGGATGATTATTATGCGAGGATGCGGTCGAAACAGTCGAAGCAGAGGGCATCGAGCCAGTCGCCGGATCAAAGCGCTGAATGATGGGGTCTCGGTCAGATGCAATGACAACAGCGCCCTCTAGACCGCACTCACCGGACCTATATCACGCAGGAAAGCCTGCACGGCTTCTTGAGCAGTCGTGCCTCTGGATATCATCAGCGACAGGCGCGCTTGGATGATCTCGCTGAGGCACGTCAGCTTGCGCAACGACTCTTCGTTGATATATGCGCAATTGCCGGCCGCGTAGATGTTTTGGTCCATGCCCTTGTTGTAATATTGCTGTAGCTTGTTGGCGCGTACCGGAACTACAAGAGGGATCAAATACTGAGTGGCTTGCGACGCCCAGCAAGGACTCGAGTGAATATGCGGGAGAAGATCCCAGTCAGGTGCGCCCTCGGTAGTGGTCATCGGGGTATAGACAACCACGAAGAAGTCCTTGATGGCGTCGGAGAGGTGATGAGGAGGGGTTTTGGAGAAAGTCCCCATGAGAAAGACCTGGGCGATGTCTTTGTTCAGCCTGGAAGCTGGCTCCCAGATGACACATGGACGCGGGCCCTTATTCTTCTTGGGTCTACTGGTCATCGAGTCACTCGCATGTGTCGGCGTCAGGCCCGGGCCCTGAGGTATAGGGCCCTGAGTCCAGCTCCTCCGCTGCACTGATCCGCCCCGAGATGGTCCTTGGACAGAGGCTTCCCTGGCAGTGGGCGGACGAAAGTCGGATGGATTATCCGATAGACCATTCGGCAGAAAGCTCAGAAACGCGCTCAAGAAGGGCGCATGCGTGCAGCCTATGTGACCTTGCATCGCGGGAATCCAGGGCCTGGTAGTGTCGCTCGTAACTTTGGCAAGATCGCAAGGGCACGAAGCAACAGCTTCGTGAATGGAGGTCAATGCAAGGCCCGTATCCCGTGGCGGTTGGGCGATGCTCATCGACGTGGGCAGGGCGCGTGAGAGCATAGCGAGTTGAAGGTGGTCAGTAAGTGTAGAGACGAGGAAGAGCGTGCGCTGACGGGCCGTATCGCGTTGAACACGGCGCCTGAGAAGTACATCGTTGCTTTATATATCGGGCGCATGGCGACGCAGACGATGGGCTGATGGGTCCGGGTTGGGAGACAAAAAAGAAGGGGCCAAAGGCAGCGTTGCGTGGGAGCTGTTGCCCGTCATGCCGAGTTCGCCCATTCAAGTAGAAGAGGGAACAATGCGAACGTCGGAACAAGGGCTCCGCCGGTTTGTTTGTGTGTTGCGGCGACGTTGATGGCGCTCGCTGATGGCCGCGGCGTCTGTTTCCGCGGGACCTTTTCTTACCTGACAGCCCCCGTCATCACCAAAAGTGTAGACACAATATCTCATCGTGTGGTATTTACAAGTGTCACACGGCCAGGGCGGGTGTGATCAAGACAGATAAGACAGGCGGCTGTCCTTATAGCACCTTATAAGATGCCCTAATGCAATGTGAGCTTTATGAATGCTCAAAAGGCCTGAGTACCTTTGGTATAGATATATAAGAAGCCTCGGACCTCGTACATGGCATTATAAGCTAGGCAATGCCCACTGCCATGCTGACGCTCGACGTCGAAGACCGTCGACTGCGCGGATTCGAACTTGGCATATCACGAGAATTCCACGTGATTGGCTAGTTCAACTTCGAACGCAAAGTAGTGGCATTCGTAATGAGTTGACGAAACAGCCCTTTGTGCGACATATGGCTTCTCTACATAGTAGCTGAGTCCCTCTGAAGGTAAAGGAGACCACACTCAGCTGGCCATTGTCCCGTGTGGCGCATGTCACATTTGTGACACTCCGTCACTTCTGGAAAATCGCACTTCTCGCGCTGCATCCGCGCATATGGGTCCAAAATTATAGGCCTATGCAGTAGTTTGTAGTGCCCTGGACTCGTGAAAAGCAAAAGAAGCTTGGTATAACCCTGGACACATGCCAAAGAAGCGGATTGTGGCAAAAGACCTATACTTGATACAGAATGCATGGGGGCCCATCCCTGAGATTTCTGAAGACCTGATTCATGCAATACAGAGAAGTGTAGATACATGTCTATAGGATGGTCTCTACAGTTCTGCATATCCTAGGACATCCAAAGTGAGGTCATCTTCTTCCAAATCCTCTGAGTCAGTATCTTCCCAGCTATCATCCACCTCCGACTCGCTCTCGTGGTCCCAGTCCAGCTCCTCCTCATCGCCAGTAAGCTCCTCTTCCTCCTCCTCCTCCTCCTCCTTCTCTTCCTCTGCATTCTCGTCACCTGTATCCGTGCTCGGCATGTCGGTTATGTCGAGTATTTCAACCTCGTCAACTTCATCGTCTTCGTCACTGCCCTCCTCCTCGTTGGCGTCAACGTCGAGCGGAGGTGATGCGCCAGCATCTTCGGGTGAAGAAGACACGTGCTTCTTGGGTTGACTGAAGTTTGCCAGCCGTTCCGCCTCAACTTCGAACACACGAAGTGCTTCGTATGTGCTCTTGTGGCCGACGCCGCCGCCTCGATAGCGCATGAGGATATCCCGGTCGGGAAACCTGATAGAGCGGTAAGCGAGGCACTTGGAGATTGCAAGTTCCACTTACATAGCGGCATAATAGAATTGATAGTCGTCGAGCTCAGTTGAAGGGCGTGCGACAGTCACACCTGCAAGGTATTGATCTGTCCGACCATGGGCGAATGCGGGGATGATGTGGGTGGCACGGATGATGCTGTTCGGGTCAATGAACCCAAAGGCGTCGGGGTGGTCCGCAGGAAAGAAGCGAAGGCGAGGAAAGCGCTTAGCAGCAACGCCGTGCCGAAAGGTGAGATCTAGTGTGTACCATCGCACATACGCAAAATGAACTGCACGGCCTTCGCTCGGGGTAGCAGAATGCAGGTCGGCGACGTCGGCGTGGAATAGACCGATGATGCGGCCATACCAGTACGGGTGGTCGTCTTCGCCAGATAGCACCATGATGTTGGCGTTCTTGCTCGGGTTGAGGAAATCTTGCTTGCGGCGAACGTCGTAGGATGTATAATTGAGTCGGAGGATCTTGTGCTTGTAGATACGGTTCCCGAGAAACATGATTGAATTCCTTTCTTCCGCGGTATAGCTCTGGCCACCGTCGGGGGTACCGCGGATGCGGGGCAACAAATGCTCCTTGAGCTTCCGATAAAAGGGCTGTCAAAACGTCAACATGAATAGAGAGTCAAGCAGGCCATAAAGGAAGGCGTACCCTAAGCGCAGGGTCATCTTCATGTCGCGCGAGAAATGAAGTTACGTTCTCGGGGTAGCGACGGCTCAAGGAGATGTGTGTGGTCATCAGCGGCTCTGTCTTTGGCAGCTTCTCAGGCGCGCCACCTCTGACAATCAGCGACGTCTTAGCTGTGGTAGCTTGCACCACCTCCTTCTGCTTCATCCGTCGCAACCGTGCATTCCGTCGCTCCTGACGCGCGATTTGGGCCGGGTGGTTTACCTTATTTGTGCGTGCATAGTAGCGCTTGACTCGACGGTGCTCCGACTCGCCCTATGAGTATCGTCAGTCCACTGTCATCGAACGAATCTGACGGTACTCACAATTTGCGTCGAGTAGGAATCAATGGTCCCCCAATACCTGATAGCTCGCGCGTAGTCTCCTAAGGCGTGACGCTTATAACTCTTCCGATCGAAGCGGCGCGGCTGATCTTGTTCTTTCTTGGCGATCTGGGTTGGGTGGGCAGTTGCGCGTCGAGCCGCTCCTACTGCCACGCTATCCCTCTTCTGCTGGCGCTGTATGCGAGCCCGCTTCTCCTTAGGCAGCTCACAGGTTGCATACTCCTGCGAGATGAGCTCGAGACGGCGTATCGAGCGACCGAGCTCGACTGTTGCGTGCTCCAAGGAGGCGAGGGTCGAGTCCGTATGCAAACGCAACTTTGCGAGTCCATGCCACCAACCAAGGTCAAAGAGAAGGTCGAGGACGATTTTCTGATGCTGCTTGTTGGGGAAAAGCGCCTCAAAGCAGGGCAGCGCACACTGGATCGTGTGAGAGCCTATTTTCCTCCAATAGAGATGAGCTTACCTGGAGTGAATCTTCAAAATCGCGACCAGCCAGCTTCTTCATCTCTGCGATATTAGTGGCAAAGCGCCGAATCGTGTCCCGCAAGAAGGTGGGGACATGGCGATATCTATAAAGCAAATTAGTCGCACTCTCAGGCGATAGGATCAGGTCACCTTACCTGCGGTTCAGCTCCTCGACCAGATCGTCACCCTTGAAGGTGTGTAGCATACGCACAAGCTGGGCAAATATCGCCTTCCACTCGCCGACCTCAAAGTCGTGCAGCATGTCAACGGGGTGCATAGCGAAATGGTCAAATCCATGTTCAAGAAGCTTCTCCGAAAAGGCGTTCTAGATAGGCATCATTAGGGCGTGATATTAAGCGTGCAATATCGTTTTGTACTCACGCGGATCGGCGTAGAAGAATCATTTCGTAGGATGGCGTCGATCCTCTTACTATTGACAACGTAGCCTCCAGAAAAGATGGCCTTGCGCGCTATTTCGACTTGTGCTTGCCGGTGTATTGAATCCTTCCGACAAGTCCGCTCACGTTTTGTCATGTCGTGTACTGTACCGAGCTTGTGGACCTGGCTTTTCTCGACGAGGCAGCGAGGACAAAGACAGGTACCAAGGGATTTGATGCAGACGAGCAAGATCCTGGAAGCGATTAGGCGAAGCTCATAGCAGAGGACTGGAAGACTTACTTTTCCAGATAATCGCTTGAATATGCGAAGAAGCGTGGAAAGGTTCGACGAAGAACCCCATCTGCGCACCCAATCACCATGCCGCGGGTGTACGCGTCAACAAGCTCTGGGGTCAAGAGAATCCTCCAAACTCCTTGGACGATTTCGCGCTTCATATAAGTCTTGATCGCGTCTGACGGTCTGACACCGAAGGTCTCAATGTACCAGTCCGCAAAGTCGTCAGGAAGCTATAAGCTTGTCAATGGTACGGTCTTCGGTGAGCAGAGGTGTCACTTACGGGAGGAATGTAGGCAAGATGATGCTGTGCAAACGCAGTGGGCTTCCCGCGTGTGTACTTGGATAAATTACCCAGCATTAGGTATATAGGCCACATTGACGCGTTGCCGAAGTCGGCAAGGTGTGTTGAGTCGCTGAAGGACATGAGCCAGGCAGCGATGCGCTCGAGCGCGCACCCAGGCTCGCCCTCAAGGCTTAGCAGCTCATCGTCCATCTCGAGCGCGCGGTCGGAGGTGTAAGCCTCTCCCCAGCAGCGCATGGGATGCTCGTCTGCAGTCCGCTCCCAGAAGACCTTGTGAGCGCGTAGATGATACTCCCGAGACTGCTCGTCCTGGAACGCCTCTTTGATGACCTCCAGAATGTCACGGTAGTGTAGGCCCTTCACTTCGTAGACGGGGGCAGCGTCCTCTGCGCATTTTTCGCCGGGGCAAGGGACTGGGATAGGTATGGATCCCGACCGCCAGCCTGACGCGGCAGTCCAGGGTAATGGACCACCCCTTGCAGCGTCATGATCCTGCGAGATGGCTCGGTCGAGGCGGTTATACTCCGTTGAGGCGCTGAAGCCCAAGAAGTCTTCTGGGCGAAAGACTTCCGGAGTCTGGGGGCGGATAACATCGTCGACAAGCCGCTGCAGCCCAGACAATGTGACCTGGGTGTTCTCGTGCGCCCATTGAACAAGGCGGTACGTATTGACGTTTTTGTACGGCGCATAGAACGGAGCAGAAGGTGGCGTGTTGTATTCATGGCCGAATACGAGATTGGCGGTGCGCTGAGGGCGTGAGCCGGAGTCTATAAAGTGGGGGCCATCTGCAAGGTCTTCTATATCGATGCTATCATCGGGATCTACGCTTGGAAGGGTTTTGTATATGCGGTATAAGCCGAATTCATTCGCTCGAGTAGAGTGGTAGGTAAGATCGATGATTACGGGAGGGTCTGCAACGTCCTCGGCGTCCTCTGGAGTAGCGGAGGATGGGAGTGGTCTCGAGGGCTTTTGGCGCGGGGAGGGGAGATGCATCTGCGAGAGAATCTGTTGGGGGATTTGATGCTCCAGTCCGCGTGGTGCTGCAGATGGTACGTAGTCGACGAAATGCTTGGGAACGTGGCGGGGTCTTGAGGAGCGCTCGAGGGGTGTTATCTCCTGCTCTAAAAGCGGAACATGAGGCGATGTAGGCTGAGATGACGATAAGTGTCGTGCCGCCAGGAAATACACGCCAACGCACCTGCACATCACGCTCGTCGTCAATCTGGTGATGTAGCGCGGCATCCTCGTGCGACTCGGATCTACTAAGTACCACGTCTCGAAGGTGAGGTGATTGAGAAGGACCAGCACCGCTTGGGCTCGCGCTTTGCTCGCTGAGCGCCAAAACATGCTGCGGTCAGAAGTAAGGAGCATGCACCCTAGGGAAGGTGCTACCACGCACTCGTTGACCAAAAGCACTCTTCGACGAGCCCGTCTTTGGAGCCTTCGGATTAGGTGCAATGGAAGGGTGTGTTGGCTCCGCGCGTTTGCGACCGCGGCCGGCTGCCTGGAATGCCTGCACCGTCCTTCTTGTAGACTTGTCCTTTTGTGAGCACCTTGCGGCATGAGCGCTGCGCGCCCGCGTCGTTGAAAACTTCTCCGAGCAGTATGGGCATGGAAGCATCGGCAGAGTAGGCGAAGACAGACTGAACAATGGTGGGAGCCAAGACGCTACGTGACGCGACGCGATCAAAGTGCTAAGCGCCCGTTGCCTGCCCAGATCCCGACGCTGTGTGACGTCAGCGTCGAAAGTCGGGCAGGCGACGCGACCACGTGATCGAGCGCGGGGGATAAATAACGACGAGCCGTCAAAGATCGTCCTCTTTCTTCTTGCTTCTGAACGTCATCATCACCATGTCCAAGGCTCCTCCCAGGTTCTCTGTCCGGATTCCGCCAGCCAGGCGTCCTAATCGTCCCGCACCGGCACCTTCTCAAGCACCTACTGACACCGTCCCTCCCCGGCTACAGCCCAGGTCGACACCGGCAGTTCCTTTGATCAGCGCTGCAACGTCCGCTTCCAATTCTTCGCGTCGCGTGCCTCCGCCTTCCTCCTCTGGCGCAGCCTCCGAGCTGGATCGAAGCTCGTCGCCAGAACACCCGGAGGAGCCGAGGGTGGAGGAAAGCTCGGAGTTAGACAACGGCAGAGCCCGCGGTAGAAAACGTACCATTGACGCGATCAATGATGCACTAGACAGCATGCGAGAGAGAGGGTCAAAGCGGCCCACAGTCAGCGAGTACGTTCAGTTTCCTCGTTTCGAGGCGCATATACTCACTAAATATTGCAGTCGTACTTCTCCGCTTCATCCTTACCTCCACGCGTCACGCTACATTCCTCGAGTCGTCCCCGCTGTCCTCTTCTACTCCTTCAAGGCTATCATCTACGTTGGCATGGAGGAGTACGGGCGTACCCTCGACCTGCATGAGGACGACGATCCTGCGTTCATGCCAGCAGATTCCGAGAACGACGAAGCGACGAAAAGGTGCGCATATACCGAGTTGGGGCGCATGATGACTACTTATATGCGCGCAGCTGCATGCTCTCCGCCTACAACCACATCATGACGCTCCTGCCGGGCTTCGCAGAGTGTCTTCAAGAGATGCCCGAGCACAACATCAAGTCTCTCATCAAGGAGGTAAGCGATCTCATGCGCTTGACTCCGACGCGTGGGCTGATGAGTATCTAGATGGAAAAGATCATGGGTGGCGTGCGTAGCGATGACACGAACTTATGCAGGTCGCTCGTCCTTGAAGCAATTCTCAAGAATCCGCGCGAAGACAAACTCGACCCGATGCTCCTTCCGGAGGACGACAAGGATCTGCGCGGGTATAACCATCCCCAGTTCGCTCGCCTGCTCATCCCCCATGCATTCTACAATGCTTTAGTCAACCCAGAGACGTACCATGAGTATGTTCATCCTCTTCTTACTCCACTGCGGCGCACTCAGCTACCTAGGACGAAGGAAGCGATCGAGGCACACGAACTCGAGCTCGGCAACGAGTCTCTCTCGATGATTTTGTGGGACCCGGAGCAGTACGACCTCGAAGACGAGGAGAAGGGCATGATGAGGAGTCCACTCCTTGTGCGCGTGAGTCATTCATTCTTCGGTTTGCTGTCTTGCCGAGCACTGAGCACGAGAGAGATAGCTGTACCGTGCAATATTTTTCGGGAAGAAGCACACCTGGAAGGCTCCAAGCTCCCTACCGCCGCGGAGCTACGCCAAAGTGCACGGGCACAAGCGCGTGACTGGCCCAAGCATTGCCTATGTGGCCATGCAGGTAAGACTGTTGCTCTTTGCTTGGTTTCTGAATATTGACATCTCCTGCGAGGCGCGGTTCGCCTGTTCGGCAGTAGCAGAATGGCAATTCGAAGACTCCGACAACTGGAACATGCACGTCTTCTACAAGAACATCGTCGAAATCCTGGAGCAGGACGAAGATGATCCCGACGAGTGGGTCGAAGAGACTTTCCGCTGGTGGAATATGTGAGTTATGCCTTGCTTCGCGCCGTACCACGCTGACCCGCAAACCAGTCAAATATACGGCAAACCCGAGGGCTTCGAAGACGACAAGCCAGTCACCCCCGATGAGGTCAGCATCGAGCTGAAGGGGGCTCGCGCGCGTCGCCGGGCTCGCGCAGTCAAGCGCGCTGCTGCCAAGCGTGCTTCCGCTGCCACGTAGGTCCTGCCGTTTACACTCTGCTTTCATGTTCGCCGTCATCTTGTAGCTCTCGACACTCGCATCGCTTCTTTGGACTCGGCTCTGTTGTATCAGCTTTGTACTCGCGTTGCTCTCTTATCGTACCGGCTCTGTACGTGTTGTTGCCCTGCTTAATGATATTTTATTCTCCAATAATTCAGTGCGTGTGTCTCGAGCAAGAAGTCGCGCAGGAGTGGCTCCCGCGTGAGCTGGGGCCACGCGCCTGATCTGTCCTACCTCATAGGACATGGCCGGCCTGATCAGACGGTTCTTATATAGCTCCCAATGCCTCGTAAGGGCCACAATACCCGATAACACGCCGGCATGCCAGGCGACTTCTATACCGACTTCCGGTTCCTATACCCTGTTTTAAGAAGGGCAGTTCATTGATCTGCCTTTGTACGCTGCTGTGAGAATATCATGCATTGGGAGGTAGGTATAGCCTTTCGGGCTCTTACAAAGTTAGGTATTCTGCGCACGGCTCGGGCGATGGTCACCGCAGGTCTCACTTAGACCCTGCTTTCCCATCTCCCTCAGCGCTCACGTCTCCCCTCCCCCTCCCTGCAGTGCATATCATGGCCCTCGTTGCGCCTCTTCCCGGAGCATACGCTGTAGTAACGCTCGACCCTCACACCACCCTCAGATTAGTCGGCGTCTCTGACGACCCGATCGCAGAGGCAGAGTGCAGACATATGGTGTGCGGCAAGTACATCGCATGTATCACCAAGGTACGCCACACTCTTCTGTTTTTGTGGCAATAGCTCACACTGAAAGCAGCCCCGCAACGACTTCGACATGTTGTTTTCCCATTGTGCCTTCGATATCGACTTTGTCGTACAAGGTCTTCTTCCAGACGATCCTGCCACGTTCTATCACCACGCAATGTCTGTCCCCATTGCTCCCAACACCTTTCATCCCACAGGGCGCCGCTCAACGAAGGCGCTTCCTCCTCTTCCCTGGAACGATTGCTATCACACGTTCCCTTTCCATCTCGAGGGACGTTGCGCTGTCATTAGGTCTAGGGACTATCCTCAAAGCTGTATCTCGGCTAGAGAGGCGTCCATACTATGTGGTTTCATGAGGAACGACGACAACCACGTGTATGACCAGGAGAAGGCGCGCGACAATGGCGCCCCCCTCTCTACTTCGCCGATCCCCGAGATCGCCTCCGACGTTCAGTTGATGATCAAGTTTGCCGATGAGCTCCCTCCAACTACGACGCCCTGGTGGCACAAGATCGTCAAAGTGACGGCCCTTCAGGACGAGCACTTGGACTCACTCGCCGACGCTCCTCAGGGTACACGTGTAAAGGACCAGGTGGAGTTCAGTCCACCGTCTGAGGAGCTTTCCCCATTCCTTCGGTTTACGTACGACCTGTCGAGCTTCGACAGTCCACCCCATCCGTCGGGCTTCATCAAGGAGCTCAAAGAGCTCAGAGGGTACGTCGTGTCGAGCCTTTTCTTGTGCCATGGCGACGGCTCACCATTTTGTCAGGATATACCAGCGCCATTTGGATCGCCGCCACAACGAGCTCAATGACCATATCGAGCAAGCCAGGGAGATCGACGAGGCCCATATGGCGGAGCTCAAGGCGAAGGGTCTTCGTGTCGAAGGCCAGCAGAAGCCGCGTGGGCGCAGTTTCCGCCGTCTCACTCGGCACTACGCTGAACTTGGTATGGCCATAACTTTGACTTCCCGACGGCTGCTAACCGCCTTGTAGCATTCAACCGTACTCATCGTTTTCTACACCCGCACTTCTGAGCTTTCGCTAGCCATTAGCACTTCGACACTGTTTATTCTGTCCTGAACTTGCTATCGTGCTTTCTAGTTGTGGTATGTGGACTGTGGGTTTGGGTCGTTCATGCCTCTGTAACAGTACACGTAGGCGCGCAATGCCCGCCTGAATGTACCGAATGCTGTGTTGCTGTACATCTGCTTATTATAATTCATCTGCTGTCCCTCGAGATACAGTATATGGAGCTGCATTTCTCCGAGGAAGATATCATGAAATAATGGCGTCGCAGTACGGTCTCGGTGGGACTGTCCTTGTGACACAACATCGTAGCCGATGAGTGAGAGGGCCGCTGATTCTTGGCGGAACCAGGCTTTCGTCTATCGTCTGCGGCCACAACCATCGGGTTGCTAGGCCCGCTCATTTCCTTCGATTTTGTACTCTTCTCTAGATGGGCACCTTGGCATAGACGCTCACCTAAACGAGCACCACCAGCCCAGGCATAAGACCTATGCTTCGGCATTTACCGAGTCCACGTGGAGTCGGTTCTAGACGCTGAGGCAGGTGACAAGCGCGTTGACTGGAACCACCATCATCATGAACTACAGCCATCGTGGCTAGTACGACACGACGAGGTTTTCACGCTCGAATCTCGGTATCTACGCAAACTCGAGCTCAAACATTGCTGCTCTGTCCGACGTCGAGTTAAATGCAGCCCCAAGCCCTCGTTGGCGCCACCACGAGTCGCAAGTGGCCGACGACCAGACTAAGCGCGGCCGCAATCAACAAAAGCACTTTGAAATCTGAAGCAGGAGGCAAGCTCGCTGCGCTCATCACCGTCCTCGCCCTCGTTCATTCCCAAGCAAGATAGCAGGTAGTTCTTGGCCACATCAATCGTCTTAAGCTTCGTCTCGCATTCTGCTGTGCCAGCAAGTGACCTGCCACCATATCGAAGGCCAAACGCAGACGGACAAACATCACTAGTTTGGATGTGTTATGCAGGGGCATTGATGGCGCTCACCGATGGTAGTGGCTTCTGCCTTCGTGAAGCCCGAGACTCTTTTGACAATCCCCGTTACAGCTGGTCTTTTCTCAGAGCCAGCTCGTAGTCCACTTGGCATCCACAACTCTCCCCTTTCCTTCTCACACACCATGGCCCTCGTTGCACCTCTTCCTGGAGCGTATGCTGTCGTAACGCTAGACCCCATCACCACCCTCAGGTTAGTCGGCGTCTGCGACGATCCGATCGCAGAGGAAGAGCGCAGACAAATGGTGTGTGGAAAGTACATTGCGTGTATCACCAAGGTACGCCACACGTCTCTGTCTTTGTGGCAGTGGCTCATCGAAAGCAGCCCCGCAACGACTTCGACATGTTATTCTCCCATTGCGCCTTCGATATTGACTTTGTCGTACAAGGTCTTCTTCCGGACGACCCAGCCACGTTTTATCATCACTCTATGTCTGTCCCCATTGCCCCCAACACCTTTCACCCCACAGGGCGTCGCTCGACGAAGGCGCTTCCGCCACTTCCCTGGAACGATTGTTATCACACGTTCCCCTTCCATCTCGAGGGCCGGTGCGCTATCACTAGGTCCAAGGATACCCCTCAGAGCTGCCTTTCGACCGACGAGGCGTCTATATTATGTGGCTTCATGAGGACTGATGACGACCACGTGTTCGACCAGGAGGAAGCGCGCAAGAACGGCACCCCCGTCTCCGTTTCGCCGATCCCCGAGGTCTACTCCGACGTGCAGATGATGATCAAGTTTGCCGATGAACTCCCTCCGACTACGACACCTTGGTGGCACGAGATCATCAAGGTGACGGCCCTTCAAGACGAGCACTTGGACCCCCTCGCCGACGCCCCTCAGGGTACACGGGTGACAGAACAGGTGGAGTTCAGTCCACCTTCCGAAGAGCTTTCCCCGTTCCTTCGGTTTACGTACGACTTGTCGAGCTTTGAGAGTCCACCGCATCCGTCGGGCTTTCTCGAGGAGCTCAAAGAGCTCAGAGGGTACGTCGTGTTGAGCCCTTTTTGTGCTTTCGGCGGCTCACCATCTCTTCAGGATCTATCAGCGTCATCTCGACCGGCGCCACAACGAGGTCATTGACCATATCGAGCAAGCCAAGGCAATCGACGAGACCCATATGGCGGAGCTCAAGGCGAAGGGTCTTCGTGTCGAAGGCCAGCAGAAGCCGCGTGGGCCCCGTCGTCTCACTCGGCATTACGTCGACCTTGGTACGACCGATACTTTCGACTCCCCGACGGCTGCTAATTGCCTTGTAGCACTAGACCGTATCCATCGTTTTCTACCCTCGCAGTTGCGTGTTTGCGCTCGTCATCAGCACTCTGACACTGTTCATTTCGTCTTAAAATTGCTATTGTGCTTTCTAGTTGTGGTGATGTGCTATTGCTGGCGAATGAGAAACTGGCGCGGGATGTGAGTATTACTTTCTCGTTCTTCAAAACTCGATTCTTGACCCCTACTTCACCTTCTCTTCATCGTTCTCCTCTCCGCGTCATCCCCTGCACCCCCTGCATCTGTTTCTTTATCTTCTACTATCATCGCTGACGCTCGCCCTCGCGCACCTTTGTTGAGATGCACACGGTGCGCTGACGATCCCCGCGCAGCGTCAGCTCGAGCAGCTCCGTGTTGTATGGCTCTAGTTCGGTGATCTCAACGTCGGGTGGCTCGCCTTTGATGTCGGGCGGCTCGACGTCTGCCGCGTACGACTTCTCCGCGTCCTTCAGCGTGTCTCGTACTCTCTCACTATCGTCGAGTAGCTCGAATGAGTCAAGGCGTGCTGCACGGGGATCGACGAATCCTCGCAATTTGTGGACCTCTTCCGCACGCTCCCCGACTCGCCGACTCGCCCTTCACTCCGAGAGCTGTTGGTGAAGCTTCTGCCGCTCTTATCAATGGAAAACTAATGGTCAAGGTTAACGAATCACCCAACCGCGCCGTAGATAAGCAAGAATACCTTGGATGATGTAAGTGGCAACACGGATCTATCACTTCGAGGACAACGCTGACGCGCATTCGTAGTAACGAGCTACCGGCCTGGCAGAGCTGTATGTCGATCCTGACTAGACTCAGCGGCTCTGGCGTCCGGGTAGTGCGCAAGCGCATCGCCCCTACCCAGCCATCGCACTTTGCGCCGCTCGTACGAGAAGGCGCGCTCCATGCGCACTGTGCATAGCCGGCGAGTCTATTGGGTCTGACAACCGGACAGCGCGCGAACGCTCGCAAGCATCTGTTCTCCGCGTCCACATAAATTGCATCCAAAATCCAGCTACATTTGAGAATATATGATTTTCTGCACGGTACCTTCTCCACGAACGAAACAGCGGGCACAATTGAGCCTTACGCACCCTGAGAACGAAGACTGCCTTTGGACAGGCTGGGGTCCTCGGTGTTCGCCTGCGACGTGGTGCTTGGCGTATTGGAGCGTCTTGTCGAAGCCTGCTGGTGGTTAGCGTAGGAAGAGACCGCGTCGCCGGCGCCTACTCACAATCTTACTGATGTAAGATCGCACAGAGGATGCGACCGAAGGAGATCGCTTTCCCGAGCTTGTCTTCGTCCTCGTTCTTGTTCTCGATGCCGGCTTGTCGGGGACAGGAAGGAGATGAGTGTCCGATAGCGGTGGCTTCGGCGTAGTACCCAGAGGTGTGGGAGAACCTCGGCGCCACGATGGACCGTCGATGCCCGAACGACGGTCCGGAAGCACGATCTGTGGGGGACATACAGGGGACGCGGTCTGCCTAAGCGGACTCGTAGCCGCAGCCCCGCCGCTCGTCGTGCTCTCAGCCCCCGTGCTGGCTGCCTTTGGTGCAAAGAGGCCCGCCAACCTCCCTCGCACACCCGGTTTGTCGCTACGCCATGAAGTCGATGCGTCGGCTTTTGACGGGCTGGAGTGCATAGATCTGAAGTCCTCTTCAAACAGGTCCACCTACAAGTAAGTTCAGACTCGCATTCAGGAATAGGCAGCAGCCAACGAAAGTCGTACGCACTATCTTGGTCTGTTTGAACAGGGCCTGCGCCACGTTACGCCTCTCCCTCTCATCGTTCAGTGTGCGAGAATGGCGCGCAAGCGCGGCCCTGTGATACTGCCTCAAGCAGTCCATGGATTTGTTGTTGACATATGTGCAATGCTCCTCCTTCTCTCCGTCTTTGTTCGCCACCGTCGTGTTGTAGCTATCGAATTCCGTGCGGGGAACATGTACAACAAGCGGTATGAGGTACGCCGTCGTGTCTGTTGTCCAGCATGGGCTAGTATGAATGTGTGCCCGATCCGGCTGTCCTTCGATGCGGAGATCATCGCCGGTGGTAGTGTAGACGGTGAGAAAGTATTCGCGAAGGACCGCGGGGAGATCGGTGTATGGCGTGCCACGGAATTTGCCCATCAAGAAAACATCGACGTCTGTTTCACGTTCGTCTGCGCGCAACACTACGCATGGCCGAAGATCTCCAGAGCCGGACTGGTAGGACTGCGCGCTCGCACGAGAGGCTGGGCGAGAAGGTGACGTGGCAGGTTGGACTGCGGAAGAAGGGGAGTTCAAGGATGTTGCCGAGTGACGCGAGAGAATAGCCTTGGCAAAAGGCAGGCTAGGAGCGAAAGAGCCTCGAGAGCTCTTGCCAAGCGTAGTTGCTCGATTTTTTCTGAGCCACTCCGCTCGTGCTAGATCCTCAGGGATCAAAGGCTTAAAGGTAGATAGAAGCGGTCTGCGAGTGCGGGCGACATCACCGGGCTTGACGGGCAAGGCAAGGCGCCTTTCCTCGTCAGCAAACCTCGCAAGATCGCAGCTACATAGCTGAGAAATAGGATCGTCGGTCTTGAAATTTTCGGGAGCGTCGAAGAGGTCATCAGAGTCGACATCGACAATACCTGGTCCAGTAGCACGGCTACTGTGAGCTGGTTCGACTGCGTCGACAGTGATGTCAAGTGTCCCGAACTTGTAAACGATTCTCTCCTCGGTCAACGAGGCGCGGGCATGAAGACGTGGTGGATCAGGACTCATCGATGGGATGGGCGTTGGGAAAGACCTCTGGATGTGCAGCCGGGTCTGCCCTATCAACCTATATCACAGGTGCTGAGCCCCATGAGAACCGGATTGTTGCGATCCGAAGCGGTGTCGGGACCCATATAATACAGCTGGAGTAGTACTTCTTTGCAGACGAATGTATTGGGAATGTATAGCCATGTCGCAGCACGCCATCCACCGGTTTGTCTATGTTAGGCAACGGCGTGGCTGAAGCGGAAAGTGCCGATGCGGAACGTGATTCCCATCAGATTCTTTGCTTCCGGACGCCTTGTCCGCTCTCCCCGTCGCCGTCTCCCTCATCGCTCGCCGTTCTCCTTGACCATTCCTCACCCTCGCAGCAACAGTCAGATATGCCATTTCTCTCTCCCATTCCCGGATCCTATGCCGTCATCTCCCTCGATCCTGTGGCCTCTTACAAAGGCCTGAACGATCCCATTGTCGCGGAGGCGTGCCAGAAAATAAGCTGTGGCAAGTATATTGCTTGTCTAACGCAGGTGTGTAGTCGTTATGTGCAGTCAATCCGAAGCTCAATGTGTCGCTGCAGCCGGTCAACATGATGGCCATGGCGCTAAGATACTGCCCGTACAGAATCGATCTTGTTGTCGAGGGTCTGCCTCCGGACGACCCTGACAGATTCTATCATCACGCCATGTCACTTCCAATCTTGCCCAACTCCCTTCACCCAATGGACCGTCGCCCAATCCAGGCCACTCCTCCTTTGCCATGGGATGGGTGCTATCACGCCGTCCATTATCACGCAAAGGTGCGCTGTCCAATGGGCAAGTCTCAGAAGGACCCTCAGAGCTACCTTTCGCTCGAGGAGGCCGACATACTTGACCGCTACATACTGCATGATGACGGTCACGCTCTTGCGCAAGAACGAGCTCGGGATGCAGGATCTGGCGCTTCTTTTCCACCCGTCCCCGAGATATCTAATGAGTTGCGCATTGCGACCAAGCATTCGACCCCAAATACTTCTACGCCGACGCCTTGGTGGCTTCTTGAGAGTAGCTCCAGCACCGATTCGGGCGAGTCGGCGAGCTCGGACTCGCACTCCGAGTTCTTCGATACACCTTCTGGCGCCGAATGTTCCTCCGCTACGCCCCTAGGCACCAGTGAGGATGTCCGTGTGATGGAGATGATCTTCAGTCCTGCCATGCGTGCGGAACTCCTCCCTGTTGTGCAGTTCTCCTACGACTTGACGGAATTCGACCGTCCGCCTGACCCCTCAGGATTCTTCCAAGAGCTCTCACAGCTGAAGCGGTGCGTTGCGCGTCACGAGGTGCTGCGCTTTCAGCTGATATTCTGTAGGATTCTAGCGGACTACGACCAGCGCAAGGAGCAGAAGAGAGCGGAGCTGTTGAAGCAGGACGACGAGTACTACTCTCGACTGCGAGCGGAGATTCCGCAGTCTAAGGCGCCGACGCGCCTCCGTCAATTCATAGGCCGGGTACGAGACGTTCGTGGTGAGTTCTCATACTACTTCTAGTTTCTCGGCGCCGCTGATCATTCCAATAGCGCACGACCTCATGACCAGACTGCGCGAGGTTTGCCGCGTGAACCCTTACAGGCTGCGCCTGCACGTACACGTCCAGCGCGGACACGATGGGACGCGCTTATCCACGACGAGGTTTGCTGATAGCCTAGCGCGACGCTGGCTTTTCTATGTCGAATGATTTTTCTCGTGCATTATGGACGCCCTCGAAGTTTTCTACTGTTATTGCTGTGTACTGCTATCGTGTTGTCGAATTTCCATAGCTTTCTTATTCGAGTTGAGATTGTGAATTTGACGGGGAGGGAACCGCACGTGGATTCTCGTGCAGAGACCGTCTACATTTAGGTACTTAACAGAAGCGGTACAGTACGTAGGAGCAAAAGGGAAAAGACGCTGCTCCCAGCCAGGCTCGAACTGGCGACCGTCGCATGTTATGTTACCCATATAAGTACGAAGCGCTAACCAACTGCGCCATGGGGGCATACTCGGAAGCAATTCTAGTGTCCCCCAGTGCGCCGTTCAATCTGACACCGCACTCCCATTAGCGATCTCGGGGTACTTCATCTCGAGGGCGCGCTTTGGACGACTCTGTCCCTTATCAAGAGGACGCACCATCCCCGAGTCTACATTGCTGAAACTGACCGTCAGAATCAATGCCGCCCTCCTCGTAGCCGTACTCACACGATCCAATCGGCGCTCTTGACGACTTCCGTTGGTATGTTACTGCACGAGAGGATCATCGTGTACTCGCCACGCCTACCGAAAAGAATTCGGCATACATGTTCTCCGGCCTCGCCGGCAGGAAGGCGGTCGACGACGATCATTCGCACTCGGCCTTGTGCTTCGAGCAAGCGAGCAAAAGCGCGAGCCCTGCAAAAATATTGTGATTACCAGGAAGAAGAGAAGATGGAAGAAGCGTACGATATAATACCTTCCTCCTCGGCAGGAGTCAAAGTCTGCGCACTTGCACTCGGGGAGTGAAGATCCAACTCGCGAAGCGCCGCTGGCGAAATCGCATTCACCCCGTTGAAGCTCATACTCTGCCCAATGAGCGGAGGCACATCGAGGACCTTGCTCTGCTCGAGAAGTGCTGAGACGCCGGCCAAGCTGGCTGCCTCGCGGGCCAGCACGTCTCCCTCCGAACCAGGGCTGGCGCCAAATAGGATATTCTCGCGAGTCGAGAGCGGGTAGACGACGTCGCGACGCGGAAGGTACACAGTGGATCTCTGTAGCTGTCGCGCACCATAATCTGTCAGAATCCGGCCGTCAAAGACTATACTCCCTGAAGTCGGCGGCTTGAGTCCTGTGATCAGATCGAGCATCGCATCCTTTTTGCTGTCCACGCTGCCGTTGAGTACGACAGCCTGGCCCGGTTTGATATTCATGGATATGGCTCGACTAGTGCAGGGGTCACCATCCGAGGAAGTGGCGACAACATCCCTAACGAATGGGTCAGACGAGAGGCAATGCGCGTCAAGACTCAAACTCCTCACCTCAGCTCGATATGAACGCCTTCAGTATGGGGATGACTTGTGCGAAGCCCGATACTCGGAGGAGGTGAATGGACCGTATCAAGTGTTGCGTAAGTCATTGTCGCCTCGTCAAGTATGTCGCTGAGCCGCCTGAGCTGCGCATAGCGGTCAAGCGCGCCCATGACGAAATTGAGCATGTAGGGGACGTAGACGGCAAGCGAGACGGCATTCGCGGGTTCCACGACTGGTATGGCGACGGCGGCGACCATTATCTGGACGGCGAACTCAGAGTACGATGCGGATGACAGAAGCAAGCATACGATCGACGATCTCCCAAGGAGCGCACATGGCATCTCCCAGAGCCAAGAAGCAGATGGACGTCCTAGCGCAAGATATAATGCGTCGGCCTTGGTGTCCCGAAGGCGCTCGTATATGAGTGTATACTCTATAGCATCGTCAGCCTACAGTCTTAGCGAATCGTTCGCACTGACCTTCCACAACCGCAGTGGAGATCCCATTCATGAAGATCGATCTGCTGTATTTCACGTCAAAGAGCATCTGGTGAAGCGCGGCTAGACGTTGGTAATCCGGGTCCTCCGCCCAGAAGGTGTAACCTATATCTCATCAGCTTTTCGAAGGAGCGATTCCGGATAACTGAGGACACACCAGCACCGTTCAGGAAGTTCGGAGGCTTCAGCAAGCCGAGCAGCATACTCACAAGCGCGAAGCCATACACGGTGGCAACCTCTAGTCGCTCGTGTCGTACGGCCACGGTCGAGATTGCAACAAGTAGAAAAGCTATCTCGAGCAAGCACTTCACGGAGTTCACCGCCTCGTCGAGCAGTGCCCAAAGGGGGGATTTGCAAAAATCGAGGGATGAGTCGCAAAGGAGAGGTGTGCGCCGGAGGTGACCTAAAAGACGTATGAGTTTGTTTTCCTCTTGAACGTGTTCAAGCGTACCTTCACGGTCGTCCATTGTCAGGCCAGAGAGCGCTGGTCAATCAGGTGAGTAGGGAAATATAAGTTTGTATCATGTCACGTACCTCGAGCCAACCTCGGGAAGTAATCTGCATTCGAGCGCGCCTGCAGTAGGAGGCCGACGTCCTGACTGAAATCATTAATTGCTGTATCATGGTTGCTTGCAAGCCACATACCTTATGCGCTCGGCCACGAAGGCGAGCATGCTCAGAAGGAACCAAGAGAACAAGTATGCGACGACGGCGCGAATGCCGTTACCTGAGAGCCCTCCAGCTTCGATTGCTTTGGTAACCTGGCGAGGTTGTCAGCAGGTCCAGAAAGCCTCCGTGTTGGCAGGCCGCACCTCGAGCAATACCCCGTCAAGAAGACACAGCGAGCCGGCCGGGAACAGCGAAATTGCTCCCTGAGAGCAGAGATATACGATGAGCGCCCCCGGACTCGACCCGTATGTCTCTTTCACAAGGCGCATTGCGACAGGCCGCAAATTATGCCAAGCACGCCGAAGCCTCGTGACACGCTTGAGCACAGCGACTGAGGGTGTCTTTCCATAGGCGATTCGAAAGATGCCCCAGGTGGTGAAGTTCACGTCGTCCGGTATAGCTGGAGACGGGTTGCTGGACATGGGCGTACGAGGGAAAGCAGGTCGAGTTCAATGGGGCAGTCACGATGGATACGAAGCTGACTTTTGGATACTCACCTGGACCTCACCACATCAGTACGCCGACATTCTCGGGTACTCGTGTAGGGCACATTCAGACCCAGCGACGAAATTTGTGGGTGCTGAAGGAAATGAATTACTTGAGAGTGTGGATCATCGCAGCGGGTTGCCATCCTGGGCAATATCTGAGGGATCTCGGCAGTGGCGTTGTCTACGATTGACCCCGAAGTATACACCGGAAGGGCGCTCCCTGCAAGAAGCGAGCTTAGCGGTAGGGCAAGACGGGAGAAGGAGCGACACCCACATTGTTATCGAACGCTCGATCCGCACGTCAGAGTGCCCACGCTCTTAACGCGCCGTTGGAACAGATGACGACTGAAAGTTAAAGAAGGGAGACTAAGCTCATCGAGAGCTCGACGATGGACGCGGAAAAGAGGTGCCCAAGGAGGAATCAGGTTGACGGCGCCTGCCGGTTTATGACGGTCGCAAGTTCAGACGAGCTGCTAGGACAGCTTGAATCCGATAGCATCAAGCTGGCACCTCTACACATCTCCACAGCGCGCTCGCCATGATGATGGTGGGAGGGTGAGTCGCGACACGCGCCTCGGCATTCTCCGGTACATCTGTGATGCCGTGGACTCGGCTGTGCAATGCCAACACGCCGTCCTTCTTGAGTCTGACGGCCATCTTCTGTTACCTGCCAAATGAGGAGGTCAGCTAGACTATCTAGCAGAACTAGTCAGCGACCGCAAAACCTCGACGGTGATAGCAGGTTTGTGTCGAGCGCTGTGTCGTGTCCGACGGCTTACAATCGTTAAGCAGCGAGGTCAGTTTACCCCCTCCCAAGCGTCGCAAAACGAAAGCAAGCGCATCTTCTGCATCTGTGAAAGGCAAACTTGCCGCCCTCTTCGAGCTGCCTCTGGACATTCTATACGAGGTAGGCCACCATCCGGCCTTGGGCCAAGCCGCTGTCGCTGATACAAACACCGCAGATCCTATGCAACACGCACCCTAACGACCTTCTTCAGATCTCGAGAGCCACGAAAACCCTGCGGCGCACCCTTATGAGCCGCTCGTCCATCTGGATATGGCAGAGGAGCTACGCCGCCCATCCGGACCTGCCTACCGTGCCCGAGGACCTAAACATCCCTCAGTTCATGTCTTTGGCCGTCGATAGATGGTGCCACGTAAGCTATCCCCAAAGTCACGCACCTCGAGATCTGACCTCTCAGTAGTCCTGCCACGGGAAGTGCGCCGATGCGATCTGCTGGACCGCACGGACGCGGTCGTGTCGGAACTGCTTGCGGAATACGTGAGTGGAATCCCAGCGCCTTTCGTACTTACCTTCTGATGATGCTGACCACGCACCTCTAGCAAGCACTGGTTCCGGCGAGAGCAGATGAGGAGCAAACCCGCGCTGCGAATCATTGGCGAGAGCAATCTCATCTTCCAAAGCGTCATGATGTCGCTGTTCCCCTACATCAGGATTACAGGTGAATGGGCCGGGTGCAAGAAGCATCGCCGACATACCACTGATCATAAGCGGCGCAGTACCCAGTCGTCCATCGGGACAGGTTTACTATCTCGCGTCGTCCGTGCGCGATTTCCTGGAAAAGTTCGATCGCGATGATGTGGCCCATATGACCGCAGCACAGCGAGACCGATGGCTGACGCCAACGTATGGGGAGATGGAGCGTCTGGCAGAGGTGAGTGAGGTAGACCAACAGTGTGATCTAAACGGCTCCTTAGTCAACCACTACAGCACGCGCGAGAATGCGAGCAGTGGGTTCAGAGGCTCAAAAAACGACAGGGGGGCTGAGGAGGCGCGCGCTTTCGAGAGTGAGAGTGCGCCGTCCTGAGAAGTCACTCTGTTTGTGTTCGTGAGTTCATGACGTCGAACAGTCAAGGGTATGGTACCCCATCAATCGTCCACATAGACACCCGAATACAGGAAGAGATATATTGCAGTCATGCGTGAGTAAAGATACAGTGCTATGCGATTTTGACGGTCTGCGAAGGACGAGTGAGCCAGCGGCTGAATTTGAACAATCACGTTACTCACCTTAGCATACAACGACTCAACGACCTTCCCCACCTGCTGCAGCGTGTCGATCGCTGCGCCGTATGAGGTCTGAAAGGGACTGTTAGACACGTCAAGGATGCGATGCGATGTCCACTCACATCCGCCTCGGGCTCGTCGTACACCAACAGGCATCCGCGACCCTGATCCAAGACGCCGGGTAGGACCTTGTCGAGGATCATCTGTGAGAGCCTGTCCATCGTCAGCCTGTCACCCCTTGACTCACAAACGCCTTCGACTCACTTCGCCTCTACCGCCACCTTACTCTGCCCGACCTGCTTCGCCACATAGTCGATCTCGACGACCTCATACGGCTCGATTATCCGCAACAAGTTCTGCTCGAGGAGCGTGTCGAAGAGGGAGGACAGATGCGAGCGGATCGTCGGGTCCGTCTGGAGCTCGTCCTTGTAGTCGCGCAGCGCCTTCTGGAACTCGCCGAGGTCGCGGCCCTTGTGCGCGGCGGCGATCGCGCGCATGGCCTCCACGGCGCGCTCGTTGGCGAACTTGCTGCCCAGCTTGTGCGCGAGGAGGGGCCCGACGTCGTCTGGCTATGTGCGGTGTCAGTACGTGGCGTCGTGCGGATGAAGCCAGCACGCACCGAGTTCGACATGATCTTGCAGAGGAGCATATACTTGAACGCGCCGAGGGCATCGCGCTCCGCGTCGGAGCCGCTGAAGCCCTCGAAGGCTTCGTAGAAGTAGGAGTATGACGTTGTCCAGTCCTTGTCTTCGGCGTGAAGGACACCGGATTGGAGATCGAGGGAGGCTTGGAGGAGGGGAGGGCAGTAAATGGAGTTTGCGGCGGTTCGAGAGGAGGTGAGAGCGGCCTGCAAGCGCATCAGAGCTATTCGACTTAAGACGATTGCGAGCTACGCACCTTCGCCTTTGCAAAGTTTCTGATCCCCTGGTAGACGCGGCTCTCCAGCAGGTGCACCTCCGTCAAGATCATCTTGTCGTCCAGTCGCCTGAGCTCGCTTAGCAGCGCGTCGATCAGTTTCAGCGCCTTCTGGTACTCCCCGAGCTCCAGGTACAGTGCCCCCAGTCTTGTCTCGAGCGAGTGCTTGAGGAAGATGCGCTTATCGCCCTTCGCCCATGCGATGTTCTCCTCGAGGACGCGCACTTGTACGGGGGTCGAGCCAGGGATCGGGTGGAAGAAGTCGAGGAGGGTGCGGATAAGCTTTGCAGTCTTCGCCTTCGCAGTCGAGCTCATGAAGCCGCGCGAGAGGGTGATGACTTCAGCGAGGCGCTCTGCATCGCGCTGGTCGCGGTAGAGCGCACCGAGCGCGACTATCGCGTCCTCCTTCTCGCGGTCAGTTGCAGTCGCGCTGCTTGAGAGAGTTGCCTTCAGCTCTGCTTCAGACATGATGGGCCGGGAACTGGTGAATGTCGAGAACAAAAGCGCGTCGAGAGCGCCTACTTCCAGGATGACGCGTCGCGCGCAGATAGGGGTGGGATTACCGCTTTAGGCAGCGCGACTTAGCCGTTTTCGACTTGTCCTCAGCCGCCATGGTCGTCGTTCTCGGAGATGCCAGCAGCTGCCCGAGCACGCGATACGAGGGACCTCCGTAATCAGAGGGAATGCTCAGAGAGCGTGCTCTCGATGATCTCCTGCGTCCGGCGCTTGCGATTCTGAGACACGACAGCCACATAGCGCGTCCATGTGCCGCTGCCACTGCGAGTATGCCCGGTCCTCCTGCTCAACCTTCAGATAAGGCCTTCCTGACAGAGGCCCGAACGCAATACCCTAATAATGGACGCAAAGCGCGCTTGACACGAATATCCGCACATGCTTTGTACGGGCAAAGAGCTCATTGATATTCGTTGCAATCTACCGATACAAGCTGGACACAAGCTCGACGTTGCTTCGCGCATGGGCTCTCGATGTGGGTGCTTAATTCGCTTCAATTATCGGCATGCGGAGGTGGGGTCAGACGCAGGGTAGGGCGGGCGGTGCTGAAGTTCGACCGAGCATGCAGAGTAGTCTCGTGCAAGCAACCCTCCCGGTCTTAGACTTCGTCGCTATGGTAGCCCAATAGGCCTGTCTAAGACAACTGACGCTGTCCCAGTCTTTCGAAGTCGTCGGCTACTTACACCTCAGCGCCCTCAAAGCCCGCAGTGCCCGCACCTTCGCCGAACGTCGCCGCCCCAAATTGATCACTACGCATCACAACGCCCCCTCCCACGGTTCGAATCCTCCGGTCCTCTGATCCACCAGCCTTCTTCTATACTTGGAACAAGTACACTTGCTCAAGCGTCGAGATTCGACGCTGCGCAAGATGGCGCCAGCGTGCGCCCGCGAGACCGTCCCGGGTCTCATCTCCCAGCGAAGCGCGACGTCTTGGAGCGTCCCGCATCGCCGCCCTCGTGCTCCCCGACCCCGCTCGCGTGGTTCCATTTCGCCCACACTACCCGCGGCTAACAATAGCGCGCTGGTCTTCGCCGCTCCAACGTGGGGGGGCTTTCATAAAAGGCGGCTTGCTTTCGGCCTACAAACCCAACCACCGGTTCCCCCCTCGAGACGACCTTCGCTAGAAGCCACCCGCTCCTCCCTTGCCACCGACGACCATGTTCGCGTACTACTCACTGATCGCCACCGTCTCGCTCGCGCTCGCCGCCGCGGCGTCGCCTGTCGTCAGCGTACCCAAGGAGGGCCGCGCTATCCCGATGCGCAAGCGCGCCGGCCTCACGAAGGACAACGGCGTCTTCGACTTCGACCGCGCCGTCGCGCTCACCGTCGCCGCGCAGAACAAGCACCGCCAGAACCTGCTCAACCTGCAGAACAACGGTGGCACGCTCCGCCAGGTGCGATGACGCGCTTACCGTGATGCGATCGCGTTGGGGGCTAAACATGATATGCAGGGTGCCGTGATCAAGGACCTCGCGTCGATTCCGGACGACATCAAGGCCAAGCTCCAGCTCTCCAAGCGCCAGGCCGAGTCCCTTGAGGACGAGAACCAGGACACGGAGTGGGCTGGCGACATCACCATCGGCAGCGATGACCAGAAGTTCTTGATTGACTTCGACAGTGCGTCATTCATTCCCCCTATCTTCCCCGCACGCGTTAACGTATTTCCCAGCCGGCTCCTCCGATCTCTGGGTCCCGAGCAAGAGCTGCAGCTCGTCCGTCTGCTCCCAGAAGAACTCGTACGACGCGTCCTCGTCCGACTCCTCCAAGAAGGCCTCGGGCAAGTTCCAGATCCAGTACGGCGACGGCTCCACCGTCTCTGGCCCCGTCTACCAGGATACTGTCACCGTCGCCGGCGTCACCGCGAAGAACCAGTACTTCTCCCCGGTGACCACCCTCTCCGACTCGTTTTCGAACGACCCCATCGACGGCATCCTCGGCCTCGCTTACCCCGCGATCAGCAACCTCAAGCAGGACCCGTGGTTCGTGAACGCGAACTCGCAGGGCGCGGTCGACAAGAACTCCTTCGGCTTCTACCTCGCCAAGACGGGCTCCGAGCTCTACCTCGGCGGCTCGAACGACAAGCTCTACTCGGGCGACGTCGAGTACCACGACGTCGACAAGTCGGAGGGCTTCTGGCTCATCACCGGCGCCTCGATCTCCGTCGATGGCAAGTCTGCCGCGGACAACTTCGACACCATCATCGACTCGGGCACCACGCGTGAGTGTACATTAGGTTCTCTGGATCGCGCAGCATTTGACGGTGTCTCTAGTCGCGTACGGTCCCCCGGACACCATCGACGAGATCTTCTCCAAGATTGATGGCGCGAAGGCGTATGACCAGCAGCAGGGTCTCTACTCCTTCCCTTGCGACTCCGCGCCGGACGTCTCCTTCAGCTGGGGTGGCAAGGACTGGAAGATCTCTGCCGACAAGTGAGCATTCCGCATCATTCGCGTTGACGACGCTGTACTGACATGCTTGCTCAGCTTCAACGCCGGCCAGGCTGAGGAGGGCTCCTCCGACTGCATTGCCTCGCTCGCTGGCCAGGATCTCGGCCTCGGTGACAACACCTGGCTCCTCGGTGACGCCTTCATGAAGAACGTATACACCGTTTTCGACTTCGACCAGGACGCCGTTGGCTTCGCCGAACTTGCGTAAGCGCTTGGTGGATGGTTAGATGTACAACTCGAAGGGAACTCAATGACTCACGACTTTGAACACTGAACCGACGCGCATACCACTACATCGCGCCGACGCCCCTTCCCTCAATGTACCTTCACTATTAAGTTATCGAGTACTTACAACAGTGTACGGTATTTATGTGCTGTTTGTTGCATTGCCTCTGCTGTTAAATACCACGCATGCATTTTGGATCTAGCTTCGGTTTGCGACCTCGAGTCTCCTGGACCATGCAGTGCCACTGGTCAGTGTTTGTCCTCCCTTTTGCAACCTGTCTCAGGGGAACCCTCTACGCCGTCCTCTGTTAGACTGAGTCTTCACCGAACCTGCTGCTTGCGTGCCCGTGCGTTTGCAGTAGGTCCAGCGCGCGTGGCATGCCATGTGTTCGCCGGAGCGGCGTACCGCAACGGGATCTAATCACTGTCAGCTTGCTCCAGACCATTACCACGACGGCGGCGCGCGTCTGCTCACCATGACTGTCCGCCCCCCTTCCCTCAGCGTCACAGATCTGAAGAAGATCAAGAACACGGTCATCGGAAACCCCTCTGCAAAGGTTGAGCTCGCACAAGACGAGGACTTCATCCGGACGTGCGTTACTTCCCCGCATTCATGCTATACGAGCGATTCTGACGACGCAGGCGGCTAGCCTAGTGCAGTGTTTAAACCACCCTCCACCATCTTCAGACCCACAGAGCTCGCAGGATGATATACGTATCGAGGTCGCGCACATCATCGCTTCCCTCTCGTATGGTGCGTCACCCCCCTCCCAACTGAGGGCCCTCGAGTCCTCACGATGCTTGTAGGCTCAGACCGAGCTTTGGCTACTCTGTTACACGCGAACGCCTTGGGTTCCCTTCTCCTCGCCATCTCCAACTTTCGTCCGAACGAACCCTCAAGACTCCGCGCCGCCTTCGCACGCGCACTACGTGCGCTCGGCGTCGCTATCGCTGATATTGTCGGTCCCGCGCTGTGGGGACTTCGCCCAGACGACGACTCGGAGATCAAAGACCGTGCGAAGGATGCACTTAGCATGCTCTTCCAGGTGCGCCCAGCTTCTCTCCGATCACGCGTATCTCGTACTCATACCCGCTCAGGAAACCACCCTCGACATATACGCCCCCCTGCTCGCTCATCCGGCGACCGCGACGAGCGTCGCGTACTTGATCGGCATGTCGGTGCGCAGCGAGGCGCATAGGAAGGCGGTTGTGGACTGGCTACCGCCGGCGGAGCGCGCGCAGGCAAACAAGAGTCGGCGGGGGTGGGAGAAGAGCACGGTGGCTACGGCAGCGTCAGCGGGAGTTGCAAGTATCAAGGCGGCAGGTGGATGGGTGGTCCAGATGGTCGCGGGACTGCTGAAGGGGACACGAGATTGCAAGGTGCGCATCAGGCAACAATGGCAGGATACCTGCTGATGTTGAGCCACAGTTGCAAGAGGCGGCGCTCCTATGCTTAGCTGCGCTGGCGAGGGACAACGCGCCTGTAGCTGCTGCGCTTTCGAGAGGGGATAGGGAATGTCAGTCGTGTCCATGTGTGGTCGACATTCTCTCATCCCTCCTTCAGCGACGTTATCCACGGTCTTTCACCTCACAAGATCCAAGTTCAGCGATGTCGAGATTGCAGCGTCGCTATGGTGTGCACCGCACTTAATCCGCCAACGGAGTCTAATCTCTCATCAGCGCATCCTTCATCATCCGTGCAAGTCGAGCCTCAACCCATGCCCATGCCCATGGGCCCGCGACACATTACGGACACATACCTGCGTCCACTGCCAACGATCATGCCATTCGCACGGTTTTCAACGTCGTCGAGCGCTTGATGGCGCTCTCGCCGACAGACTCTGCACCCATCATAACGAAGGCGTGCTACGTCCTCTGTGAGTTGCGTCAGCACTGTCCCTACTTCCCTGTTGACCACTCCTCGCAGACTACCTTGTCACGGACGACAACGACCTATGCCGCATGGCTCACGAGCGAGGGCTTCTCACCCAAGCCTTCAACCTCTTCGAAGCCACGCAAGCATTGTCCACCGCCCCACCGGGGTGCCCGCCCTCCGAACTCGAGGCCGAAGTCGAATCTGAGAGCACCGCCGCTCTCCGAGAATCTTCCCTGATCGCCCTCGCTACCCTTGCCCTCGCCTCACCTGACATCCGCACCGCGCTTGCGGACGACCTGCGCGTGCTCGTGCGCCTGAACGAAAGCCTCGCGTCGCAGCACGTCGGGACACGGTACGGTGCGTGTCAGGTTGTACGCGCGCTTAGCCGGAGCGTAGCCGCGACGCGGACGAGTTTGGTTGATAATGGGACGGGGATGCGGGTCTTCGGGTTGTTAAGGAGGGGAGAGGATCGGCGGGTGCGGGGCGCGGCGTTGAAGGCGGTGTGTAATTTGTTAGTGAACTTCTCGCCGTTGCAAAAGGTTGGTGGAGCCCTCCGATCTGAGGCCACAGGATGGGGATGCGGTATGCTGACGATGCGCCAAAGGTGTTCTTGGAGAATGGCCTTCTTGACCGCTTGATGGAGTTCGTCAAGAGTGCGGATCCGCCGTTGCAGCTCGGCGCTCTTTGGGCGCTCAAGAACTTGCTTCACAAGGCGAAGTTGGAAGACATACGGACAACGATACGGACCTTTGGATGGGATCGGTTGACTGAGTGCGTTGCTGGGCTCTTGCTTTATCATCCTTACTCATAGCTGTCAGACTTCTGACGGACGAGGACGCGGCAGTCCAAGAGCAGGCCGTCCACATCCTCAAGAACATCACCGAAAGCACTGCCGGCGTCGACCTTGTCCTTCACAAGATTGGCGAACGCGAGCTGCTCACCGCGCTCTGTCAGGCCCTTGGCTCAACATCCGACGATGTCGTCCTGCAGGCGGCGGGCGTCGTCTCCAACCTCGCTAATGGAACCCCTTCGCAGCAAGACGCTCTCTTCTCCCACCCGCAGCTTCTCGGGCTTCTGCGCGCTTGCCTTGGTGAGCGCAGTGCAGCGCTTGGGCACCACCACCCGCACGGGCACGGACACGGCGAACGCAGCGCGGCGGTGCGTATGCCGGCCTTGAGCGCGGTGCTAGCGCTCGCGCAGGCCAGTCACGACAGACGACGCGCGATGATTGAGGCGGGACTTCTGAATACGCTGCAAAGAATATGTGAGCGGACGGGTGGGACGTCGGGGCGGTGGGAGCATGTACCAAGAGATGAGCTGGAACTTGCGAGGAAGGCGCTGGACTGGCTCGAGCACGGGGATTTCTATGAGTGAAGGAAGGTCCATATCCCGGATGACTATGTATGTGTGTATCACCGCACGTATATATTGCGTCTGTATGACACTTAGCTCATGTGCGGACTGGCAGGATGACCAGTTTTCAACCGACGTCCGAGACGAACCACATTGTGGTTGCGTGACAATCACAATGGGAAACAGAGCCAAACTACGTCACCTGATGTCACGCATGGACCATCGCGTGGGCCCTCGATGCTCTTGTTGTTCTCTCCTTGTTCTTTCCCTCCATCTCGCTCCGAACGACGTCTCACCAGCGCTCAGAAACATCCTGTCCGAAGAAGCTCAGAAAACATGTCACAACCTATATCTGCTCTTGACGCCACAGCTCCAGAGTGCGAGACCCCAGAGCGAGTTCAACCATCCCCGAAGCGGTTCAAGAAGGCTCCAAGTATCAGGGAGACTTCGCACGAGGAAAATGTAGAGCAGACCAAGACAGTGTCTGCCCTTTGCGATATGCCACTTGACATAATTATGGAAGTATGTGTCGAGCCGACCAGGCCGTTCGTATAACTGACGCTTTTTGCGCCAGATATTGAGCCACGCCACTCCGGAAGCACTCTTGGTACTTTCTCGCTCGACGAAGTTCCTCCGCTCTACCTTGATGAGTCGCTCCGCCATCTCAGTATGGCGTGGCTCCCTGGATAGCGTTGGCGATCTTCCGCCAAAGCCCGACAGTATGACGGAGCCTCAATACGTCGACCTTATCTGGGGAACGGGCTGCAGCGTGCGTGAAAGTCAACGAAGCTGTGAAATGCGCTCACAACTTTCTTAAAGTTCTGCCGGAACACGGAAACAGTCATCAGCTCTTTTGCCACTCGCCGTCGTTACTGCGAGAAGTGTCTGGAAGAAGAGCAAGTCCTCTTTGATACAACAGGACATGGGATGTCCGCTGAACTGGCCTCAGATGCATCACAGAGCGCAATATACCATGCCATCTCGAGGAATGGGTCGGACTACGGACGTTATGCGACATGATTCCGTCAGTCCGGTTCCGTAAGTTACAATCCGCTTTCGACATGTCATCGAAGACTGAATCAGCGAAGGTGCTGAGTATGGATACAATAAACGCCATTTTGATCGAGTGATTAGCGAGCAGTACGAGTCAGAGGTCATCACGATGTGGGGGCACAATGACTCGTCTCGTCTCGTGGAGTTGCCGAAGTGGATTTCAGATAAAAAGTTGACATATGCCGCCGTCGACGAGGTACAAAATCAGCCTCGATTTCAGCATCTTTCCAGCTGATCTATGTCGCACAGCACGCATGGCTGCTCGAGTCTTGGTACAAAAGATACGATCTAGAACGAAAGTACGACGCTCGGCAGCAATCGTACGTGGTCAAATTCTCCATGTCGAAACTGTGAAAGACTTATACAGAATAGCATCGCACAGAGGTTGATCGACATGGGCTGGGGATACGAACTATCTCGCTTACCAGCGAAGTCCTTAAAGCAGCATCAATCCATGCAAACTTCAGTACCCCTCATGGATGATGGTAAATCTCGCCTATCTCAATTTGGATGCGACCGAGTGCTGACATGCGTGACCCAAGAATGGGAGCATATCAAGGAAGGCCTCGTCCAGTTCATGGTCGGAAGTCGCGAGCGTCGTCTCGTTAGAGACAAAGAAATGGCCCACATACAGCGTCGAAAACTGCTTCTCCAGGTATACCCCCGCTTCCTCCTGCCAAAAGCCGTTCAATGCCCTCATGCCGCCGGTCGACGATATCTGCTTGACGGACGAATTTCGAACGGTGTCGCAGAGCGTTCCAGATGACCGAGATCTCTCTGCCGATGCGCTCATGAAAGCTCTTGAGACCATTCCCGAGCCCTTCTTTGACCAGTGGCGCGCCAAGGCTGAGGACGAGCTCGTCGCCCTCGTGCAAGACCGCCTCCAGAAGGACCCCAGCTTCAAAACCTTTCTCGGTCTGGGCACCATCACCCGCGACACCCTCAAGCTCGCGACGATCCAGCTCACAAACCTCGTTGGGAACACGTTCGGTCACGGCTATAGCTATCCGACGATCTTCCACTGGTTTGAGTTCGCGTTCTTTCATACCGAACGCCTTCAACGTCGATGGGACGACCGCTGCTTGTACATCAGCAGCGAATACGGCGGTGGGGCGTCCATTGTCAAGCGCATGGTCGAACTGGCGCGCAAGGATCCCGCATCGACGACAGCCGATGAAATGGACGACCTCGACCCCTGGTACTACTTTGCTGGCGAAGACCAGAACGGAGAGAGAAAGGTTTACGCGTGGCGTTGTGTGGTACGATTTGCGATCGGCGTCCGCATCTCCTCTGCTAACTTTTTCACTCAGCTCAGCGCTGTACAGAAGCCTCGCGAGCCTCGCTCGGAATTGCTGGCGATTCTCGATGCTGAAGACACTGCGCGCGCTCGTGAGCTTTTTGCGAGTCTTCCGTACGAAAGTCGATTCTCTGGCCGCGACTCTCTATGTCTGCACTGCGGTTCAAGGCACTCGGAATCAACTGACCTTAAAGCTCACATGCGCAAAAAGTGAGTTCCCTTCAATGTACCGTTCCGCGAGATTGGTCTGACGCAAACTCCTAGGCACGGCATAGAGTGCATGACAAGGAAGGACTTCCGGCTTGGACTCAGCGTAAACGATGCCCCTCATATGACTGTCAGCATCCCTTGCTTGAGTGAATAGGCTTATTTCTTCGTTCCTCTTCTCGTCAAGCTTAAGGTAGTTAACTGTTAACCATGCCACATCGTATGGCTATCTCGGTTGTATACATCCTGATGTACTGCTCTCCTAATTGACTGAATTTATCACGAATGACATGCGTCAAGAGCGTAATGGATTGTTTGCCAACTCTCAACTTGGAGCAAGCCGACACTGACGGTGCCGGCCTTCGGCGCCATGTGGCACTTACGAATCAAGACAAAGTAAGCCAAACAGCGGCTTGCTTCCACCGCTGATGAGCACTCTACACTTAAATTCTACTTATCGTGATGGCTTTAAGGCGCATCTTTTGCCTCGATGCTGCTATCCGACGATGAGCCCGACCATGATCCTCACAAATTGCTTGCCGTACTCGCCCCAATCATCTTGCACTCGCTCTGGTTGGTTTAGCACTGAGCGCAGGTCGTTTCACATGCGGAAATCCAGGAGGCGCTGTGAGTCTTCTGGCACTCAGAAATATCGTAAGAATCCGTGCATTACTAGCGATTGAAGAAGTCCGGCGTAGCGTCTTCGCATAACCTGACTTTCAGGGCAAAATTGGCTTTTCTGGCGTTGAAGGCTCCACGAAATGGACGCGCCCACAGTCGTCCGGCCCGATGGATCCCTATCTTGTGCGTGCACTGCAGCAGTTAACTATCTGCTGTGTGACCACGCTGCGCCGCTTGAATCTGATACACAGGTCAGTGCCACGAACAGCAGCCCCGATCTTCGATGGCCACGATTTCGTTCGTAGTCTTCGGAAGGCACGCGCTGGCCGCCTTTTCGGTGTCAGGCATCAGCACGATGGAAGTGCCGGTTAAGCAAGTGAGAACCCTTCGCTGTACACTCACACAGCTTCTCATTCACATTACCCTTCGATTCAGCGCGAGCATCAGGAATGGAATGGAAGCCTCGCATGTTCTGCTATCGTCAAGGCGACTGACACCCATCGACGCGTCACCCTCAACAGCAATGACTCGACAAGCGCTGGCCCGCACAGCTCATCGCTCATTGTATACGGGTCCTGATCAATCACTCAACTGTTCGCCTTGTCAAGCTTGTCATCGGCTGCGCGTCGAGACACTATAGGGCCCACAGGGTAAATCGTCGGCGCTCTGCGACGCGTGTTGGCCACGTATTTTAGCTCTTGCATGCTCAACGCTAACTCTATTGTCTCCCCACTGAGCTAATTGTGAGTCACGGTCTGCCACATATTCGTCTCTTTCTCACGTCTGCATTGTTCCTCCAGATGGCAAGACCAAGATGTGCTTCTCAAGTCACGGTTATTCAACAGCACGCTCGGACCCGCTGCATGGCCTACACGGCATCGGCGGACCGACGCCACTGGCTTGACCCTCCAAGCACTTATATAGCAAGCGGCGATCTGAGTTTTCGCCAGTCAGTCAATTCTCCCTCTTCCTCTCATCGGAGCCACCTCTCTCAAGAAATACATCTCTGCCTGTCATGAGCGCCTCGCAACCCCCCGATCCCAGCGCCACTCCACCAAAGCGCGATCCCGCGAGGGCTCACGACGTCGAGGTCGAACCCTCGCCCACGTCGACGGCACCCGCCACAGCTATTCCATCGTCTACGACGCGGACTGCGGAATGGCGCGGCTTCACCTTCGCCTGGGATAAACCCGCAGGCGCTGAGTGGCCGAGCGCTCTTGACGTGCGTGCTACTCGTCGCGTGTTCAAGGAGCTGTACGAGCGCGCGCCCCTCGCGCTCACGGCCTACCTGGCATCCATGCTAATAATGGCTGCGGCTCGGGGCGCTGCGCTTTTCCTCGTCGCCATGCTTGTGCTCGGAGAGAACGTTGGTGGCGCTGGCGGCGAACAGATGCGAGAGTTCGTGGCGCTAGCGCTCGCTCTGGTTGTTGGCGTGCACACCGTCGCACGTATCTTATTGTGAGTGGCGAGCGGCCTTGGATGTTGAGATCGGCGGCTGAAGAAGGATTATCTAGTAAGCGCAGGCTTTCGATGGACCTCGGCGACACCCTCCAGGCGGCGTTGACGCCCCGGTTGGTAAAGGGTGCGTGTTCAACTTGCGCCTGTTACCTTTTCTCTGACTTGTCGATGTACAGCATGCTTAGGTGAAGGTTTGGACCCCGAAGAGTGTGAGCCTGAACCATTGCCTCGCTACATGTAAGACTAACTCGAGGCGTTTAGTGTCGGAGCAGTCCCAGTGCGTGAGAGAGATGCTTCGCTTCGGTGAGTCCGCTCCCGTCATGGAGCGGCTCGATGAACTCGTCGTGCGCGCACGCGACGCACTTGCCCTCGTCATTGTCTTTTCAGTCTTGGCCTACGTTGTCGCGAGCGTAGATGAAGCGGAGCGCACAGTGCTGCTCATCGTCGTCTCCATCTATGCTTTGGTGCGGATCATCACTCCTTTCGATAAGTTCGGAGGCGCAGGTACGATATTCCTGCCGTCGTATAACTCGAACTATGCTCTGATCATCCTGGTATCCAGGCTTTACGTTCTGGCCTAGCCGTCCTAGCTATCTACGCCTGCGCGCTCTGCACAACATCGCTTTCAACTACTCTCACCGCCAAGTCGCGGATAGGCATGGGGCTGCGGATGCTCTAGTCGAGGGTATGTCAGCTGCTACTCTGTGTTCATCCAGGCATGGCTTACAAAGAACAGAGTACGCTGATATCTGCAATGGCCTGGGGCGAATTCCGGGGCAGATCACCCGCATGGCCAACAAGGGCGTTCGGCGCTCATTCTTCTGGGACGTTCTTTGTGCCTTCTCCGTCAAGCAACCCATGGTAACGACTCACACTCATCCTCCGATGCCGCGTCGCTCATCGTCTTGTCCAGGTCCTTGCTTCCCTTGCAGTCTACGTCGCGGCCCCGCGCCGGTCGATTGGAATCCTAGCCTTCGTCCAGTATCTGGTCTACACGCTCAATAAGGTGCTGAAGCATGGCCTGAAGTCTGAGAGTGTGACGAGCATCATGAAAGAGATTCGCGAACTATACGACCTCCTGGACTGGGTCGAGACTGACAAACGCAGGCCAGCATGCGCGACTGTGACGCTTGATTCGCTTGAACCGCAAGGCATGCGCATCGAACTTCGGTGAGACATCCAAATCACGCGGTCCTATCAGCAACTGAACGACTTGCAGGGACGTGAGTGTCGATGATAGGAATGAATACCAAGATGTGGACGGACTGTCTGTGGATATAAAGCCCGGTCAGGTGGTGCTACTCACTGGTACACACGGGAGCGGCAAGTCGACGCTCCTTGACGCCATCCTCGGGCTCGAGCCGATCTACAACGGCGACATCTCCATCAATGGCCGTCCCCTCCTCGAACACAACCTTGTCGAGCTTCGTCGCCACACGGCATACTTCACCGCGAACAACGCTCTCCTCCCGCTCTCCCTCCGCGACAACGTGCTTCTGGGAATCGACGCCAGCCCCGACCTTCGGGACGAGATCGCTTCGAGGGCAATCGCGCTCGCCGGCCTTGACCTGCCACTTGACGCTGTTATGGAAGACGTTGACAGGTTGGACTCGAGCATGGATGCCCCCATCGGACAGGGTGCGCGCGACATGTGCGCGATGCACGCGGTTGAATGCGACGCTAGGGTCTCTTCGGGTGATAGTCAGCGCGTTGGTATCGCGCGCGGGTTCGCTAGGCTGCTTGCAGCAAGTGCTCGGCTCGTTCTCGTCGACGAAAGCGCTACAGATGGCCCTGAGGTGGATTCCCTTGTTGAACATGTTCTCGAGAATCGCGACGGGGAGACTGTGATCATCGCTACCGAGTATCCGGCGCCATTGAGTGTGCACGCGGACCTCATCGTGTAAGTGTAAGCTCCTCATATATGACTGACGTGCGGCTTACACGCTCTAGCTGCATGGACAAGGGCCGGATTGTGCAGCAAGGAAAGCACGAGGACCTCATTTCCGACAAGGAGGGCATGTACGCGAAGCTTTGCGATGATCAGTAAGCTAGAGGCCAGGCGGCAAGTCTGATCAAATGGTCTAAGCAATGTTCAGAATCATTATGTGCATGAAGAGTTACGTAGTTTGCTAAATGTCGACTTTTGCATAATATATGCCTATATGTCCACTCATGCGCTCTGCCGAAAACGAACTCTCGTGCCACGCACGTGACTTCCGGGTCCGACCGCGTTTGTGGCGTCTCGGCAATTGAATGAAATCAACTTGGCCACAACCACCATCCCGCAACAGCAAGAACTTATCCATGACTCAGAAGCGCTTGTACCGTCCAACGAATATGCCTCAAGCGCGCTGCCGGTCATAATAAGGTTCCTTCCGAGTTCACGGTGTCTCATAGGACATTGATATCCTTGTCCAGCCGCGGAACGATCCGTCTGATCCAGTATATCGCGACGCCGAGGATGTGCACGACACATTATCCAGCTAAAACCGAGCTCATTCTCCCCCGTTCTGTTGCGCGCCCAGGGAGCTACACAGATTACTCCATTACTAGGCATACTTTCAACTGGACTGAAAGTTGACGTTCTCCTCCCTGGTACTCGCCACCTCCTCGCGCTCCCCTCTTCATATATTACACTATGGCTGGAGGAGCTCCTCGTGATCTTCTTCGCTTTCTTCTACATAAGCTTCAAGGATGGAGCGATCGTCGGCATTTACTCGAGCGACGAGACCACTTGCTGTCTCCACAGGATAGGGTTGATATGTAAGAGTTACTCAGCCTGAGGTAGCGCGTAAACGAGGTAAGGAACCTGAGGCCGTGGAATTCCGCAACGTCTTTGGGAACGACTCCACAGGCCTAACGATCAGAAAGGGATTTCTACAGTCTGCTGTGTCACGGTTGCCAGTCGTTGGCCTTCAATGGGAGCGAGGCACCACAGTGCCTTCTGCTGAAGCGCACGCTAAGCTCGAAGATCGAAGCTTTGGGTCGAGAACAAGAGGCCCCGTACACGTAGGAGATCCGATTGAAAGGGGGAGGCGAGGAGGTTCGAGGTTCGGCAAATCCCTGGCGCGTCACGACCCCGTGATCAATGACGCATCGCGTCACTCAAATTGGTTCCCGTCGCGTCCAGGCTCATACTCGCTTACTTCCTACCATCACTCACGCCCATAGTTTCCTCCATGCGCAGCTCTACACGTTTAGCAGAGAAGCGCCAGCATACACGCGCAGCCGAATCCGAAGACCGCGACTACGATCCCGATACGGACGAGGAGACTCGCGCGTCGCATCCAGCGAAAAGACGCAAGGGCAACTGCGGGAAATCAGCTAATCCAAAGACCGCAAAACAAACACGAAGGCGCGGCAAAAGTCTAGCCGATCTCCCCAGCATGCCCCTCGATATACTATACGAGGTGCGTACGCGCGTCCTTCGAGGGGAGCTCGCGCTGACGCGATCTTGTCACGTAGATCTTCGGCTACCTTCACCCTCTGGACCTGCTTCACGTCTCCCGAGCGACTAAGGCGCTACGTGCAATACTTCTCAGCCGCTCCGCTACATCTGTCTGGAAGCGTAGCTTCTCATCTGTCGAGGACGCGCCCTCCATCCCCGATGATATCAGCATCCCTCACTTGTCTAGCCTGATGTTTGAAAGCGCCTGCCAGGTGAGCACAATATCTTCATCGTCCTGACTAATGCTGACGCGTCAACCTACAGTTCTGCCTGTCGCGTACGACCAACGTCGATTGGGAATGCCGTGCCCGAGTATGCAAAAAATGCGTCGATAAGTAGTACGTACCCGGCCATCTTAGCTCGTCGTATTCTGACTGGGAACTTCTACCTCAATAGCTACCTGACAGAGCGGGAGAAGTTCGAGTTCATGTGCAACAGCAAGTTAATCTACGGAAGTATTCGCAGCGTACTTCCCGACCCTATCACGTTCGGCGACGGTAAGTAGATTCATGTTTGCAGGAGCCCGTTAATGACGTGCGCAGGTGGATCCCGGACGAAGACGATCCGGTTCGCGCGGTCGACGTTTGACCGGTATGTTGCAGAGTATACGCACCTCGTCAAGACCAATGCGGATGCTACTGCAATCGAAGCCTGGCGCAAGAATAAGAAGGAATATCTTGATATGATTACAGAGGTGCGGTGTCTCGGGAGACGTGAAGGTCCGCTCTTGCTAACATAGCTCGTAGCACGCGGCAGAGTGTAGGGTCTGGCAGTTGACCCAAGAGCAATCTCGAGAGGATGAGCTTGACCAGCTTCGGCTACAACGCCGTGAAGTGTACGTCTATCGTATGCTTGAAAGTAGCCCGCATACACTGACGAACTCTTCAGAATCGCCGAGCATCTATCAAATGAAGGCTGGGCCGACGAGCTAGCGCTGCAGGGTGTTACCATCCTCGAAGATCACGTAGAAGGCCGCAAAGCGCAGCGTCTCACTGAACGCGGTACGAGTACGCTCTTCCGTGACCCACCTGACTGACACTCACCTCAGGCTGGCTCAAGATCAAGGACCAGATGATCGCGTTCATGGAGCATTGGAAGCACGCGCGCATTCAAGCCTACCGCGCCTTCACTCGCGCGCGCTACATGTTCATGCTGGGCTTCTACGAGGACCTCGTGCGCTCCACGACCGTCATCTGGCGCAATCCCGACCCCAGCCTCGACCTCTACCCCGGCACGCACGACATCCTCCCGCCCGCCGGCGACGTCCTGCGCGACCCGGGCATCCGCAATCTCATCCAGACCTTCGACTTCAGCCTTGGCATCGACTACAGCCTCAACCTCATGGCCGCGCGGGCGCCCAGCGTGCTCGACCAGGTCCCGAACTCGTCTGTTCGTCTGTGGCGCCGTCGCGTCGAAGAGGACCTCCTCGCCCTCATGCGCGCCGCGCGGCCGGACATCGAAGCCACGAAGACCGCCCACCTCTACCGCGCGACCACGCACTTCGTCGTCGGCGCGCACCCGGACGTGGGCTTCGTGGGCTACCCGCGCGTACTCACCGACGCGCGGGTGACTGACTACGCGAAGTTCATCCCCGATGAGGACACGCTGGACGCGTACAAGTTGGAGCAGATGGGGCTCAACACGATCAGGCGCCAGCCGTGGTCGACGGAGCGCGTGTTCTTCTCGGTGGCGATGTACGACAGGGCGAGGGAGATCGTGCGGATGGTGGGGGATGATCCGGATTCGAGGACCGCGGCGGAGCTGGACTTGAAGGACCCGTGGTTCAGGCTTCGGGATACGGACGAGGTCTGGCAGTGGCGAACGGTGGTGAGTGGTGTGCCTTGCTTGGTTGTCATACAGGCGCGCTGATGAGCTCGATAGCTATACTCTTCCCGGATGCTTGGTCAGTTCACCCTTCTCGGCGAGGAGGAAGCGCGGCGCGCCCGGGACTGTTACGAGTGGCGTCCTACGTTCGACGACGAGGACGCGGAGTGCACGCACTGCACCCTGGACCCCGACCCGCCGCTATTCTTCGCCAGTGCCCTGCTATATGAGCATCTCGAGCAAGCGTAAGCCTCTTTCCTAGGCTCATCTACTCCGTGCTGATTCTTTTGCCAGTCATGGCATTACTCGCGTCAAACCATCAGATTTCGCGTTGAGGCCTCAAAGTGCTTTACAGCCTCCGGGCAAGACCGTGCTTGCGACGCAGTGAGGCCTCCTTCGCGGCGAGTTCTACGGTATTCGTAGGGAGTCACTCATTCAAATCATGTATTTTCGTATGATCCTTCGTGCTATACTAGCGTGGCTTACAATTATCGAGACGTCGCCATGAGCTAGAGGACCTATGGTGGCCCTCACTGTCATGAAAGACGTGAATGTTTAACCTCCAAATGTGCTCTATCGGCAAGTGTCTCCGATTACTCGATTCCGTTGTGCGTGGGCTAGGTTGCACCGAGGAACTCAAACTAAATCGAAGCGTGTAGTGCGTCGCGATTCGAACCGCCACCGGCTTCATTGAGAATACTAAGCATACATTTGCGACATGGACAAGACAACCCGTTCGTCATCTCTTGGCTACGCGGGACCCGCAGACGCACTGCGCCTAGCCTGACGAGCATCTCTTTCCGCAGCCTGTTGTTGCGTCCTAGCAGCCAATGCCTCCTTCTCTCGGCTCGCCTGTCTGTTCACTTCTTCGAGTTTAGCCGCGAGCTCCGCCTTCTGCTTCCTCCTCTCATCGTTCTGCTTCAAGATCAGCATCCTCTCCTTCTCCAGTTTCTCGTACATGTCCTTATCCTCGCTGCCCAATTTGGCCTTGATATCCTTGTAGTACTGGGACTGGCGCTGATGAGCCATGGTCCACTCGAAGCGAGACCGCTTAGCGGGATCACGCCAGTCCGCGACGAATTGGGCCCTCCGCTTGTTGAACTTCTCGACGACTCGGGGGATGTGCGTGGTTCGGAGCAGGGTGAGAAACGAGGCGAAGTCGATGGCATCCGAACTGTTGCTCAAATCCCATTCCGGGCAGTTGGTATCAACGATATGGTGCCGTACCGTGATGGCCTATGGTAGCAGCATAAGTCACTAAACACTAGACATGAAGAGAGAGCGATACTCGCCGGATCCTTGTTTGCGTCGTCTGGGTTTCTTGGGTCGGGGGGCGACACTTTTTCCGCCCAGCCGCATAGCAGCCTCCCCTTGCCACCGACAGTCGCGAGTGCAAAAACAGGCACATCATACATATCGAGGGCTGCGTAGTAGTGCGACGCCGATGTCAGGTAGATACGCGCCTGGTTCGCACCCTGTAGAGGGTGAACGCGCCCTCGCTTATACTCGCGATAAAGGACCGGCAAGCAGACGGCTAGGAATCGTCAGCACAGACCCATGATGATCTCTCACTCCGTCGACTCACACTTCCAGTTCCGTGTAAGCGGCGGCATCGACCTAGGTTGATTCGGCGCCGGCGATCCCGTTCGCGGGGTCGCAGGGAAGCGAGCGGGAGGCTTGTCGCCGGTCAGCGTCTTCGCCTTCGTCACAGGCGAGGCGTCGTGTAGTGGTACAGAAGTAGCCACTGCAGGTGAAGGCCTTTCCGTTGTGGTATCTGCCAGACCCGTGAGATGATCGCTTAGCAAGTACGATGAAGTCGACTGACCGGTAGGTGTCGCTTGCCTCGCGCGAGCGATGCGGTGGATGTGTTGCACGATTTGGCGCGCGGAGGCGGGAAGCGCTGCTTCAGGTGCGGACACAACGTCAATCTCGGACTCCTCGCGAGTCTGTTGCGTCTCCTCCGCCATGCCTACGATCCCGAATGCCAGAAGGTCGTCCTTCAGTGCACTGTCGGTGTCCTCGAACACATGCTCCACCTCCGCAAAGACGAGCCCGTCGCAGATGGCATAGTCGAAATCGCAAGTCGCGCGAGCGAAGAGCGCGTGCTCCGATGCTGCATCGTGCTCATAGCGATGACTACTGTCCGCGCGCCAACGCGATTCGCGATCGATGTTGTTGAAGACGGTGGTTTTATAATTGTCCAGGACATCGGACGCGCCGCCGATGAGCTCGCCAAGCGCGATCCTGTCCTTGGAATTCAGGATAGCCTCGGATATGCTGGCTGAGTTCTCTGGCATCCTGAACCCCAACTTAATGAAACCGTTCCGACTCTTGTACACGTCCGCGAAGGCCTGGTAATGATTGATTTCTCGGAGGTCTGTTGTTGGGCTCATCACAGCATCGAGGAGGATGTTCCGACAAAGTGGCGTGCGGCGCTCCATTCTCAGTTCGACTTCAGCCAGATATAACGGACAGAAAAGAAATCGACATACCGAGTGTGTAAACGGTAACCACTTTCAGCAATAGGTGCCGTCGGCTTGCTGCTGCAATATTCCATGATGACGCTGTCCCATTCGTGCCGAGCTTCCATCTCGATTGAATCCTCGGGAAGGTTTTCCACCTTCACCGACGCATGGAGCGTATTGCGAAGCCCTCCCGTGAGGACCGACCGCGCAGAAGCTCGATTGCCGTCGGCTTCCGGAGAGTCCAGCGGTAGCAACGGTGGCATGCCGCAGTACTTGCGAAGAACCTTCGCAAGGGCCAACTCGTGATGATACTGATACCAGAGCTCAGCCTGCTCCACCTATGGGTCACATGAGCTTTCCGCTAGAGGGAGTCCGACGGAAGACTCACATCAAGTTTCCGAAATACCCCACTTTCCCTTACATCATAAACTAGGCACTGCGTCTCGAAATTGTAGTCCATAGGAGTTTCAATGCGGTCAGTGATGTTGTCGCATGGAAGAGGCTATTGAGAATCTTAGTATGGGCCCAAGATGCGATGATAGAGACGCACGTTGGCCTTGCACGTCCTCGGCAAGATGAGTGTCTTCATGACGTGCGCTAACACCGGGGTAGTGTAATCAAAGTTCGAATACATAGGCGGATACGAGTCGAACATGACGCAACGATCAGTGAACAACTCTGTTGGTCTATCACACTTCTCAACGCTGGCGTCCTTCGCAACGCTTCGGACAGGATATCAGAACACGATGTCTGGATGGTACGCAATGGACGCACCTGGAAGCGCTACGAGCATCGTGCTTATCGACGAATCTGTCATCCTTGCTTTAGCCCAGGCAAACGTCAGTGGATGGGGGCCACCTACGTCGTAATAGGCGCTACCCTGATAAAGCCCTTGAGTTCAGTCTTCATACAAGAAAGGGACACGTACGTAAGCTGCATTCTGCACACTTCTGCGTGTCTCTTGCGCAACTTGTCATCAGCCCAGAAGCCGTCAACCTGGTCCTCGTGGATAGAGCTAGTTTTAGGTCAGTGAGAGTCGGGTCGAGCCAAGATCAGTAACTCACGGCATGGATGGCGAGCAACCACTGATTGTGGATGGTCAGCGTTGAGTGAAGTGACCCCAGTACACACGTACCTGGCGGCCCGACTGAGAACAGCGAATCAGCAAATCGACGCGTGCAGATAGCAGCATAGTCTTACCTTGGTTTGGGCGGAAGGGACCTCCCACGAGGTTGGCTGACGTGCAGAGATGAGATGTAGCATATCGATTATAAGTGAGACAGCCTACGCAGGTGAAGGCGACTGTTGGTAGGAGTCCATGTTAAGAGCGGAGCGACGATGCCTGTCCTCAGCCCTGCGATTGATCAGCCATTATATATCAAAAGGAGACAATGAAAGTGCCTTACGCGCAGTCTTCCAGCCAGCGATGCACGCGCTGATCGTAATCTAAGCCATAGGACGCGGCGTGTTCAGCCTTCCAAGTGTTATCGATACGCCAGCACTCATTGTTCTCCGAAGTCGGAGATTCTCGAACATTGACTGCGTTGTCGCTTGCGGCCCTTACGCACATATCGATCTTCTGCCGCAGCCCCAGCAGGAAGAGCATCAATTGCCACGTCGAGCGAAGCTCAGATGCGTCAAATATGCCGTGCGTTAGGGAAGAGCTATCGGTCGTCGAGGGCGCATGAGCGACATGAGCATGGATCTGTACGATGGTCCTATTAGTCGACGTGAGTTGTAGGAATTCGAAAAACGTACACAAGGGTGCGACGGGTGACCCTCAAGCCATCCAATGATGAGCTGCGCGCGGGGTGTCGAAGGGGATACCACGAACCCGATAAGAGGGTGTTCCAGTCCGAAGGCGCGGCGCTGCATGAGTGCGCTGGACATGACGCTATAGATCTCGTCTTCAGCCGCGACGCAGACGAGACATAAAGGCACAGAAGTCGGAAAGTGGTTCGCGCTCAGCAGGTGTGCGTGGAGATTGGGCAGACGAGCGTCGGCGATGGTTACAAGAGAACAATGAGACTCTCCATCATGCAAGATTACACGGCCGAAACAATGGGGTTCAGACCCGCATCGATAATCGTCCTCGAGTAAGGCCGGCGCTTCTATATCGCGACCGGCGTTGGAAGCCCTACTCCCGGTGATGGATGCAGACCGACGCTGAGTATGCTTTGTGTCCGACGCCAGCGAAATAGGATAAGTCAACATGGACGTGGCCCTGCCATAATGGGGCAACAACCAGCTGACGGCCGACAGATGTGCCTGGCACGGATAAATCGCTCGCGCGTACGAAGGTTCGAAGCTGCACGGTCGGTAAGCACAACTAAAAAGAGCGGCGAGAGAGTCAGAAGCTCACCATGTCTGTGATCCTCTCATGACTTGCTGAAGCACATCCGTTACGAAAGGGCCGACTACTCGCGCACGCGAGTCGCGACCAAGGTGCGGGAGGCATCGCTCCGATTCTTCAAGCTTCTGTAACCGATTCAATACCTCTACTGCCGAAAGAATACACGAAGCGATAGTATCCTCTGAGTGCTGAGTGCGATAGCGGTCAGCGACGAGTAGCGCCTCCGCCCGACTACGTACGTTCTGCAAGACCCTCGTCTCAACTTGCGTGGGATCATCCCTGAGTTCTTCAAGAATATTTTTCACATCATGAGAGTAGAGATCCCAGTCGCTGAGGGAATCTATTATGTGTGCCTCGACGGGCGTTGCGAGTGGTTGTCGGAAAGACATCGTGGTGGTCGAGGTCCAAGTCCGAATTCGGATTTGAGGCGAAGTCGCACGCGATGATCATACGTAAATCAAGAACTTATCGCATACTCGAATACAGTTCGGGACAATAAAAATTTGCCCCCAATGTGGGCGAACGAAAGCAGACTATGGTCAGCTATGAAGGGGATAGCCAGGTGTACGCAGTTTGAGTATAGACAAGGAAAGGTATGTGTGGCGTGTGACGGTCACGTGGCGCTCGCCTGGCTTGAATGAACTAGCTGGTACATACAAAAACCCCGATTCTGCCATTTAAAGCGGTATCCGGGGTTGGAGAGGAAGTCTTCCCCACGTTGTCTCGCCATACCATAAAACTGGTGCAATCCCACCCTTGAAAACGTCGCATACGTCATACAAAAACGGCACGTGCGGCTGTGTTCGGTGATCTCCGACAGACTTGTAGGCGTCAAGTTGCGCGCCCACAAGGCCACCCAAGCGCGCTGCAGCTAAGTTCGACGCATACAGCCTAAGTAGTCAACGGGATGAACTGAGTTCGGTGCTTTCCCTTACAGTTTTGCCGCAATCCAGTGGCTCTATGAGAAAATGCCACCGAATTATCGCATAAATGTGTTCGGTGGCTGCCATAGCCTGCTCATGAAAGCCGCTCAAGAAGTGGCGTCGTGCGGGCGAGGAGGGGGTCGGCTAAGGAGGGGGCAAGTTGACGGGTAAGGGGCAGGGGGGAAAAGGGACACGACGGGACACGACGGCATCCTACACCTGTATAGACTCGCCTGACTGCCGCGATAGGATCTGCGCTAAGGGATAGCCGGTATTTCAGTTGCATCGAACGTGGTGTGGTGCATGGGTCTGCAACCCGGATAGATGGAAAATATTTTATTTCGTGCTACCGTACAAGGAGAGCAGTAATCTGAGGTGACGGGGTGAGGGTCGGGGACAAGCAGCGGTGGCGGGGCGCAGGTCGGACGCGAGCGTGCCGAGCGCGTTGTCGCATGCACGTGCTTGAAGGGTTTGCTCGATGACGTATGCGACGTTTTCAAGGGTGATATTGCTTTAGACCATACCATAAACTCCTCGCTGAAGGCACTCGATTGCCGCTTCTGTATGACCGCGTCGACGAGCTTTTCGAGGCCGAGATGCTGCTCACTGTCCGCTATGTCCTCTTTCCAACGCACGAGCCGGTGTCGCTTCACTGAGTGCCGGTGGTTGGGTTACTCCCGAAGCTTCTGCAGGAGCTGGAAGCCAAACGGTATAACGGGCATGCTGTCAGTCCATACGATACACTCAAGGGCGAGGGCGGGGAGGTGCAGGATGCCGGGAACGAGGATGTCGATGGATCATGGGAACGAAGGGCAATCTGGACAGGCTTAACAGTGCGCGTGAAGACTGCGATATCGCATTGGTTCATCGTGGGAATTAGAAAGTCGAACATTGAAAACGTGTCAGCCACGTGCCTCCTCGCGCACGTACTTAAGACGATCCGATGGCTCGTCACCACCATCATTGTTCATTGCAGTCGCCCTGCGCTGCTCGGCGCAGACTATGGAAAGCGATGCCGCGACTCGGGGCGATGTTGAAAACTCAGATGGTGCTAGCGAATCCAGCAGTCTGGCGGCAAGCCGAATCCCAACTGCGCCGAAACGTTCGATCGCGGACGGCTTAAAAAGCCAGGCGCGTCGCTTGCACCGCTGGGTGAGAGCGCTTTTCCGACCTTTAATGCTATTGCGCCAAGCTGACGCGCAAGTCCGAGAGATTGCGGCACCCATTCGCGGCAGGTCCGCCCGACTTGCTGAGTGTGCGGGATCCCCCATGCATCATCTGCCCCCAGAGCTCCTTGCCGAGATCTTCATGCACTTCTGCGAGCTGGTCATCCAACGTCTACTATTCACTAATCCTATACCTACGCTCGAAAAGACCATCACTTGTGTGTGCAAGCGCTGGCGCCAGATCGCGTACGGGACCCCCCAGCTGTGGATATACCTGGTCTCGCCGAAGCAGAATATCAAGGCGTACCTTGAGCGCTATGTCCCTCTCGCCAAGGACTGCCTCCTCGACGTGCACGGCCCCAGCGACGCGGACATGCTCCCAGCCTTCATGACCGAAATTCGCCCTTACGCATCTCAGCTGCGCTCCATCGCTCTCTTCGGCTCGCTCGCCGACTTCAATTGGCTCGCGCCGTACGATATGCCCAATCTTGAATACGCTCGAATATTGCGCTGCGCTGATTGGGTCGAAGATCCGTCTGCGCGCATAGCCTTCATCAAGGACATGCCGCGCCTCCAGTCGCTCTACCTCTTCCTCGGCGGCCTGTCCGCCGACGTGGTGCGCTTCCCGCCCATGCCTGCCCTCACGACCCTGATCATCAACGTCTCCGGCGCCGCGCCCGAGATCCTCCGCCCCCTCCAGCAATGCCGCCGCACGCTGATCACGCTCCGAGTCGCCATCTCCCCCGACCATGAGGGTCCAGGTGCGGCGCCCCCCGAGTCCGCGCCGCCGCCCCTCGAGCTGCCGGCGCTCCGCGGCCTGGAGCTCGAGTTCGACGCCGAGCGACTGTTACGGTACATCACCGCGCCCGCGCTGGAGACGCTGCAGTTCTCGGGCCGCGATGCGGGCGCGCCGGTGTTGCTGCTCGACTATTTGCGGCGCGCGCCCTCGACCGCGACGCGCCTGCGTGCGCTCGACGTCGAGCACTACCAGGTGGAAAGATGGCCGGGCGCGGCGCTCGAGGCGCTCGCAGAGTGCCTCGCCATCCTCGAGGGGCTGGAGATCCTTCGCTTCAGATCCTTCCACCCGCCTCAGGAGCTCCTGCAGCGCCTCACGGGCGGCGAGGACACGCTACCGCTGCTCCCGAAGCTCAAGCTTGGGATATTCGGTAGGGAGCCGAGGGGCGGGGCCAGGCCGTCGAAAGCGTACAAGGCGTTAGTGCGATCTCGGGCAACGTCCAGGTCGGTGGGTGGCATCGTGGTGCCGGCAGCGCTGATCACGGATAGCTATCTACTCCGAGGAAAGCCTGTGCAATGTCCTCCTTAGCTGTACGAGAGCTCGAACAGCGGTACCTCGGGCAGCGCCGCAAGCTTCCCCTTCTTTCTTGTCCTCGCCGACTTGGTAGGTGGCTGATTGGTGGCGGCGGGCTTCTCTCCTGCGATCTGCTTGCTGACAACGCGTCAGTAGATGCATCAGAGATAGAACTGGAGAGTTCTCTACACTGGACATGGCTGATATGGCTGACGCGTCGGAAGCGGACACTCGTGTAGTGATAAAAGGAGGATGCAAGGAGGTCGCGCATCGTGATCGAGGACAAGCGCCCGCCCGCACGTGCTCACCCACGTGCGTTAGCAACATTGGAACAATGTAATTGCTCAAGTCAGGCTCGCCAGCTTTATGACCTTGCAGCTTCTTCATGTGCAAAGGCTTTGTCTTGAGTCCTTGTTAGGGGTTTTTGTCTTTGTGAGCTGCTAAGAGCAAGACCCAGCACAACATCGGTGTCAGTGGTGTAGTTCCGACCTAGTAATGAGTTTTGCATTGATTTTGATTGCAAAGGACGAGAAAAAGACTAAAGTGTAATCTGATTGTGCACAGAGAATTTACTATTGGATGGCATATATGTCTTGTCACGTCAATCTTCGACGTTGTCCGTATCCTCCATGTCATGGTCGATGTACGCAGCGTGCGTAATGGAGAACACAGACATAAGCTGCTGGCTGAGCCCAGCGGGAACACCGTCACTTTCATCTCCGTCTCCGTCCCCTACAGCTTCTTCTCCCTTACCTTCTTCGCCTTCTTCATCCCCGTCGTTCACGACGTGATCATCACCGCTGTCTCCGTCCCCGCCACTCTCGCTGTGGTCAATGTCGTTGCCACCATCGGCCGGATAGCCATCCAAGGAGTCGTCATCGTCGAACCGCACTCCTTTAGGAAGCCGCTCAAGCTCGCCGTACGACCCATCGAGATCTTCGATGACTCTAGTGTTCTTCCATCTGTCGTTTTTGTCTGGTAATATGGCATAGCCACCCTTTGAGTCATCAAACTCGACGCCCAGGACGTAGTCCTTCTTCGTCATGTCCTCGATAGCATGTCTGATGCACGTCAGTAAATCGGTCGCTAGTAACAGAGCGAGAGGAATCCTCACTCATGCGCAAGATGGCCCCGGAGTCCTTCCATTCGCGTGAAGCGGGCGTCGCAGTGTGCGCACTGCACATCTCCCTCGTCCTTGTATGCTGGACTCTCGTGAACTCTCGATGCGTACACTTCGCGCATGGTCCTGGTTCGCTCTTCGTCGAGAAGCTCAAACCGCAGACGATGCCCCGACATGCGACGCTGAAAGAGGGTCAGTGGACATAGAGGCGCGCCAGGGATAGAATCACTGACCGCGCATCGCCAGTTCATCGCCCGTGGCTTATGGTGCCGATAGCGTCGCTAGTCGTTCGTACAGATGTACCATGGGTCTATCCTGTCCATATCCTCCGCCGTCGCCTTCTTTGGGTCCATACCCGCGAGCACGACGAGCTGCTTCGCGATATGCGCGTATGACACGCTAAGGTACTCCGTCGACCACGACTTCTGGCCGCAGTGTGCACGCGCGGGCGACTCAAGCTCCTCGAACCTCCACCGCACCATGTCCCGCGCGACGAGAACATTGGGGTAGGGAAACTCCATCTTAAGGTCCGTCCGCGTAAAGACGGTCGTTGCGAGTTCGAGATCGGCCTTGGTTGCGGGATTCGTGCGACGGCGGATGTTGAGCACCTTGAGAAGGGCGTTATCGCACCGCTCGCGCCACTCGTCGAAGAACCGTTGAGGTATGTTGTTGAGGACAGCGCGGAGCGTTGGCTCTGTGAGCTCAACATGAGTTAGCGTGTCCTCAATGAGGTGCACGACCGTCGCAACGGTGGCAATATCGCCGACGCCGGGAAGTATAGCGCGAACAGGCTGATCACGGCAGAAATCGCCGTAAACCTTGGTGAGCAGCCGATAACGTTTTTGAATGGTTTCCACCTTCTCCTTCGCGAGGCGTCCGGCTTTGACTTCCTCCATGTAGCTGACCAGGGCGGCTTCAATTTTATGCCAATCTGCAGGAGCAATGAGTAACGAGCGAAGGTCGGAGGGCCCAGTCTACGTACTTCTATCTGTCACCACTTGGGACGTGCGCACCAGTCTATGCTTCCCAAGAACTTCTATACCCAGCTTTTCGATCTCATTACCCCATCCCAGGTCTGTCAAGCGTCGCGCGATACTTTGGGCCATGAGCAATATTCGAAAGGTGAAAGGAGATCTGACTTACTCTTCTTTTCGCTGCTGTCGGAGTTGCTCCAGCTCAGCTTTCCTGTTCGCATGACGTCTACTCGCCCAAATCTCGCAGATTTGAGCATGCTGTGCGAAATCATCAGACAAAAAGCCCATGATAGACCGTCGTTTCATACCTCTCTGATCCTCTTGAAGGCTTCTTCACGCTCGTCCAACCAGTGCTCACGTGTCTTGTCCGTACTTTGGACCACTTCGCGTTCGTAGTCCTCGAGGAACGACTCCACCCAGAAAGTGGGAAGCATATTGTCATATCCAGATGCTACGGAGGGTATTAGCGGAAGCGAAAGAAGTCGTAGATCATGGACATACGGGTTTCGTAAACCGGAAGGTATTTGTCTAGGCTATAATATGGCACAGAGGCTACGACGAGCGCCTCTCTCGCTATATCCCCGGTTAGAAATATATTTCTAGGCGATATTAGCACGTGTTAGCGATGAGCGTACGCGTACTCACTCGTCCGAGGAGCATTTCTTGCAGCAGCGGACTCGCGCGGTCCAGTAGGTCGTGGAGTTGGGCGCGGAGCAGAACTGAATCAGGGAGTCAGAAACACAACAGTCAACCGAGAGATTTGATGCCGACCTCGCAGTACCTTTCGTAAGCGAGGCATACGAATTCGGGTATGGTCAGGTCGTCTGGCATCGGCGGGAGGTCCTCCGCAGACGCATAGCTCTCTTTCCATATGTCGATGGACGCCCGGCGCATGAGAAGGCCGTGGAAGGTCTTGTTCGTACGCGAGAACTGGAGAAGCGCGCTTGGGTGCATGTGTCTACACACCTGCAGGTCTATCCCCAGTACTCGATCGTTGCCACAATTGCGAACCACGCACCTCCATGATCAGCTCAAGCGGCAGGTCCTGGAAGCCGGAAGGCCGACCTCCACGGCGAGGACATACGGTGGTATTGTTTGCCTTTGCTTGGTCCTTTGTCTTTGGGCTCGCGGCGGTCCTTTGGCGCTTGCGTGCGGGCCGCCTGGAGACGTCGTCGTCCTCGTCCTCGTCCATCAAGGCATCAGAGTCGTCCACCTCTTTCGAGATCTTGAGAACCCGTGCACGCGCAGCGTGAGATGCAGGGCGGGAGGATCTGCGCATGGTGGTAGTGGTTGAGATTCAAGTCAGGTTGGTGCTGTGACCTCCGCGCGCGGGCCGGCGGCTATTGTCTGTGCGTCGACCTGCGTGCATAACGATCACCTGATCTCAAAACAGGCGCAAACTCGAGTGACGCGCGGATATGTCCGCAATCCAAGCAATGGTGGCAGATGCCATGGCTATCACCTTAGGCGTTTTGTGCGAGGTTTCCTGAGCGTGAGATAGCGCGGGTGGGGAAGCAGCATCTTGCGTCGTATCCGCTGAATCCTGCATGCGTGCCGTGTATACTGCAGGGGGAAACGCACGCAGCGATGCGGTCCATGGGTGCACCTGCTTATAACTCGGCCCCCCGAATGACGTCTCCTGCTCTCTGTCGCCCCTGGCGGTGAGGGAGTGATCAAAGAGGATCTCCGGAGATGGCCGACGGCTCAGGCCCACGTAGCACGTGTTCTCTCGGTTCCGAATGTTCAACTCTTGCGCGGATCCAAGGTTGATCGAATGAGCGCAAGACGTGGTCGCACAGGCCCAGCAGTTGACTATATCCCTACGCAATATCAAGATCGACTGCGACAGAGAACAAACAACAGAGTGGCCGAAGTGGTGCGGAAGCGGCGAAGATACATTGTGAACAGCAATCAGATCAGCGTTGCTAAGTCGTAGGCGACATCTATAGTCTATTAAAATGAGCACTCAAAGAGCATCAACCCCATCCACGAGTAGCCTGAGGTTTTCAAGCTCGGCCCTGCATCGCCCTTCGCTGCCGGCGCACTTCCATCACCCAAGGGTTGTCCACGGGCGCATACTGGTTCCCAATCAACAACAGGGACTGCAGGCGTTCATGAGTAATCATCCCCCGCAACGATGGCCAAAGAATAACTTACATCCATGACCTTTTGTGGGAGCATAATCCGCATCTCAATGCGCGTCCCGTTGCGCAAGACCCGCGGCCACAACCTTCCTTCGAAGAACTCGTTGAGCGCGTCTAGGTCTCCGGCGCAATCACACGCCATGAGCTGCAGTCTGGGAACCAACATGCCGGGGTCGTTAGAATCACGGATGGTGAGGCCCCGCAAAAGCAACCGCGACGCAGGGCTTATCCCGAGACTCAGGGATACAAGGTTGGGCGTGCGCGCGAGGCACTGGAGTAAAATGCCGTGGTCGATAGGCGTGCGTATGATGAGCGCTTTCAAACCTGCGCCGGCCGCCGGAACGCGAGTCAGGAAGCCCAAAAGCACGTCCGGCGCATTCGGAAGTCAGAAATCCAGTATCAGGGCACGGAGGGCGGGCGGTGTGATCAGCTGCAGCACGGGCCATGATCCATGGCCTTCGAGGGTGAGCTTGCTGAGACAGGGGAACGTGGTGTAGCCACCGGCGGGATGAGCTATGGCGGACTGAAATTCCTTGATCCCGAGGCGGAGCTCGCGCAGGGTCCGGTGGCATGAACGCAAGGACTCGAACAGGTCGGAAAGGCTGTGGGTGTTCACACCGAGTTCCAGCAAGGTGAGGTTCGCCAGGAGCGGGAGCGAGATTGCGAAAGGGCCTTTGTTCACGCATATGATCGTGAGCTGCGACAGCCAGGGCGCGTCAGCGAGAACATGCAGCGAGAGGCGCTGCTCTCCCTCGCCCTCAGGCAAGTCCACATGGACTCGCGCGCCGGATAGGAGCGGAGTAGCCACCGGCGTCATCTCCGAAAACGACGCGCACGTTCCGCGCATATGACAAGACCGCCAGCGCGATGCATAGGGAGAGAGCGCAGATATGAATGGCAATAGTACATCTGGCGACGTTCTCGACACGAGATGGAGTGGCAAGCTGCCGGAGCGAGGGAGGTAGCGATGCACAAGGGCGAGCGCATCGGGAATCCGGTCTGGTGCTACGATTTCGACCCAGAGGCGGGGCTCGTCGTGCGCGATAGTTCTCCAGGATTTGCAGACCAGCGACACGACGCGATCGAGCGCGACCATTGGGTTCTTGATGTCAGGGTGTCGAGAAATGGAACTCAATAAGCACAGAAAGACCTCTGAGAGGATCTCGGCCGGGAGGTGGTGGATGGAGGTTGTGGAGTTCTGCATCGCTGAGCTGGAGTGCGGGGTTGAGCGGGCAGAGTGGCGGGACGACAGTGTGGGTGGCAAATCTAGGCAGGTGAGCGTGGCGGACAAGATGCGCGACCGCGACAAAGATGCTTTATGCAAAGGTCCAGACACAGTCACATGCCTTTTGTGCGCAATAGCGCGTCAGTTTTTTTGTTTTTCAGATCAGTATGACAGAGTTTACACACTCCCAGCATGACGCCGTGCGGAGAAGGGGCCGATGCGCGGCGAGGACAAGAGGGGGAGTTTGTTCACGCGGCTGCGCGTCCCACATCCGCCACCTTGACCGGGGTTTCCATTGACAAGACGAAGTTGGCGAGGTAGGAATGCAAGTCTCCCGCGCCGTCGTCCAAGCAAACCCAGAGCATCCAAAAGGCGACATTTTCGTCGAGGGGGAAGACAGGAGCGCCTTGCCATGGGCAGGAAGCCACACGGGTGAGGATATGGCATACGAGAGCATCGGTTTGACGTGAGGAGTGACTGGACAGGGAGTCCGAGTCTAAAGCGCGGGCGAACGGGCCGGATGGGAGGGGAGACCGACTCGGTGGTGTGCGCAAGAGGTTGCCATTGACTCGGAGTCAACCGAGAAGCTTTCGGTTGGGAAGCCAGAAGAGCGTAGGACGGGCGAATCGGTCGAGTGCCGAGCTCGGTGAGCATCGATTGGAACTTGACGACAGAGGGAGGGCGGCGAAGACAGGCGGATTCCTGGGCACTGGTATCAGAGGTAGCAAGTATACGGTGATGGGCTCGGGATGCGGGTGGTATCCGGGTTGGAGATGCGAAGTGGAGATTAGAGATGCGAAGCTGAGTAGCGCAAAGCGGACGACCATGGTCACGACGGTGGGAAGCAAGGCCGACACGTGGGAATGATGATCGACGGGCGCCTATTCTCCCTTGAACATCGACCGCCATGATGGTCGCTGGGAGCGGACAGCAAGGCGCTCGAATGGTCGACACCGCGCCTGGGCACCTCCCCTACCTGCAGCCTCCCTGGCCCGTCCCACCCCTCTCCTTCTCTTCCCCCGCGCTTTTACACGGCGCTCCTGTCGCCCCGAACCTTCCTTGTGTATACGTACATATACATCCCCTCCCCGGTTCATTCCCCCTCCTTTCTTCTCCCTCCCATACTACTCCCTCCCATACTCGTCCCTCCCGCCGACAGTCAATTTCTAGCCTAAACGTCCTCGTCCTGACCTTCTCGTTTCCCCTCCTTCCCCTCATGCCCCTTTCCCTCAAGTCCTCCCGACCGACCTCTTCCTCAAGTCCTTTCCGACCAAGCTCTAGTCCATGCCTAGTTCCTCAACATCGGATATGGTGTAACGGCCAACATTGCCGCCTCTCATAAGTAGTGTGTAATGCTGTACTAATTGCGCGGCAGCTCGGGGTTCGATTCCCCGTATCCGAAGTCATTTTTGTCTCGTACCCGAAGCTAGGGGTGCGATTCCCCGTATCCGAAGCTAGGGGTGCAAACCCGTATCCGAAGTCATATGTATCCCAGCAAACGTTTTTATTTCAAAGCAGTACTTATCGGAACCTCCACCTAGACTCGGCGGGCTTGGAGCCCTCCAATCGACTGCCTGGAAGCCTCCCATCAACTGCCTTGTAGCCTCCCATCGCCTGCCTTGTAGGCTCCCATCGACTGCCTGGGAGCCTCCAATCGACGCGACGGCCTTACAGACATTCGAATCAACTCCCTTTATCTTTCAGGGCGTTCCCTGACCCGCACTTATTCGAGTTCAGGTTGGAACGCGCAGTCCCAGTTGGAACTTGGAACATCCGAGTTCAAGTTGGAACCCGCGGTACGCTCCGCCGGACGCTCCCCGGTCTTGCTTTCGCGCGCCTGCGTTGGGTAGGCGCGATGGCGCGCCATTTTTTCAGGTACGAAGACGACCATGGTATGTACGCAGACGACTATGGTATGTACGCAGACGACCATAGTATGTGATGCGACGATGGACGATCATCTGACGGCAGGAACTGGACAGCGGTCGGCAAGGTTGAGAATTCGATGATCTGCGTGGGAGGCGGCGAGTGTGAGGGAGGGAGTGGTGAGGGTGAGGGTAATGTTCATGATGAGGAGGACAGCGTCCAGGACGAGGAGAGGAGCGTCGCGAGTGAGGAGACGAGCGTCGAGGATAAAGAGGACAGCGTCCAGGACGAGGAGAGGAGGGTCGAGGATGAAGAGGGCAGTGTCGCGAGTGAGGGGGATGGCGTCATGGGGGAACAAGCCAGCGTCGAGGATGGGCAGCGTCGAGGATGGGTAGCATCGAAAGCTCTACATCGTGTGTATGCGTCGCATCGAGCGCCTTCGCGAGGCGCCAGGAGCGTCTTCGTGAGCGCCACGCGCATTGTCATATATCCAGACCAATACTAGTACAAATCCTTCCATTGTTTCGCCTTTCCACACTCCCCTACATTCCCAACCACCTACAACTTCCCCTCCCGCGCTTATACCTCGTCCGTTGCACGCCTGTACCTCGCCCATCTACAACTTCGCGTCCCGCCCGTCTACAACTTCGCCTTCACCTTCCTGTCCTCCACCCCCCGCTCGCGCCCTGTCCGCTCACTCTCGGCACACTCGTCCACCCCCCGCTCACTCACCCCCCGCTCGTTGTTCTCGTCCACCCCCCGCTTGTTGTTCTCGTCCACCCCCCGCTCGTCCAACCCCCGCTCATACCGCTCAACAAGCACGCGCCGCAGCACCTTGCCCGTCGGGTTCTTGGGGATCTGAGATGGGTGGGTGAGTTAGCGGCACGGAATCGTCAGGCGGGTGGGTTAGCGCCACGGCATCCCCACGCGATTGCGCCACGGAACCCTCACGCGATTGCGCCACGGAATCTCCACGCGACCGTTCCAAGTCAATGAGGGGGAGACGCGGCCAGAAACGAGGGAAGAGACGCGGCCAAAGACGGGGGAGGAAACGTGGACGCGAGCGACGGATAGAAAGGAAAGTGGAGATGGGAAAGAGAAGGGGAGGAGGGAGCGATGGTAAGATGGGAGCGGAGGATCGGAAGCGGCAGGAAGGATCGGAAGCGGAGGATCTCCAGCCCGGCGAGGACGGCGAGGCACTCCGCCCGGCCACCTCTCCACCCGATGGTGCTCGACGTCGAGCGCGCACCGCAGATCGTCGCGCAGCAGATAGTCGCGCAGCAGATAGTCGCGCAGCAGCACGTCCGCACCGTGGCCCGAGAACTGCAGCGCCGCCAGCGCGGGCGCGGGGATGTGCTGCAACAGTCGGACAGCGTCGGATCCGAGCTGCAGGCGTTGGAGCACCGGCAGCTCGGAGGGCGCCGCCAACTCGAGCGGCGCCGCCAACTCGGAGGGCGCTGCGCCCTCTACTAGGGCGTGGGAGATAACGACTCGGAGCGTGATCAGCGTCTGGCGATATTGCTGGAGGGGGCGGAGGAGCTCGGACACGGCGCCCGCGACATCGCGGCGTAAGGTCGTGAGGGCAGGCATGGGCGCGAACCGCATCACGCTGGGGGACAGGTTGCCGAGGTCGAGGGAGAGCGATCGGAGCCGCGGCACGTCCTCCATGAAGGCTATCATACCCGCCGAAGCATCGTGCTCCCAATCAACGCAATGCGATATCTGCGCGTGTTCGAGATCGGGCATCTCGTAGACTGAAATCGGCGTGCAAGCCGAAGAGAAAGACCAAGATGCAAAGGGGCGGATTTCGCTCATGAAGGACGGGAGCGCGCCGGACCGCAAACCTCGAGGAGGCAGTCCTTAGCGAGAGGAACATAGCGCTCAAGGTACGCCTTGATATTCTGGTTCGGCGAGACCATGTATACCCATAGCTGGGGAGTCTGGCGCCAGCGCTTGCACACGCGAGTGATGATCCCACACGCGAGTGATGATCGTCTCGAGAGTAGGTATAGCAGCGGCGAGGTGGACAGTCCAGACAGCCAGCTCGCAAACGTGCAGGAAAGAGCTCGGGGGGCAGGCGATGCATGGGGGATCCCGCACACTCAGGCTGGTCAGCAGGTTGGGCAGACCTGCCGCGAATGGGCGCCGCAATCTCTCGGATTCGTTAGTCATTTGGGTGCAATAGCATTGTATTAGTGCAATAGCATTCAAGGTCAGGAAGGCGCTCTCACCCAGCGGTGCAAGCGACGCGCCCTGCTTTTCAAGCCGTCCGCGAGCGAACGTTTCGGCACAGTTGGGATTCGGCTTGCCACCAGACTGCTGGATTTGGCTTGCCGCCAGACTGCTGGATCTGGCTTGCCGCCAGACTGCTGGATTTGCTGGCACCATCTGGGTTCTCAGCACCATCTGAGTTCTCAGCACCATCTGAGTTCTCAGCCTCGCCCCGAGTCGCGGCGTCGCCCCGTATCCCAACGTCGCCCCGAGTCGCGACGTCGCTTTCCATAGTCTGCGCCGAGCGACTGCGATGAACGATGATGGTGGTCACGCGTCCCGGCACGTGCCTGACGCGTCCGGCGTGCACGTGCCTGACACGTTCTCAACGTTCGACTTGTTCAATTTGATTTTCACGATCAATTACTAATTACTGCAATGAGATATCGTACAGTCTTCACGCGCGCTTTGAAGGGTCCAAGATCAAGCCGCGTCATGTACACACCGCCTATCCTATCTGACCGTCCACCCTCCTTCTCTGACCGCCTGCACGCTCACCTCCCCCCTCTCCACCGCCCCTCTTCACCCCTCCCCCCTCTCCACCACCCACCTCCCCCCTGTCCACCACATTTATTCACCTCCCCACTTCACCCGACCCCCACCAAACTCACCCCCCTCTCCACCACCTCACCCCACCCCCTCTCCACCTCCCGCACCAAATTCACCTCCCTCTCCACCCCGCCCACTTCTCCCCACCCCCACCAAATTCATCCACCTCTCTCCCCCACCTCCCCACCAAGCTCACCCCTCCCTCCCCACCTCTCCACCTCACCCTACCCCCTCTCCCCTCTCCACCACCCACCTCCCCCCACTCCCCACTCCCCTCTTCACCTCCCCCCTCTCCACCAAATTTTGGTATTCACCTCCCCCACTACCTCGATCCGCCCGCAATTTGTGCGCGCATGGAGGGCGGCGAGGCGAGGAGGGCGGCGAGGCGAGGAGGACGGTGAGGAGGGTGGTGACGATGGTGCGTGGAAGGTGGCGACGATGGTCATAGCGTGGAGGGTGGCGACGATGGCAGCGAGGAGGGCGGCGAGGCGAGGAGGGGGGGCAAGACCCAGTCGCCGCGGATTCGAGAAACGCGAGGGTCAGCGACGTTGAGGGACGCGTGGGGTGGGGGATGCGTCGGTGATGCGGATAGAGGATGCGTCGAGGGACGCGTGGGGTGGGGATACGTCGAGGGCGCACACGCTCCTGGCGTCGCTTCCAGAACTGCCCCGTCGCTCCCGGAATTGCTCCTGGCGTCGCTCCTGGAACTGCTCCTGGCAGCGCTTCCAGAACTGCCCCTGGCGTCGCTCCCAAACCTGCCCCTGGCGTCGCTTCCAGAACTGCTCCTGGCAGCGCTCCCGGAACTGCTCCTGGCGCGCTTCCAGAACTGCTCCTGGCAGCGCTCCCGGAACTGGTCCTGGCGTCGCTCCCAAACCTGCCTCCTGCAGCTGAGGCATCTATCGAACCCCCGGCTGCTGACGCGTCCGGCAACCCCCCGGCTGCTGAGGCATCTGACGATCCCCCCCTTCCCCTTCCATCCCTCCACCATCTCCCTGCGCGCCAGCGGCACCTCCTCGATCTCGCGGAGGCTGACCTGCGCGCCAGACACCTTGCGCGTCTCATTCGCCGGACACCTCGCGCGCGTCCTTCGCCGGACACCTCGCGCGTCCTTCGCCGGACACCTTGCGCACGTCTCATTCGCCGGACACCTCGCGCACGTCCTTTGAGCGGTCAGACACCCCGCGCACGTCCTTCGCGCGGTCAGACAAGCCGCTAGCGGGGGAGTAGGTGAGTGAGGGAAGGGAGGTGTGGGAGTGTGAGGGGGAGAGGGGGGACGAAGGATGAGAGAAGGGGGACGAAAGATGAGAGAAGGGGGGAAAGAGGGGGGGAGGGGGGAGGGTGAATGAGGGAAGGGAGTGAAGGGAAGGGGGAGAGGGAAGGGGGGAAGGGAAGGGGGAGAGGGAAGGGGGGAAGGGAAGGGGGGAAGGGAGGGAAGGGAGGGAAGGGAGGGAAGGGAGGGAAGGGAGGGAAGGGAGGGAAGGGAGGGAAGGGAGGGAAGGGAGGGAAGGGAGGGAAGGGAGGGAAGGGAGGGAAGGGAGGGAAGGGAGGGAAGGGAGGGAAGGGAGGGAAGGTAGGGAAGGGAGGGAAGGGAGGGAAGGGAGGGAAGGGAGGGAAGGGGAGCAGAGGAGGGAAGGCTGAAGGCTGAAGGGAAGGGAGAAATGGCGGGAGGATGCAAGGGAGAAGTGACGAGTTGATGATGGCGCACGTAGGAAATGCGATGGACGGGCGCTTACGGTTATCCTCCCACCACCATCATGAACGACAGCAGTTTTGGGAGTCGGGACGAGCGCCTGCACGGGTGGCGAATGCGAGTATAGACCAGTGATGATGAGAGTGGGAGACTGCGGGTGAGGATAGAAGGCGAGGGTGCGTACCCGAGGTCAGGCGTGTGAGAGCGACGGGGTCAGGCGTGTGAGGAGAAGGTGGTCAGGCGAGTACGCCGCCGGGAGACGGCAGACTGGATATCCGGGCCAGCTTCTTGTTCTCACAGATATATGCGCAGGCTGGGTAGCTGGTCGATCTCGTTTCCGACGTCGAGGACGAGCGCGACGAGTCACAGAGCGATCGGCAGACGAGTGTGCACGATCGACCTACTACTCTCCACGCTCGAGACTACCGACCACGGAGTCGCGATCGAGCAACCTACAAACACCTCTCCATATCCACCATGCCATCCTCGACCATCTACACCTCCCCCTACCCGCCCTTACCAGCCATACCCTCTGTGAACGCGCACCATCTACTCTTGGGGCGACCCGAGCAAGCTACGTGGGAGGACTTTGCGCTGTACGTGGATCCCGGGAGCAGAGCGGCGGAGAAGGGTGCGAAGGCGCGAACGGAGTCAGGCAGCGGGGAGGATAGTGGAAGAAGGACGAAGGCAGGCAGCGATAGCGGCAGCGACAACACGATCACGTTCCACGCGTTCCGGCACCGCGTCGCGGTCGCGGCGACCGTGCTCGCGCGGCAGCTGGAGGAGATGGGGCTGGACGTGCGGGCGGAGCCGAGGCCGATCGTGGGGATCCTGAGTGAGAATAGTGTGGTGAGTGTCTCTGTCAGGTTGAGGGCTTCGCTGTCGAGCTTGGAAGGCGTGTGATGACAGCGCGCGTCATGATCCTCGTCCCATCACCCAGGCTCGCCTAACCCTCGTACTAGTCCTCACCCTCCCCTCCACAGACGTTCGCCACCGCCGTCCATGCCCTCCTCCGCCTCGCCGTCCCCTTCGCCCTCCTCCCCGCCCACGCTACGCCGTACGAGCTCGGTCACTCGCTCCGCTTGACGGGTGCGAAGGTCGTGCTCGTCGGCAAGGGTTCGGAAGGGAGGGTAGAGCAAGCGGGCGTCAGCGGAGTGCGCGTGCTGGACATGGAGTGTGCTGAGGGAACCACGTCCCTTGATGGCCTGATAGACGCATTCCTCGTCTCCTCCACCCCAACCCTCCTGCCACCCGCGCCAGCCACGCCGTCCACCCTCGCCTACCTCGTCCTCTCCTCCGGCACCTCCGGCCTCCCCAAGGCCGTCATGATCACCCACGGCAACCTTATAGCCAGCCTCTTCCAGGTCGTCGTCGTCGGGCAGGCAGTGCAGGCGGCGATGTCGAACACGCAGGCCCCGACGTCGAATACTCAGGCCACGCTACCCCCGTCGCCGTTTTATTCTGCGTCGTCCGGTTCTGATACCGTCACGCCCTCTGTGATCGCCCCGCCGTCCAAAACCTCTCCCCCGTCTGCTACTACCCCGCCGTCTGACACCACCCCGCCCCACCCCACCCTCCTCGCCTTCCTCCCCATGTACCACTCCTACGCCCTCCACACCCACCTCTTCCGCAACTTCCTCACCCCGACCACCACCGTCGTTATGCGCAAGTGGGACGTCGGGAGGGCGTTGGGGTTGATGCGGAGGCATAAGATAACCACCCTCACGCTCGTTCCCTCCGTCGTGCATCAGTTGGTCACGCTGGCGGCGTCCGCCTCTCAGTCGTCCGCCTCAACAACCGCCTCCATCCGCACCGCCCTCGCCGGCGTCTCCTCCCTCATGTGCGGCGCCGCGCACTTACCGGCCGACTTGAGGGACAGGTTTCTGAGGGAGTGCGCGCCGCATGCGGTGTTTAGTGAGGGTGAGTTTGTTGTGCTTTCGGCTTTCTATCCCTTTGTTCCTCCCTCTTTCCTCCTTCCCAGTCCTCTTCCTCCCTCCCCATTCCTCCCTCTATCCCTATCCCCCCCGCTCCTTCCCCCATTACCCCCCTCCCCCCTCCGCGCTGTCCAACATCTCGCGCATTGTGCTGATCAGCCCCTCCCACGTAGGTTATGGACTGAGTGAAGCGGTGAGTCCTATTTCTGTCGCCCTCTGTCCCCGATCCCTCTCTCCGCTCCCTCTATCCGCTCCTCCGCTCCCTCTGTCCGGTCCCCCCGCCTCTTTCCATTCTCCTATACCCCTCCTTTTTCTTTTCCCTCCCCTCCTCCCCTCTTCCCCCTCCCCTGCCCTCCGCCCTTCCTCCGCCCTTCCTCCTGCCCTCCCCCGGTCCCTTCCTCCTTCCCTCGCATCTCCCCCCTTTCATCCCCCCACCACCCCATCTCCCACCCCCCCATCTCTCCGCCACCTCCACTCACACCCGCCAGTCCTTCGCGCCGATTGCTAACCTTGGTCCCTCCCCTTCTGCGCCTTTGTTGGCACCCGCTCCGTCGTCGCCTTCGCCGGCACCCGCCGCCGTCGTCTCCGCCGCCTTCCTCGATCCCATGGCATTTCGCTCAAAAGACGCTCTCCGCCGTCGGTCCACCGCCGGACGCGCTGTCCGGTACCACACCTACGCCGAGAGGGAGCGTGGGCAAGTTGATGCCGGGGCTGAGGGCAAGGGTCGTACCCGGGGAGGACGATAAGGGGGATAATGGTGAGTGTGAGTTGGGCTTTTCCTTCAACCACCCGACCACCCTCCTTCTCCTTACCTTTGAAGACCCTCCTTCTCCTTACCTTTGAAGACCCTCCTTCCCTTCCCTTTGGCTGTTCGCCCCCTCCCCGTTCCTTTGTCTCCATTCCCCTACGTCCTCTTTCCCCACTTCCCACCGCTCTCCTCCACCTCCCACACCATGCTAACCCCCTCCTTCGCCCCATGTCACTTGCTACCCTTGCCCTTTCCCATTACGAGTTACCTCCCCATTCCCTCCGCTTTCCCTTCTCGATCCCCTTTCCCCTCTCGATCCCCTCCTTTGCGATGAACCACCCTCCATTCTCCCCCCCCCTCTCCCTTCCCTCCCTTCTACACGCCTGTGACCTTCTACTCGCTTATGACCTTCGCTGACCGCAATCAGCCACCGGCGAGCTCTACCTCGCGGGCCCCACAATCGCGCCGGGGTACTATAATAACAAAGAAGCGACGCGGGAGACGTTCGTCACCGAAGATGGGGACGGCAGTGAAGAGACGAAGGGAGAACGCTGGCTGCGCACCGGTGACCGATTCTACGTAGATCGGGACGGGTGGTTTTTGTAAGTCGCGCCCTCCTCGCCTGTACCCCTCAACGCTCTCTCCACCACCGCTCCCTTCCCACTCCCCCTTACTCCCACTCCCCCTTACTCCCACTCCCCCTTACTCCCATCCCCCTTACTCCCACTCCCCCTACCTCCGCTCCCCCCTTCCCTCCATTGCCCACTCGCCTACTCCCAAAGATACAGCTCGCCTACTCCCCCTGCCTACCCCTTACTCTCATTCCCTTCCCTCCGTTCCCTCCCTTCCCTCCGTTCCCTCCGTTCCCTCCCTTCCCTCCTCCCCTTCCCATCGCTCCCCCTCTTACTCTAATCGCTAACGCTCCCACCCCCACACACACCGGTCGCTAACGCCCCCTTCCCTCAGCTTCGCCGACCGCGCGAAGGACACGCTCAAGGTGTCCGGCGCGCAGGTGAGCCCGCGCGAGATCGAGGAGGTGCTGCTCGCGTGGCGGGGGGAGGGGGTGGGTGAGGGGTCATACGATGCAGAGGCGGCGAGCGTGCGCGGTGCGGGTGCGGAAAACGCGCTCCCCGACGCCCCATCGAGCATCCGCGTCCTCGACGCCGCCGCTGCCCCCCGCGGTCCCTCTACCAACAACCACCCCCGCGTCCTCGATGCCGCCGTTGCCGGCGTGCGCGGGCACGGGCGTACGGCTGACGAGCGCGTCCCTAGGGCGTGGGTCGTGTTAGAGGGGGCAAGTTCAACGGCGGAAGGTAAGTCCCTGACCTGCTGCGACAGCGAAAATTCGGCGCGGCTCTCGCGGCAGCGAAATTCGGCTGGGTCGTGCGCGACTGCACTTCGGCGCGGCTCGCGCGATCCAGAGTTCACACCGCTAATGTCCTGCGTAGACCGCGCGGCGATAGTGGACGCGCGCCACGCTGCGATAGTGGACGCGCTCCACGCCTGGACGCGCGCGCGCCTGAGCCGGCACAAGTGGCTGCGGGGCGGGATCGAGGTCGTGCGGGAGGTGCGTTTGAAATGTTTTTTTTTTCTTTGCGAACCCTCTTCGACTGGTTGCGAACCCTCTTCGACTAGTTTCCATCTCTCCGCGGCTCTTAGCGGTTTTTTCCTCCGCGCTCCCCTACCCTGCGCTTCCCTTCACGCTTAAGCCCCCTCTTCTCCGCCCGTCACATTCGCGCGAGGGTTGAGTACCAAGTTGAGTACCAGCGACGCTAACGCACCCACCACAGATCCCCAAAAACCCGACGGGCAAGGTGCTCCGGCGCGTGCTTGTTGAGCGGTATGAGCGGGGGATGGACGAGGGCAAAGAGATCAAGGCGAAGCTGTAGACGAGGAGGGAAATGGGGAAGGTGAAAGCGAAGCTGTAGGCTTGTAGGTAAGGGTGTTTGGAGGCGTAGTGGAGCTTGGAGGGCGGGCGAGGTATAGGCGTGCAACGGGTGAGGTATAGGCATGGGAGGGGAAGGAAGTGTGGGGAGCGAGGATGGGTGGTGGATGGCGCAGATGGGTGGTGGATGGCGAATATGTGGGGAGAGCGAAGATGGGCGGTGGGGGGAACACCGTGGCTATTTCCCTCGCCACGTCGACCTCCCCTCCCGCGTCGATCTCCCCTGCCGTGTTGGTGATCTCCCTCGCCGCGTCAGTCTCCCTCGCCGTGTAAGATACAATGTACAATCTATCTTGGATATATCGTGTCTTCTTCTCTTCGTTTTGTCCCCCGGGCCCACTTTAAGCTCCTTCCCGGCCTCTCTTGCTGTCCGAATCCCTCCTTCTGTCGCAATCCAGAACCCTCTTTCTCGCGCTGTCCGAATCCCTCTTTCTCTCTCTGTCCGAATCCCTCACATCCCCTCCTTCCCCTCGCCTCCCCTTCCCCTCTTCCTCCTCTCACTTATTTTTGTCGTCCCTCGTCCTCCTCTACCATCTCACCATCGGATATGGTGTAACGGCTAACATTGCCGCCTCTCATAAAGTACATGGCAATCTGCAATTGCGCGGCAGCTCGGGGTTCGATTCCCCGTATCCGAATCCAGCAATTCCCCGTATCCGAATCCAGCACTCGACGCTTGTTTTTTCCTGTCCGGCGGGGTTGGACTTCTTGGTGTCCGGCGGGTTGGACTTCTTGGTGTCCGGCGGGTTGGACTTCTTGGTGAAGGGGTAGTTTTCTTTGGCAGTCCTACTGCGCTCGAATCGCAGTCTGCTGCGCTTGGAAGCGTATTCAACGCCTGCCCCATGAGGAGCAAAAGGCCTGCCCTATGACGAGCGAAAGCGACCCGCTGAAGCGAGCGGGAGATGAGGAATCCCACTTACCTCCCTCAGTCAACGCCTGCACCTTGTCCACCGACGCGTGCTTGCCACGCCGGGTTCTTGGAGGAGGAGGCCGTATCCCATATCGGTGAGGCGGCGGTGGATTCTGGGTGAGTGGGGTGGTCAGTAAGAACGGGGGTGGTTATTGAGAAGGGGTGATGACGAGTGAGAACGGCGATCACATTTGGGTGGGGAAGGCATCAAGGGGACTGGGGAAGGGATAATGAGAACTGGGAAAGGGATCAGGGGAACTGGGGAGGAAGGGTGGCAGCGGCGGATCCAAGAGACGACTCACTCCGCCTTCCTCTCCCGCTTATTCTCCTCCGCTTTCATGATCACGTTCTCGTCACGCTCTTTGTCCCATTGTTCGCAGATCTTGGCGTGCTGAGGGGGGAGACAGGATGAGTAAGGGCGTATGGACGGAGACGCGAGATGCGAAAATGGTAGCACCGCCACTCTATCCAGCACCACCACTCCCCTCGCCAGCACGACTCGCGCACGAGGCAAAGATAGGACTCGCCCAACTCACCTCGAACACGCCCTCCATCGCCCTCCGCTTCCTTTTATACCACGCCTTTTGCTCCCCTCGACTCATCCGCTTCACACCGTCCCGCTCGTAGTCGTCGATAAGCTCGTCGATGGAGAGCGTCATGTATAGTGGGGACAGAAGGGCTTTGCGGGATTCTGGAGGAGCGGGGTGAGTGTCAGGACATGACGGGAGGAGTGTCGGGACATGACGAACGCGCTTCGCATGCGCAGATGCATGGTAGTGAGTGGGCATCAGATTATCGCAAGAAAGCGTAGATGGCGCGCGAAGAAGAGGAAAGGAGGAGAGGAGAGAGAGAGAGGAAGAAAAGAGCAGATCAATCGCCACTCACTCCCCATCACGACCGGCGGCAGCAGTCGGATGAGCGACCCGGTCCACGCGCCGCGGACTTCCTTGAGGTCGGCCAGTGCCGTGGCTTCGTCGACGAAGTGGCGTCTGGAGAGAAGGTAAGTAAGGGGATGAGCTGGAGTGGGTCGCGGCGGAGGGGATGAGATGAGGAAATGGCGGGGAGGGGGACGAGATGATTAAGGAGGGGGACGAGATGATCGATGAGGGGGACAGGGTACGCGACAGCTGACGAGAGGGAGCTGCAATAATTCCAGGAGAGGGAGACATGGAGATACATGCGCGGAAGATGACGTACCTGTTGCTGAAGCACCGCTTGCACGTGCGCACGCGCGCCGCCCAGTGGATTTTCTGGATATTACATGCGTCGCAGAACTGTAGGGGGACACAAGTCAGTCACTGAGCGCGCAGGATGAGACGACCTAAACGCATCGCACGACACTGAGGCGCATCGCACGACGCTGAGGCGCTGCACACAACCAAAGCTGGAAGCTTCACGCGATCAAAGCTCACCCTACATCCCTTCTTATACACCAGCCGTACGAACTCGCCCAGCGGGATATCGTCGGGCACGGACGGCAGACCCTCCGCGGTAGCGCAGCTCGCTAGCCAGATGTGGTCGGCGGACGGGGCGTTGGGCACCAGGTCTAGGACGTGTAGCGGGTGGGATGTTTTGCAGGACTGAAAAGGTGGTGTTAGTGTTAGGGTGACAACGTAGAGGTATGATGAGTGAGGGGGCTGGGCGATTGATGGAAAGGAGCGGATATAGAGACGGAAGGCGGCCGAAAGCGGTAGACAAGAACACACACCTCCAACAGAAGCGCACCAAAGTCCGGGATGTTCACAGCATTCGGGGCAGGCTGGTCTTTGTCGAGTGGTGGCCCAGCTGCATAGCCATCCTCCGTTCGGCGTCGTTTGCGCGGCCCTTCATCTTCGACGCACTGCTGGTGCGAGCTCTGACCGACCGCAGTGCGCATGCCAACCAAGCCCGGTCCGCCAAACGTCCCTAAAAAGAAGCCGGGTCCGCTCGAGATCCCTTCGTCGTTGCTATCCTCGCTTTTGTCGTCGCTTTTCCCAACCCTCCTGCGCCAGACCATCCTACCCGCAAGCCTCTCCTCAAGCCGGCAGGCGGGGCCCACGTATCCGGTCGTCGAGTCATTGTCAGAGGACTCCGAGTCGTCGGAGCCCATGTCAGTGTCCGTGTCGTCGTCCGTATCGTCGACGTCGTCGTCCGAGTCCACGCCGCCGTCCGAGTCTGAGTCCATGGCGTCCAGGATCGAGGACATTGCGCCGTGCGCGCGCGAGTGCACGCCATCCGAGCGAGAGTCTGCGCCGTAGGTCGGAAGAGGGCGCTCCTTCGCCTTTGCCTTCCTCGGAGATCTGCGCATACTATTCAAGTAGGCGGCTTAGGTGATGGTAAAGCAAGTGGGAAAGATTCAATGTAGTATCAGTCAGCGGGCGAGGATGTCGAGCGGCAGGTGTGGGTGGCAGGGCACAAGGAAACCGGTGTCTTATACCATCGACTGAAATTCTCTTGCCGTAGCTCGGCGAGTCACTTAAAGATCAGTATGGTCCACAAAGGTCATGCAATGCATCAAGCCAAAGGTCTTTAGCCATACCTCCTCGCTGGCTTTGTGGATGACCGACGCGCATCGTACAAAGAAGATCGGTCAACGCGTGGCGGTTGCGCAGTGGGTAGACCCCGTTGTGCGATGAGTACATCACATCAAAAGTACGGTCTGGCAGTCAAAGGAGAGTTTATAGAAAGGGTTGCGCTAGCCACGACTGAGAGCGTTTCAAGGAAGATGGACGTTGAGAGAAAGGGGATCGTTGCCGGCGGCCCTGACGGTCCGAAGGTCTAGACCTCCACGTGATGGGCCGGTCCCGAAAGTTCAGCCGCAGCTTTCGCTTTGGGCGTCATCTGTTGCGAGCTTGGGCGCACACATTGACTGGGCGCCGAAATTACTGCTCTCATGAGATACAGTAGTGCTCGAATATGTCGTGCAGCTTTAAGGATATCCGCCACCACTCGACACGAATATCGAATAGGCCCCCTTGGTCGATGAGCGTAATGTGAAAGCTCGTTCCTTACAAAGTTCCTATACACGTACAATACTTCTTTCCATACCTTGTTCTTCATATATCATAAGCTATACCTTAAACCCTAGGGCTTTCCACGTCGCGCGACTCCATTCAAACCGACCCGCAAACTTTGCTACCCTCTGCACCGACAGCGCCAGAAATTCATCGCTAAAGACGGTCGCATCGCCCCACGGAAGCTCACGGATGGTTTGTCCCACGATGTCGTGCAGTCCCATCAACGCCTGAACATCATCCCTATCCTTCTTCCACCGCACGAAATGGTGCCGCTCCTGCGCGTTCCAGTGGTCATCATACGCTTGCAGCTTCTGCAGCAGGAGCAGCGCGAAGGGAATGACGGGAAAGCCGCTGATGCAGGCGATGTGCGAAGGATGGAGAGCGGGGAGGTGCAGGGTTCCCGGGAGAAGGATGTCCACTTTGATGAATTGTGTGGTGGTTAGGGACGGTCGATAGCGGAGGACGCAATAGGTGGCGCCGGGGGCGCGGCCCGGGACGCTGAAGAAGTGGATGGGGTCGTGTGTGACGATCATATTCTTGATACCCTCGGTGGTATAGGACGCGCGCGCAAGCGCGGACAGGGGGAGGACGAGGATGTCGGCGTCCTAAAGAGGGTGATTAGCCAGGAACAAACTGCGACGTAGGGAAGGACCCCGCACCTTTGGAGGGCGCGCCGTACCGTATAGCGAGCACGCGAAGCCACCGAAGATGGCTGCAGAGCACCCTATCCTATACAATATATTGATAGCGGCGCATGCAGCCTCTGCAACATGCACGCGCGAATCGCTTTGCGGATACATGGATCCCGCCACTGACGAGGCGCCGAGCGTAGCCGATCGATTGGGACTGACGTTCATGGCACCGCTGGCGCGGTTGGCGGATTCTTGCTCTGGTAGAGGCAGCTCCGCGGTCGACTGAGAGGATGGGAGATCGCCGGAAGCGGGCTGCGAGATTTGCAGTCCGGCGATTATCTGCTGCCGTTCTGGCGAAGATTGCGCATACGAAGCGATGAGCTGCGACATCTCCTCGAAGCCCGCCTTGGTAAAGGACCCATGTTCCTCCGTACACGCTACTTCGGTTTGCTTATCGAGTATGCGCCGAAGAAGTGCATCAAAGACCCTGTCCTTCTCCTCTGCTTTGGCCTTTGACTTTGGGGCGTCATCGCGCGGGAGACGGTGCCGCTCATTCCATAATCGAAGAAGCTCGTATAATAGAAATGGAAATGGAGCCAGGGGCAGGGGGCTTGCTGTAGCGGTGGCCGCACATTCAAACGTATAGTTGGGCAGGCTAGTGATGATCATGATGCGACAAGTGCACTTCTTGAGTTGCAGCAAAGGATCGGGTTCGAGGTATTGGTAGTGCAGCCAGGGCCCGGATTCTTCCACCTTAATGAAGTGAGCCGCGTCACTCCCGGCGATGGCTTTGCAGGCTTCCAAAGGGGACAGCAAGGCGTGAATGAAGACGGAGACCGTCCAAGAGGCCTGATGTAGCTGTCAGAATCATACGCTTTTTCCAGGATCAAGAGTGCTTACTGGAGCACTGGCTGGGTCCCCGTCGAGTACATGCACTGCCAGAGGTCCATGGACGGCACCATGGAATCCGAGTCTCCGGGAAACGGAAATGACGGTAGTGGCTGCCTGTAGGAGAATATTGACTTTCCGCTTTCTGGAGTCGGCGTGCCGTGTCATGATGGTGAAGGAGATCAGGGAAGGTGACTCAGTAGTGGTTGCAGCTAAGAGAGCCGCACGACGTCCGCGAGGCGCAGGAAGTACTACGCCGTGGCAGCGATGCCGTACATGCAATGCGCACCTGACAGTGCTCTCGTCACTCGACGCGGCTCATATGACAAGCCGTGAACTCGACTCTCTGGCTATTGGGCCATGTACAGAAGCGAGAAGCGGTCAGACACGAGAGCCATATTAGTCCAGAGAAAAGGAATGTTCATTGCATTGGATGACATGAGCGACGAGAGGAAAGAGCAATTCTATCTGTGACGTATCACGCGGGCGCTGGCGGCAAATGCCGTCTTTTTCCCCATCCGCTTCCAGCGAGAAGTGCCTTATATACTCGTTTGGCAGGGAAGCAGCCCTATCCCGTCGCGAGCTACTCGGCGTTACGAGAGGCCCCTTAGGGTCCTCACGGGCATTTTCTGGCAGGAAAGGTGTCTCTCGCAATGAGGATGTCCCTAGCGAACAAAGAGGTGACTCGTCGGAAGATGCTCTTCCTCCTTCTTTCCATAGGCCGTAACTTACAGTGGACTGTTCGGTGCTCCGACCGATTGATATATTTTCGACTTCTAAAGGTGGTTCTCCGAGCTCTGCCACCTCCGCTCGCCGATCACCTACCCTGTCCACTCCGAGCCGCTACTTCTCTCACACTCTCGAGTCCGCGCCACTGAGACTGACCCTCACACTCAATTCTTAAGCCCTCGTTGCAGTTACAGAAGCTGCAGACGTACGACGACCACGTCCATGCCTCGGCGCAGCACCACTTCGTGCAGTGGCTGAAGGACCGGGACGATATCCAGGCGCTGCTGGAGCTGCGGGGAGACATAGAGGAGCGGCCGTGGCATGACAAGGCGGTGTTCAGTGACGAGTTCCTCGCGCTCTCCTTCCGCAGGGTAACCGACTTTTCTGCGAAATTCTCGTGGAGTCGCGCAGCATGGGAGGAGCTAGGGTTGGACGTTTGAGCCAGGATCAGCAATGGATAATGGTTCTACAGAATTGTTGTTTACCATGACTTTGTACGAAGGTACTCTGGGCAGCTGCACACCTACAGAAGAAGTGCAATCATGCCTCGTAAAGGACTCGGAACAAGGAATGTTGTACGGGGAACTTTGCTTTATGGTGCCATGATGAGAGAGTGAGCGCAGGGATGTGGGTGCGCATGAGTGAGGCTTGAGGTCGCTTGCCTCGCAAACGCATGCTCCACGCCGCTGTAATTCCTGTATATGCAATTTAACCAAAATTTTCTCCTCGAAATAGCGTACCAGTCAAGGCCTCACTCCTTTCGAGGACTGTCGACTCGCTTCCTGTGGTTTCCTCAACATTTAGCCCAAAGCTGGCGAATCTAAGTCGGGCGATTCCAATGTTGATCTTGTCAGACGCTCGCACGTGGATCAGCGCGTGCGGACGGGCGCTTGTTCTCGATCACAATGCGCGACCTCCTTGCATCCGCCTTTCATCACTTCACGGGCGTCGGCTTCCGACGTGTCAGCTATTCCAAACATGTCCACTGTACAGAACTCGTCCGCTATATCCCTTGATGCATCTGTCGACGCGCCTCACGACCCATCCGAGCCCCTAGACGATGCGCCAACAAGCAGGCCCATACGCAAGAAGCGCAAGGTCGCAGGGGAGAAGGTCGCGACCGCCAACCAGCAATTTACCAAGCCGTCGAGGACTAGAAAGAAAGGGAAGCTTGCGGCGCTGCCCGAGATGCCGCTCGACGTCCTGTACGAGGTGCGCGCCACACACGTCGTCAACTCAACACGCTGACACCGGCCACGTCCAGATATTCAGCAACATGCACCCCCTCGACCTACTACACGTATCGCAGACGACGAAGATGCTCCGCGGCGTGCTCATGAGCCGGTCATCCGCTTGGATCTGGAAGGAGAGCTACGCCCGTGCGACTCCCGCCTTGCCCCCCGTTCCCGCGGATCTGAATATACCGCAATTCGTGAGACTAGCGTACGATAGAACATGCCATGTAGGTCGTCGTAAGCTCCTGCCCATTCATCGTGCCCAACAACCCCTCAGTACTGCGGTGCTTCCGGCGCCAGGGTAGTCGTCTGGGCGATCCGCGCGCGGACGTGCAAGAAGTGTTTAGTCAAAGAGTGCGTTACAATCTATCGTCATTGGCCTTAGTACTGATGCGCCCGGTTGACTCAGTAACCTATTCATTGAGGAAGTCGCTACCTGGCGTCGCTTTCCGAGCTTCAAGAGCTGGAACTACCAAATCGGCCAATTCATCCCTCGCGTCAAGACAGGGTGTACGTTCACTGCTTTCCTCGATTCTCAGAAGTCTGATTGACATTCTCAGTGACGCGACGATCTCGATACCGTTACCCGAAAGCCTCCATCGACGCATTTGCCGCCGCGTTCGCGGCTGATGGGGTGGAGGAGATGGACGAAGACCAGGAGAGAGCGTGGTTGGAGCCGAGGGCAAAGCAGTTTGCGGCGATTGATCAGGTACTTCGCTTCAATCTACTGCATGACATTGCCTCTTACAGCTTCTACAGCATGCGTCAATTTGCGAAGAATGGGACGAAGAGCGCCAAATAGACCGATCCTGGGAGCTACAGGCCATACGTAACGAGAGAAAAAAGAAGTGCGTGTTCCCATTGAGTCGATGATTTCTGTCTGATCGACTCCAGTATTTTCCAACGATTAACCGAGCTGGGATGGGCAGAAGAAATTGAGAAGTCGGGGTACAAGCTCTGCGCGCACAAGCTTGTCCATAAGGCGCAGCCTCTGTCAGAGAAGGGTGTGTCGCACACCGGTTGATTCTGGCCTAGCTAACATCTATACAGTCTGGAACAACGTGAAAGACACGCTCCTTGTGCACATCGCCGAACTACGGACCGAGCGCATTGCTGAGGAGAAAGAGGACGCTATACTCGATCGATGCCGAGGGCTGGCGAAAGCCTACGACGAATTCCTACGCACCAAGCCATTCACTGCCATCCTCCCCACCGTGGGGGATATCTACGCCCTTCACGAGTTTGCGGAATTGATTGATGAGACGCACTACGAAGAGGAAATTCCACAGGCCACGTATCGCGCGCTCCTCGACGCGCTTCCCAATTCTTACTTCGAGACCTGGCGCGAGAACTGCGATGCCGCCCTCGTGAACGTGCTCAACTCCATCCCACGCGAAGGCGCGCCCGCTACGAGGGCCGACCTGCGGCTCGCGACCACCGCCTTTGTCACCCCCGACGGATACTTCTCCCCTCTGACGCAGGGCTACCCGCATATCCTCGCGTCGGACAGGTTAACCGATGGCCGTTTATTCGGCGACCGTCGCCAAATGGCGCTGAGGCAGCGCCCGTGGACAGCCACCGGGATTCGAGTGGCGGTCAGGTATCGCGCGCGGGCGGAGGCCGTCATCGCCCTTGCGGGCCTGGACCCGAAGACGGCGACGGGAGACGAGATGGACGCGCTTGACCCGTGGTTTTTGTGGCCGGCCGATCGGCGCGACTATCCATTATGCCCCAGCCAGCCGCGGGCTGTCAACTGGCGCGGCGCTGTGCGTTTCCGTCTTTTGCCTTGGTCGCAGTCCATGCATGAGAATTTTGTTGCTCATTCCACGCACAGTGCTCCTGCAATGAGGAAACCGAGAATGCCACCATCCCTGCCTTCGAGCTTTTGGGCAGCGAGGACACCGAGCGCGTGCGCGCGCGCTTTTTGCTGTCGATCGACCAATGGGCGCGAAGCATACAGTGCGCGCATTGCGAGCTGCGTATGCTTGGGATGAACCAGTGCAAGGAACACCTCAAGGAAGTGTGAGTGTTTCTTGAAACACCCCCGACACTCAACCCCACCGACTAATCCTCGATGCTCGACGTTGCTGACCGCCGTTCTAGGCATTCGATCTATCAAATAACGCAAGCGGACTACATCAAAGGTCCCTCCGAGCCTGTGAGCACTGCTTCATTTGCATGGCCCTTGAAGGACGAGGACGACAGAGAGGATGATTTCCTCGATGAGTATGATTGGTAATGATAATTAGTGTACAACAATCAAATAGAAATAAATCATGGACAGCTTTCCCCGTCATGGAAGCCGAATGCGTAGTAAGAATGATTGTATCAGTGGATGCCGGCGAACTGGCTACCTGATGGCCACGCGTTGCGCGGTACCGAGACGCGGCGTGACTCGAGGCGGCGTGACTCAAGCGTGTCGTGCCCGATTCCGACCGGCACTTGAAAAGCCACTTGACATCAACCATCAACCACCACCACTCTGCCATCATGAGGAGATCCTCAAGACTTTCCAAGCCTGCTGTCGAGGCAGCCATGGCGGATGATGCGGCCACTGATGACCACGACGAGGTCGTCGCCTCGCCACTACCTGAGGAACCAGATTCAGAAGATGACGGAGCGACGACATCCAAGCCCCCGGCGCGTAAACGACGAAAGACGAAGGCCTCGACAAACGAGATCAAGGCTCCGAGACCACGCAAGCGCGGGAAACTTTCTGCGCTTCCCGATATGCCCATGGATATCCTATACGAGGTATGCCCCGCATCGCCGACGCGTCGCGCCACTCCTGACAGCGTGTTGTGCAGATATTCCGGTCGCTTCATCCCTCGGACCTTCTTCACCTTGCCCGCACGACGAAGGCTTTCCGCAGTCTGCTGATGAATCGGTCATCGGCCTGGCTATGGAAAGACGGTTATGCCGCATACGCAGATGACCTCCCCCCCATCCCGGGCGACTTGACCATTCCTCAATTTATGAGCCTCGCGTACGATAGGATATGCCACGTGAGTCGGAACCGAGCCCCATCTCCTCACAGCTAATGATATCGAACCTTAGTTCTGTAATGCGCCGAGCGGCGTCACCACCATCGTCTGGGACGCGCGTGTAAGGACTTGCAAGAAATGTTTGTGTGACAAGCAAGTGCTCTCAAACGATTCTTATCTGAACGCAGCTAACTGACGTACTTCAGGAACGTGTTTGTCACCGAGACGAGCCGCGACCAAATCTTCAAAAGCCTGGCTGGTGTGCATGTTAGTATACCATACGATGCAGAATGCCTCCCGGTCGTCACCGTGCGCACTGGTGAGTCCCTTCCCCCCAGAGTCCACTTGTGTACTCACCTCGATGCAAGGCAATCGTAGCGTGGAAAGGCTATATCCTGCCCATTTGGTCAAGCAGCTCGCGCATGAATACGCAAGCGATGCTAAGGATCAAGGCTGGCAGTGGAAAGAGACCTCGGCATGGTTCAGGGAGAGATCGAAACAGCACATGGCCAAGGTGCAGGTGAGTCGAAGGCGCATCGCTCTGCGACTTCACTGTTGACTCTGACTCAACCGCTGCCAGCACGCCAAATCGTGCGAAAAGTGGCATGCCGCTCGCGAGAAAGAACGAGGCGACGAGCTCAAGCAAAGTCGGGATTCCAGACAGGCCGAGTAAGCTCCTGTACCCTTTGTCTGCCCTTTCCATCGCTGACGACTTCGCAGCATCTTGCGGCGCATGACTGACCTAGGGTGGGGCGATGAGATTCAGATGCTTGGGGTTGATAAATTTGGCAAATACAAGCACGTCCGCAAGTCGCAGAAGCTGACCGAGAAAAGTGTGTTGCACATTCCCCTCTTTTCCACGAGCTCATCTTCTTTGCAGTGTGGCTTCAGATCAAGGACGAGCTTGTTGAATATATGGAAGAAGTTAAGAGAACGCGGCTTGAGGAGGAGAAACGCGAGACACGGTGGGCCCGATACCGACTCCTTGTCGAGGTCTACACCGAGTATCGGGTGGCGCAGCCCCTTGACACGATCCTGCCAAATGTCGGTGACATCGCGATAATCGACGAAGTCAGCCACATCATCGAGGGCACTCCGTGGGACCAGGAGCTCACCAAGACTGACCTACGCGCCGTTCTCGACGCGATTCCCAAATCTTTCTTCGACGACTGGCTTCATCGGTGTGAGACCGCCCTCGTCCAGGTCCTCAACACGGCGCGGCGCAAGAAGCGCGCGACGAGGGCCGATCTCAAGCTCGCCGCGACCGCATTCGGCATCAAGAACTACAGCCGCGAACTTCACTACCCGTCGCTGCTCGTCGACGACACGATGACGAAGGTCTACATGTCGGAGAAGGACAAGCAGAGGGGCGAGGTGCACATTTTGTGTGGGCACAAGCCGTGGTCGGCCGAGCGCCTCATACCCTCGTATCATTACATCGCAAAGAAGGTGGTCACGCTGGCGGGATTGGATCCCTCCCGTGCGACCGGCGAGGACATGGACAAACGCGATCCGTGGTACGTAGACTCAGACGAAAGGAAATGGAGAAGACTTGCCAGGAGCTGGCGCAACATGGTATGTCCCTCGCGCTCTCCTCGAGCTATGCATGGGTCTAACCGCGCCCGTTAGGTAGCATGCACGGACCGTGGTACTCGCTTTGAGCTTTTGGGAGACGACGAGACCGCGCTTGCGCGTGCGGAGGTCGCCAAGACGAAGGGGATCCCTATTTTCCACGGAGACAACGGAGAGAAGGGCATGTGTGCCCATTGCGAGAAGTGCTTCGCCAATTTCAAGGACCTCGAAGCGCATCTTCGGCATTCGTGAGTTGGACATCTTGCGCAACGCCGAATTACGAGCTGAACCAAACGATAGGCATCAACGCAAGCGCATCACCAAGAAGGACTTCGTTATGGGAATGTTGTATAACATCAGAGGCCATTGTGTCGAGCTGCCAAAGTCATCTACCACGAAGACGACCATGTAGGTAGCTACGCGCCCGCGCACAGTCGAGGGACAGCAAGACCAGAGTATAGTCGTTGATATCATACAAACGCAAGTGTTATATTGAAAGCCATTTTCTGTACAATCCATCCGCAAGTGGTCTTGCTCCCGTCACCGAGTAGATTAGCGCCAAGTTGTACGCTGCCTCCCTGACGAAGACAACTGTCTAAAGTGAATCATCAACTGAGGAGCAACAAGCGGAGTAGATGAACCACCCACCTCTCCAGCCTCCGCCCGCTTCAGCACGCGCTCATAGTGCGTCACTGCTTGGGAGAAGAGACCTGCGGCCGTTCCGATGTCAGCCCAATGGCTACAATCATGGTCCCCTATCCCACTCACCCAGCTGCTGAAACGCACGACCAAAGTTGTAATCTGTCTCCCCCCGTCCGCCGCGCACCCCACTCCGTACAGCCCTATACTTGCTCAAAAAAGCGAGAGCCTGCGCGATGAGATGGTGTCGATTGTCCGCCTGTCGCTGCATCGCACGCCCAAGCGACGCAATCGCAAGGAGGAGGCAAAGCACTGGGTCGTCCGGGCTATAGTCGTAGGCATGCAAAAGGTATACTGGTTCGGTATCAGCAACGACAATCACGGACGTAGTCGCCGACCTGGAGGAACACTCACCCAGAGCACTCTGATAGCTCCGCGCCGCTACACAGGTCATTCCATACGCAATCATGTTCACCGGACTATACTCCTTGGGCAAAGGCGGTCTGTCCGCTGAGCCCGACCCTTCGTCCTTCTCCCCTTTGTCCTCGTCGTCGTCTTCCTCCTCTCCCTTCGCCCCACCGGCGCCGCCCGCGTACGTCCACCTCCTCCCCGGCACCCAGCGAACCAAGTCTGGCGTCACGCTCGCCGCGTCCCGGAGCTTCATCTCTCGGAATAGGAACTTCTGCAACGTCGCGCGGATGAAGGCATCCGTGGGCCGCAGGCCACTGGCGAGGGATGCCAGGAGCAGCCGGATGGGCTCGTCATTGAACTGGTGTGTGTAGACGACCTTGCGCGTCTGCTCGACGACGGTGTCGAAGCGCTGGGCGGCAATGGCGCAGGCTAGAGGAAAGGTTGAAGTCAGAATGCTGACATCAGAAGGAGGGGCGGTCGACGTACTGGCGAGTGCAATTCGAAGCGTGTTTTGCCGCGCTTGCGAGACATACGCATTGGAGAGCATCATATGCCGCAGTATCTCCTCTGCTAACGGGTAGTCGCCATCGCGCGTGACGAGAAAGCAATACTAGTTGCTCTTTAGTACGACGATTGAAACACTATTCACGATAGACGGATACCCACCTGCATCGTCATTCTCAACCAATCGTCAAAGTGTATGGTTCGGAAATGCTCGATCTTCTCGTCTACACCCGCCTTCTTGCCGCTCCGTTTGCTTTCTGGCAAAGCTTTGAGTATGCGATGCGCCCATAGAAGCAGACGTACCACTCACCGAGATCCATCTGCAGCCTCGAAGCCATACGGTCTTCTTCCGCCTCCGCTTCTTGTGCGGTGCGTTTCCGCCTTCGGCCAGCGCGGAAGATGCCTTTGAAGTCGCCATGCTAAAGGGAAGGCGAGGTCAGGATACATAACACGCACAACTGACACTCACTCACTCGATCTGTCGTGAACAGTCGCCTTGTCTCCCGAAACATCTCGATCAGCTTCTCCGCCTCCAACAGCCACTCTCTTCGTGCGGTAACCCGATCGGGTCTCTTGCCCTTGCGCTTCGCATCGTCCTGCGTCGGCCTGTTTCCTGCTTCGACATCCCCGTCCGCTTCACTATCCACGTCCATTGCATCTGCGCTGACGACTGCGTCGGCCTCCGGAGGTGCTACGTCGCCATCTTTCTCCATGTCGGTGCCTTCCTCCTCTCCGCCTACTACTTGCCCCCATAGCTCCTTCACCCGCGCCCATCCCTGTGCGGCCTCCTTCTCTCTCTCCTTCTCCATGGCCTCGAGCTGCGCGCGCGTCAGCCCGGTCCGCGGTTTGGGCGCCTTGCGCGCCGTGGCGGTGCGGTCTTCAGCGAAGAGGGACGTGTTCGGGTCGGTCGTGCCCTCTCGAGCGGTGCCTTCGCGGGTATCCGTGGGGTCGCGCGCGCGACGCTTGCGAGAGTCGATGACTAGAGAGGCATCAGTTTAGTGTTTTCCTGATGCGCGCCAAATTAGAACACAGCATGAACCTCACCTTGACACACCAAGTCATACGCCCTGTGCACCTCGCCCGTGGCTTCGTAGATCCCGGCCAGCTTCATCTTCGCGTCGTTCAGTGTCGGGTCCGCTTGGATGACTAGGCAATGGGGGTTAAATATCGGCAGTGCGACGGTTGCGCATACCCACCACTCTCGTACACCTCCGCCGCCTCCTGCAGCTCGCCCAGCATGTGGTAGCACGCGGCCGCCTGCATGAGAATCTGGATGGACGACGTCTACAGGAGGGGGTCAGTATTGCGTGCAATCTCGTAATCGTACTCTGACGTGACGGAAGAAGAAGGAAGATAGCCAAAAACACAAGCAGATCATGGATGGGATGGCCTAAGTTGACGACACCAGAGTGATTTTTGGGAGAAGCATCGGCGAACGATCGAAGGCTTCATTCACTCACCCCGACATCACCGCCCAGCACCTCGTAGACGCCTTTGGCCTCTGCCCAAAGCCCCTTTTCGAAGTACGCGTCCCCGATCTCCGCAAAGAGAGGAGCGTAGTCTGTAGGCTCTTCTGCAAGGACGACACTGGCGTGAAGCTGGAAAATTCGAGTTGGTCAGCGCTGGTGATATGGCTTCGATCTTAAGGGTAAGCGGGGCATAGTAGATGATGAAGTGATTGTAGGCAACAGCAGGACGAGAAGGGATGTCTCAATATATCCGCGAGTACGAGGACGGCATAGACGTGGGCAAAAAGCTGCGAGCCAAGACGCACCTTCCCTTCCTCCGTATCTCCCATCCTTATTCGCGCTACCGCCAGTCGCTGTCGAGCGTTCAAGTCCAAAGGAAAGTATCCCGGGGGGATGTCGCCCTCGTTGAGGGGACGAGTCATCATGGTGGGTAAGTCGTATCTGGACGGCGGAGAGGTTAGCTTGTAGTTCTATGCTCAGCGGCGAGGCGAAAGGAGATGAGAACCTTCAAAGGTGGAGAATGCATGGTGCAGCGTAATAGAGGATAGAAGGATGCCGCTCGCGCGAAGAAGGATAATACTCACTCCCTGTCATCCGGGACCGAATCCCAGTAAGCCTGTGTGCCGCGACCCTGCAGCCAGCGCATCCCGGTCTTGATGACATGGATCGCCCGCTGATGGGCTCCAAGAGCGCTGTGCAAGTCCGCCAACACGAGTATCTCAAGCACGCCGAAGGGGTTGACAGCACCGTCCGCGCCAGCCTGTCCAGTCGGAAAAGCTTCCTGGTAATGTTTCCACGCCGTCTCATAGCATTCGGCACATGCAGCGAGATCGCCGAGCTCAACAAGCACGGGTCGGAGTGCGGCTAGCACGTTCAGGTCATGAGGAAGGCGGCGAAGGAGAGCGACAAGGCTGGCTCGTGCCGCGCGCAGATCGTTGACCTCCCTCGCCAGCGCCGCCCGATCCCACAGCACGGCGACGTTATCCGGGTCCGCCGCGTACGCTTTCGCGTAGCAGTATAGTGCCTGCTGGGCAGCGCCATTAACGCGACTCTGCTGCGCGAGCCGTATCCACTCCTCGGGATCGCGGCGGAGGTGCGCGGCCATGATGCGGAGCTGGAGCGCAGGGGCGGGCATGTTGAGATCTGCGTAGCACTGCGCGAGGACGGTCCACGCAGACGCGGCGCGCGGCTCGATGCGGATGACCTCGCTCATGAGGCGGATGGCGGCGGGGAGGTCGGCGTCGACGTACGCCTGGTTGCCGTCGCCCAGCAGCGCGCGCACCTGGTGTGAGAGCGTGGGGCCGGCGCGGGGGGCGCGCTTTCCCTTGCCCTTGCCCTTGTTGGCGCGCTTGAGACCGATACCGGACGCGGCTTTCAGGTCGTCGCGGAAGGTCGCGTTCTGCGCCTCGAGCTGCTGGTCCCAGTCATGCGCTAGTCCGCTTGCGTCTGTACGAGCATTTTGACGAATGGATTGCACAAGGCGGCTGAGTTAGGGCGTTGTTGGGATGCGAAAGGGAGAAGGGGACGAGTGATCCGGAAGACGCAGGGGAATCAGTCAGTGCGGTGTGATCGAGTACTGGGTAGACGACGCACTCGAAATCTTGGTCGTTGTCTGGGTCAGCTAACGCGTCTTCTGACGAAACGTCGCTGGCAGAGTCGTCTGATGTCTCTAGGCTCGAAGTTCAGGGGGGAATGTGAGTTGAGCACACTGACGCACCTTCTTCCTCCTCATCGCTCAGCTCGTCTGCAGAGGCTGGCACTTCCTCGTACAGCAGCCGTTGCGCAGCATAGTGATCCATTGTTCCCTTGTCTTCAGGTCGCCTATGCAATCCCTTCACTCGAGCTCGAATGGACAAGTAAGAAACGATGATGAACGTCAGAAGAAAGCGCCCATTCTGCGGGCCGTGCAGCCGGTACCGGCAGTTCGTATCAAGCATCTCGACGTTGCTTTCCTGCTCCAGACGTGACGCGCAACAAAGCAAACGAGGATGGCCCTAGCGTACAAAGAGGTGACTCGTCGAAAGACGCTCTTCCTTCTCCCTTTGATAGGCCGTATCTTGCAGTGGACTGTTCGGTGCTCCGACCAACATGGCATAATTTGACTTTTAAAGACGGTTTTCCGAGCTCTGCCACCCCCGCTCGCTGATCATCTGCCATATCCCCTCCGAGCCCCTGCTTCTCTCTCATACAGCAACTTCTTCTCGGATCCGCGCCACTGAGCCTCACCCTCGATGCTCAAGCCCTCGTTGCAAAAGAGGTTGAGGGCGCGCTCTCCCATGGTCAGCGACGCGTTCATGAACGGCGAAGACGAAGACGATGATGGCTCGGACATATTCGAGTATCTATTCAACAACCCCACCCACCGTAGGCAACTGAGGCGCGACGGTGGTATGATATCTCGCAGGAGAGGCGGAGTGGAGGAGAACAATGGGGGCGACAGGGATGCGGGGAGCGTCTGTGGTGGCGAGGCCTTTTATCTAGAGGGCGGAAAACTGGGACGGTGCGGTATCGGCGGCGATGATGAGAGTGCACGCAAGCGGCAGAGAATTGGCTCAAGCATCAGAGAGGGCGCCACTGGGAAAGATCGACCGGAGACCTTCGATCTGTTAGAGAATCCGGTGGGAGTTATGCATGAAGTGCGTCGCCCATCTCTATTTCCATCTCCTCGTCCCTCGTCCTCTTCAACTCAGTTTTGCTTCGTCCCTGACATTTACCTTCAGGTATGCAAACGCGCCGAGCCGTCGCTCGCCCTCAACCTCGTACAGAGCGTGGAGGGGATGTCGGCGGACTCCCTCGCCGGAGACCCTTTCCGTTTGCGTACGGTGGCAGAATCACTGATCCAGCCAAGCGCCGCCTCCGACGCCATCTGGATGAGCAGCTGCGCTACCGCGCAAGGCCTCCCGCCCATCCCGGTTGATGTCTCCCGTCAAGAGTTTGTGAGGCTGGTGTACAGCAAGACTTGCCGGGTGCGTACTGCTGAGGATACACTGGGACAATGATCTTTTCTGACAGCCGTATCCTCTCTAGTTCTGCAACGCGAGGAATATCCAAAAGATCCATTGGGCGGCGCGCGTGCGCGTGTGCAAGGCATGTCTGGATAATAGGTGAATCGTCGATCTTTTCCCGTCATCTACCCTATAAATCTCACCACACCCCCTTCGCCCAGAAACCACTTCGTCAATGAGGCGAAGGCGCTAGACGATCTGGAGGGCATCCAGGGCGCATGGATGGGGTCCCTCCTTCGACTGTTACCCCCGATTGTTACTGGAAGTGAGTTTGAGCCATCTTTTGTTGGGCTACCTCTTCGCGTGGATGTGTGATGCTCATACTCCTATTCCGACCAGAGAGCCAGAAGGCGCGCATGACACCCAAGTATATGACGCTGTCTATCGACGAGCTCATCGACGACTACGAGCACGACGAGGTCAAGAGTATGGGTCGGGAGGGCCAGAAGGCGTGGTACGCCCGCAAGCTGCAGGCCATGGAGGCTATACATGAGGTGAGGTCAAGCCTGGCATGCATCTCTGCTGCCACTCATGAGCTTCCGTCTTGCTCATACCTGTTTTGTACCAGCACGCCAAGGTCTGCGAGCGGTGGTACGAGGAGAAAGATGAGGACAAGGCGGTTCAAGCAGATGCGATCCGGAGGCAGCGGAGGACAGAGTGCGTACGAGATCATTCCTTCGCGCGTTGCTTGCACTCTTTACCTGTTGTCCGTGCCGCGTCCGCGTGGGCTTGCGCCCTTCGCGCTGCACCTGCGCTCCTCCTTTCAAAGATTATCGTTTGTGCCACATGCTCATCATTTCCCTCCAGCATCGCGCATCGCCTGACGACCGATTTGGGCTGGGGACAGGAACTCCAGCAGCCCGGTGTCCTCGACGAGCTCTATAAATATCCGTGGGTGAACATGGCGAAGCCGCTTACAGATAATGGTGTGTGCTCCTTTGCATTTGGCTCTCGCCTTGTACTCTGAGCGCGTGTGAGGCTGCGTAATGTGCGACTGATGGACCACTAGCGTGGAAGAACATGAAAGGAAGGGTCGTCAAGTTTCTACAAGAGTTGCGCGCAAAACGGCTCGGGCTCACTGGCGCTGCGCGGGAGATCGATGATTTGAAGACGACCAAGCTGTGGCGCTATGCTGCGAATCAGCGTTATGGTATTACTGAATGAGATACGTACGAGAACGTCATTATTGTCCTACCCTTTCGAGCGCTGGCTTATTGCTCAGCGGCGCAGCACACATGCAGTAGACTCGGTACTAGGGTTGCGTATAGACATAGTACTACCACAAACTTAGGCTAGGATTTTAGTATTGCATATCGTCGAGGCGGTGACGAACATCTGGTGGCCGCCAACTATACGATGCAGCGAAGTTCCTAGACGAGATCATTAAGAATTACTCTTGCCCTCCTTCTCCTTCTGCAATCGCTTGTCCCGCATGCGGCGTACATAGGATACGATCCTGCTCTTGATGTTCAACCAGGCTAAAGGACCAGTTAGCATGACGCTCCAACGATCGCCACCCTAGTACAGGCACTGCCTCGCGAGGCTGCTGAATAGGAGAGCTCGGTCCCGCCTCGATGATACAGCTCTCGCGAGGATGTCGAGGAAAATCTGGCTTACATTCCTCGCTCAGAGCATGCTCCGTCCGCACGCCTCTCAGCGCTCCGAGTTCCCCGGCCGGAAGCCGTGCGACCGCGTCGCCCAAGCCGAGGTCGGTGAGGCGCTGGATGACGCTGGAGGTAGGGTTAGCATTGGCATAACAGCGGAGAGCGAGTCCACCAGGAGGAGCATGAGGAGAACGAAGAGAAGGTGGAAGAAGGCGCGAGACGGTGGAGAGGGACAGGAAATCAAGAATAGGCACGCACGCTCGTTCTCTCTGATCGCATTTGCGCTCGAACTCGCGCACGGCCCAGTCCTCGCATAGCTTCTCGTGCTGAGGTTCGCGTCAGTATCCAGCGCAGAGGCGCAACAAAGCGTACGACATCCATGGCAGCGATCAGCAATCTAATGAGTAGGGGCACATTCGGCGCCCTGCTACAGCGCCTTGTTGGCTGTCATAATGGATCGGACTGGCTCACCTTCACCAGCGCATTTAACTGCTCCTGCTTCTGCTTGACCCAAGGCTTCCAACTGACGTACGAGATCTTCTGAGCGTCCTGCTTCTGATTCCCAGCATCGCCTTTCTCCACGGGGACTGTCGCCTGAGCCACCCATTCCTGCTCATATCGACTGGCAGTCTCCTGGCAATACAGGGGTGGCCCGCGTCCTTTCCAGGAAGAACAGCCAGTGAACGCTAGTTAATGCCGCATCAGCATATCTGGTATCACTGTGCTCGCGCATGTACTGCACGCAGGCGAACATGATATTGGGAGATAAGGGGCAAGACTCACGGTTTACAGCCGGAAGGTGTCTGTAATGTGGCAGTATCGATTTTGCATGTTGTTCTCGGTGGAACATATGTTGATAAGGGATGATGGAGAATCCCCAGAGCTGCTGGATTGCGACGAATCTGGGTGGGGGTGTCAGCGTGACTGCTACTGCGTGTGACGCGACTCGCATAGGCGCAAAACGCCGGGTCTCCAGCCTGCGCGTCAAGCGCGGCGCAGACAGGAACTCCATGGTATTGCTCACCTGGCATTTATGCATTTCTTGCAAAGGCGCTGATTTGTCTGCCAAGAAACGAAGTTGGCGATGTGGGAATGACAGCGCTGAGGATCAAAGGGTCAGCATGCGACACTACTGACATCATGCCCCACCGACGACTTGAAAGATGTGTGCCATAGCGAACGACTCACGTAGCATCCTACTTTTCCATACAGCAGATTTGCCCACTGCGGTTCATTCAGATCGTCCGGCTTCGGCGGCACGTCGGGCACACCGGGATTCAGAGGATGTTCGGGCACGTTCGCCATGCAGCGGCGCCACAGGAAAGCTGTGGAACGGTTGAGGAGCATGGATCGCAGGAGCTTGGTCGTGCGACACAGGTGAAGGAGGTCGATTGGGTGGAGGTGGGAGAGTACCTGCAGCGTTGGCGTCAGTGCAAGCATCATAAACGGAAGGCAAAATGGAGGATCGCGCGTGTATGCATAGTAATCCTGCGTATCTGGCTGAGTATAGCGTACCTCGTCGATGAGTTCCGGTGGCAAGTCGAACAGCCGCGAAAGACACCCGTCCTCTTGAGCGCTGATGGGTCGCCTTTTCGCCTCTTTCACTACAGAGTCGGAGGATTTATGTAGTGGCGCATCCTTCTCTAAGGTCTGTTGCGCTTTAGACTCGATGGGCTCAAGAGCAGGGGCCCTGGTCCTCGCTTCGGTGGTAGTGGTAGCGGTCCTCGCGCGCTTGCGTGGCGGTGGTTCCATCTCCCTGCCAATATCGCAGGCTTTCTTGCGGGGACCCTTCGGAGTCTTGGAAGATCCCTGATTCGTCTTCTTGGCTTTATTCGCGACTGTCCTCGCTGGTTTACTGCGCGACGGCGCGGGCGACGCACGCTTGCCTGCCGCGGTAGTACATGGACCGGAAGTCTGTGTCAATAGTTCCTTTGGAGAAGATGCGGACGCAAGTCTGGAGGACCTGCGAGGGGCGAACACCATGGTTGTCGTGGTTGTTGAAAACAAGTTGGTGTGGCGTCGTGTTGGTTGACAATTCGGCAATGTCCGGTTATGTACGCCGGCAACTGCCGCAGACCAGAGTTCACACGGGTCCGCGACGCTCCTTCGAAGACACCATCATGACCATCGACGTTCCGAGATCTTGATCTAGGAGGGGCAGACAATGCATTTAATTGTGCAAACAAAGGATCAGCTGGCTCTTGTTAACGGCATATGCGCGTTGACTCGTAACACGAACTAGTACCTCGACACCCTCAAAGCGCAAGCCCGAGACATTCCCGCCTATTCGTCGTCCGTGCCAGAAACGACCTCGGTGGGCTCTGTCCTTGCACCGTCCGCGGTTGCCGCACCGGCCTCTGCGGTGACAATGGCCGCCTCTATCGTATCAAGGTAAACCCACTCCCCTTGAGAGCTATCCTGGTCAAGCTTTCGGCCGAGGTCGCCGCGTTTGACATTCTCGATTCCGTGCCTACAAGCGCTCGTCAGCACGCCTGTCTATCTTTCGGAACCCACGAAAGATCGTGGAAACTCACGCCTCCTTCAAGTGCTCACGAAGATCTTTCCCCGATCGGTCCGTGCGCTCCTCGCAGTGCGCACACTGCAGCGCATAACGGGTGTTCAGAATTTGCTGCAGGAGCAGCCTGCGCCCGGTCTCGGCCTGCTTTGGACCCAGAAGCTTGAACGTGGTGCCGGAGGGACTTTGCCCGAAAGCGCGCTGGACCAACGTCATTGAGTCAACTGCCACTCGCGGCAGAGGACTAACTTACCGCAGCACGCCACGGCATCGCTCGCACCGAATAGGTGAACTCCGAAGCGCTCGCGGGTATATACCATGGATCACGTTCGTCCATGTCCTCGCACGTCGCCGTCCGGGGGTTGAGCCCAGCCAGCTCGACCAGCTGGTGCGCAGTCCCGTTGCGTGCCACAACCAAGTGTTTCGCGGACCAAGGATGGGAGCCTAAGAGCAGAAAGTGTCCCTCCAGAGGCAACATGGTGCTCGTCGTCACATACGAGACCAGGATATCTGGGTAGCCGACCGTGGAGCCCTGATAGCCGTTTTTCTCCCTGCGAAACATCGTCGTCGCGAGTCTGAGGTCGGCTGCTTTGGCCCGCTTCTTCTTATATTGCGGCGCGGTGTTGAGCAGAGCAACCAAAGCGTCATCGCACTTCACGCGCCACTCGTCGAAGTAGCTCTGCGGAATGGAGTCGATGGCGGCCATGAAGGTGTCCTCGGTCACGTCCTGGTCGAACGGGGTGTCCTCGATGACACCAATGACCGCGTCCACACTGATAATGTCGCCGACCGGCGGGAGGACAGCGTCGCGCGGCTTACGCGCGCAGAACTTGCGATACGTATCCGCGAGAAGCCGGCAGCGCCTCATAATCGCCAATTCCTCCTCCCGCGCGAGGCGCGCCGCCCGCAGCTCTTCCAAGTATTGTACCAGCGGTTGCTGAATGTTAGCCCAAACTGGAGGCCGCTGATCAGCTGGTTCCAAAAGCGGGCTCGGACAACGTACTCTTGTCCGTCAGCTTCTGGCTTTTTGCCACCAACTTGTGGTTATTGAACAGTCTCGGCTGCTTACTGATCTCCTGACCCCATCCAAGCTCTGTCAGGCGCTTTCTGATACTACAGTGCGTCAGAGGGAGCGATCGAATACAAGGAAGACACGTACTCTTCTCTACGCTTCGCGCGAATGTCAGATAGCTCCCCGGTTCTATGTCGCCGGCGGTCACTGTCCCAGCTCTGGCAGAGTCGAGCGTGCTAACGAGAACCTACCATTAGCATGAATCGAAGGGAAGGATGCACAGCGCACTGCTTCGATCTTCGAAAACTGTTCCTGCCTCTCCTGCAGCCACGTACTCCGTCGTTCTGGTTCCTGCGCCAGAAACTCCGTATTGAACTGCTGCACCATGTCCCGAAGAAATGCGCCTGGCGTACAAAAAAGCGCTCAATCGTCGTACACGTCATAGGAAGGACGGCTGGTCACTCACCGGCAGCGGTTTGTGGCAAATAGCGCGGAAGGCGATAGCCATAGTCAAGCTCGCGACGAAGTTCTTCAGAGATCGTGCTTGCAAGCACAGGGTAGGTCGGGAAGATATCGCTGAGGGGCGCTCTCAATGGTGTGTATGATATGAAAAAGCATTCACTCACAAGTTCGAGGCGCACTTCTTGCATACGCGTCTGCGAGCCGTCCAGAGGATGTTGGTGACGCTGGGCGCAAGGCAGTACTGGGTGGGACATACGTGTTAGTGGCACAGTGGCGAGGAACAGAGCACACGCACATAGCAGATCCTGTCAAAGCAGAGGCTGACGAATTGGGGGATGGTCATATCCTCCGGCAATGGTGGTAACTCGTCTGCCGCGCTGGCGTAGCTGTCCTTCCACAGGCCGATCGCCGAGCGGCTCATGAGCACACTTCTGTAGAGTTTGGTCGTACGCGCGACATGGAGGAGGTCAGCAGGATGCAGATGTCCGAGTATCTGGTTCGTTTGGATATCGGTGAGGGTGTTCAGTGGCGAGGACGATCTGACGCACCTCCCACAGGATGTCCATCGGTATGTCCTGCAGCGCAGCGAGCCGACCACGCTTCCGAGGCCTCGAGGAGGGCGGCTTGCTTGAGGAGCCCTTCTTGGCGCCGGTCTTGCGACTCTTGCGCGCAGGCATCCTGACCTCGTCGTCGGACGGCTCGTCTATCGACGCGTCGCTGACGTCGTCCGCATTACCGTCGCCGCCTGCGTCGGCCTGAGTCGAAGGCGGCTTGCTGGCGCCGCGTGACGCAATCCTCGTAGACCTTCGCATCTTGAAAGTGCTGCGGCCACTGCGAGGTTATGTGGAAGTCGACCGCGAAGAGCAAAATGGGAAGGACATCGCGGAAGTCGCGTCGATCGGTCCGGAGTCATTACGCGGTCACCTGACGAAGACCTCGGAGCCGATTGCACTGGAACTTCAGTGGGAGACTTGGGCTGTGCTGACTTTATCTGGACCTTCAAATCGACCAGGTCTTGTTTGACCCCCGCAGGGATAAGATTTATCATACTTCCGTGGGCCTAATGGTCAGACGAGGCGTTTTGAGAAACGGCCAACGAAAGAGGCATAGAAGTGAGTACAATTACAGGGAACAAAGGAGTGTGTGGTAGAGCTGCTGTTGTAGCGAGCGTAGGAAATAGAGTGTATCCAATCATCATCCCGTCATCCTTCCAAAATCTGGCGTAGGCCAACAAACAAGCGATGGAAGGGCATCGGCGAAAACACGCTTTGTGTAAGATGCAAGAGCGGCAGGACTGGTGCATGATATGCGAGGTGCAGATGGCAAGCGCAGGCGGGGACGGCGGGAAGCAGCACGAAGAGATGATATCGATCACGACGACATACAACGAACCCATTCTCCTTCTCCTACTCCCCTCCACCTCCGCCCAACGCAAGCCTCCACAGCCCACTCGGGCACGAGAGCCCGTCCGTGTCCGGCAAGCTGCCAAAGGTGATAGAACTCTCGCTCGGCGAGGACGATCCATCAGTGCATGACGAGGTCGGTTCTTCAGCTAGCACATGTGCAACCTCCTCGAGGCGCATGCCCGACGGACGATCGGAATCCAGTCCAAGTCGCCATAGATCAAACGCGCAGGTGAGCCTATCGGTATCCGGCAAACTTCCCAGAGCAAATGAGCCAGAGTCGTCGCCCTGCGAGCTACCGAGGCCGCTCGCGTCTTGCGAGCCATCCAGCAAGTCATCAGAGTAGCTGTCGTCCAGCGGGCTGTAGCCGTCGTCATCGTCGCCTAGCGAGGAATCGAGGTCACTATTGTCTGACGACTCGTAGCGTCGTATTCGATCCCAGGCAGCATCGAGCGCGGCCTCACCACCGGCGTCCCGCGCGATGAGGCGTACTGGAGATCGGTCGATGAGGACGGGGAGTGCATCCTGTACATTTGTCAGCAATCCTTCTCGAACCGGACAATTCCTCCGATTGAACCGCAAACACGCACATCGCAGATGAAGGCACTCAGGTCCTCCCATGCCGTCTCCGAGCACTCCGCGCCGCCCACGAGTTGCGCATCTTCCTCTCCTGCCTTGCCCGTATCGTGGCCCTGCCAACATCCTCCAGCCTCCTCCGTATCCGGCTCGCCCGCCTCCTCCCTATCCGGCTCGCCCGCGAGGAAGGGGGTGATCAGGGCAGGCGCGCGCAGGCCGAAGCCGAAGAGCTGGTAGAGCCCTGGTCCATCTCCGCCGAAAGCGAGCGCAGCTCCGCCGTGGGGTCCAGCGCAGACGAGCGAACCAGGCTATCCAGCGCAGGCAGGGGGCTCCGCCGACCCAGCGCAGGCAAGACGATCAGGCGAACCAGAAGGCTCCGCCGACCCAGCGCAGCCGAAGCGGCCGTCCCGGCATATAGGCGAGCGCAGAGAGAAGGAATCACCCTCGGAGCCGAGCCGAGAGTCGCCCTCGAAGCCTATTAGAGAGTCGCTCTCAAAGCCGAGCAAAGAGTCGCCCTCAAAGTCAAAGAAGGCGGAGGTAGAGTAGCTGAAGGGCGAATAAAGGGAGGAGCGGGAGGGTGAGAAGGGGCCCGGCCGAGATAAAGGGTCCGGCGAGGCGGTGTTGCACAGCAAGCCCGTATCGTCGTTGTCGTCCAGCGGTGCGTCGTCGTCCGGCGGTGCGATATCGTAGTCCAGCCGCGCGCTATCGTCCGGCGGCGCGAGGGCGCGTACATCGCGTATATGCGCCGCATCGCGAGTATGCGTCGTATCCGCAACCGTCATCGTCGTGGTCGTGTTCTTCGTGCGCGAGTTGATCATCGTCGCAGACGGATGGCTAGGTTTAGACGTCACAGACGGAAGGATGAGGGCGGGAGCTGGAGACTTTCGAAAGCACAGCTGACACGAGAGCAAGAGCGGGCGGGACAAGGGCGTTCGACGCGTTCGGGAAGGCGATCAACGCTTGCGAGACAGGAAGACGATCAACGCTCAAGAGACAGAAAGACGATCAACGTCGGGCGTGGACGAGACAAGGAGAGGAAGGAACGGTCTACGTTCGGGTGGGGATGATGATGGAAGGAGACAAGCCGAAGCTAGGGTCGATCGTTGTGATCACCGTGGTGTAGCTTACCGTTCCCCGTTGGCTTCGTCAGATGTTTGTGTGCAGCATTTAGCCCGGGCTAGCGCTCATCAACGATTCACACATCGAGGGCACAGTTGGGTAAAAAGGTATTGCATAGGCGCTGCCGGACAAAAGTATGGGCTGGATGTTAGGAGGATCGAACTCCTGGCCTTTCGCATTGACAACATGCAAAGCGAACGCGCTACCACTGCGCTAAACACCCGTCTTCAGCGTGTGGCCATCATTGCATGGCAGCGCCTGTGGGCTTCACAGTGCCGTTGTCTTCGGTCATCACCCATCCTTCTTCTGGCACACACAGGCAGGAATCCTCCATAGCGCAGGAATTGTGTAAAGCTACAACGCTAACCACTGGTATACAAGAGAGGAATACACAATTGCCCAAAAATCCTTTCCGAGTCCTCGGCCAAGTCCATCGCTCATTAGTAGACGCCTGCAGATGCACCCCGCCGTTCCATGATAGCGACTCCCGACGATCTGCTCATTGTCAGCAATGGGCCGCATGTGTCCAACGAGACAACTCACGTTCCAATCCTTCCCGCGCCCGCGTCAAACATCTCCTTGCATTTCTCAAACGTCCTGATCCCTGCGCTCGCCTTTACTTGCACGCCCCTGTCGCGCACGGTCTTCCACATCAGACGCACGTCCGCCGCGCTCGCGCCTCCGCCCGCGAACCCTGTGCATGTCTTCACCCATGCCGCGCCTGCCTCTGCCGCGATGTACGCTCCCGCGACCTTTTGTGCGTCCGAGAGGAAGACAGTCTCGAGGATGACCTTCACGTCCGCGGGTGCGGCGGCTTTGACGACTGCAGCAATATCGTTGTAGACGGTCGCAAAGTCTCCGGCTTTAAGGGCGCCGAGATTAATCACCATGTCGACCTCAGCGGCGCCGTCGCGGACGGCCTCCGCGGCCTCGCTGGGAAAGGGGTCAATGATGGGTGGGCAGGTGGGACGGGGGAACGCACAAGGCCTTCGCGCTCGACTTGCCCGCGCCTTGGGGGAAGCCGATCACGGCGCAGGGCACTGTCTTCGACCCCTTCAGCCGCTTCGCCACCCGGGGGATGTGCCATCCGTGAACGCAGACCGCCTGTGACCCCGCATCAGTCGACCACGATCGGCGATCGAGCAGCGCCCCGCACGCACCTTGAACCCGTGCTTAAGCGCCTCATCACATACCGCCTCGATCTGGTCGGGCGTCGCGTCGGGGGCGAGAAGAGTATGATCGATCGCCTGCGCAACTTGCTGGTCCGGCCCACTGAGGAGGGAAAGCGCGGTGAGGGGCTTCGTGTTGTCCGAGATCACACGCCCGAGCTTCAACTTGATCATCCCGTCCCACTCGCTGTTCGTGCGCGCCGCAGGCTGCGCTGGCTGTGCTGGGCTCGCCATGGTTGTGGTGGTGTCGTGCGCCTGGAGACGATGTGCGGGGAATGGATGCGCGAGGGGAAAGGGGGATTATCCAGTAGAGATCAGAGAACAGAGCACAGGTGATCCAGACCCCGCCGCACGACTGCCGAATCTGAATGGAAAGGGAAAAAGGAGAAGCTGGAGAAGGGAAGAGGGGAAAGAAGCGGAGGGTAATTGTGGGAGTCGCGCCAGCAGAGCGCGCTCGCTCATATAGCGTCAGCACATGACGCCGAAGGTCCCGCGCGGCCTTGGCGCGAAAGCCGACGCGAGGGCGTTTGGGCGCGCCGCTGATTGGCTTGAGCGAGCCTGCTGTCCCGGCGCGGGTGAGACATCCAGTGCTGGGATTCGCGTCGGCCTCGCGCGCTGGGTGATGGTTGGTTGGCCGGGGCCGCTGATCCAGAACTTCGAGCTATGTTTGGCAGGATGCGAGGTTTGGCTGTGTTTGATGATGGGCTGTGTACGAATTAGGCAACGGACGATACTGAGTAGCCTATCCTGGCGTTCGGCCTGAATCCACGACGGATGTCCACTGTCCAGCTCTATGGCGGGTTAGGCAGGCGGGGAAGGGCGAGGCACGCGGGTGAGGGCCAGGAACTCCTCAGCGCGAATGCGAGATCGATGGACGAAAAAGGACATGTGGGCTTGTGTAGTGCGGGCAGGAGTGGCTGCCATTGAAGAGGAAGAGGAAGGTCCGGAAGAGGGGAGGGAGCGGCGGCAAAGCGTGAGAGGCCGCGAGGAGCCGCCTCCTCGTTGCAGTCGATTGATCTGGAAATCGTCCAATAGCATCTGGAGATGAGACGATGGCATCTGCAAGTGCAGTGACAGGAGCATCGAGCCCAATGGAAGGGATACTTCCCAAGTTAGGGCCCGACAGAACAATTGGGGCGAAGGTCATGTATGCTTAACGATCGTCGTGATAAAGTTGCGTATCAGGGCGATAATCTACGCTACGGAAGGCAAGTAGTCAGCGAGGATAGGTGTGAGGATGAGAAGCATGCGCGCGGAGTAATACGGACGCATAATCTGCCAGAGCAGGAGTTGTACTGGCTACCAAAGAGGATTCGTTGCGTCCGCTACAGACCGTCAGCTGACAGTGCAGCGCACGGTTATCACAAGGGAGACGCCGTTAGGGGAAGAGTAAGAAGAGGCAGGTATAAATTGAGGTGATTCGTCCGATAGCACACACTTTCCCCGGTCTCCTTCTACTCGAAATGACAATTGGCTACAACAAGACCAGTGTCCAGTATCCGCCACATCGCTCTAGCAAGAGCCTAAAGTGGGGAGTGACCTAGACATGGTCTATCTCAAGACCACGCACAGGGAAAAACCAAATTCTTCACGCTCGAGGGGAAACCGTACGACGGCGGCCTTATCCGTATCAAGTCGGAACAAACGATCTCCCGCAGAGGCGAGGACTGACGACGGTTCCAGCGGCCGTGAAGGAGGGGTTGAAGCAAAGAGCTGCTTGTAAAGAAGACGACGACTTGAAGTTGAACGGTGAGTGTTATGAGCGTTACCGTCGTCGTCCCTGGAGGTGTCGGTCGGACCGGTTGGCCGACGCGCTTGGACCATGGCGCGACCCGGGCGCGTCGGGATGTTCCGGGCCGCCGTATTGGGGCGGCGAATTTCGTGCGACGCGGGTTGCTTCTCCCCATCGCGCGTAGCTCTCCCTCAGTCATGGCATCTCTCGCTCGCGCTCGTCTTGCTGGCCGGTTGGTGCGTAGGCCTCAGCTTCTCAGCTTGGGGGGAGCGGTTGCGCGAGACGAACGCGCCAGCTCCACGCGGTTTTGCAGAGCTAATGCACTCCCCAGGCCTCTGCCTCCCGCCCCGCCGTCTTCGCGCCGGCGACCCTCCGCGCGCGCTGGATACAGACGTCGGCCGACACGACGCAGCTGCACGAGTCTCCGTCCGACTTCAGCCAGCCGTTCAAGGTCAAGATTCACGAGGACAGCTTCCGCGCGCACAACTGCGAGATGCCCGAGCTTGACGTCGACGTCACGAAGGACGAGCTCTTGACAATGTACAGCCAGATGCAGACGATGCGCCGTATGGAGATGGCCGCAGACGCGCTGTACAAGGCGAAGTTGATTCGTGGTTTCTGCCATCTGGCAATCGGCCAGGTGCGTGTGCCGTCCTTCTCGCTTTGAACTTCGACTGACCCCGTTCAAGGAAGCGGTTTCAGTCGGCCTGGAGCACGGCATCCATAAGGATGACCTCGTCATCACCGGCTACCGCTGCCATCCCTTCGCTGTCCTACGTGGTGGCACCATTGTTGGCGTCCTCGGCGAGCTCCTCGGTCGTCAGTGCGGCATGTCACACGGCAAGGGTGGTTCTATGCACATCTTCACTCCCACTTTCTTCGGCGGCAACGGTATCGTTGGTGCCCAGGTCCCTGTCGGTGCTGGGCTTGCTTTTGCTCTCAAGTACCGCCAAAAGGACAACTGCTCCTTCGCACTCTACGGTGACGGTGCCAGCAACCAGGGTCAGGTCTTCGAGGCGTTCAACATGGCCAAGCTCTGGAACCTCCCATGCGTCTTCGTTTGCGAGAACAACAAGTACGGTATGGGCACGAGCGCGGAGCGCAGCTCGATGAACACGGAGTACTTCAAGCGCGGAGACAAGATCCCGGGTATCCAGGTGAACGGCATGGACATCATCGCGACTCGCCAGGCTGCTGCATACGCGCGCAAGTGGACCGTCGACGACAAGCGTGGCCCGCTCCTCGTCGAGTTCGTCACCTATCGCTACGGTGGTCACTCGTGAGTGTCTCCCTGTTTCCACCTCCCGGCAGCGTGCTGACAAGCTGTGCAGCATGTCCGACCCGGGTACGACCTACCGCTCCCGCGAGGAGGTCCAGCGCATGCGTAGCACCCAGGACCCTATCCGTGGTCTCCAGCGCTACATTGAGGAGTGGGGTGTCGCCAGCGAGCAGGAGCTCAAGGTGCGTAGTGCCGACTACTTCCTTCATCGCTCGTCTAATACACCTATCAGGCTCTCGACAAGAAGGCGAAGCAGGAGGTCGACGAGGCGGTTGAGATCGCCAAGGCGTCCCCGGAGCCCAGCATGGAGGACTTCTGGAAAGATGTCTACTACAAGGGCACCGAGCCGCCCTTCCTCCGCGGGCGTGAGCGCGAGGAGGTCCACTACTACTAGACGGGCGGCCTAGTGGTCTGTCTGTCTGTAGTCTGACTTCTTATGCACTCATTTGACATGCATATGGCGGTGTAGAGGATGCTAGCATACTGTGATGGAGGCCCTTCGTAGACGCACCGGGGATCGGGTGTGTTTGCGGCAGCGCGGCATAAAATACGGGGCATGTATATCCTAGATTTCACTATTCATGCGCGGGCCGTTAGTAGAAACTCGATGGAATTGTCAAAGGACCTCGAGGTTCAACTGAGGTATCGAACTTGGATTGGTGAGACGCTTCGGCGCTACAACACGTTCAACGACGTCTGTCAGTTTCTTCTGGCAAGTAGCAAAGTCAATTCATTCCTGACAGTATGGACAGCTGTCTACACATGGCACAATAGTATATGAATTATGCCTATATGGACCAGGCGCCGGACGAACATGAATAGACGAGTCAATAAGTAACAGAACGATCCAGTGAGTGGGTGATCAACAAGAGCAATGCGGCGGATGCGGAAACAATGCGAATGCAAGTGTGTTATGATACAGGTGTGTTGGGCGTGTCCGTCCCTTCCATGGTGATCAGGTCTGCCTGATGGCTCGTGCACTGCAGATTGAGTCCCCGCTCGCGCACGATGCGCAGTCGTGCCCGCGCGTCCGCATCCATCGACGCGACCACATCGTGCAGCTCCACGCGCGTGAAGTTCGCGACATCGCCCGTGCGCGGTCCCTCTCCTGGGGTTCGCGCTCGATATCGGCTCTCGATCATGTTCGCCGCGAGCGCGCCGTCGACGGGGCCCTCGAACGGCACCATCACGCGCACTTGTAGGTCGAGGAGCTTGGGCAGGAAGGGCGTGTGCGGTCGCTCGACGTCGCAGGCGCAGGGGCGGAAGTGCAGAGCGTGTATGAGGTGATCCGTCGGCAGTCGGTGGACGGTGATGTGTAGGGCCTGCACGGTCGGCGCCTGGCGCAGCGCGTTGATCAGATCCGCGTCGTGTATGCTTCGCCCTTCGAGGGTTAGGTTGCGAAGACGTGAACGTGAGCGCTCGATGAGCTGCGTCAGCACGTTGGCGTGGGGGCGCCAGTCGCGTAGTGTGAGTGTCCGGAGGACGGGTAGGGTGAGGTGTTGGAGGAACTGGGCATGCCCGCCGCCATAGAGCTGCAGGGACCGCAGCTTCGTCATGACGAGGGGCTGCCAGCCTTCCGTGTCGGTGCTCTCGCCGCTCTCCGTGATCTCGTTGATCGAGAGCTCCCATAAGACCGCCGTCGATCGGAGGGCTAGCAGGATGTTGGACAAGGAGCAGACACCGATCTTGAGGTGCCCCAGGTTCCGGCACGGTATGCGGTACTCGGACGACAAGTGCTGTATGCACAGCGACGTCAGCGTATTCACGCCACCAAACGTGTGGTTACACCACTCGGCGAATTCGACGTCCGGGTGGTAGTCGTAGAGCGCCAGTCGAACGATGTTGTCGGCCTTCCCTGTAAGCATTCGTATGCTCGGCAAGAGCTTCCCGACGTGCGCGATGGTGAACGAGGACCATCGGTGCGCCTGCGCGTCTAATAGCCGCATTGTCTCCAGAGCTTCATCTGTCGCGAGTTCGTCGTCGATGTAGATGTTTAGTGGCAATGTTCCGGAATGCGCCAGGCGCCAGCATACGAGAGGGTAATTTCGTCGGAGGAGGATGCGATCGTGGAGAGCGGGGGTGTGGGTGGCGACATCTCTCCAGCGCTTGCAGACAGACGCGATCGTCAGAACGAAGAGCCCCGGCCGTCGATGCTCTCGGTCTGGCAGAGACTGTGCGTGGTACTCGTACAGGAAGATCTCCTGGAGTATCTCTGGGGGTAAACGGCGGATGGGGGCGGCGTAGCTGCTATACTCAGCGTCTCGCCGCGCGAGAAGTTGACGCTGGGATTTGAGGGTGTCGAGCGTCGATTGTAGGTGATTAATTTCGGCGTCGTATTTCTCCAACTCTTCCTTCGCACGGAGCGACGCATTACGCGCGTCGTTCACCTCCTTAGCTGAAGGGAAATAGCCATAGCGAAGCTGCGCCTCAAGAGATGGGAATGAGGTCAAGGGAGCATGTTTCTGGGCGAAGTCCTCGCATGATTGCGTGTAGCTCGTGTCAGAAGCAGGTGACGGTGGCATTGGGCCAAATTTCGAGGGGAAAGACGCGTCCTGGCTGTGTAGTTCACCGTCAGCTGGAGCGGTGAATGACAATGTACCACGCACAATTTGAGGGATGATTCCTTATGATACCAATCCGCTCCTTTTGTATAGACTCTGCCCTATCCTTCAGGCAGCCTTGTAGACGTTGCGTGCTGGGGAAACCCAAGTACCGAAACGATCACCCGGGTGACTGCACACGACAAGGCATCAGTGTCAACACGTGCAAATCAAACATCCCATTGTTCTCCCGTCCGCTCCGTCATCATCAAAACACTCTTCCGACCACGTTCCTACCGAAGCAGAGTCACGCCTTGAAAACGCTACAGTTATGCAAGCCACATTCATTCAGCATGCGCCATAACCGCGACCCGTTCGCCAACAAGCATGTCAGCGCGTCCATAACCTGCTCATTGACAGGTGCTATCATGGTTTACTTGCACCATCGAGGCAACACTAATGCGCTGTTGTGCTGTCCTTTTCTTTTGTTGCCTTTCAGAGCTCACTTACGAAACTAAGTCACTAGGTCCATACAGTTCTGAGCATGTCCGCGACCTGGTCTTCGCTCCCAGCCTGTAGCTTCCCCGTGCTACCATTGATACTCGGAAGTATTTTAACTTGTAGATCTTTGTCATGCACTGCCTGGAGACGTAGAATCGACCTAGTCAGCCGTTCCTCGTTTCCTCTTATTTGTGAGACATGATTGGGCCTTATAGTCCCACAGCGGTCTTTGGGCACATATTTCCCTACTCCAACGCTTTTGATCATGGACAGCGACCGCACCGCCACACTGCGATCCACCCAGGAGACGGACCTCAGTCAACCGTGGTTCAGCGACGGCAACATCACACTCATCGCTGGCGATAGTTCATTCAGGGTGTACAAATCCCTCCTTGCCGCTCAGTCGACATTCTTTCGAGACCTCTTCTCCAGCGCATCGGACGACGGTCTGCACGACTCTGACGGTCTTCCCGTCCTTCAGCTTCACGACGATCCCGCGGAACTGTCTTGTTTTCTCCGCGCCATCTTCGATTCAAGGTACGCCTCAAATTACACGACAATTGCAGACGCTTATATAGACTCTGTCCACAGCTTCTTCAATGCGCATCCATCAGATCCCATACCAACCACTACCACTATCGTCGTCGTCCTGCGTCTCTCGCACAAGTACGACGTCCGCCACCTCCGCCGCCGAGCTCTTCTTCACGCCGAACGCCTCGTCCCGGCGACTTACGCCGCCTTTCGCGCAGGGGGCTTCATTAACAGGCCTGCTGACACGTTCTACCTCCTCGCCGACGTCGCCATCGAGGTAGGAGCGGATTGGCTCCTACCGGCTGCCCTGGAAGCGGGCTCGCGGCACCTGGTGTGGCTGCGCGAACATCGGCATACGTTCCATGAATACCAAGAGGTACTGGAACGCTGTGTAGCGGGGTTGAGCGCAATACAACAGGCCGGGCACGACCGCCTCGCCCTCTTTGACGCCGCGGATGCGGAATGTGTCTGCCTTTCCAAACGCTGCCGCCGCACATTCCAGAAAGTCAAGGCTCGCTACGCGTCTTCATGTATGCCCGCTACGGGGATCGCCTGGCAGAATATTGAAGCGGAGTTGCGTGCCAGTGTGTGTGCGCAGTGTCGAGAGCTTTGGAGAGAGCGCGATACGGAATGGGCGATCAATTATTGGAATAGTCTTCCTGTCGTATATGGGTTGGGAGGATGGGATAGGCTGCAGCGGATACGCGACGAGGATCTTAAACTGGATGAGGGCGAAGAGTAGCGCACCAATATACTATGCCTGTACACCCGAACCTAGTACTAGATACTAGATGCTACACCTTGCGATGCGCCTCGCACCTGTCAGACCTACTCTTGCTGAAGGGCAATTTTATCGACGGCTCCAACCCATGGTTTACAACACCGCAGCATTGCGCGGCATGCGACGTGAATCAACGCTCGACGGTTATACATCCATCTCCAAACAGCACTACAAAATCTCATCCTCGTGCACCAGCGACCGCGCCTCCGCGGCGGCCGCGACCACCACGCCGATGCCCTCCCCACCCACCCACATACGCGCCCGGACCCAAGAGTCCAACACCGCCGGGCTCGCCAAACGTCGCCACGTTGCGTTCGCGCTCCTCCTCGCGCCTGTTGCGACCCGCAGCCCCACCGCGCCCGCGCCCGCGGCCACCACTGCCGCCGCCTCCACCACCGCCGGTCAGCGAGTCGAAGAAGCTCTTCTGCGGGTCATACGCTTTGTCCTTCTCCTCCTTCTGCTCGGTATGGGGCTTGTCGAACATGGCGTTCGCGCGCTGGAAGTCGAATTCGGTGTTTGGAACGGCCGGGCCGCCGCCATTGCGCGCGCCAGCGAGAGCGCGGCCGACGGTTTCCATGGACGCGACGGCACTGGACACTGGCGGAGGGCGAGATTGTGGCTGCCCGCGGCCGATGCCCTGATGAGGTGGCTGCGCATACACAGGTCCCTGCTGTGTGTAGTGGTACGTCCCGGGTGGCGCGGCTTGAGCCTGCGAGATCATGGTCAGTTACTGAAGGCTTGGACGCGTGCAACAAGCGAGGTCAGAAGGAAGGCAACGGAATTCCACATGGGGTTTTTGCGCTCTCGGACAGTGCATAACATCCGTATGATTTCATCCGGCGGCAGAGAAGGAACACGGCGACTCACCCCAACTACAGCTGGATCATCGTGCACGGTGCGCGGCCGTTGTGCAGGCTCGTCTACTGACAGATCCTTGACCTCGGACGCGCGGAAGATGATGAAGTCGTAGGGCTCTTGTACCGGGGGAATGTACTCTGTCGGCGGTCTGAAGTGCCGATCAGCATGCTGCATATGCCTCGTTGCAACCACGTCCCCGTCATGCAGCTCCTCAAGCATAAAGTGGCCGTACTCGAGCGCTCCTGCGAAGACGAGGGACCTTGTACAGCACCTGGGGAGGATGCCAGGAAGGGGAAGGAACTTGATATTCACCGTCGCGTCTCCGTTCCCATTGACAAGACTATGGCAGTGTGAGCGCGTTTTTCGACATCTACAGATAGTCGCGCACCATTCGAGAGCTTGATCGTCGACTGAACCTGGTCGATGCCTGCCAGAATACCCCGGTAGCGCACATCCGAGTGCGAGATCAGAGAAATTGGTGTCCTGTGCGGCTTCAGTCTCGTTTTCGTTTCGCAAAACCATCAGGGAGTCAATGCTGACCCAATGAAGCTTTGCGCCATTTCGCGTTCGAGTCGTGAAGTTATACGAAGACGGAAGGGTGAAGTATAGAGTTGCGAGGAGAAAGGCTTCCAGACGCCGCCACGGCGACGCGTGGTCCCACGTGAAGATTCTATTCGAACTCCGCGCTGATCCTTGTGGGTCCAGTTCGTGTCCTTGGGCTCATGATACGAACGCCATTCTCCTCACCTCCCTGGATCGAGTCCGAGCTCTCCACTCATTCGAACAGACTATATCCTTACCACCAATAACCAGACTGCAACGGTAGTAAATGACTTCCAGTATTCCCCACGTGGAGGCTACAAATATTGACATACAGATGCAAATAGTCTACGACGCAGTTCTCTATTATGGTACAGTGATGGTACAAGTACGACAGACTGCGACGTGTACTTGACAGATTATCATACTGATACACGGAGCTGATAATTGCTACAGTGTCTATCGCCGATACCTAAAAGGTGGTAGGCGCACTCCCTGCTGGCTTCGGTAGCGTTGGGTTCTGTAGAGATAGGCGTGTCGACGGCGCGGCCGTATGGGGCGCGCTTACTGGTATGCGTAAAGGCGGCGTACTCGTGGTCCGCCGCGGAGCGTGAACGAGGGGGGGATCTAGGACGAGTGGGCGGGTTGGTGGGTGGCACAAAGCGTACAAACAGCAAAGAGGAAAGCGATAAACAACGGTAAAAGGAATCACCGTGGAAAAAATGACCGAGAAGCGTCCACCCAGCAGACCGTTCGACTGCTTACTCGATGACTTCGAATCGCGGGCGCTTGCCGTCGGGGCCTCCGTCACTGTCCTCCTCCCGCCCGCGCTTGTCCCCGGAGCCGAAGCCTCCGTCGCCGGCGAGCGCGTCGCCGTTGACGATGTTCTGCAACATCGCGTTGTACTGCTCGTCGGTAAGACCCATGCCCGCGAGCGGGTTGATCTTCCCATCGTCGTCCCAGCCGCCGAGCCCGAAGTTGATGTCTGCGTTCTCGGACACCGTCTGCGGTAATGCCCGCGACATCTGCTGGATGACCTTGAGGTGCATAAGGTGCTTCTCGAGCATGTCGAGCAGACCCTCCTTCGAGAACGGCTTCGGGAGGATGTCGTTCATGCCCGACGAGTAGTAGGTCATGATCTCGTTGGGCTTCGCGTTACCGGTCATGGAGATGATGGGCGTCATATGGTCGAACTTGCGAATAAGCGAGGTCGCCGATACACCGTCAAGCTTCGGCATGACGATGTCCTGCGCAAGGGTGAGAACGCAACGACAGGAAAAAAAAATCGACAGACTAACCATGAGTACGAGGTCGTACTTCTCCAAGTTCATTTTATTGACGGCGCTGACGCCGTCAACTGCGACGTCGATGGCGCAGCCGAAGATCTGCAGGAACTTGCTGCTAAGCTTGCGGCTGACGGCGTCATCGTCGACGAGCAGCACTCGAGGTGGTACTGCCCAGCCGGGGACGAACGTTGACCGGCGCACGCGCAGCTTCTTCGACCCCGAAGACGCGTCGCCAGCACTGCTCGGCCCCGCCTGCCCCTGCTCATACCCGCTCTCCGACCGAGGCATGAGATGCCCGACCGTGTAGACCTGCAGCCCCTCGTGGTGGGGCGCAAGGTCCAACGACGCACTCGGGCTGCCGCCCAGACTGGGCATGACAACCTCGTCTTCCGCCTCGTCCTCCGTCTTCTGTCTCGGAGGCGCGTTCATCGAAGAATTTGGACCCATCGACGGACCTGCGCCCATCGACGAGCCCTGGCCCATGGACGGGGCTTGGCCCATCTGTGAGCTCTGGCCCATTTGACCGTCCATCTGGCCTGCTGCACGAGCCATCTCAGCCTGCATTCGTGCACGCGCCTGGTCCGCATTACCGCCAACATCGCCCCATCCACCGCCTCCGCCAGTCGCCCGACGCGACAGCTCGTTCATTTGATGCAACGATGCTCGTGCGACATCTTCTGGGGTCGGCGCAAATTCTGCAGGCGGCGCGTAACCGAAGTCATTTCGCGGCGCAGAACCGAAGTCGCCCTGCTGCCCGAACTCTGGCGGCGACGCTGAGCCTGCCACTCAAGGGTAAGCAACCGACAAGAGCGTATACAGAGAGCGAGACTCACTACCGCCCATAGACCCACCGCTCCCGTCGAGAGAGCCGCCCATGGAGGCAGCATTGCTCGGCCCCGCAGAGCCACCCAAGCTGGGTCCTACAACGCATTAGGTTAGACGATGGGGTGCGTACATTTTTCGCTTGGCACTTACCCTGCTGGCCTTGATTGTACGCTCCCGAGAAGAGCCGTTGAGTTTCCAATGAGGGTAGGAACGGATTGCCTTCCGTCGGCGTTGGTGGTAGTTTCAGCTTGGCTGCGAGGACCCCAACCCAAGGTAGGTGACGTCGGCGAGACACGGGTGGTGCAACACGAGTGAGACGAGGGTCGGATGGGCACAAAGGGGACAATGACGTGAGGATCGAGGCGAGGGCCGAGACCACGGTCGACAAGGCGAGTACCCCAGCAGCCGTACGCCCATCGAGAACGGTGTCCAGGTCCACCATAAGAAGCCACGGTGATAGTCGCGCGCAGTCCAGAACGAGGGGCACCGCGTATAAGAGGACGCGAGCCATTGCGGGGCAAAAGATCAAGTCCCGCACGGAGAATGGGATATGTACGTGAGATTGTCGGAGAGCACGTTCAGGAAACGAGAGCGTGGGCGTTGTGTTACATGTCGAGGTCGTCCAGTGTCGTGTTCGTGTAGGGGAGAATATGACAGAAAATCGTCAGCAAACATTCGCGATGGCAAGGAGAGACGCGCAGAAAAAATAGAAGCGAAAAGGCAGAGTTGCTGATCTGCGCTGTAATTGCGTGTCGCCGCCCCCGAACGACCGCAAAAATGAGGAAGAGTATGAACAGGCACCGGTGGAGAGATGTGCTCGTATATTAATTTGTCCGCCATATATTGTAGTCCACCATTCGGTACAAGTACATAATTAATCGCGAGGGGGGCGAACGCCGGCGCACTGCACAGCGTTGAAGAAATAGAACGACTCGCGTATTCACCCGGAACCAAAAGATACGAAGTGCAACAAACGCCCAGGGCACTACTCACCGCCGAGTGTGCCGAGGCCAGACATCGACCCGAGCTGTGCGGAGCTGTCGTTGCGCAGGACGTATTGCAGAAGATTTTGCATGAGGCCGTCCTGCTGCGCCATACCGCGCTGGAAGCCGACGAGCTCGACGAGCACGTCCTGGTAGTTGCGCTCGAGCGTGCGCATGCGAGCCTGCATGTCCTCCTTCTCACGCTCCATACGCGCGACCTGCGACTGCATACTGGTTACCTGCGTCTGCAGCGCTTCCAGCATATACGCGCCCCCAGCGGTAGAGGCGTAGCCGCCGCCGAAGGAGGACTGTGTCTGTGGCGCAGGAGGGGCAGTGTTCTTGCGCTGAGCGGGCACTTTGCGCTTGATGTTCTCAAGCGCATCGCGACGGTCGGCGTGAAAGTCAGGATGGCGGAAAGTCCAGGACTTGTCCTGTAAGTGAGCTTATGGACAGCCGAAGGGATGATATCGTGCGACGTACGTGCTCGCCGTACGTGTTATCGTCCGTGTTCTTGACTTTGTGGAAGTCGTACTTGTTGAGCTGACGGACGAAGGAGGCGAAATTTGAGTGTTTAAACATGCGGGGGAGGATGGATTTGGTGAACTCGTTCATGTCCTGACATTTCGTGTTAGGGGGATGGGGGAATGGAGCGACTGTAGACGCACTTTGACGACGAAGCAGTCGCCATGGGGGCCCCATGACACGACGTGCTGGAAGGACTGGTCCTCGAGCATCCTGCGGAGTTCAATCAGCGAGAGGACTTAAGCGCCCGTGGGCACACGCACTTGTATAACTTCTTGACGAAGTCAGAGGTGGAGGGCATGCCATCGTCGGCGGGACCGTCTTTGCTGTGTTCTGACATAGATTCTTGTTTGACCGTCTGGTCATTCCGCGTCCAGGGAAGACCGCTCTGCTGTTGGGGAACCGTGTTGAAAGCGGGTTGAATGGGACGGTGGTGGTAAATCGGTGGCTGCTGGTAGGTGGCCTGTCTGGAACCGGACTGCTGGCCGCGGTCCATCGCTTAAGAAGGCCCGGACAGATATCGAAACAGGAATCAAGATCAGAGCAGTCGAGACCGTGGGCCTCCGGTATATGTTATGCTTCCGCCGAGTACGTCTACGCGTGTTCCTTATGTGGCGAGTCTCTCGTCGTCTGGCGTCCTTGCTCTGCCGCTTGTGCAACTGTTCCCGTCAGGCGCGAGCCCTTCGACACACAGCGAATCGAGGAGGAGGAGATGGTTGGGGACAAGGTCTAGGTCGGCCGAGACTGCCGGTGTGCCGGCTCACGTGAGCAATCGCCTGCGGTCTAGGCCCGGTCTTTCGATCGCCGGAATCCGCCGAAGGCCAGACTGCGCCCTTCAAGTTTGTGTCTGACCATTGAACCGCACACGCTCTCGTGAGCCCGATGCCAGCGAAGCTCTGCTCATCGAGCTCGCGGCGAGCTTGAGCCGCGCTCATCGCCGCGCACCACTTGTGCGCTATCTCGGAGTCTGCCGCGCGATGCCTCGCCATGAAACAAATGCCTCACGCCATACCCTGTGAGTGCGCCGATCCCGGGCGCAAATCGAAGGTGCTGAGCCCTCCTCGCACGATATGAGGTACGCCGAATAAATGAAGGAAGTCCACTGGTTGCACCTTTCTCACGACAGAAGCAACGCCCTGCGCTGGGGCCAGCACGTTCCTCTGCAGGATGCTTGGCGTGCGTTCTATTGTATGTTCCCCATCCATTTTCCATAGGCTACCCTTCATGTAGGCCACCGTATTGTGAGCGTTTTGAAGACAATTGCATCTACTGATCATTGTTCTATCCTAATCTCTCCCATTGTCCCTGGTGATTCCGCCCGGAGCAACGCCCACGCGCCACAATCGCGAACTCACATAAAGATACGTGCTCGTCGTTTTCGGGCTGCACATCACCCCTCTCACCAACAGCAGGCGCGGCCGGCACCGCGTCTTTCGAAGCCTGATCCTCTCCTTACATTACTACTCGACTATCCGACCTGCTCATTGCTTGCCATGGCCGCCGCAGCTCAGCTGGCTCCAGTTGTCACGCCGTCGTTGTCGCCGCTGGACATTGATGCGCTCCGTTCTCTACATCCGGTGCATATAATATACAATAGCGGGCCGATCTACACAGGCCACATACCTCTTCAACCACTACCAGGTGAATCTCCGCCGGGACACATCCACCAAGCAGACAACACCAGTCCGCCAGCGGCTCCTGGCGCGCTCCCGCGGCGGCGTCCCGCTGCTCCTGCCGCTCCTGCCGCTCCAGCGCCACCCGAGCCGCCCCAACCTGTACCGCCGGTCCCTCCCCAGCCTGCCCCACTCGCGAACCCGCCACATAATCTCGATCCTCCCGTACCACTTCATCCTTTGTTGTACGACGGATCTCTTACCTGGGACGCACGCCACGACGTTGTTCATGCCCGCGTCCGACACGAGATGGTCGGAGCTTTATACCGTCCCGACCTCGACGTTGAGGCCACTCTCATTCACAGCGCCAGTTTACGCATCGCATACTATTGCTGCCCACCGGGTAACCGTCCGGAGCCCTTTCCCGAGCATTGGGGCCCCATCGACGTTTATCCCACTGCGAGGCGAACGGGGCAAGGGCAGTGGTCCGAGTTGCGCGGCGGCTTCGTCGTGTGGCAATGGCACACGGAACCTCACCCCGGAAGGCTCACTGTTGGCACGGTCCTAAGAGCGATATACCGTTACTTGAGGATGCCTGTCGAAGGCGGGCGTAGTCGGATTGATTATCTGCACGCATCATTGTTTGCAGGAATTTCTGCAACGGAGGACGGCGACCTGATCCTGCGCATGCATCAGTCTAATGTTTCGTGAACGCGCGGTCGCAAATTCGTAGCTACGTACATTTCTTATACGTACCAACCACTACGCATGTTTGTTGCGCTGGTCGCCTTATTTATTTTTATCTATTGCAGTTGATCCCTAGCGCAAGCTCGGGCGTCATATATCCCGCTGTATAGTTGCATGTGGAAAACCTGCGAAGTTTGGTCAGTGAAGAGGCGAAGAATCGTTGATGAGGATCCTTAAAAATACTTGAGCCTTAGTAGTGCGCAGATACGCCACAAAGCCACACATATGTTAGTAAAGGTGCGCGAAAAGGAGATAGCCCGCTGCCATGCATATAAACTGCAAGATCTCATCCTCATGGACTATGATTCGAAGATGTGTCGTGCGCGTCAACACGATAATGCCGAGGACGGGATTCAGGAGTGTCTTCCCACACACGAAAAAAGATTGCAAACTGCGAAGCCTAAGATACCAGGCCGAGCGATGCGCTCGCTATGCCGACAAACTCGGTGACGTCTCGGGGAAGACCAGCCTGAGCTCGCCATCGGACGCACGTGGCATGTACGTCCTCGACGGGGAGCGCCTCGACGAGTCGGACCAGTGCGGTGTAGCGTAAGAGAAGACCATTGCGAGCGATACGGCGGTACACAAGGTTTGAATGAAGGGTTTGATGCTATGTAGATGTTGCCGACGGCGACGATGATACTTCGCTGCAGGTGTAGACAATCCAAGTGAGACGTCGAGCGCGCCTGTCGAGTCAGCTGGACCCCTCACGCACCGTGAACGTATACGTAGAGTCGGGCAACGTACTCAAGAGGCTCACAACGAGATAGCGAGGTGCAGGAAGCCGACAGCATGAGATGTGATTTGTATCCATACAACCTAACATACTCCTGTTAACGAGACTCAGGTACAGACGGTCAGAAATTCACGTAAGAACACACGCGAGAATGAACTTGGCTCACCGGTAGCGCCCCGTCTTGATCACGAGTCCCATGTCGGTCCCCCCTCTAGTCCGACTTCTCTCGACCCTCATCCTCGTGACGGCGTCGCAGTACGTGGGGAGCTGTGACACCCGCGGATGCAATGGGCGTCGCCAGTGCAAGGTACGCGAGATCTCTGGCTTTTGGCTCATCGGAATCGGCGCCTGGGCGCAGGGCGATCCAAAACACGAAGGAAATCGTCGTCCAGATAACGTCCCACCCGATCGAGGCCTGAGCGGGGTGCCAATGAAGTGTTACCCACGCCGCGTGCGCGAAGTCGAGGACAGAGAACGCGGGGACCTCGGCGAGCATCGTGTAGACTGTGTCCAGCGTCGTGCGCACGCGAAGCAGGAAACCCGAGAGCATGACCAATGTGTAGAGATTGTCGATGCTGAGGCAAGAGCGGTCCGCGTCTTTCACAGAGGTAACCGAGTGAGTCGCAAGTGGGATGATCAAAAGGACGTGCATAACGAGGAGATTGGGCAAGAATGTCGTCTCGTCAGTGTAGGGCGAGATGGCAACCGTAACGAGGGAGGCTAGCACGGATAACCAAAGTGTGGGCCGCGCGTAAAGACGAGCTCCTCGCTTCGGCTCTGTGACAGAGAGAAGTGCGAAGAAGAGGTTGCACGCGACGGATATGGCGACAATCTGGCCCAGGAGCATGTACAGCCATACATATCGCAGCTGACGGCGAGGTCCTAGCATATCTCAGCAGGGATGATCACGAATTGGATATCTCAGTGACTTACCTTCGGTGGCCATAAGTATGGTCCACGCCCCCGCAGTAAATATACACAGCTGCTCCGAAATCCACCACCGCAAGGGATAGCCGAAGCTCACAGCCATCCAGGCCTGCTCGAAGAGTGATGTCTCAACTAGCCAGTCAGCCACGCGTTGCAGCGGCGATATGTCCGAATAGAGGACACCAGTTCGTGTGGCATAGTCGTTATAGCTCCACTGTTGAACGTTGAGCGCTTCAGAGACGTTGTTCAGCCGCGCGTACCTTCATGAACTTGATCATGTCTGTGTCGATTGATCAGCAATCTAAGCGAGAATATCCGACGAGAGGCTTACAATACCATGTATAGCCAAATGACAACGCAGTCAATGTGACAAAAGCAGACGCACGCCGGTTCCATGAGGCCTTGAAGCTCCTGATCTGCGCGACAATCGCTCCAAAGACCAAAAGTATGATTCCAAAGTATGCGGCCAGAATGGCCAGCGCAACCAGCTGGCTCCCGTTCATCGAGGCTGAGGAGGGTTGAGACGACAACCACGAGCGCGGGAAGAAGAAGCAGCCAAAAACTTGCCAAATGCGGTACTCGCGTGGGTGACGGATCGCGTCTGTGACGTGACTACCTTTGCTTCTCGACGCCCACAAGCGTCCACTGGTGCATTGTCCTGCCGCCCCCTTCAACTCGTGAGCCAGGTGACCACCGAGAAATCTCTAAAGATGAATGCACTCTGTACTCGGAAATTCTACTGCGTCTCGCGCGGGTTCGTGCCTACTATCAACACGTCTTGACTTCCTTTTATCTGGTACATGCCCACTCGTAGGAGCGTTCTTGAGGTATGACTCCTTCGAATCATGGCGCAGAAGGACCTGGAAGCAGCCGAATCTGAACTGAAGATGAGATGGGCACGTACAAGGCTTACATAACCTCCGACCTCAGCGCTCGCGGGCGCGTCGTGACCTGATGGAAGATCGACCTCTCCCATTCTCCGAGGTCCTCGGGACATACTATCACGGAAGATGACCTCCAATCTACCCCAGATCTACCCAGCTGAAGATAGCCGGACACGCTTCGAGGCAGCGCGTGGGAGTAAAGCTCGTCACTGCTTGTTGACTTCCATGCTCCTTAATACGTCTGTACGCCGCTTTTCCTGACTCTTGGGCCATCTCTGGCTGAAGAGCGCTTTTTTCATCCCGCACGCCGGCTTTGCCCCCATTGGCTGACCATTCTCGCCTATCAAAATTGCTTATTATGGTTTACGGCGAGCTGGGGCTCCTGAACGGAATACGAAATAGATTCAGGCGTATAAAGGGTGCGTAGGCATTAGTTCCCACAACCACTGTTCCCCCATGTCCTCTACTTGTCCCCAAGTGAAGTCGTTCACCTGCCTTTGACGTGTGTCCGCTTTCTGAAGATTATTCGACGCGGTGACGCCCTCGCCCACACTGTCACGGCACCATCATGGGCCGACGGCGCGCTTGACCGCAGAGAGCTATGAGCCCTACCGCAGTCGCGGCGAGAGCCATCTCTCAGCGTCAAGCCGCTTGTCGGTAGTGATGGTACCGCGACTGAAAGACGGCAGCACCAATGGGCAGCGGAGGATGGGCGGCAGCCTGAGAGAACCCCTCGCTAGAGGGCGACGCACGGGTGAGTGGGATGTCATATGCGAGATGCGGACTCCATCGAGCTCACGTGGATGCAGTAGCTCAGAACACGCCTCCTGCACCTATCGACCACCTCCATCGCCCACTACCCGTGCATTACCCCCTCGACCATTTGACTCATGTTTTCCCGAATCAGTGGCGGTCGCTTCAACGTCCCCGCTTGCACCAGCTTTACCCTCCTGTCCGACATCGCTACCATCAGATGATGGGGTGGGCTAGTCCAGTGCTGCAAATAAACATCATATAGACCCTCGCTAATATCATGCTCTGCACCATCGCTGATGCACGAGCAGGGCCGCGATTCCAAGAAGCTGTCCCATCTTGTCAGTGAGACGATGGGAAATGTCACTCAGGCAACGACCAGGTAAGTATATTTGACTGGCACGCTCTCAGGGGTTGGCCGCCTTGAGACGGCGCAGAGCTTCATTGCACCGTCGCGCTAGGAACGAAGGGACCATGCAGCGTTAGAATGCGCTTGGAGAAGTCTCAACGCGGAGGAAATTGGTGCGCGTAGCGCATTATGACAGTGAATTACAAACAAACAGACAGAGCGAGGATGATAGTGTACAAACTTGCTGCCGCATACGCGGGCATGAGTAGGATAGGATAAGGGTGAATCTGTACAATACAAGATGCACTAGGCATCGGGCGAGAAGGTGAAGGCGATGGAGGTTGTAATGAAGGGGAGTGAAGGAAAGAATAGATAAAGGAAGGAAAGATGGAAAAGAGCGAACAAGTTGCGCGAAACTAAGCCCGGCCCTTGCCCTTCTTCGACGTCGTCGCGGGCTCCTCCGCATCATCGGCGGACTTCTTGACCTTGGGCATGTTCTTGGTCGCTCGCGGCTTCTTCTCCTTGGGCATGTCGAGGTCGTCGTCGTCAACGGAGACGTCCTCGTGGGCGCGCTTCACTGCAGCCTTACCTGTCGCGTTGTGCTCGCGCAGCTGCCTCGAGGGCTGGGAGGGCTGGTCACTGGATGGAGCGGACAGTGCCGAGTTCGAAGGGCCAGAGATGGCGATGACAGCCTCGGAGATTGGCGCAGTTGCGTGCTGAGTGGACTCAGGAGCAGGAGGAACGATGTCGGTAAACGAAGACGAGGCCGAGGAGGGCAGCGCCGATTCGGTCAGAGAGGAAAGGTCAGAGTCGTCGTCGTCGGCGGCGGACGAGGTCCTCGGAGCGTCATCGTCAGACTCAGAGCCCAGGGAGGTCAACGTCGAGGTGTCGGACTCGTCGTCAGAGTCCAAAGACGTCAGGTCAGATTCGTCATCGGAGAGGGAGCTAAGATCGGACTCGTCGTCGCCGTCGTGGTCAAGCGTTTCGGGAACGGCTGGAAGTGGCACGGTAGTGGCCTTCGGCGTGGCAGCGTCGTCCGAGTCCTCGGAGGACGCGGCAGGACCAAACTCGGGCCCGTCCTCAGGCGGTGGTGGGCAAGGAGTCGAGGGTGCGCTCTCACCATAAAAGTCGTCATCAACCGAGCGACGAGGCGGAGAGCCGTTCCAAAGGGGGTTGGACCGGGCAGCCGTGGGGCAGGGGCGGGTGCCTCGCTCAGGCTGAGACGGGGCATCGGCGAAGTCGTTGTTGTTGAAGACACCATCGGTGGTGTTCGCGCGCGGTGCGGGGGCAGATCCAGTGAAGTTCGGCTGCGCAATGGGCTCGGACTTCACTGCCTGGTTCCGCAGTTTCCTCTTCCCGGGTAGCACATATTCGTCCATTGCTGCCTGGATCTCCGGCGTTGGTTCGTACCAATCCTTGAACTCCGGCCAAAGTACGTCTTCAAAATAAGCAAGGTCTTCCTCGGGAATTGTCTTGATCAATCCGAGCTCGGGGTGATCGAGGCGATACTTGATCTTCCAGACGTAGTCGAACATGGCCATAACCGGTTTGAGGTGACTCCGGCGCGTATAGCCTTGACATCCGGCCTTCAGAATGTGGGGGATTGGGTCACCTTTTCCGGAACAAGGAGGTTTTTTCTCGTTCGCAACGTCTTCTGGAGTCAGAGCGTCCCCGCTCTCGCTAGGCTCGGCGATCCTGACATCGAGCTCACGCAAAAGGTCTGCGCGCTGCTGTTTTGTGAGGTGGCCGTAGGTGCGGTCCGGGTTCGGAAATATTCCGTAGAAGGGAGCGTCCTTGTCCGGTCGCAGAAACCCGTATATGTCATACTCGTAGTAGAGCTCGGGATACATCTGCATGACGAGTGAGTGTACTGCGAGCAACGAGGAGAGTGATCACGCACCTTTTCATAGTCCTCGCCCCAGTGTTTCCGAATATGAGCAACTTCTTTCGACATATTCTTTGGACGAAGGGCAATTTCCCCTTGACCGTATTCACCCTCTTTAACAGAGGGTCCGTCGAGCATAGCATGGAATTCTTTCCGGCCTGCCAGTCGCGTCAGTCAAGCGCTAACAGCCATTCGTATGCAAACGTACCTAAATCACAGTTCCCGAAGGTATCCAGGTTCAGGTTCCTCTCTCCGTTAATCATGATCCCCACAGCCTCGCGAAAGCAGAAAAACTATTGGAGACATGAGATGGGCCGATCATTGAGTATAAGTGAGACTCACCATGACCCAATGGGTGCGATGCAGCGACCTCGGAATGATGTGCATGCATTCCAGCAGGTAGAACGAGGGCATCATGCCAGTGAACAGGCAGACAGCATAGCCGATGATGGACACAATTTTCTTCCTGAGATAGCGAGGACGCTCCTCCGGTGTTTGCGGGCTGTCAGAGGGCGTACGGAATTCCAGATACCGTGGGTCAAAGCCTGGAGAAGGAGTGCGCTCTGGCACTTGACCATCCGGCGGAGGACCTCCAGCGTCGTCGGGCACAGTCGCCATGTTTGACGGCGATACAAGATGGTTGCGGAAAGCAGGCGACTTTCCTCATACATGTGGGCCTTATATACCAGGGCATACGTAATTTCCTGATGGATACCTTTGTGCGCCGTGGCCATCCTCGTGGACGACGAGCTGCCATCACTTACCAAAAGGGCATAACCTGGATAAGCGAGGCGTTTGAGGCGGCGTTCGCGACAACCGGCATCCCGGCTGTTGCCAAATTAGACCTTGGTGGTCAGCACTATCGATGTGGTGGCATGTCCCAGAGCGCGGGCGAAAGACAGACGGAAGCGACAATGGGCGGCCGGGGTTCACTGTTTGTTTGTCTTTGTCATTGCGTCGGCTGATCCGGTGATCGGTCCGACAATCCGCAGACGCACGCGTCCGTCCCTTTCAGTTCCTTCCAAGCCGCCCTCCTGCCACTCTCTTGTCTGCTCCACTGACTCAGGAATGGCTGTCGTCGACAAATACTGCAATGTCGTGGAATGCGACTTTACCGGTACTACAGAAAATCTTCGCAGCTGCCGACCAATCCCTCTTGACGCAGCAGATGGAGATGCGGAAGTGGTACACACACCTTCGTTCATCTGGCAGCCAACATAGCTGACCCAAAACTTTAACAGGTCGCTGCGCAAGAATGGATATATGGCTTGCCAAGAGGCGGCCTTGACAGCTTCTTGCACTCTCGTGCGAACTGCCTCGTGTGTAGGTTCTTCTCCCCTAGCTCGTGACAATTACGCCCTAAATTCGCTCGATAAGTTCGCACAGACATCATGAGTATGTACTGCCGAGGAGAGTTCATCTTAGCACCAACATTTGGAACCTACCTCAAGACTATGGCTTTCATTGAGCACGCGGGAATTAAGAATCGTGTAGAGAATGATGTCTCTCCGCGACGGCCCTTGACGGCTGTGAGTACGTCTCCTTAGGTCGTTCATTTTGCTCATTTTCTCCAGCTTCCTTCTCACCACGGGCGATATCGATACGTCTTCATACCAGTCACTGACGCCGCACGTGCATTGCAGCAAGAACTCGAACTGCCTCTGCAAACGGAGGAAGACCTGAACCACGGGAAACATCCAAGGTCTGGGAGGCCATGCACGAAGGGTTCTGACCAGTTTGCTGTGGTCGAGTGTCATGCTCATCCGTACTCCGTCTCCGTCTTCGCGCACAAGATGCTAAAGATCCATTGCACGCCTCTCACCGGGCAATGGTTCGGCCTCTGCGGCGATATCATATACACATGGCTCCATTCTAGGGTCGAGCCTCCCAAGTGGTTCATCGATAGCCCAAAGATCGCGCTCGTCGATATCGAGCTCACCCCGAGCGAGGCCAGCGGCTATGAACTGCTGTCTGCGCAGGGCGGGAGGCCCGAGCCGCTTGCCGTCCTGGGTAACACCGACCTCCCAGAGACCGACTACCGCAAGGTCGTCGCCGACTGGACCTACAACAAGGTCGTCTACGGGCATCCGCCGCCCGCGGAGAAGCCCATCCGCTACGACTACAAGATGCGGCGCTCGACGCGGTTGCACAAGTGCCCCTACGACCGTGATGGCCCACCGCCGTCGCCCATCCGCAATGGGCCGCGTGCGCTCCTCACCTGCCGGCGCAACTTCGAGCTGAATCCTCCGTCGTGGTCGGAGCGGAATGGTCGGTTCCCGACCCATACGTTCACGAGCAACGACTGGGCGTACTTCGAGTACGGTGTTCATCTACCGGGTTCGTCAAAGACATAGCCGTTCCCATCCGATATCCGGCCCTGATCTTGGCGACTCTCCCTCCTCTGGTCGCTTCTCTGCGTCACTGCACGACGCTCATGCCACGGTCGCAACCGATCGCCGCATACTGTGCGAAATTGCCCTCGCGCTGTCTGCAGCTGCCATCGAGTGCTCGCCTCTGCGGCTCACAAGTAGAGCCGCTGAGCGCCGCCGGCGCACTGTATCAGCCACCGCCAGCGCATGACGGCCACGAGTACTCGCGGTATTCCCATGAACTTGGATGCAACCGCACCCTCTCTCTTGCTGTCGTCGCCTTCAACTGCGCATAACGCGCCGATCTCGCGATCGTGGACGCGCATAACACGTCGCAAGAACTTCCGCGCGGGGCTCTTGCTCTCAGGACGAACGTTGGCACGCGTTGAATGTCCTCGCCACGGCCGATCCGCCCGGGGCCTATGGGCGACGCATGGCGAAGACGCGCCTTGACTTCATCCTGGAGCCCGCTACGCTTCCCAGGCTCGCCTTGACTTCACAAGAAGTCGGTAGTCTTTCACAATACACCACCGCGAAGGAGATCGGAGGAAATTATCTGTAGTCGGGTTTGGGATGTTGATGTTCTTTGTTTTGTAGAAATTGGGGTTCTTCTTTGTATCTTTGACCGTTGGAACGACGGCGTGTACCTACACAATTCAGCCGTCGACCGAATATTCGAAGCCTCTGCGAAGACATGGGCCACGTTGAGTGAACGTTCTTGTTTTGCATGCCATCCATCTCGTTAACGCGTAGCATCTCTGGATATATTCCTTGTCTGTCATGACAAGGTACTATTCCCCCTTCTCCTCCTCCTCCTCCCCAAACCCGAAGATCTGCCACAGCAGATGTACCTGCCCAAACGGCCGCTCGCCCCCCAACAATGTCGACGCCGCCTCGTACTTGTTCTTCGGCCGCCGCACCGCGGCGCACAGATTCCGGTACGCGTACGCCATCCGCCGGAGTGCCGCGCGGTGCACCTCAGACGCGAGTCTTTGGCCAGCGAGCTGCGCGAGGCGCGGGCTGTCGACGACCTCGAGGCCGGAGAGCCAGAGGGCGAAGGTGTGCAGGGCGGTTTGGAGGTCGGAGGGTCGGGTGGTGGGCAGTCGGGAGAGGGGCTCGTCCGTCGGCGGGTGCTCGCATGTTTGGACGGCGTCGTAGAGCCCGGCGTCCACCATTATGTCGTGGTACTGGATGGCTCGTTAGCACTTGTGAAGTCTGAAGTCTGAAGGCAGATTCTTACATGCTCCTCCGTCAGCGCCGCAACATGCTCGCGGATCAGCTGCTGCAGCGCGTTCCGCTTCTTCGCCGTGAACGCGAAGGGCTCGAGGACGCCGTCCAAGAACGTCAAGCAGTTCAACACGAACACCTCCCGATCCCACTTCGGGCGCAGCGCCTTTTTGTCCTCGCTCGCCTTGAGGCACATCTCGACCGCGGGGTCGAGCATCGCGTCGAGGATGTGCGCGCCCGTCTGGTCCTCGTTCGCATCTTCGTCGCCGGCGAGGGACGACTGGTAGACGGCCATGATCTCGCGCAGGATCTGCGCGTGGTCGAGAATGACGAGAGGCGGAGTGAGCGAGGGGTCGTCGAAGTCAAGGGTATTCCGTAGAAGGGCGCGTCCGAGGTTGTCGACCGTGTCGTAGAAGACTTGGTAGGCGATTTCCATGATTCTGCGAGATTCAGTCAGCATGTAGTGCTGCAGTCGAAAAGAACGTCGACATACTCTTGCAAGGTTTTGGACAAGAGTGCTTGCTCGCTGATGGTCCGCTGCATTGTGAGCATGTAGAACTGCAACAAGTTCGTGATCTTGTACGATACGATGCAGCTCTCCTGCGAGCGTATAGTTTGTTGTACGCGAACCTAAAGCAGTACACGCATGTCAGCAACAAAGCAGCCTAACAAGCATCTTGCCTCACCTTTAGCGGTACGCATAACTTCGCTACTCCAAGGTCCATCAACTCTCGTATCCATCCCTCCTCCTCGGTAGCCTCGTCAAACCTTCGCACACTGCCAACCATCCGCCCGTCGCCGCCTACGCCAAACAAGCCTTCCAAGAACTCCCGCTCCGCCGCGATCGCCTGATGCACCCACGCCAGCATGTCCCCGACATACCGTAGCGGATCGTGCGCATGCAGCTCAATCGGACGGGGTAGTCCACCAGGACCTCCCCGTGTCAACGCCGCGAGGAACGCGTCCATCAGTGTTTGCGACCGCGTCTGCGCGAGCGTGGTGAGGGCGGAGGTGAGGAGTTCGGGGCGGTCGCGCAGTCGGCGGACAGCTTCGGAGAGGTTGGGCGGGACTTCAATGTGTGTATCGCGAAGGGCGGTAAACTCGTATGTGCACCAGCGGAGTATCTTGTCATAGCCTGCTTCTAGGCGGGTAGAGGTAGCGGACATGATGTCGAGGCTGAGGAGGTGTCAGACAGCGTGAATGTGAAGGGGAGGTGCTATGCACCCTGCTTGTGTGGGTCCATCTTCACCAGCCATGAGGACGCGACAGTCGTCGCGGATGCGCTGGGTCTTGTCCATGGCAGCGAAGAAGCGCGGCCCGACGGGTACATCGCGCGAGGTAAGGGCTTCTGCCTCTTCGTCTGACAGTGTGAACCGGTCCAAGAAGAGAGAGACGATAGATCGCTTGCTCTCCACCTCATTTCTGCGATCGAATGAGTATAGAGTTTCCGGCAGAGATCGCCGCCACGCACCGCTCATCGCGCAAGTTACTCGCCCGCTCGAGCAGCGTCCGGCTCGCGTCATCCGTCAACTTAAGCTGCGCCTCCGCCTCATCGCACGCGACGCGCATCGCCGCGACGTGCGCCTGCAGACCATCCAACTTCTGTTACACACGCATGAACGACGGGCGAGGGGGACACGACATACGTGCGTACTTGGTCGACCTCGGCGAACGCTTGCAGGAACGCGCGGCTGCCCTCCGCGAGCTTGCTCTCCATGTCCTTGCGCAGGTGCTTGCGCGCGCGGGCGGCGGACTCGCCTGGAATGAGCTCCTTGAGAGACACGTCTTTTGCTTGCGGGGGCTGGGGGACTTCATCGTCGTGGTCTGCGTCGGGCTCCTCCTGGCGCGCGATCTCCTTGCCTTTGGAGAGCGCGGTGTATAGTTCGGATAGGGTTTGAAGAGCTTCGCGTGTGGATTCGTCGTCAAATCGCGTGCTGAGGACCTTGTACAAGCGTAGGGACACGGGGTTCTTGGGTTGTGCAGACGATGAAGGGACCCGGGACTCGCTGGAGAGCGCTGGGGGACGCGCAATCGTCGCCATTCTGAGAGGCATGAGATAGTGAAGTTCTTGTCTAGTACATATACGCACCTTGCTGGCCTTCGGCGCTTGACGCGTGCTCAGTGATGGTGAGAACGAGAGGAGAACAATAGCGCCCGAGTTACAATGTTTGGGTTAGCGGAGCCGGCGGCCCGCTGGATCCCTTGCTTCAGACCTTCACCTCGCTAGGCCCGCACGAAGCTCAAGGGTCTTCAACAGCCTTTGACCGCCGTAATTGCACTTCAGCGTATACCGCAACACCCTCTGAAGGGTTCACGGATGTCTGCAACGTCCCTCGAAGCGTTTTGCTAGAGATGCGTCTGTCTGAGCCCGTGGCAGTGACAGTAGTAACGGCGCTGTTTCTCTGTTCGCATATCCATGACAAGAATTTATGTCGAATTTCGCACCTTCGCACCGTTTCTCGCATGAATGCTCCGCTGCAATTTGAGAGAGGGTCGCCACTACTCGCGAGTCGGACGCGCATCTGCATGATCTACTGTGCCTTCTCCCAAGCCTTAGTCCAAGTCCACAATCCCATCGTCTGGCCAGGCTCAGTAACTCTCTCGGATCTCGAGGCACTTAGTACTTGCCAGGCCATTTGCGTGCCCTAATATTCTTGCACTGAACCCTGAAGGTGCGGGATAGTTGTGGATGCTGCTGAACGATAGCTGACTACGATCCCTACGATAGCACGTCGGCGCCCGACCGCAAGGTACTATCCAGGCTGAATTCAGGCTGGATAGTCCGACGAGAGATGAAGACGGTGCTGTGTACTTAGGATGTCGGTCTACGGGTATCGCTGCAGCAATTGACACTCATCCTGAAGCGGGATGGTCATGAATTAAGTTGTTGGGACTTGTTGGATGAGCTGTGATATCCTGGGAATGCAACTGTCAGATGGTTGTGAGTTTCACTTCATCTCCGTGCGCATCGCTAAATTTTTCATTGTAGTCTGCCTCTTTCCCGTTCAGCTCGCCTGCCCGTCGCTATCAGCGACTCTTGCATTCTCATCGGCGTACCGAACTTACCGCCACTTCTTTACCGAGCGTTCCGAGCCTCAGCCCTCCTTCACGTATGTTTGCGACCATCCATCACTCGCACCCATATGCTCAGGGCGGTTCAGTATCGAGCTGTTTATCTGTCGGTCAACGACAGCGTTATAAAGGCGGTCGACTGGCCGTCTTTCAAGCATCAGCGACCACCTCCCCGACCGGTCTCCGACATCCCCAACATGCAATTCTTCACCAAGATCTTTGCCGTCGTTGCGCTCTTGGCTGTCGCCGCGTCTGCTATGCCGGCCAGCGACCTCGAGATCGAGACTCGTGCGGATGTGAGTACCTAGTCCTGCTCTTCTTGTCCTGTTCGCCTAATGCTGGGATAGGGTTCGATTATTTGCCGCCGCGATGGGCAGCTTACATGCTGCGCGTGCTGAACGGTATCATTGATTGTAAGTCTTCGACTGCTAATTGTTTCTTGACATCGACTGACATCGACTCCAGAGAACTTCTGCATGGACTGCGCGCGAGCGTACCCGGAAGCTTGGTAGCATTGAGAACGATCGCCTGAATATACACCCTCGCAAAGCTACTTGTGTCCTTCTGTTATAAGCCCGAGCGTATGGCGCATCCAGGCATGACGCTCTCGAGGACTCCAGCTCTTGCATCGCTCACTTGAGGCTAGGTTGCCCATGATCCGAAAGTATCGCTGACTCCCGTGCATGGGACCCGTACGCCGCTATGCCTTCGTCTCCGCTGTGCGCGGCGCTCCAGGGTCCTCAGCGAACCAACCGCTCTGCGGTCCCACCTTATTGCCTCCTGCAAGCTGCCGCGCTCCAGTCTAATGCCCGCCCCATCTTCGCTCATCCTTCACACTTCGTCCCATCACGTCACCTAGCCGATCAATATACCCTAGACGAAGGTCGTATAAAGGGTAGACGGTCCTCAGCAACTTTATCCTGGTACTCTCACCGAACCCCACGACTGTCAAGCTCAGCACCATCCGACATGCAGCTCGTCACCAAAGTCTTTGCTGCGCTTGCGCTGCTCGCCGTCGCCGCGTCCGCTATTCCTATTGCGAGCGACCTCGAACTGGAGAGTCGCCCGGATGTGAGTAGTTGTCCATATATTTGTACTTGTTGCGATCCTGACGCTGTAGATAGGGCACGCTTATTTGCCGCCGCGGTGACGAGTTTGTATGCTGCACTTGCATCGGAGCATGAGCAGTGCGAGTCCGACATTCCCTTCATGTCTGAGGATGGTTGACGTGGGCAGCGCTATCCAAGGGGTACCGCATTGTATACGGGACGAAGGCCGTTAGGTCACTGTGATCTACGACTCTCTCGGAACCGCCACACGTGCATGTCATGAGAAAATCACGAGCCAAAATATACCAATACTGTGGGGGCGGTCCTGGCAGGCTGGCACTTGCCTGAAACGGCCATTCGAAGTTTCTGAAACAGACCTACGCAACATATTTACGCATGCCGCATTGACCGTCGGCTACGAGTTCGCTCGAATGGGCCTCAAGCCACGCTAGCATGCGCGAATTACCGTTGCGCGAGTTTCCGGAGGCGCTGGAGCATGTGGGCGCCGCCGCCGTAGTCGGACTAGGCACCTCGTTAAATCCCGCAAACAAGGTTAAATTGCTCACCTGGAACCGTATATAAGGCGAGCGGACCACCGGTTGACCCCAGACTCGAAGTTCAAAGCAACTCCCCGATCAACTAACTCGCTCAACATGTACGCCTCCGTGAGTACTTTATAATGAATTCGTGAAGCACACATACTGACGCCTTCTCTAGACCATCCAGGTTCCCGTCGACGCCCACTGCAGCCAGACCGACTGCAAGTGCAGGTCAGTACTTCGTCGTCGTTGGAGTGAAGCGAATTACTGACATCAAGCGTGTAGCTGCTCCTGCGCCTCCGGCTCCTGAGAGTGCTGCAGCAAGTAAAACAGCCAAGGCTTTGCTAGCGCCTCCCGTGGGCATGCGCGCATCCCTCGTGTCTCTTGTGATATGTTTGCTCTGTAAAGATGGATGAATGATATTGGTCCTGGTACTGGCCATCGTTGTGGCATTCCGTCCTTGCAAGAAAGCGTAAACTCGCAGCATATCGGGTGTACAGATCTCGACTACCGTGCGATGTGCATATTCTCCTTTCATCTCTTTCGATCTCCTCGGTGCAAGTAGTCGTCTTTGCGGGTAAATTGCACGATGCAATCTTGCTGTGTGATGCAGTAGTGCCAACGTTCAGAAGTTCCACTAGGCAGAGGCGTGCGAAAAGAGTTGGCATTTGCCGACGGGCGCGCTTGCTTGAGCCATGTGCGAGCGTGCTTGAAGTCGACTTGACCAGTGATTGGGAACCCAAGCTGGCCTGTACCTGCACCAGCCTCTCGCAAATTTGATTGTCCTTCCTTCTGCGTCTCTATCCCTCGACTCCTATCAAGGTTTACAAGCAACAAACCGGCTCGAGTACCGCCGACCTAGCATACCGGCAAACCCGTGTCAAGTACGCATCCTTGAGTTGGCGTGAAGCACTTGCCATTACATGCTTCTCTTGTCTCCCATATGGCCACTCCAACCTCAGCTGCCCCTGCGCCTTGGCGTCAATTCCCCTTCTTCGAGCCGGTGCCGATCAAGGACGTGAACGACCTGGATAGTCCACCTGCAGTCTTCAAGGTGCGCGGCTTCACAATGGCCGTACTGCAGACACTGACGATACGCAGACCCCCCATGAACTGTCTACAATAGTCTCCTCTACTGCCGGACTGCTCGTCGCAGACATCCATGGCAGTGTTCACGCCCTCAACCAAGACTTCGAGTCGTACATGAGCTGGGTCGCGCACACCAGCGGACGCGTTACGCATATGGTCGAGCGGAAGGGCGTGCTGGTCACTCTTGGGGTGCGTCATGCATCCTTCGCACTCTGCTCCTACTGATCCCGGCGTCGCGCAGGAAGAAGATTCCGTACGCGCTCCCCTCCTCAAGATCTGGGACCTGCAGAACACGGACAAGCGCACAGGCGCCCCCATCCTTCTTCGCTCCACCAAAGTGAACGTCGGCAACCGCATGCATCCCGTCAGTCGCGTCCCCCCACCCCATACCCGCGCTCATTCAAGCTTATTGCTAGATATCTACAGTTGCCCTGACCGCCTCCCTATCCCACCTCGCAATCGGCCTCGGCGATGGGACTGTCCTCCTGTATCGCCATCTCGACCAGTCCCTCGCATCGTCTGCATCTCTCACCTCCGTACCGAAGCCCAAAACGGTCCACGAGTCACCCGCCGAACCGGTCACTGGGTTGGGCTTCGCAGAACCGACGGATGAACACCCGCAGACGCACCTTTTCGTCGCGACGACCAACCGCGTACTCGCGTATCAGGTATCCGGGCGCGGAAGTGGGGGTCCCGCGACGGTGGTGAATGAGATCGGGTGCGGGCTTGGGTGCACGACTATGGACCGAGCAGCGCGCGACCTCGTCATCGCGAGGGACGAGGCCATCTATGTCTGCGGAACCGAAGGAAGAGGAAGCTCATACGCCCTCGAGGGGCGGAAGCTGTCCCTCGGCGCCCATGGCGGATACCTCGTCATCGTATCACCCCCATTCTCCCCGTCCGCCTCTGCCCCCTCGGCAACTGTACGCAACTTCTACGCGCGAAATGCCGCTGCGGGAGAAACGGACGTTACTAAGGTCACCTTGTTCGACGCTGAGAACAAGGTCGTTGGCTTCTCGCAGGCCTTCCCTCAGGGCGTTCGGGAAGTTTTCTCAGCATGGGCCAACGTCTATGTGCTCGGCAATGACGGCTCGGTGAGTGGTGAGCTTGACCTGCCCCTCCGCGTATCCTTATACTCTGTAGGTCACACATCTCGAGGAGAAGTCAACGTCCGAAAAGCTCGACATGCTGTATCGACGCGGCTACTACCCTCTAGCTTTGGGCATTGCCAAGACGCAGCAACTCGACGACGCCAGCATCGCAGACATCCATCTGAAGACCGCCGATGCGTTGTACAACAAGAAGAACTACGACGACGCGCTCACGCACTATGTGCAGACCATCGGCCACGTACAGCCCAGCTATGTCATTCGCAGGGTTCGTGTCGCCGTCTTCCTCTCTTGAGCTCCGGCTGACACTTCGCCAGCTCCTCGACGCCCAGCGCATTCACAATCTCGTAACCTACTTACAAGAGCTGCACTCTCATGGTCTAGCCAACGCCGACCACACGACCTTGCTGCTGAACACCTACACCAAACTCAAGGATGTCGCGCGCTTGGACAGCTTCATCAAGACCGAGTCGCGCCGGAATGCAGAGGACTCGGACGAGTTGCCGTTCGATCTGGAGACTGCGATTCGCGTCTGCCGGCAGGCAGGGTACTTCGAGCACGCATCGTACTTGGCGAAGAAGTACGACCGGCATGAGGACTACTTGCGGATACAGGTCGAGGACGCGGCGAACTATCGGGAGGCGCTGCAGCATTTGAGGAAGTTGGGCGCGGACGCAGTAAGTCAAGGCTTCGCGGATGTCGTTGACCGTCGACTAATGCACTGCAATAGGCGGAGAGCAACCTCGCGCGGTATGGGCGTGCTCTGCTGGCGAACTTGCCGGACGAGACGACCAAGCTGTTGATTGACCTGTGCACCGGCATCGACACGCGGCTGGACGATACCGAAGAGAACTCGCCGTCGTCTATCAAGGCGCCCGCGCCATCATATCTCTCCTACCTCGCGCTCAAGCGCGATAGTGTGCTCCCGCCGTCTCCGGAGTCTACCGTAGCACCGACGCCCTCCGTAAAGACCGCAAGGCCGGGCGATTCCTTCTCCAGGCAAGGCTCTTACCATGGCCGCTCCCAATCGCAGGCATCGACGCGCACCTCGACGCCACCGCCGGCGCCTCCCAAGCCCTCTCTGCCACCTAGCGTCAAGCGTATCTCTCCGCGACTCTACTTCGCCCACTTCGTCGATCATATGGAGCAGTTCGTCGTGTTCTTGGAGACGGTGGCTCTGCGGCGATGGGGACAGACGGTCGATCCGGACCAGTCGCCACCCTCCTTATCCCCCGAGCCACCCGCGGATGAACAAGCAGACCATCGGGATCAGGTCGCGGTGTGGAACACTCTCCTTGAGCTTTACCTTACGCTTTCCGGGACGGGTGTTGGTGGGACCAGCGAGGGCGCGGACTCGTCTGAGAGGCAACAAGCTCTGCGCGATAAGGCACTCCGCTTGCTCAAGAGCGAGACCATACCGTACGACTCCACGCACGCCCTCATCCTTTGCTCGAGCAGAGGCCACACGGAGGGCCTGGTACTCCTCTGGGAACGCGCGGGCATGTACGAGGACGTGCTGCGGTTCTGGATGGACCGCGACGCGATGGACGCCCCCGGGGCGTCCGCCGAAGTCGTGCGCTGCCTGCAGCAGTACGGCCCGGCGCATCCGCACCTATATCCACTCGTCCTGCGCTTCCTGACGAGCGCCCCCGCGCTGCTAAGTCGGCACGAGACAGACGTGCGCGACATAATTGAGCGGATCGACGCAGAGGGTGTGTTGCCGCCGCTTGGCGTGGTGCAGATCTTGAGTCGGAACGGGGTGGCCAGCGTAGGGTTGGTGAAGGAGTGGCTGATGGGGAAAATTAAGGATGCGAGGGGCGAAATTGAGACGGTGAGTGGCCTACTGGGGGCTCATACATGCACTTGCTCAATAATACGTAGGACAAGGAATGGATCAACTCATACAGGCTCGAGACGGCGACGAAGCTTCGTCAAGTCGAAGATCTCTCGGACCCGGAGCATCCTCAAATATTCCATGTCACGACGCGGCGCTGTACTCAGTGCAGCGGGCAGCTCGACTTGCCTAGTGTGCACTTCATGTGCAACCATAGCTATCACCAAAGGTATACTAGGTCATTGCGTCCTTGCATCCCATGCTAATTCATCCCGCCTCACCCCTCAGATGCCTTCCCGAGAACGAGACTGAATGCCCGGCATGCGCGCGGGAACACGGCGTCATCCGGGAGATTCGAAGGAACAACGAGCGGCTGGCTGACCAGCACGATGTATTCCTGTCGGAGGTCGTCGAAGGAGGGTTTGACGCGATCGCTTCGGGATTCAGTAGGGGTGTATTGAATATGCCCCGCGTCAACGAGGCCGTGGCTGGTTGATGATGTGGCGGGTTATCCTTGGGCTTCTACTGTATGTGATAAGTCCCGCTCCTTCACACCTTCGGCTAACCTAATCTCATCCCTTCCTTAGATCCCGCCCAAGTTTGAGTAGGTTACAGTGCTGATAATGCAGAGGATTTTCCAGCGACGTTGTAAGTGCTATATACTGCCCAGCGAGGTGTTCGTCGCTTCGCGGGAGTGCAATTGTTACCAGAAAGGCCAGGAATGATGGAGATCAGTATTTCATGTGCACCTTCCCCACGCCGCGATCGAGGATTGTCGACGCGATATGTCATGCCGTCATCACCTACCCACCTTATTCTATAAACGCGTGCGACTACCGACCCTTGTGGTCGTTATCACTCGGCGATATGTTCCCGCAGGCGCTTCTTTTCCTGCCCTCGTCCGCACGAGAGGGCGTGCTGAGGTCTCAAGGCGGCTGTTCACCACCTCCATCGTTCCTTCACTCTACTTCTGAGCAGGATGTCCGCCGTCCCGACCCCCAGAACGTCCGTCTCGTCGAAGACTCTGGAGAAGTTGCTGGGCGGCGGCAGTGCTGGCAACTCGGAGACCCAGGTGGACGCAGCCCCCGCGTCTTCGCGGCCCCGCCGCAGGAGGACGCTTATCATCGCAGGCGCCGTCGCTGCCACGGTCGTTGTCCTCGTCCTAGTCATCGTCCTACCAGTGTACTACACCGTCGTCAAGAAGGATAGCAAGAGCTCAGGCTCGGGCACGAGTAATCCATACTCTCCAGATGGCTCCACCGTGCGTAACACGTGTCTCTCGGCTTTCCAAGCGTGCGTCCTGACGAGGCTTTGGTAGACCGGAGGGGACGGCTCCATGGTTGTCATGGAAGACGGGACCAAATTCCGCTACAATAACACATTCGGCGGTTTCTGTAGGTGCCTCAGGGCGTGCATCCCAGTCTGACTGACGCGCGCTACATAGGGGTTTACGATCCCGAGGACCCTTTCAACGACAATGCGCAGCCCAACTCCTACACCCCGCCCCTCAATGAAACGTGGGACTTTGGCAAGGACAAGATATACGGCGTCAACCTGGGCGGCCTTTTCGTTATCGAGCCATTCATTACACCGTCTTTCTTTCAGCAATACCCCGACGCGAAAGATGAGTGGGACTTGAGCCTGGCTATGTCTAACGACACGGCCAACGGTGGGCTGGACCAGCTGGAGAAGCACTACGATACGTTCATTGTGAGTGGTCTTTGGTGTGTCACCGACGATGATTGCTCAATGTGGCGCAGACAGAGCAGGATATTGCAGAGATTGCGGGCGCCGGTCTGAACTGGCTTCGTATCCCAATCGCATTCTGGGCAATCGAGACCTGGGAGGGTGAGCCTTTCTTGGCGAAGACATCTTGGACGTGGGTGCGAAATCATACCCGTTCGCTTCATATGACTGACCATTTGTTCAGGTACCTCTTGCGCGTGCTCAAGTGGGCACGTAAGTACGGTCTTCGTGTCTGCTTGGACTTGCACGCCGTTCCAGGCTCTCAGAATGGTGTGTGACCTCATGTGCCATCAATGCGCGAAAGCTTACCAGCATGTAGGTTATAACCACTCTGGAAGGTATTGTCCTTGTAGGCGTGCGATGTTGTGTGACTGAAAGTCTCCAGGCTTTCCCCTGTCAACCTTCTCAACGGCAATATGGGCCTCGCCAACGCACAGCGCACGCTCTACTACATCCGCGTCCTCACCGAGTTCATCTCTCAGCCTGAGTACCGTAATCTCATCCCCATCTTTGGGATCGTCAACGAAGCGCTCGTCGGCGAGATAGGCATGGACGCCATCACGAGCTTCTACCTGGAGGCGCACAATATGATCCGCGAGATTACTGGCTATGGCGAGGGGAATGGACCTGTGCGTACATATCGGTTTGCGGCTCGCTGCCTAGGGAGGCTTAACGATCCTCACCCCGCAGTACATTGCCATCCATGACGGCTTCCAGCCGATCACCGTATGGGAGAACTTCCTGGCTGGGTCGGACCGTATCATCCTCGACCAGCATCCCTACTTCTCCTTCGGTGCTGTCGACGAGAGCCCCATCGACGTCAACGGCGAGGACGGTCTGCCTGGTGGAAAGTGGCCAAAGCAAGCTTGCGATGCGTGGGCGGCTGGTACGGATACGAGGTACTTCGGCCACTCCTCACTCAATGCCGTCTCGTGCTGACGTAGAATAGCCAGAGAAACTTCGGTGTCACCATCTCCGGCGAAATGGCCGCGTCGCCTAATGACTGCGGCCTTTTCCTTCGTGGCGCCGGCTCGAATTCGACGAATTCGCAGTGCCCGTATTATGACGACTGGCAGAACTACAATGACACGATGAAGGAGGGTATACAGAACTTTGCGCTCGCCAGCTTTGACGCGCTACAGAACTGGTTCTTCTGGACGTGGAAGGTGCGTATATCGCAACAACGCCCGCCCAATGTACGCACTTTACTGATCAACACATTGTAGATCGGCCCTTCCGCCGAGTCCGGTGAGGTAGAGACTCCTCTGTGGTCCTACCAGCTCGGGTATCGCAACGGTTGGCTCCCCTCCGACCCGCGTTCCTACGTAGGAAAGTGCGCCGCGCTCGGGAGCGCCCAACAACCATTCGACGGCACCTACTCCGCGTGGCAAACCGGCGGCGAGACATCCACCATCGTCGCGTCCTCCACATCGCGATACACGTGGCCACCAGCGAGCATCTCGGGCGCGGACGTCGATGTCAGCCTGCTGCCTACATACACCGCGACCGGGAGCGTAGTCACCTTGCCGCCTGCTACGTTCACGGATGCGCCGAGCTCGGTGACGTCGTCGGTCGATGGGTGGTATGATGACCAGGACACGGCTGCCGGCATTACCACTGTGTCTGGCTGCCCGTACCCGGACGAGTATAATGGGATTTTCTCCACCACACCTACGGCGCCTTGCACGGGGCCGACTGCCGGAAGACTATAAATATATATATCGCTGTGCACTCATACGTCCTTGTCCCTGTCCTTTGTCATCGACGCTCTTAAGGACACTTTGTACGCCCTGTTTAGAATGCTATGGAACATATTGTACCGATACTCGATGCACATTTTTGATACTCGCTGCTGTATATACCACTTCCTTCACATCCGGGATACTCGAATCATGTATTTCTGGACTCGAAGCTATGTGACAGCTCGGTGGCCGCTGTACTCACAAAGCTATGAGTATGCACTAGCATGACAGTTTGAACATGAACCGTGAGAATTTGTGGTCACCTGACTTACCCGGAGCCGAGGCTGTGATTGGACGGCCCGAACACAACCTGCCTTTGTCTACCACCTGGCAACATGCGGAACTCCCCCAGTATCGCACCCACTCCTGGACATCGTGTATCAGCCACCGCTCAAGATGCGACAACAAGCAAGTCGGGGGCATCGGATGACCCTGACCTTGCACCACCTCCAAGCAAGCGCCGGAAGCAAGCTGGTACTAGTCCAGCCAAATCGAAACAACGAAACAAGAACGAGGGAAAGCTGGCCTCCTTACCAGACCTCCCAATCGATATACTGTATGAGGTATGTATGCAGCCGCCGGTTCTTCTGCTAGCACTTCGCCAATCTGATGTGTGGCGCGCGCCTCTAGATCCTTAGGCGCCTGGACCCTCGCGATCTCCTTCATCTCTCGCGTCTGAGCAAGCGTCTTCATACGGGCATTATGAGTCGTACTTTTGCCTATGTTTGGCGAGCCAGCATCGCCGGTGTGAAGGGCCCGAGCCTCCCTCCCAAGCCCGATGACATGAATGAGCCACAATATGTTGATCTACTCTGGGGTAAAGGATGCCATGTGCGTTAGTTGTGTGTAATTGCGTGCAACTGAGCGCTGATCTCCTATTCAGTACTGTGGTTCTATGACCCGCATCACGACATCCTGGTACGCGCGACGGCGATACTGTAAGGAATGCTTGCCAGTGCAGTACGTTATCACCCTTCTCGTCGGATATGCCCGCTCAATAAACGGTCGTGTAGATTCAAGCATTACGAAGATCTTTCGGGCACCATCATCAGTCTTGTGAAAGATGGATATGAGTTGAGCAGGTTCATCCCGCACATCTATGCCGATGTTTCCGGTAGGATCCATTCTCCTTCCATCATCTACCCGTACTGAACTGCGATAGATAGGCATTGGCGGTTCCCCGTAGACTTTCTGCGGCGCTACTCGAAGGAGTTTCGAGAGCGGAAGATATCAATTCAGGACAAAGATGCGGTGGCCGAGTGGGTGTGCGAGAAGACCTTGCATTGCAAGGAACTGCAAAGGGTGATGTCCATTTTGTGTGCGCACCACGTCTGAAACTCACACTCATCTAGCACTCAAGAGAATTTGCGAAGTGGGAGCAGCAGTGCCAAGACGATAGGAAGGCAGAGCTTGAGCGAAAACGTGACCTAAGGGAACAGGCGTGGGTTTTTCGATATTCTCTGCTTCGCGCAGCTCATTGACGAGATGGAGTAGTATCATCAAGCGCTTGACAGACATGGGATGGGGCGACGAAATAGCACAGCTTCCAGACGGCGCGCTCGGCGCGCAGAAGTCAGTCAGAACGGTTCAGCCCTTGACTGAGAAAGGTGCGGGCAATCTCGGCATTGTCGCGCTCCGAGCTCACGTTCAATCAATCTGCAGCATGGCAAGCCCTATCAAGAAATCTCGTCCAGTTCTTGAAAGATCAGCGTGTTGAACGCTTTCGCCTCCAGGAAGAACGAGCGCTGGAGAGCCGCCACGAGCTTCTCCTCGAGGTCTACCCTGAATTTCGTCTCACGAAGCCCTTTGGCGCCATCCTTCCTGGGCCTTGCGACATAGCCAAGTCCGACCTCTTCCTGGACGCAGTTAAAGCCGTCCCTTTCGACCAGGACATGCCCCGCCAGGCCATTCTCGACGTCCTCAAGTCCCTTCCACAGTCCTACTTCGACGACTGGCGCACCCAACGCGAGCAGGAGCTCATCGCCTTCATCCAGAAACGCATAGACGAGCCGATCAGCCTGCCCGTGCCCGCCCGCACGGTCGCGGAAGCCATCGGCACACGCACCGTGACCCGCGACATCCTCTCTCTCGCGACCGTCAATTTTTGGTACGGCATGGACGGCCGCGGGATAACGTGCCCCTCCGTGCTCATGTGGCCGCGGTTCGGCGTCCACCATTATGACGACTCGTGGTATTCCTGGAGCACGGAGCGGATTCACTTCGCGAATGTGGGCCAGCTTATGGCGCTGCGCATGGTCGAGCTGCTGGGCAAGGACCCGCACAAGACGACGGCAGAGGAGATGGATAGGCTGGATCCCTGGTATTATATCGACAAACCCGGGAGCATCAAGGATGGCATGCACATCGTGTACTCCTGGCGCTGCGTGGTGCGTCGCCCCGCGCTTGAGTACATCGTGTAGCGGCGGCTGACCATATCACATCCAGTTTCATAACTTCACAGACGGCGCGGACAGGTACCTCAAGCTTCTGGGCGAAGACGACACCAAAGTCGCACGCACGCAGTTCGCCGACCGAGACTGCACTCGGCTAAGGTTCAAGAACAAGGACTCGCTATGCGCGCACTGCGATGCGCGCTTCTCTGCTTCTCCTGAGCTATGGAGTCACCTATTTACCGCGTGCGTGCCTTCACCGCGAATAAGTGTAGGCTTGACTAACACATAATGTAGCCATGACATTGACTCTCCGAGATGGAGGGATTTCACTCCCGGCGTCGACGTCCACTATACGCACTTCAAGCACGCAAGGCTACCGGCGCCGAAGTCTTCGCTCCCCTTCGCACCTAGGGTCCCGCGGCTTGCCAAAGGCGCTCGCATCAAGCTTATACAGGGAGATGCGCCATGGATATGAGGCAGCACATATGTAGTGTGTAAACCATCTTGCCATAGACGCAAGTATACCTGTTGTAAGTGATGGATGTTATCACCAGTCGCATCCGACGCGTGCTCAAGTTGATTACGAGCCAAGACTCTACACCATCTACCAGTATGTATGTAAACGTACGTCCTGAAGATACAATAAACCTATCATGTAGACCCCCGCAATAGATAATGTAAAAGATCGTAACGAAACCAAGAAGAAGAGTGCGCTCTGTGCCAGCAAGGCAACAACGCCTCCCTTAGGCAGTCGCCGACGGCTGCTTTTTGTCCATGGAGTGCGAGTCAGAGACGGAGGCCGTCTCGTGCGACGAGAGCTCCGCATCCGGCGCGCTCTGCGTGTCGCCCATGTGCGGGTTGCGCAGGAGGAGGGAGAAGGCGAGCAGCGGGACGCACAAGCTGTCAGGAGCGTCAGTTGGGTATCGAAAAGGAAGTGATGAGGTGGGCTGACCAGATACCGGTGATGCAGAGCAGGCGTTGCGTGTGCTTGTACGCGGCGACGATGGCCTCCCGCTCGAAGGAGCCCATCTCGTAGAGGATGGCGGTGGTGAGCGGCGAGGCGTATACCTCGGCAGCGAGAGTCGCGTTGCCAAGGCGGGAGGAGAGCTCGCCGGGCAGGACCTACGACAGAGGATCAGCGGATGATTCCGTGAGATTCACAAGCAAAACCCACGTTTGTCCAGATAGCTAGGGCAGTTGTGAGTGACCATTATCACGTCAGAAGCAAATATCGACGTACCACCAGAGATAGACCCGCCAAGGGCGCTACCGATGCTGTACAGCGCGAGGTAGAGCGCGGTGATGACAGCCAAGTCTAAGGCAATCATGAGATAGATGAACAAAGAACACTCGATGGAGTGCTTACGCTCGTGCTTGGTGGCAGCCTGGACACTGGCCTGGGTGGGATACGCGAAGAGACTGGGAGTACAGCGTCAGCGAGGAACGGTTTCATGTAGTCAACTACAGCTTACCCTCCTCCCATACCAAGAACGACCTGCGCACCGACGACGGCCGAGTGTGAGCTCTCGCCGCCACGGAAGCGGATCAACAACCCAAATGCGACCATGAAGAGGCACACGCCGAAGACGATGCTGTCGATCAAATCAGGATGAAGTGAATACAGTGAGAAGCAATCGGACGCACAAAGGCTTGAGGTAGCGCACGTAGCGGACGACGAAGCCGAGGATGACGCCGGTGACGACGCTAGTAAAGGAGTACACGTTCGTGATGCGCGTCGCGGACTCGATGGTCTCGTTGAAGGCGACGACGAGAACGGTGTACAAGTACTCTCCCTATGAGTCGGAGAGAAGTTTACGATCAGAGACAAATACGGTGGAAGAAACCAGATGCGAACCTGAAGGTACCAAGCTAAGAGGAGGGTCAGTACTAAGCTCGACGCATATATAGTCGTACTCACAAGCATTGAGAAGCATGGCGATGCACATAGCGGCCCAGACACCGCGGTCCTTCATGAGCTTTCATAACATGGTCAGCACGCAGTCAAGCCCGACCATCGCCAACCCCTTACCCGGAACGGAATCAAAGGGTGCTTCGCCTTCAACTCCCAGAACAGCAGCACCGGAATGCAGCAGAACCCGATCACCAACATCGCGATAATTCCGCCATCCTTCCACTGGTCCTTCGCCGAGCCCGCGATCGTGAACGGCACGAGGATGAGCGCGAAGACCGCGATGACGAGCACGATGCCGATCACGTCGAGCTGCCAGAAGAGCGCGACGGCGAGGTCGCGCGCGCCGAGGCGCTCGAAGGGCGTCTTGTAGGAATCGAGCGCGCCGGACTTGCGCGCCTGGTAGCCGCCGTACCAGAGTGAGAAGAGGAGCGGGAGGGCGCAGACTGGGGCGGGTGTCAGAGGGAGGACGAGGGGTATGGGGAAAGAGAGACTTACCGAAGTAGATGATGGCCCACATGCCGATGCCTAGACAAGGAGTTAGTGGTCATCGAGGAGGGAAGGAGGGCATACGCACCCCACTGCCAGGTTGTCGCGTCGAGGACGGCGTCGGTGACATTGCCGCTGATCCAGGCATTGATCTGCAAGCTGACTTTAGACGACTGAATGCAATGTGCTGTGTGTGTACTAACCAGGAATGGCGCAGCTGGGATGAATGAGAACAGGACACGGTTCCGGAGCGTCGTCAGATCAGCGACGAGGACCTCCGCGATCAGCATGACGGCGGTGTAGCCAATCTACGCAAAGGTTAGGGACAGTAACCGTGATTGAACGCGGAGACATGCCTGGTACAGGATCGCGCCGCCTGCAAAGGCTCTGACGTTCGCGGAGGACGACTCGACGATGGTGCCTATGGTGGGCGGTTAGTGGAATTCAAGGTAGAGAAAGGCAAGCACTGACCAATGAGGTAGAAGACGACCGAGACGAGGAGCACCTCAAAACGTCCAAAGACGTCCATCAATTTTGCGAGGGTGGGCTGGTAGTGCGGTCAGTTCGCCGCCCGAGTGCCGCTGTGTCGACAAGCTTTACCTGGGCAGCCGCAGCGATGACGGACCGCAAGACATTGACGGTGGCGAGCAGAGAGTGCGTCGCATACGAGTTCGTGGCGTACGTCTGTTTTCGGTGAGAAGATGCGGGCGCAAGTGATGGTCCAACTGACCTGATAAGTGTACCGGACCGTTCCATCCAAACCATATGCATACGCGATAAGAAAGACGCCGACGAAGAGGAAGACCTGTAAGCGTCCTCTTTCGTCAGCTTCCCCACATCCATCCATCAGCATCTCAACATGGCTCACCTTCGTCCACTTCGTGAACGTCGCTGAGATCGCCTCAATGCGCTGAACACCCGGGCTTTTCTCGCCCAAAAGTTGGAATGCGACAGGGCCGGAAGCGTCCATACCTGACTGCGGTCTTCAGGGGAGACGTGGGGGGAGAGGAGGAGACGGGATCGTTCGTCAAGCGCGTTTTATGGGCCTCACGCAGGTGTCACGGCGGAGGCACAAGGATGCGGAGATCGAAGATTTTATCTGATAACCGGCCGCGGCCGGTGATAAAGACTCCGGTCTGGGCCCGCGGCCGCTCGCCCGACCAGGGGCACCCCGCGCCTTCCCGAGTCCGATGGCTGGCAGGGGGAGCCGTGGTGGCGCTGAGCGTCCTGAAGGCCTCCTGAGACGACGCAAGTGGCGTGAAGTCGCATCTAAAAGTGCTGCATGGTTCGATCAACACAAGCGGATCGTTTGGCAGGAAACTGCGCACCGAAGGTCGCGCGTGCTCTGGCTCTCACGGATTGGAGGCAGTCTTTTGCTGAAGAAAAATTGCGGTGCCGTCGCTGCACGTTGCACGCGGAAGAGAGCTTGAGTGCCGTATGGAGGGCGTGCCTGCCGTGCGAGAGATCGCTACCAGGACCCAATCATGCCACGACGTCTGTGGCGAGCTTGCGAGCCGCCGTCCAGCCTCGTCGATTCTTTCTGAGCCATTCGTAGAACTTGGGACCAAAAGGACCAGGAAGAGCATTGATTGCACCCGCCGCGGATGTCGCTACGCATGTTGTGGTACCGCCAAGCCCAAGTCACGAGAAAGGTTGAATGCGCGCGTGGGTTTTGTGGCGCTGGGAAATGCGGGGGATCGGGGCTTTCGGACCGGACGTTTTCGCCAACCATGTCAAGTGCGGTCACTGCTAGACTCGCAAGGAGGCTGCCCTCGTCCTTCGCCAGGCCTATATGTCGCCGGAACTATGCCACAGAGCTTCCCCGCCCTCCTCCAAAGGAGCAGCCTGAGCCCGAGCTCTATCAGCATACGTCTCGCCCGCGTCCGTACGTGAAGATCCCTGCGGCGCCGCGTCGTCCCCTGCCTTCGATACCCGTGCGTGGTCCTCCCTCACCCTCACCTCATTGATTTGGCTTACACGTAGACCGCAGCGCAGATGGCCAGCGGTCCTCGCGTTCGCTGCAGTCGGCGTCGTGGGCTGGGCCGTATTCTTTACCTATGTCACGAACCAGGAGAAGGTCACTAGCTCCGTCGTCCAGCAGATGCTTCGCTCTATGAAGTCCAGCGAGGAGCTGCATGAATATATGGGCGATGCCATTCGCCCCGTCCCGGAGTGGTGGCTGAACGGTGACCCTTGGATTCACGGCAGGGTGAGTGATCGGATATGACCGAATGCTCATTTACTGACCCCCGTGTCTCAGGTCAACCAAATCAACGGTAGCATTGACCTGAGCTTCAAGATCAAGGGCTCAAAAGGTCTGCACGCGTTTCCTCTCCTTTACATTGTGGTTGACCACGTTTGCAGGCTCGGGCACTGTCTACTTCACTAGCGTCAGGAAAGAGAAGGGCGAACCCTTCGTCATTTGTGAGTCTTTGGAAATCCTGAAGCCCACGTCGTACTAACCTCACTGTCAGTGCGCTTCCGGGTCATTGGCGACGACGGCACCATCATCAACTTGACGGCGTAAGCCTCAATTGAGGCGCCGCAGTACGCCGCGCCTGTAACCACCACTCCTTGCATGCTGTATTATATATTACTCCGCAATGGAACATTGTATAGTATGAACGTGAAGGAGCGTCGTCGTCAGAATCCATGCCGTGCAGCAAGAAAGGTCAGGTAAGCCTGTGCGCTCAACGCCTCCTGTGCTTCCTCTTCTTCTCGCAATCTGGGCAATACCACGTCTTCGGAGCGGTCTTCAACCCGATGCAAGTCATGTGGAACTAGGAAGGTAAGTCACACTGGGATAGCGAGTAGGCTGATGGGATAAAACTTACCCATTCGAAGGGACAGTCCTCCTCGTTGTCGCAGCCAATCATCTGTCGAAGATGAGTATATACCCTCTATTCTGGTGAGTATATCTACCTCGCCGTGGCTTGGCTGACGGCAGAAGCAGTACAGCTTGTCGTCCTCCGCCTCCGCCTCGTCGACCTCCATTGCCATGGGCTCCTCGACCGGCGGCTCCTCGATCTCCTGCGCAAGCTGCGACCTCCGTGCCCGCGAACGCTGTGGCGGCGGCGTCGCACTCGCGGCAGGCGACGCAGAGCGCTTATGCTCCGCCCTCGTCGCCGTCTTGCGCCCTGGATGATACGTCAGCAACCCCGGCGGAAAGCGCCACCAATCCCTCGCCAGCAACCGCGACTCACGCTTGTGACTCCCGCTCGTCGAGACGGCCTCCACAGGCGGCAGGCCCGCGTCCGCGACGGGCGTGCCCGCCATCGCGCTGCGAATGCTGTCGCTGATCTGCTGCGCCGCGTTCGCGCCACTCAGCCCCACGTCCGGCTCGCGCTTGACCGCGGGCAGCGGCTCGGGCTCCTCGCCCGCGAGCCTGCGCACGAGCGCGAGGTCCGCGTCGAGGTGGCGGCGCTTGCTGTCGAGCAGGTCGACGAGCCGCTGGCTGAGCGCGCACTTCTCGTCGCACAGCCGGTGCACCTCCGCGTAGTTGCCCATGATCTTGGGCACCAGCGCGGCGGCCTTCGCGGACGAGTCGCCCTGTGAGGGGCGCAGCGTCAGCTTGAGATACTTTGCGTACTCTTTCTCTATGTCGCGCTGGAGGTCTGGGGATGTGTCAGCGGGGCGGGCGAGAGCGATTGTGCTTTTAGTGGCGGACGAAAGAGCGGAGACTCACCAGCCGCGCGCGTTTCTCTGTGCTGTATCTCAGCGAGAATATGGCGGACCTCTTTTGGGAGGTTCTCGAGGCCTGGCGCTCGTGAGCCACAGGACCGTCAGGGGGATAAACATTGAGGAGCCTACCATAAATAAAGTCCGCGGTGATGTTGGAGGCCTGCTCGATGTCCTGGCTGTTCGGGTTGAAGAAACTCATGATATATCGTGAAGTCTGTTAGCGGTGCGTGGTGAGAAAGAGCGCCATCAGAGCGTGTGAGCGGCGCCGGCGGGCAGACTCGGCACCAAGGCGAGACTTTCGGCCTGGGCGGTGGCGAGAAAAACGCGCTGCTCAATGCTTACCTAGACGTGAGTGAGTAGACGAAGAGGAGGACGAGGAAGAGAAGACAGTGTGGCGTGAACGGTAAGACAGTGGTTGAGGTTGGGGATCAGAGAACTTTCCGGTGGTGACGGTTCGTGTTCGCGGATGCAAATGATGGCGCTATGCCATATGTAGTAATTGGTCACATGACTCAAGTTGAACTTTCTCCGCATCTTCTCACCGCCATCAAAGCCCAGTTCGACCTCGGGACCTGTTGTCGCTCACGCCGCTTGGAGTGCGCTATGTCAATGTATTGACTTTATGACGTACGCAGAAATCTTGTTTGCGATTGCATCTCGTTTAACGCAGATCATCGAAGCCCGGGGGACTTTGTCGAAGGGCTCAACTTAGCAGACACGAACCAGGCGCCACTTCATTTAGAGTACTGTACACCACCTGCCTGCCTCTCGCTCATTCGCATCGCTAAATGAAGGCACGGCCAGTCACAAGATTCGTACATACCGCGCACAGCGCGTCCTTGAGTCATAAATATTGCAGACAGTACGAAACAACCAAAATACCATAGGGAGGAAATGCACCTGGCATCGGCGTATTGAGAATAGAGAAGGCGAGAGTGTGTGTAGTGGGTGAGACGTGATAAAGGAGTGGGAGAAAGAAAGGAACGAATTGGTGCGATATTACTAGGCCCGGCCCTTACCCTTACCCTTCTTTGAAGGCCCTGCCTGCGGCCCTTCGTCGTCGTCGGAGGGGTCAGGATCATCCTTCTTCTTGCCCTTGTTCTTAACAGGCGCCATATCCTTCGTCTTCGGCTTCGGCTTAGTCTTCCTCGCCCTCTTTGCCTTGGGAGGCTCGGGTGCGTCGTCGCCGTCATCTTCCTCATCATCGTCGCGTTCACGCTTGGTCTGCTTCCCGCGAGAGCGCAAGTTTCGAGCGGGCGGATCGGAGGGCGCACTGGTACTGGTAGACGCCGCGGGTGGCTGGACGGCTGCCGTCGCATTCGCATTCTGTGTTGGGCTGGCGCGAGCGGCTGCCCGTGTGCGCCTGCGCGTCGCTGGCCGCTTCTGAATCTCAGGACCGCCGGTGGTGTCGGGCGGCGGAGGCGCGTCTTGAGACGAATTGTTGCCGGGTGTAGACGTAGCCTGAGTAGCTTGAGGAGTCATCGCGGTCATGGGCGGAGCAGCGGACACCGTATCACCCTGATGTACATCCTTCGAAGGTTCCTCCTCGTCAGGTGGAGTGGAACCTGAGATCGACGAGGTAGACGTAACCGGGGGTTCATGCGCGGGATCTGGCTGAGGCGTGTTCGCATTGAGTGGGTCCCCCGAGAGAGCGAAGTCGGCTAAGGCTTCAGTCACAGAGGCGGTGCTGAGCTCGCGGGAAATCTGAGCAGGCGTCGGCGTTGTTTCCTCGTGTGTGCTACCCGCAGACGCGGTCGGAGTAGAAGCAGACGGCACTTCTTCGTCAAAGAAATTCTCATAGTCTTCGGGCTCGTTGCCCTCGTCATCGGAGTGCTCATCTTCCTCGAGGTCCCCGAGGGCGTCGTCTTCCGGGGCGCCGTCGTCGAAGTCGTAGTCGGGAGGGTCCGAGTAGCAGGGATTAGACGAGGTGATTCGGACTGTCATTGGCTGTCCTGGATCGAACGAAGCTGCATCGCCCTCGGGGTCGTCCACCGGGGAAGACGGAGTCATCGCTGCTGAAGTAAGAGTTCCCATGATCGACGACTGTGCCCCAGCTGCCGGAGAATGCGTCGTAGTACGTTCCGCGGGAGTCGGCGAGGATGAGAGTGGCGTGAGTGGCGAAGTCGGGACCAAACCGTCGTGCGTGACTGCGCGCTGAGCGAGGGGAGGCGCCATACGGGGGGCAGGAGCGCCACCGGTGCCAGCGCCGGCGGTCGCGGCCTTCTTGGTCGTCTTCCGAAGCTTCATGGGGTGTTGCCTCTTGCTCTGCGCGATGGCGAGTCTATGTGCGTCGTCCCGCGGAATCACCCAGTGCTGGAGTTTAGGCCACATAACATTTCGGAAGTAGTCGACGTCTTCGGGGGGAATATCCTTGATGTAAGAGGGATCGCTCGCCTTGTCATATACTCGGAACTTCATCTTGAGGAGGTAGTCGTAAATCGCGAAGACCGGGTTGATGTGACTGACTACCGTGTAGTTACGGCCAGCACGCAGAATATGGATGGTTGGATCGGCGTCACTGGTGGGCGGTGGAGCGAAAGAACCGATGTATACGCCCTTCCGCTTCATAGATTCCTTCAAGCCGTGTATATCAATCTTGGCCAGCAACGAATCCACGTAGTCCTCGAGTAGCGTCCGCTTCTCCGGATCTAAGTGTTCGTACGTGCGATCGGGGCTCGGATACCGCCCCCAAGAGAACTTGTGCTTGTTGGAGAATCCGTATACGGCGAGCTTGTGGGCCACATCGGGGTAAAGCTGCGGCATTGAATGAGCCTAGAGTACTTCAGACTCTGCAGTAGCACGCACCTCTTCGTAATCCTTTCCTTGATTTTCGGGCGCTGTGATATAGTCGACCTCCTGTTCCAAATTCGCGGGAAGAAGAGCGAATTCCCCTTGGCCGAGTTTGTCCTTGAGCACAGATGGGCCATCGAAGAACTTGTGTAAGCCGCTGCTGGCTATACACGGAGATGAGCAAGAAATAAGGCTCTAGTAGCAGGAAGACGCACCCATGTCCACGTTTCTGCTGTTGTTCAGATTGAGAACCCGTTTACCGTCAACGCCGACGATGCCGATGGCATCCCGAAAGCAGCTATACTGTGACCAGCGAGTCAGAGGTGGATGCGAAAGCAAAAAAGTGACTCACCTCTTCCCAGTGTGTATTATGCAGAGACCTTGGAACGACGTGGAAGGCTTGTAGGATATACTCAACGTGCATCATGCCTGTGAGCAGGCATGATGCATATCCGATGACGGCAAAGATCTTCTCCCTGAGATTTGGAGCCCGTTCATCGGGGGTCTGCTGCTTGGGAGTCTCCCGATACAAGTAAGAAAAGTCATATTGAGGGTTCTGAGGAGGCTGAGGAGTCTGCAGGGGAGGCCGAGATGGCTCGCCTCCGAGCTCAGGCGTGTCGCTGCCGGATGCCATGGTGGCGGTTCGAGAGGAAAGGGTGGCGAGAGCAAGGGGAATCACCTCTATTTATGTATCCGAGTGTTTCGCATATCCCATTGTCCAGTGCCCGGGGTGGCCAGGGCATGTGTGAACCGGCGATAACTATGCCCATAAATGGTAATAGTTGGAAGCGCACCGATGGCCCCGCGGTTCATAATGACGCTCGGCAAGTGGGCGAGTATGTTTCAGAATCCAGCACGCGGCTACTTGCAGACCGGTACCAAAGACCAAGTTAGCGAACAAAGGGCGGTCGTCGTTTGAACAAAGCAAGAACAAAGAACGTGTTATTTGGCGTTGCTTTTCTGGGAGGCTCTAGAAGTGGCAGTTTCGGCCCGAAGGTCCGCGACATCATTTCCTCGTGTTCCCTGCCGCCATCTCCATTCCATTTCGCTCTCCGTATGTCTACGCCAATGTACATGTGCGAAGATTATCGAGAGGATTCATACTGTGTTATTTCTGGCACAACGGATGACCTCACTGATTGTCGCTGTATATCCTTGGATTACGAGAAGGAACTGAAAAGTGAGGTATGACCTCTACCTCTTTCTCTTTGTTTCCATAGATACTGACTGGCCCAGTATCTCGTACAACAAGAATGGCTCTTATGCCTACCTCGAGGCGGACTGCCTCGCTACCTCAGGTCACGCGAGAATCGCGTTGTCCGTATGTTCATCTAATTTTCGAAGTGAAACAGTATTTACAGATGTTTGCGCAGTAAGAGACGACATCAGCGATCTTTACAGTCGCAGCGAATTCATTCTGGCTCCGACATACAAGACGTACCTTGAAATGATGAAGTCCATAGATATGGGGGGCATCAAAAGGCGTAAAGAGAACGACCTGACGCCTCGTCGTCCAATGAGTTCGGTGAGGTCCAATCCTCTTCGTACGCGCTGCAAAGTAATACTTAGAAATGATAGATGACGTCCCTCAAGGGCTTATATCGATACATCTACATCCCGTGCACCGACGCCGCCCGCGCTCTCCAGGCAAAGTATAATCTGCAGCCTCAGACGCAAGAGGACCTGAACTATGGCATCTCACCGCTCAATGGTCAACCGTATCCCGTCGGAAGCGATCAGTTCCCTGTCGTCGAGTGTCACACGCATCCCTTTTCCATATGCATGCTCGCGTACAACCAGCTGCGCAGCCGATGCACGACGCTGACAGGCCAATGGCTTGCCCTCACCGGTCGCATCATGGACTTGCGATTCAACAAGGACGCCATTCCTCCCCTTTGGTTCATCAACTCGCCGAAAGTCGACGAAGATGACGTGGAGCTCTCGCCCGACGAAGCAAGCGGCTACGACCCAGTCCCCTCGTCCGGCGAATACGCTATCGAGCCGACCACTATCCTCCGCGAACCCAAAATCCCCGACACCGACCCCCGAAAAGCGGTCGCCGACTGGGCATGCAACAAGATAGACCCCAAAGCGCCGCCCCCGCCAGAGACACCGCCGCGCATAGAGTACAAGCTGCGGCGCTCTGTCCGTATCCGGCGCAAGGCGTGTCCATACGGCCCGCCCTCTCCTTGTCGAAGCGGTCCGCCGCCGTCGCCAACACGCCATGTCCCTCGCGCGCTTGCCACTTGCCGCCGAGACCTCAGACGAGTGCCCCCGGCGTGGGTCGGGCGCAATGGACGCTTTCCGACGCACAACTTCTCGAGCAACGACTGGTCGTTCTTCTGCTATGGCTTGAATTTGGCGTACACGCCGCCATCTGGGGGTTCGTAACCCTGGTCTGTGGGCTCGTACCTCGTCTGTGGGTTCGTAGCCCTCCATCCCCTCGACATTGGACTACGTCGCCTGTACAGTCCGGTCGCGTGGTATTCGCTACCGTATGACGACCCACCACATGGAGCGCCTCCATACGCCCACTGGGCATGACGCCTACCCGAATATCGACCGGCTATCCGCGAGGCGCGACCTCTACGTGAGCGAAATGTCGCCACCCTCGGAGGCCCTTGCCCTCGCGCGCTAGGCCAGCGATTGAGGCCACGTTCCCCAGCCTCCGCTCGTCCTTCGGCCTTCTGTTGATACGCTAGGGAGCTTGCTTATGCCCTTCCATGATCCCTTCCATCGAGTCGCCACTACGATCGCTCGCCGAGATCGAATGCTCCCCCTCTCGCGCTTTCTGCGCGCCTGACAGTGGTCTCCAGTCCTCAGCTCATCTGCTCGAGTATTGGCATGACGCCGAGAGGTCGAAGAATGTGACATACGCACCCAAGAGGTCGGGCGAAGCTGACCCGGAGGCGGCGCTCGAAGAGCTGGGCCTGCGATTCGACCAATGCACGCACCCCACGACTTTCAGGATGCTATGCTAGCGGTCCCCCGAGGGTCAGTCATTGCGACTGACCTAATGTGCTCGCGCGCCCGCTCACTCGTGGTCGTCCTTTCAACCTTCAAGTTCGAATATGAGGGCCCACGCCGCAATGTGCGCTCGAGTCGCGCAAGTTGTATCAGCGTATGCTGTATAAGCTATGCAGCAGGGAATGATGCGTGTATGCAGAGCTCGCGTGCAGGCCTGTCTCGCCTGTCGAGCGCCTTGGGGCACGCCACACACACTTGGCGACTCGGCGGCGATCTGCAGGCTCATCGAGCAATCAACACAACATAGAATGGTCGTCGCCAAAGGTAGAATATAACTGCTCTGTATCGAATGATTTACTATACAACAGAGGCTTTGGTCCTTTGCACATCCGCCCCAGCTTCGAACCTCCACATTGCTTATCGTTATATTTGGCTTTGTTTGTTTATGACCTATCGGACCGCCAGGACCGGGGAAATCCAAGTCGTTGCCTTTTCCTTCTTACCATTGTGTACGCATGTCTGCGACACACCATTACCGTGACGAACTGCTATGTCCTATCTCAGGATTTACCACAGACGTACTTAGCTGCCCGCTTATCCCTCCAGAGGCTGCAGCGGCCGATAAATCGATTGTAAGTCGCTCCCTTCCTTAGTTCACCATTTCTCATGAGGCGTGAATGAACAGGTCGCATGCCAGGAATGGATCTTTGGTCTTCGACGAGGGAGCTTCGCTCACTATCTGCACTCTACCGAGAACTACGCGACATGTAATTTCACTGCGCTGCCACTCAGTTTTTATTTGGCGACTTACATGCACGTTAGTCCACAAAGATATCGCGGAGATGTTTGGGAGGGGCGAATTCCTCCTCGCGCCCACGTACAAAACATATCTCGATGCTATGCGCTTTCTAGACTGCGCTGGCCGCAAAAGCCGGAGAGCGAACGATGCATCGTTTCGTCGACCAATGTCTGCAGTGAGTTTGTCCATACACAATCGAGGAGTGTCATTACTGACCCGCACAGCTCGCTCCTGCGAATGGTCTATACCGCTACGTATTTATCCCATGCACGGATGCGGCACGCGCTCTCCAAAAGAAGTTCAACCTACCTTTGCAAACAGAAGAAGACTTGAACGGTGGTATCAGTCCGGTGCACAACAAGCCCTTTCTCGAAGGGTCCGATCAATTCCCTGTCATTGAAAGTCTTGCGCACCCGTTCTCGATCTGCTCCTGGGCGGACACTCGATTCTGGCGAAGATCCACGTCGCTCACCTCGCAGTGGCATGTTCTATCGTCGCGTATCGTCAACCATTGGCTGTACAAGCAGATCAAGCCTCCAGCGTGGTTCGTCGATGCTGCTAGCTACCTGAGGGACGACGAGGACCTCACACCTTCTGAGGCGACTGGTTATATCATCTCCCATCCCCCACACGTCGCGCGCGATCACGTCGAGATCCTCAAGGACGTTACTATCGAAGAGGATAACTACTGCAAAAAGTGCGCCAAATGGGCATCGAGCATACCTCCCAATGCGCCACCTCCCAAGGAGGACCCTCCTCAGTCTGTCTACCGCGAGCGCCGTTCGATACGCATCGCAAAGCGTGTTCATCCGTATCACCGCCCGCCCCAATCATCTCCGCCCGACGTAGACTGCTCTGGCCCGCTCCCATCGCCAACACGCAAGAGTCGCCGGGCGCTGCAGACGTGCAAGCGCGACCCCATCAAGAATCCGCCGTCGTGGGCAGCGCGGAACGGGAGTTACCCCACGCAAAATTTTTGCAGCAACGACTGGGCGTACTTCAGGTACAATGTCTATCTCGCCTCGTTCGCCGGCAGGTAGCACGCGCTGGGGACTCGAGTTCTCCCTTGAACTGCTGTCGTTCCTTGAGGAATTCTGGCGCGCAATTCCCCTTTCGACTCGCCCTAGCTGCCTCTGACCAGTCCCTACCGGCTCCGCGCACTTGCACATCACGGCGTCTCATCCACGCTTTGGGCGCGGCTCTCTAGCGCTCTCCCAGTCCGCAAGGCCATCTCGAGCTCGCGAGCGTTGCAAACCAACTTCGTATCATGAATAGCCAGTCCATCAATTCAGCCTCGTTGCCAGTTGCCCCTCCCTTCAAATGAGACAGATTGGCCATGACTGACTGCCAGATATACCCGCGGTTTTAAACTCCTACCTGCGGTTCTAAACTCCTACCTTCAGGTGTGGCCCGACCGCCGATATTACTCAGTACAACCTCAGCGCCAGCGAAGGGAGGACCTTTGTGTCTGTATTCAGGGTTGGCGGCGAATCGCAACGTCCCCGACGCGCTCCTCGCCTGCTGTCGTAACTACGAGGTCGACTCGCCCTGCTGGATGGAGCGGAATGGCGGGTTCCTGACGCATGCGTTCTCGAGTTGGGCGTTCGTTCAGTACGGGAAGCATCTCTCGGGCTCGTCAAAGACGTGGCTGCATGCATCCCTTGCCTGACTCTGGTGTCGGCAACCCCTTCGATAGCCGCTGCCTAAACCGCTGCCCGCGCGCGTCATACTCCCAGGGCGTCTAGTGATCGCTTAGGTATGTATGATCGCTGCCTGACACCGCCGTCAGACTGGGAGAGCACCTCGCGCTGCCTTCAGAGTCAGACGGTGCACGATGGACGACGCCTACGCATGCGGAAGACAAGACTGCGCAAGACCGATTGGTATGCTAGCGGGGATTGGAGTAGGGCACATGGGGACAGAACACCACACTCCCAGATTGACTTGGCTTCGCAGTCAGGCTTACCGGAAAACAGCTCAGCTTGGATGCACCCATGATATCTGAGATCGCTGACCACGGCGGTCTTGCCTAAGGCAACACAGCGCTGAAGTTGCAGCACCGAATGCAGACTCAACGTGAGAGTTTGAACAGCAGGGGTTGAATATGATTCCTCGCGCGCATTTGGGGAGCCGGGCAAGGTCGTGGATGGCGAGCACGAGCGGTGCCTACAATAAGGCTTGAAGATGAGCTGAAATAAAGACCTGTCCATTCATGTTGACGCAGAAGTTTTTGAGGACTTTGGATGAAAACGCGGGCGGACGCGACGGATCGAACCTGGACTAGCCAGAACGCATGCGCTCGAATTGACGTTGTTTACACTCTGCGACTCTGCGAACCTGCTCTACAGTCCATATGCCTCTAGTGATGCGCCTCCTTGGCCAGCTGAGCGGCGTAGGGGTTCCTCGGGTCGTGGATGTACTCCGGGGCTGGGGAAGGACGCGAGGTTAGCTACACCAGCACGCGTGTTAGGGTTCTGTGACGCACAGCGGATGGCCTTGGCCTGGATGGCAGAGACGCCGTAGGTGACGAGGCCCGCGGCGGCGAGGAAGGGCCACATGGGCTTAAGGAACTATACGGGGTCGGACGGTCAGCCCAGGTGTTCAGCGCGCGTAAAATGCGGGAACGCACGGGCGTGGGCCACTTGCGGAGACCGAGGAAAGACATGATTTCTTCGAGGAGATATGTTAGGGTATGTCGGTGAGCAAGACGGGGTCGACGACGAACTCTGAGGATCTGAGTCGACGAGCAGCCGGAGAGATGAGTGCAAGAAAGTCAGTGACCGCGTCGGGCAGGACCGCCGACAGCGTGGGAAGACTTGCCTTGATCGGGCGTGCGCCCACAACGGTCCACTCCTCAAGGCCTCACAACCTGAACTTGGACGTCCACGTCGCGATGTGCCCGTGTTCTTCAGCTCATACTTTGGTGCTATGCTTAATACCAATTTCAATGGGATGTGCTCTTGACGATGCTATCTGAAGCCCATGCATCTACGCGTCGAGTCAACCGGTCTGCCTGACGCCGAGTCTCTCTTCAGACGTATATTTAGGCCCTTGCGGCAAGCCAACCTGTGCTGCTTGACTCTTCCTGAGGTCCTCGCCGATGACTCTTTTCCTTGTCCCATTCAACCGCGCCAGGGCGCCCAGGGCGCCCAGGGCGCATCAGGCGCATCAGCGCCCTCTGACTCATGCCGGTCCCGCCTCCCGCCCTCCCCGCCCTGGCCCCGCCGTCGACGCCCTGATTGTTATCGCCAGGCGCGGCGGTATATATGGCGGACAGAAAAGGTATGCTGGGACGTCCTGAAGCCCATTACATTCTCATCAGACATATCGCTCGTCGATATACTCCTCACCAAAATCTCCCTCCCCATCAACATCTTCCTCACATAATGTCCACAGGTCTACGTCGCTCGAGTCGCGTAAAGGCAGTCTCTGCAGTCGCCGAACACCCCAGCACGCCCAAGCCGAAGTCGACAAAGGGCAAGAAGCGTGCCCTCTCCGACGACGAGGATGAGACGAAGCCCACTCCTGCTCCGGTCAAGAAGAGGACCGCTCCTCGGTCGGATGGCACGCCTCGCCGTGCTGACGGGCGTGCCATCGTCGTACCCCCGGACAGATGCGTCCCTGGGATAGGTTAGCAATCGCTCGCTCGGTACGTTCGGCGAGATAACGGTGGGCTAACATATCGCTTAGGTCCCCATCAGGTCTACGTCGATCCCAAGGGGACGGTATACGATGGTATGATACAACACCATCTTTCTCTCAACAGATTTAATCATGCTTTCGCAGCCATGCTCAATCAAACGAACGTCGACGGCAACAATAACAAGTACGTCTTCCTTCCGCTTTTTGTCATCGCCTCCTTCTAAATCCACCGTCTCTGCCCAGATTCTACATCCTCCAACTTATCCTCGACCCCTCTTCACCACCGACAGAACCGCGAGCCTCCCTCTTCACTCGCTGGGGCCGCGTCGGCGAGACCGGCGCCTCGCAGATGAAGGGGCCTTGGCCTGTCGCGGACGCCGTGGCCCAGTTTGGCCGGCAATTCAAGGCGAAGACGGGAATCGAATACGCGCGGAGGAAGAGTGCGGGGGCGAAGAAGGGTGAGTGGACGTTTATCTTTCCTTGCTTCCGCGACTTCCGTCGGGAGGAGGAAGAGAAAGGGGACGATGGCTGACCTGTATCCGCAGGCAAATATACATGGCTTGAGAAGGAATACGAGGATGCGGAGGCTGATGATCAGTCTGCTGGTCCACCGAGTATCAAGAAGCGCAAGACGAACACAGAGGCCCCAGCGCCTCCGCCGGAGAGCAAGCTCCCGCCCGAGATCCAAGCCTTGGTGCGGTTCTTGTTCAACAAGGAGTACGTCTGTTCTTCGGGCCTTCGTATCCCTTCCTCCCCTTTCACTGTCAGCGGCGTGGGCTAACCCACCCCCACCCCCCTAGCTACATGCACGCCCACCTCGCCGCGCTCAACTACGACGTTCGCAAGCAGCCGCTCGGCAAGCTCGCACAGTCGACAATCCTGCAAGGGTTTCAGGCGTTGAAGGATCTCGCCGAAGTCATCGCGGAGCCTGACGGAGAGAAGAGCACGGCGCTGGGCGGCCTGAGGACCGCATGCGCAACGCTGACGAGCCGGTATTATACGTGAGTGGCGAAGACGTCCTGCGGGTCAACGGTGCGGGAGTGGCGCTGACGCACGTCGTCTGCAGTGTCATCCCGCACGTCTTCGGTCGGCGCATACCCACCGTCATCGACCACGACGCCCTCGTCAGAGCCGAACTCGACCTCGTCAGCTCGTTGAGCGACATGGCGCTCGCGGCGCAGCTCGACTCTGCTACTCGCTCACGCTTGTCCATCGATGCGTCGTTCTCTACTGCCTCGTCCTCTTCCTCGTCCCCTGCCTCTCGCGGCATTTCTGCTTCGGCTGCCACTCCCAACCCCGCCCACCCGCTCGACGCCAATTTCGCCTCCCTCGACCTCAAGTCTATCGCCGTCGTTGAGCACACGTCCGCCGAATTCGCCGCCATCGCGGCCTATGCGCGCGACACGAACGAGGACATCGATGGATGGCATGTATCGCAGAATATGCAGGTGCTGGAGGTGTTCCGGATCGAAAGGTGCGTAAAGGACTTTGACTTGTGCGTCAGGGTCTTCAACCTGAGGCTTCAGGTTTGGTCATCTTGTAAAGGAGAGGTTTTGCTGATGCTCTCATCCCAGAAAAGGCGAAGAGCAGCGCTGGATCAATGGCGGCTGGGCGAACGCGGGGGAGAAGCAGCGCCTACTACTCTGGCACGGCAGCCGCGCGAGCAATTTTGTCGGCATACTCAAGCAGGGCCTGCGCATCGCGCCCCCCGAGGCACCGGCGACGGGGTACGAGTTTGGCAAGGTGAGTAACGATCTATCTTTCCCCTCTGCAGTCTTTGTTCATCTGACGGTACCTGCAAGGGTGTCTACTTCGGCGACATGCTCGGGATCAGTGCGAACTACACGCACGCTAGGTCAGTACACATCATGATATACGACGAGTCGGCCGGAGTTGACGCCCGATACATCACATACAGCTTGAGCGGCAACACCGGCCTGCTTCTCCTCTGCGAGGTTGTCGCGCAGCCGTACCACGAAGCATACGAGTTTGACTTCCAGGCGGACCAAACGTGCAAGAAGAATGGGAAAGTGTGCGTTCTGTCTCATTATGCGCTATGATTCAGGTTGAATGAACATCTCTTCCGTAGCGCCACCAAAGCCCTCGGCAAGATGCAGCACGAAGACTGGGCCGACGCCGGGGAGAAGCTCGGGCGCGACGATCTTCGGGGCGTGCTCATGCCTGGTGGTCACGCGAAGGACCTGTCGAGCACGTTCCCGCGGCCGAGCGTAAAGTGCGAGGATAATTGGAACGAGGTGAATATGTACTCTATCGCGCAGTTGTGGTCGCGAGAGGGTGCAGTCCCGAGGGTAGAAAATGGACTGACGAACTTCGCAGTATATCGCGTACGACGTGTCCCAGATCCGAATGCGTTACTTATTGCAAGTCAGGCTATGATCTGGGCGGATATACATGGACTAATTCAAAGGACTGTATTGGTGTGGTATCAGTTGAATGTAATCTTTTTTTTTGCTATCCATGGCCTCGTCTGTGGCTTCCACTGAGGGGTCTGGCGGCGGGATAGCCTTCTAGTCTCTGAGCTGGTTGTCGACTTACTTGTTCCCATTGTCCGAATCTCGGAGCCGTCGTCCATCACGGCCACGGCGTTAGCGGCGCCGTCGTCTGTCTCCTGTCCCGCCACCTCCTGTCCCGCCACGCCGATGCCGCGCCTCCGAGACCACCGTCGTTATCACCGTCGACAGTCGTCGGCTGTCATTCACTGTCCACCATCGTGACGGCGGCATCTCTGGATCGTCTTGGCCATCGAATATATTCCGGCGATGCATCTCGGATTTACCGACCGTCGGCAGGGATTTTCTGCCGCCCAATTCAATGGGATGGGTCGGCAAACAACCCATCGAGGATCGGGAAGCTCGGCAAGTAGAGAAAGGGCTTGGTAACGGAGACGGACATCAGGTCAGGTGGACGGGTCGACTGCCGGAGCGGAGGCGGAAGGGGGCAACATATCCCCGGTTGCCCTCCTCCGGGCGTGTGCCGTCGCGGTAGGCGCCCGACGCTGAAACCTCCCCAGAAATTTTCTGTTGCTCACGAGGAGGACGGAGGGGCGGGCAAGCACACGGTCTGCCTCCACTCGTCCAACCGCTGACCGGCGCTAGCGCACCGAACCTTGAGAACCACACACGTCGAGTCCACAAGCACGCGTGGCGCTCCTGCTCGCCGTCCAGTGAAATCAACCCAGCAACTTCGTGTTGTCCTCGACCCAGCGAAGAAGAGATCGCACGTACGCGGTTCCAGCCCATACCATACATATATCGCGCGCTGGCTAGCTGTTGACGCCGCTTCCCACCCCGCCTTCCCCCGCGCCCTGCCCCGTATCGCACTCACGCCCTCCCCGTATCTCTCCCAGGCCCTCCCCGCGCATCCCACCCTAAGCTATCTCCCACCCCGCCATCCCCCGCAGTCCGCGTCGTATCGCACCCTAACCCACCCCCGCGATATCCCCTCACCCCCACGCTGATCCTCCGCTCCTCTCCGCAGTCCTCCGCACTTCGCGGGGGGCGGCGTACACGCCCAGGACCCTTGATGGGGGTGGAGAACGTCCGCGCGGGGAGAGGGGATGTCGTACAAGTTGCACACGACTCTTGACGCGAGCAGGAGACTTGCTGATGAGACGAAGTCATTACCCGAGTCGAAGCTGGAGCCCGGTAGATGTTGATCACACTCGCGCGGATTTCGTAGTCATGTCATGAATGCATTCATTGCGAGACTATGTATGTAGCTAGTAGGAAAAAATGCAGCGCTGCTAAATGCATACAGAGACAGAGCGATGATGAGGTTAGTAATAATACAATGGTGAAGAAGATGCAATCATCTACTTGTCATTCATCTAGATATATCATCTAGGATGGTCGTCGTGCCTCGGGGATATAGGTGCTAGTAATACACATTAACGCGGCAGAGGTGCACGAGCGTCAAGCAAAGCGATGTCGCAGCTAGAAAGTGTTTTCCGGGATACGAAAAGTATGCATGCATACGACATCCGATCACTGGCTCTGCACCGAGCCGACGTGCTTCTCCTCGTCGAGGGCAAGACCGTACTGCGCCGCCTCGCGCTCGACCTCGGCGTGCGAGAGCTTGGGCATCGTGTTCGCGACGTGCACGTACCACTCGCTGTTGGTGAAGCCGCGCGCGAAGATGACGTCGATCTCCTCGAGCGAGCGGCCCTTCGTCTCGACGTAGAAGAGCGTGATGAAGGGGAAGAAGCAGAGGTTGACGATGCCGAAGAACAAGAAGGTGCCGAAGCCACCCCAAGCGGCGAGCATGGGAGGCGTCCACATCACGACGGCGAAGTTCCAGGACCAGTTGGTCATCGTGGAGATGGCGTTGGCGTTGGTACGGATAGCGTTGGGCGAGATCTCGGCGGGGTAGAGCCAGGGGAGCTCGAGCCAAGTGCTAAAAACGAGGTCAGGAATGGATAACACTCGAGCAAGAAATCACATACCAGCCGAACGCGATCAGGAACAGGAAGAGACCAACGACAGCGCCGTACGTCGCGCTGCTGTCCTTGTCATCCAAGACATCGTACGGGATGAGGCAGGCCATGGAGAGGATCTGTACGAGGCGTCAGACGGTGATCGAAAGCGCGTGCTTGTACGAACTCACCATAGCACCGGCCTGGCCAGCGGTACCGAACAAGAACATCTTGCGACGACCGAGGCGCTCAATCATCGGGTACGAGAAGAAAGCAGCCAAGGCGTAGACCGTCGCGTTGACACCACCGAGAATAAGCGCAAGACGACGCTCCAAGCCGATGTAGTCCTCGAAGATGACAGGGCTGCAGGCAAGTTAGACGGACAAGGGACGCACGGGAAGGGAAAGCACGTACGCGAAGTAGATGACGGCATTGCAACCACCGATCTGCTGGAAGAGCTGGCTGGACGCGCCGACGAGCGTACGGCGGAGATGCTGCGACGGGCCGCCAGTCAAGACGTGCTTGATCTCGAGCTGGCCGATGGACTCGAGAGCCTCGACGATGACGCGCTTCTGGAGCTGCGTGTCCTCGTGGTCGGTCGGCAGAGCAGAGAGCGCTGCGACGACGTTCTCACCCTCGACGTACTGGCGGGTCGAGAGGAGGTAACGCGGGGACTCCGGGAGGTAGAGAGTGCCGAAGATGAGGATAACGGCGAAGATGATCTGAAGGCCAATGGGGAGGCGCCAGGACAGAGACGTGTCGATGTACGACAAGCCGAAATCCACCCAGTAGGCGATGACGGTGCCGGTAGCGATCATGGAGGCCTCGATACAGATGTGCAAGCCACGGTTGTGCGACTTGGAGCACTCTGCTTGCCATGACGGGATCGTCGCGGTGTTAAGACCGTTGCCGAAGCCAGTGACGATACGACCGATGACGAACTGGTGGCCAGCGAGGTGGCTAGAGGCGAAGTCAGCGACGGCTCGAACACGAAGACGAGGGAGGGGACATACCCAGGTATACAGGTGATCTGGATAATGGTGCCGATGATCACCCAGAAGCCACCAGCCATGATGTTCTTCCGACGACCGAGCTTGTTACCGAAAAGGAGAGCGAAGATGGCGCCTGCGAGGCAGCCAACTTCGTAGATCGCCGTGTAGAATGCTTGCATGACCGAAGCCTGGTTCTTCCCCACGTTCGCGGGGTTGAGATCAGGGAAGATGCGGAAGAACTGTGGGGCAGAGACAATGCCTGACATGACTCCCTGGTCGTAGCCGAAAAGCAAGAAACCTGAAGACGCGTGAGGGGGGAGGAGGGTAGGAGGACGCGCGGGGGACGTACCACAAGTAGCGATCCCGGTGATCATCAAAAGGAGGGGGTCACCGGCGAGCCCCATGTAATGGGGGACTCCATTCTGGAGGACGAGTTAGAGAAAGGTTGAAGTCCGACGAGGAAAAGAGTGCACCTTGACGCGGGCCCGTGTTTGGGCCTGGCCTTCGTTGATGGACTCGGAGATGGTCCTCGTCTCCTCCTTCTCTTGCACCTTGTCTGCGCCGTTTCGTAGGCCGCTCATGATGTCGCGGGGTTCGAGTGTGGGTGTAGAACAGATGTGCAGGTTATCACAGGTGTCGTTGTCGATTGAAAACCTGGAGAGAAGGACGGGGGAGGGCGTGAAGAAGGACGGTGACCGGGACCCACTTATATATCGACAGACGAGCGCCCATTACCTAATTCTGAGTTACCGCAAATTGGAAAGTGGCCAAGAGGAGAAAACATGGTTGTGGAGCAGGGCAAAAACGAGGGGGCTTTGTTTTACCAATCGATGGATTTGTTGTCAATTGCTGATCGGCAACTCTCGGAAATTCTGGACGACCTTCAGAGGCTTACAGGATGCCTTCCCCTCGTATTCGAGCAAAAGAATGACCATGAAGTACGAGGAAATAAGGAATTCGACCCCCAACCTCCGCCTTGTTCGCCCCGGACCGTTCTCCGACCGGATCATCAACCTGTGACGTTCGCACTTTCGAGCCCGGCTCTCACGGGGATAACAAATGCCGTTGCCGAGATATTAGATCTCAGATCTGCCTCTCCTCCCCGTCGCTGACCACCGTCCGACATGGAAAAACAGATCAGGTCCGACGCCCAGGCAGCCAGCCCGTCCACACGCACATCCACTCTTCCACCCGGTCGGACGCGAGCCCGCGATAGCTGGGCCTGTCCCGAAGCCATCGTCCGCTCCAACGACCCGCGCCACTGCGTGTGAGCCGCGTCTGTTCGCTGAACTCATCATGATCCATCGCTTCGCAAATTCACGCGCCATGGACGCGCCTCGGCGGTGGCTCTCGCGCCCTCTCACGAAGCGTTGACGTCGGGCCTTCGACGTCGGTAGGCGCGGAACTTGGAGGCGCGGGTTCAGAGTCGAAGATCGAACACGGACCTGGACCGTAGCTCTTGTTCCCGCGGCTGCAGTGCGGCTTCCCCCTCCCGACATGAAGGTGAGAGCCCTCGCAGATTCGACGGCCCGTACCTGCGGGGTACGTGGGGAAAGCATAGGTATCGCAGCAAGCCGCAACCCGACAACGGTTTGCCTCTCAGGCCTTGCGCCGCGGGGAATCACCCACCGATGTGGGCTGCGTGCGGGGAATCATGGCACCACCCGCGGGGAACGTGCTGCGGGGATGGGGATGACGCCACGTCCCGCGTCCTCCCCCCGCGCAGTTTTCTTGCCTTCGTCAGAGGTACAATCCTCGACGATTTCACTCGCTCGCGCGCCACCGCACCAGCAGCGGGTGCGTGCGGGCCCTCCCGCCTGCCCACGCGCATACCACCGTCTTCGTAAAGTCGCGTTCCTGAGTCCAAGACGATATCACAGATTCTAGTTGATGCGGGGGGAAACGGGGTGCTTGCGTGGAGGGAGGCAGCGCGTGAAGCGGCGGCCTCTCTCGGTGCGGTAGCGCACTATGATACCGTAACCGCCAACGGTCTCTCTCACGGTTCGTACACCAAGGAAACAGGACGTAAACCTCGCGCCATATTCATCCTTCGTTTGTCCCCGAGCAATTCTTGGTCTGACGTCCACACAAAGCAGTACTTCCTCAGCTCATAGAGTCCGTGGCGCGACGGTCTGAGAGCACTCCATTCCCATTGAAAGCCCAAGGGGGAAGTAGACGATCGATACGGATAGCGCCAGTCGCGCGCCACTTGCCACAACAAACGGGCGTCTCAACACTTTGCCGGGGCGCGCCGGGTGGAGTTTCCCCACACTACCTTGTTCCTTGCTACACCTCGTCATAAGGAACTATACCGCATAATGAAGCCTGTGGAGGCCTGAGGTCAGCCCTCTGCACAATGGAGGCCCGAAAATCAGCAGGGAAGCCACGATCGAACCTGGAGCCACAATCCGAACTTTGTGACGTCACTTGCATGGGAGTCACGTGCGTCAAGTGGCGCCCTCGGTTGAACTTGCGCGTGCAGAGGGATGGGGAAGAGTAAAACGAAGGGAGGCGTAGACCACGTCCGGGGATCTACAGCGCAGCGCATGTTAGCCTACAAGCGAGGGTAGAGAACGGCCTGTACGTACTTCGGATGGCAATCAGAAGGGCAGTACATCTGGAACGAGGCGATATCGGACCATGGAAGGCGGGAGGACACGGGAAGCGCGACGACCCACTAGCGGGTACCCGGGAGGACCAGGAGCAATCCCTGGAAGGTACTGGGTCTGCAGTCAGTTGACCAGCGGTTACCCAACTCGTCGAAGTACCTCGAAGATCAGCAAGGGCGGGCCACCTTATGCGCCAGCGCCGCAGATTGAGTAGCCACCCATGCCGAGATGAACGCCGGCTATTCGAGTGTGGGCGCACCATCAGGTGCACTTCACCGTTGCGCGACGTTGGTATTGCACGCCTTCACCCTCTTATCTTGCGCAATGCATTCCCGTATAGCTGCATTGCACGCTCGGGCGGGAGATGAAGACAGTTCACGTTGATGTCCAAAGTGTTCGGGTCGATATTCAGTCGTCTCCGCCAATGCATTCACCGTCTACGTTGACGCCCTTCACGTCCATGAATAGAAGCCTTAAGCGCCTATCTCCTGACAATTCAGTGGGACGGATCCAGTATAACCAGCGCAGCGACGAAATCGCACCTGACCACCTTTGTGATGCGCTAAGCGCTCTCCGAGCCGTCTTCGCCGCTTCATCAGGCCTTCGCCGCTCTATCGAATCGTGTTCGCCGCTCAATCAGGCCTTGATCAGGCCACCTTCGTCCCCTAAACAAGCAAGCAAGCATAAAGGTCAGCAGAACATAATCAATGCTGGACTGCCAACTATACCCGAAACGGGGCGCGCAATTCCAGCTGACGAGACGGGGATGCGGAATTCAGTGGGCTGGCGGCTCGGCGACGAGGGTAGATGGCACTCGGCACTTGTATAGAGTAAGTAGACTCAGCGACACGGTGGCGGAGTTTTTAGGACTGCGCGGACGGCGTTTGCCTGTCAATCATCAGCAGGACGATGCGCATCAGGGAAAGTGACCGCGTCGTCATAAGTTGAAGACACACAATGTCATATCAGTGGACCGGGGGAGGTTTGGGGGAGTTGAATCAGTGGACGACGAGTGGATGGCGGGAAGGGAAACAGGCGGATGAATGAAGCACGAATCAACTGAATCAATCCAGCAAAGCACATTGAAAGTCCTGACAGCGTGATAAATTAGGGCAAGTATGATAGTAGTACAGTGCGTTTCTCGGAGGGAGGCACGGTGTAGGTTGTGCGACGCGGAAGGATGTATGCTGAGAGCGCGAGGGACGCGGAGTGGGGATTGAGTGGGACGGATAGCGCGGTTCACAGTCGAGGAAGGTAGGCGCGCACTGAGGGGGCGTGCCTGGGGGGCGGAATGGACCTGGTTGTCCCGCTCGAGTTACTTGGACTTCTTCGGGAGGTCGATGGGCCCGTCGGGCACGGCAGTCGTTTGCGGTGGCGCAACGCCCCATTCTGGGAGACCTGTCGGTCTAGGAACACGTTTCTGCTCCCAGTGTTCGTCTGCTTCTTGACTCAAGCGCTAAGGGTATGGATGTTGGAGCAGTTCTGAAGCGCCAGAGTTGATCACGCACATAGTACTCCTCCCGTATGTCGAACTTCTTCCTATTCTTCTGTAGATTGAGCTCTTGCTCTTTGGACATCTACAAGTCATACGTTGAGTTATTCCCTCGGTTATCCACGTAAAGTATTGCCACACGCACCACTTTGACCTTCTTGTCGTGCAGATCATACCGCGTCTGCGCGATGGGCACCATCGCATACGACGCGCCGACCATAAGCAGGCAGAAGGGGATGCCAAACAGCAAGGGGTTCTTGTTCAATGTCTGATAGAGCTTGCCCTCATTCAGCGGGCGCTTCTGGAACGGCCCCATGGCATTGGGTCACTGGACGCGGCGACGGCGGGAGGCAAGCGGGTCGTCGACGGCGGGGATCAGGCGCTGGACGCAACAGGCAAGTTGCTCACACGCCTCATTCTTCTGCGGAACGGTCAGCGTCCGACGGCTCTCCCTGCCTTGGCTGTTACGAACGTTCCCCGCAATGGTCTCACGCAACTTAATTTCGTCTGGAGTCTGCATTGTCGACATGAAGCCCTTCTCGACTGGGCAGCGCACCCCAGTCGCGAAAGCAGCGCCGCCGCCGCCACACCCATCCTGCGCTCAACTCTGATCACCTTCCGATCACCTATTTTGGGTCACCAGGGTCTTCTCGACCGATCTATGAAGACCTCCCGCGAACGGCGCGGTCGCAGATTGCGCGCAGCTTCCCAGCGCAGGCGCCTCCCACCCCGCACACGCAGATGGGTTCCCTCTTCTCTATGGCGCAGATTGCACGGCTGGCTGCGCGCTCTTCGAGTTCTGTTCACACTCCTGGTATATCCTCCGGGTCCGCCGACGTGTGCAGGCTACGAAGTCGTTAGGTCCGAAGGACGACGTCATGACCTTTCCTCGGACGCCCTCGATCACCTCTCGCGCTCAATGATGTTCCCCTCGGGCTCGACGAAGTTCGGAATTCGGATAGTAATTTTCGTCTCTAATCCCTCGAGGTCGCGAAGTTCTTCTATCTCGTCGCCTCCGAGCCACGCGAAACTGGTGCGCAGGATGGATGACATCGATGTTGGAGTCCGCTCGAGGCGCACTTCGTCATCCTGCCTCTTCCCCCGAGTGCAACGCAAGCTCGTCCGAATCTGGTGGCTCCTTCCTCCTTCGATGGGAACGTGCTCGCTTGCGGCGAAGATGGAGAAGCATCGAAGTCGGAGACGGATATAAGCGCGTCCCGAGCCGAGCGCGACAATATCCTGCTTCGCGTTGTTCTTTCTGACAAAAGGCCGCCGGGCGCCAAAGCGCTGACTTCACCTCGATCTGCGAGAGGTGACCTCATCTGAGCCTGCTCATCCTGCTCCTCGAGCCCCTCGACACTGTGCTCCTGACCTCGCCGGTGTGTACCGCCCTCGACGCCATTTGTTACATCGATCTGCGCATCTCTCAACTCGGATTGCCCCCGCCCCGAGCCGGCGGCATCGTTGATTGTGCATCACCCCTTCCTGGTCGTTCCTCAGCGATTTGAATGCCGGCGGTCATCTGCCCAGCGAAAGGAGGCCAACGGCGCGGCCGTCGCTACGTCCGCTTGTCCGTGGCTGTCCTCCTCAAGTCCGTCGAAGTCCGCGTCCGCGGTGCCAATATATCTGTTCGGCGCCAATACCAACGAGGCGGACTTGACCGCCTCCTCGGCGACGCGTGACCCCTGCCCGATGCCTTGGCGATGCAGACCTTTTTAGGAACAATGGACGGGTATGCGGCTGTGAGTAGGTGCGTTGTGAGGTATCCAGTCGAGGACGTCCTACTCTTTGAGTTGGGTAAGTGTCCACGGACTTGAGATGCATGGCGGCTGTTTACTTTGGTTCGTACGGTACCAAGATGCTGCATAGGTGGCATGCGAAACGGCGGATACTGTGTCTAGATTCGATGCTAAGACTGTCCTGACGAAAATTACCATAGCTATCTAGGAGAAGTTGACTTTCTGCCTGCATGATGCTTACAGCTAGTTGCAAAACGATAGACGCCCCTCGCTCCCTCGCCCACCCTGCTGGCCACGCGAGATATGACGCCAGGCGCGCCACGCCGAGCCTCGGCGAGGGGGCAGCAGGCGCTCGTCGACGCGCTGCTCGTATACCGAGATGCGGAAGGCAGAGGAATCGTCGTCGCATTTGCGCAGAATCATTCACGCTTGTTGGTGTGTATCTGCAGCCTCCCTCAGCCTGCGTGTTGCGCCTCTGAAAGGCATTGGCGCCGTGGCCCGAGCGTACAGATGATGCGGAGGCGCGCTCGGACCGACCACGCGGGCTCCACAGCGTCTTTGCAGGGGGCGTCTATCGTTTTGCAACTAGCTGTACGATCTGTGAGGGCACTGAGAGTCGAACGCCCAACTTCACTCGGCAAGCGCCGGAAGCCCCAACTCGCTCACGTGCCTATGGGTCCAAGTTGACGCCATCGGTGCGAATTGCCGATCGGCTTGTTCCCCAACTCCTTCCGAACCATCTCCCTCCGAATACTATTGTCCAAGGCTCTCATTGTACATAGACCGCGTTCTCTTACGTTCTCAGAGCGGCGGCCTCAACATCGATGAGCGGTGAGCACATCACCTTACCCATCAGGAACGACGCTGACGAGGGAACAGCGACCGTTGTGCTTGGCGCCCAATGGGGCGACGAGGGCAAGGGCAAGCTCGTCGACATCCTGTCCGCGGAGATCGATGTCTGCGCCCGATGTGCGGGCGGCAATAATGCTGGTCACACCATCGTCGTGCCCATCGGGCCAGAGAAGAAGCCCACGACGTTCGCCTTCCACCTCCTGCCCAGCGGTGAGTAGACGTGATTCGAGTCATATATATACCAGACTTATGATTGGCAGGTCTGGTGAACCCAGGCTGTACCGGCCTCATCGGGAACGGTGTGGTTGTGCATCTGCCTTCGTTCTTTGCGGAGCTCGACGCGCTGCAAGCACAGGGTGCGAGCACTCGATCAGCCTGCTACCCCTCCATCCCTAACCCTCCCGATCATCCTCCCTCCAGGTCTTGACTGCACGGGCAGACTCTTCGTGTCCGATCGTGCCCAACTCGTCTTCGACTTCCACCAGATCGTCGACGGATTGAAGGAAGTTGAACTCGGAGGATCGAGGTGAGCTCTTCCCCATGTTCATTTCCCCGCACATCCTCACAATTCCCTCCAGCATCGGTACCACCAAGAAGGGCATCGGCCCAGCCTACTCTGGCAAGGCCTCCCGCTCCGGCTTGCGCGTCCACCACCTTTTCGACCACGACACCTTCGCCGCCAAGTTCCGCCGCCTCGTCGAAGGCCGCTTCAAGCGCTACGGCCACTTCGAGTACGACACCGAGGGCGAAATCGAGCGCTACAAGCAGCTCGCGGAGCGCCTCCGGCCACACGTCATCGACAGCGTCGCGTACATCCACAAGGCCATCTCGAGCGGGAAGCATGTGCTGGTCGAGGGCGCGAACGCGTTAATGCTGGATATCGACTTTGGCACGTACCCGTTCGTGACGTCGAGCTCGACGACTATTGGCGGGGTGTGCACTGGACTGGGAATTCCGCCGAAGTTGATTGGGAAGACGATCGGTGTGGTCAAGGCATACACGACGCGCGTCGGTGGCGGACCATTCCCGACTGAGCAGCTCAACGTATGTATTCCCCCTTCCCTATCTTTGATCAAAGCCCTAATTTATGCTCTTGTAGGACGTCGGCGTTCATCTGCAGGAAGTCGGCCGCGAGTACGGCACCACGACTGGCCGCCGTAGACGGTGCGGCTGGCTCGACCTCGTCGTCATGAAGCACTCCTCCCTCATCAACGGCTACGACTCGCTCAACCTCACCAAGCTCGACGTCCTCGACGACCTCACCGAGATCAAGATTGCGACCAAGTACCTTCACGAGGGCAAGGCATTGGAAGGCTTTCCTGGTGAGTTCAGCTTCCGCACCCCAACTATCTGCGCGGCATACTGATCACCTCCTCAGCCGACCTTGAGCTCCTCGCCAAGGTCGATGTCGAGTACGTCACCCTCCCCGGCTGGCAGACCAGCATTTCCTCCCTCACCTCCTACGACGCGCTCCCCGAGAACTGCAAGAAGTACATCGCGTTCATTGAGGAGTTCCTCGGCACGCCGATCGAGTGGATTGGCGTTGGCCCGGGTCGGGAGAGCATGTTGCACAAGGAGGTCGCGAGGAAGTGAATAACGATGAACGAGAGGATGGCAGAGCACAGGAGGCGAGAAAGAATAGAAGTAAATGTATAACCTTATTGACTAACCAAGTATTTTTGCGCTGCACTTTAGAGCCTGAAGAGGCAGAAAACGGAGGTGGATGCGCGAGCATCAAACTTGAACCATTGCGAAGGCAGTATTCTTGACATGACCGAGGGCAATTATTGGATCAGGGATACCCCTTCAACTGTTCTTCCCCGCGATTTCTACACTAACACTGTAACGACATGTAGAGTCATCGAGGAACCTCTATTCCGCGCGGCGTTGTGCCATGTTGCGGGTGATATATAGCAGCCCATCTGACCGACCTATGTAACGAAGTACGCGTAGCCATTGTGGCCCGACAATGCGAGCTTAGGTACAGAACGATCGTGTTCCCTGAAGTAGGCGACGAGTTAAATGATACTCAGGAGTTTGAGGATCACCCATGAGTTGATGTCGCCTCGGACGCGCTTCACGAAGTCCAGTACGCGTCGAAAAGGGTCGCAGCGGGCGCCATTCGACCGTTCGTAGATGAGAGGGCGGTCAGGACTGCGATGGGCTTCGGAGCGTGTAGCGCAGGACCATTGTGCACGGTTGTATGGCGAGGTAGCGGATTGGGGAAAGCGTCGCTGCATACAAGCTAGGTCTCCCTCTACCGACGGAGTCCCTTGGTGAGCATGCGAGTCACATCCTGCGGGGTACTGGTATCCGTTCGTAGCGCAAGCCTGGCCGGGAGGAATGGTTGTGATGCGGCGCGAGTCAATGCATGACCAGCGCTAGCATGCCGAGCCTCCGAATCAGGAGGCGACACCATGGTCATGTCGTGCGAGAGCGCCATAGTGAACAGCTCAGCGCAGGCCAAACGCCATGGCGCCGCGACATGTGGCGGATTCGCGCGAGAGTAATCGATGGAGGGGCGCTAGACGCGACGTCAGCGATCCTCTTGCGGTCGGCGCGAGAGCGAGTCTCTCATAGAAGGAGTCCGCGAGCATCGAGCGCGCCCATAATCGAGTTCGATGATGCTGCGTATAAGTCCGGACATGAACGGCGGAGAGCGCGAGTCATGAGGAGCGGAGTCCCCGCGATATGTGCATGCCAGACGATGGCGCGGCAGCGCATGATGCGGCGCCTCGGCATAAGATAGATGACGCCTCAGTCGGAGGTCGGCGTAGAGACGTTGTGCTAGGACTCGACGGGGGCGCCCAGCGCGACGTGGTAGCTGAAGTATGCCCAATCGTTGCTGGTAAACGTATCCGTAGGGAACCGGCCGTAGGATCTCTCCCAAGGCGGTGGCTGCCGAACGAGGTCTCGCCGCGCCGCACGCGCCGCGCGCGGGCCATTACGGACGGGAGAGGGCGGCGGGAGGTCGGGCGACGGCCGGTCGTACGGTTTCTTCTGAAGTCGCTTGGAGCGACGCAGCTTGTAAAGCACGTGTGGCGGGTCTTCCTCCGGCTTGGATTTGGGGTCGACTTTGCACGCCCAGCGCGCAACTCCCTTCCGAAAATCGTCCTCGGGAATCTCCGCGTTGCGAAGTACGCTGTCAGGCTTGAGCGTGACGAGGCCTTCAGAAACGCAGGGATCGTAGCCGGTCGCTTCCGACGGTGGTAGCTCTTCGTCATAAGACTCGATCTTGGGCGCGTCGATGAACCATTGAGGCGGTTTGATGAGCTTCAACTTCCACTGGTCGACTACTTTGCGCACACACATGCGCCACTGCCCTATTACGTGCGTGCTGCTTTTCCGGAGGGATTTGTTGATCATGGCGCAAACCGAGAACGGATGCGCACAGCACTCTACGACCGAGAAAGCGGTGCATCCATCTACGAGAGGGAACTTCAGTAGAGGATGTATACCGCCGCACAAGTCCTCCTCGGTCTGACGCGGGAGGTCGAATTCCTTCAGGAATGCTGTACCGGCTTCAGTCCGCGGAATTAGTACATAGCGATATAGACCTTCAGGAGAAGCCAGCTGTCGCATACTTAGCATACTTGAGGACATGATGTGTCAAACGCCTTACTGCGGTCAATGGCCGACGTGGTAATTCGATGTCTTGACGCGCTACCACTCCCGCGTGGAGTATAAACTCCATCAGATCCTGGTAGAGCCTGAACGTTGGCGCCAGGATAAAATCGCCCTTGAGGTACATCTTTGCAATGTCATCGCGGACTTGTGATATGAGTAAAGATGTGTTTACATGCGAGACTTCTATTCAGCTCACAATAGATAGTATTCTCTCGCGATTTGATGTAATAGGAGAGGCCCCCGCGCGGCAGTCCGAACAGCCATTCTTTACAGGCAACCTTGCGTTCGATGTCAACCTGGGACTTTTTGAATCAGAGAATACGACGTACGTTCTCCTCATTTTCCTGTGCCGCTCTTGCTGGCAAAAGAGCACAGCCCCGTAAGTTCTGTGTAGCTCCTGAGATAGGACATTTGTATTGGCTGCGAAATTCGTCGGCGTCTTTCATTGTTTGCGTTGTGGTTTCCGGCTATGCGGAGGTGGCAGATAGAGGTAACTATTAGGGAGGTACGTGATGAAAGAAGGAAAGTGACACGTGCTCCGGACTCGGGCGCACCGTCTGATCCGGCACCGGATCAGAGACCGTAAACAACAAACTTCGACCACTTGTTGTTTGCCTTGACCGGCCACTCGCCTACCTTTTGTCCCTTTGACCTTTCTTTGTCTCCTATGTGTGTCAGACATGCGCTCTTTGCTATGCAGTCACGAGGACACGACGTGATCGTTTTGCAGGCCCATATAAGATGCAGCGTCAGCAAAATGTTTTGTTCCTCATCTCGCCGTCTCCTTCACTATGTCACCGGCCCGCGAGAAGGGCAAGCGCCACTCAAAGTCCAGCCGCGCCAACGCGAAGACGCCTCAACGAAGACGGGGCAGACCCCCCGTAGACCCCTTAAACTGGCAGACCCCCAAGGGACCCGCTCCCGACAAGCGCGACCACCACGCGAAAAGCAAGGTAGTGGCGCTTGTCGGCCAGTTGATCTGTCTGATTACAGGCTGGGTGACCCTCCCTTACCTTCTCCAATGTGTGCACATCGTTCCTCGTACCCTCCACAGGACACACGAAGACTTGGTACGTCGTTAGTATGAGCATTCGGTACACCATGGTTGACCCTCATTTAGTACGACCGCTTGCGCGAGAGCGTGGGCATCTTTGAGGACGGCAAGAGAGACTTGAACCTCGACAACACGGGCAATCAGGACATATGTGCGTTTTTTTTACTACGCGTCATGTTGAAGTTGCTTACGTTCTTGTTCAGTCCATCTGACTATCCACAAGATCTGGGACGGTCCGGGCGTCACATCGAACATCGCCCAAGGTGATATCGCGATGACATTTTCGAAAGAAGGCTGGCGACGGAAGCTTCGTACGCTGCGAGAAGGCTTTAAGCTAAGACAAGATTATCGACAGGCGCGTCTTGATACACCTCACACTCGCCTATCTACTCACAAGTTCTGTTCCATAGATGTTTCCGAAGGTCTCCTACACGTTCGGTCTGTACAGCATGTCGGCCAAACCTAAACACGTCATCGGTCTATACTCCAACGAGCCTCGCAAGTATGACCATATCGTCAAGAACGAGCGCACTCTTCAAGCTGTGCGAAAGGAAGACCGCGAAGGCGCAGAATTGTTCCACAATATCGACGTCGAGGACGACACGGAGGCCTCCAGGCAACTTGGCCCCGAATATCAACCTCCAAATGCGCCCCCACCTAGCGACACCTCGAACACCCCGACTACGCACATCTTGACGGTCGGCGTTCAAGAATCGATAAAAATTGTCAGCCATCTGAACCCCGTCTTCGTCATCTGGGACTACGCGCTCAAAATGCTCTACCGATGCTACATAAAGCCCGAACTTGCCGACGAACTACCTGAAGAGGATGTGATCTTCTTCAAAGAAGAAATCTGGCCTGTCGTCGGTCACTGGTTCATGGAAAACCCTGAAAGCCTCTTCACCGGCGAATCGGACGACGACGAGGACTCTGGGAACTTGGAGGACGAGGAAGACCCGGAAACCGACGACGACTATGAAGCGGACGAAGTGGTCGACTTGGGTTACGGCCAAGCAAAGGGCGACAGGCGCGCGCGCCTCACGGGAACCAAGACCGATCAACCGACTACAGGTATAGACCCAATCCCGATGTCCAAGCGACCCGCCAAAACCAGCGTGAGGTTCGGTGCGTTCCCCAAAGCGAGCTCAGATTCGTCCGACATCTCAGACCGCTCCGCGACGCCATGCCCTCCGGGGATCTCATCCGAGAGAGGTACAACGCTAGGAGGGCCCGGTTCAACTATACTCATGTCCGCTCGCCATGGTCTCGACGCTGATGCCGCTGCCGTTGACGCTCAAGTCCTCGGGTCTATTCCTGAAGACGACGAATCCGAGGCAGCTCAGAACGGCGCGCGCAGCCCTTCCGAAGGCCCATTCCAACCGCCCGCCGACAGCCCAACCGAATCTACTGCGCGCGACAAAGCATCTCGCATCAACCGCTACGCTGCTGCTATCGGAAGGAAAGCGAAGTCCATCGGATTCACTCTCGGCAAGCGCACCTCGGACCGGACGGCGCTCAAAGGCACTTCGTTCACGTTCAAGGCTTCAACCACCCAATTCGGCCACCCTGCGAATCACGATCCACCCGGTACTGAACCCACGGCGTGGCGCGCGAGCGATACCGCTGATGCAGAAGGCGAGCCGACTGACGGGAGTGCTCCGAACACGACTTCGACCGATCCGCCTGGCGCGTCCGACGCAACAGCGACTGGGCCCTCGACGGCTGGTCCTTTAGTCCCGCAGCCTATCACGCGTCCTCGCCGGTCTCAGCCCAAGCGCAACTACAAGGAGGCCTCGTCCAGCGATGGGTTCTCCGACGCCGGTGACGATGTCGACAACCCGCCGCCCAAGAGGCTGCGCATGAAGCCCCCCGCGCAGAAGGGCGCTCCCGCAAAGAAGAGCGCACCTGCAAAGAAGAAGGGTCGTGGCTGATCTGGTATGTTCGGTGGCGCATTGTATCATTTTTTTCTCTTCTCACACTCCTTGCTTTCCTTATATCATTATGCAGTGCCCGGCGCACTCTTACTTTCTCATGTTAGCCTTTCATAGCCCGTACTCTCGTTCCCTACATCACTCGTATATAATTTCTGACACCCCTGCGCTCCCTGTTGCTTTGTCTATCATTGTACACATCTAATGCAATTACGCGCGACGCGCTCACAGCAATGTCTACCGAAAGTGCGAGCTAGTGAAAACTGCCCCGACTACAACGCAACGCGGCCCAACCCGCGCTGGCATGCCAGACGCGCGGCAACAGCATACATATGATATGCGGGAGCGAGCAGCTCAGTGCAAGCGAAGCGCGATCGCCACGCGAGATGTGGCAGTTGGGCACGAAGGAAATCGACGAACGGGCGCTAGATGCCACTTCGGCGATCTTCCATGGCATACAGGCCTCTAGTCTCACAGTCCAGCCTCTCGTTAACAAGTGAAGGCAGGGTCGCGACTATAGGGAGCGCCCATAGTAAGGGTCGACGGTGCCGCGCCGAAGACTGAACATAAACGGCGGAGCGCGTGAGCCATAGGCAGCGGAAGCCGAACAACATGAGCATGTCAGAGGATGGCACGGCAGCGTCTCATGCAGCGCTTCGGCGAGATGAACAGTTGGAGGTTGGCGGAGGGTGACCGTGTTAGGACTCGACAGAGGCGCCCAGCGCGACGTGGTAGTTGAGGTATGCCCAATCGTTGCTGGTAAACGCGTCCGTGGGGAACCGGCCATAGGATCTCTCCCAGGGCGGTGGCTGTCGCACGAGATCTCGCCTGGCAGCACGCGCCGCGCGCGGGCCATTACGAACGGGGGAGGGCGGCGGGAGGTCAGGCGATGGCGGGTCGTAGGGTTCCTTCTGGAGTCGCTTGGAACGACGCAGCTTGTACAGCACGTATGGCGGGTCTTCCTCTGGCCTGGAGTTGGGGTCGACTCTGCAGGCCCAGCGCGCGACATCCTTCCGAAAGTCGTCCTCGGGAATCTCGGCATCACAAAGAACGCTATCTGGCTTTGGCACGACGAGGCCCTCGGGAGCATATGGGATGTAGCTCATTGCCTCCGAGGGTGTGAGCTCTTCGTCGTAGGACTCGACCTTTGGCGTATCAATGAACCATTGAGGCGGCTTGATTAGCTTTGACTGCCAGTGGTCAACCACTCTGCGCACGCATAAACGCCATTGCGCTGTTACGGTCGTGCTGTTCAGCCGCAATGTCTTGTTGATCACGGCGCAGACCGAGAATGGATGCACGCAGCATTCCACGACCGGGAACTCGGCACAACCCGCTGACAAAGGAAAGTTGGTTACGGGATTGAAACCGCCGCACATGTCCTCCTTGGTCTGGGATGGAAGGTCGAATTCTTTCAGCAGGTTCGCACCAGCTTCGGTCCGAGGGATGAGCACATAGCGATATAGACCATTCGGTGAGCCCAGCTAACATGCAGTGAGTATACGTTCTTCACGGGTTAAGGAGTAACGCACAGAAGTCAATGGCCGACGTGGTGTTTCGTGGTCTTGACGTGCAATCACCTCTGCGTGGCGCATGTACTCGAACAAGTCCTTGCATAATTTGAAGGTCGGTGCCAGAATGAAGTCCTCATTCCCGTACATCCTTGTGATGTCCTCTCGAACTTGTGACATCAGCGGAGTATATCTACCGATGAAAAAACTAGCTTACAGTATATCATGTTCTCCCGCGATGCGATGTAATGGGCGAGGCCGCCGCGCGGTAGTCCATAGAGCCATTCCTTGCAGGCGACCTTAACCGGAACGATCAATCATTTGCCTGGTGAGAAGAGACGGAGGGGAAAGACGTACACTGCCTTCATCTTCTTCTGCGGCTCTCTTTGGCAAAAACATACAAGCCCGTAATTTTCGCGTAGCTCCTGAGATAGGGCATCTGTATGGACTGCGGTGCCTTTTGAGGTGGGGCATATTCGGTGGGTAAGAGATCGTAATGGTACCGTGCGCGTCCTGGCGATGGACCATGAGCGTGAGAGGCGAAAGCGGCAACGCCACCTAGCATATTACTAGTCTCACACGAGGATTCGAACTTGTCCACAATGCGGTCCCTGCCGATGACGCTCACAAGCCTGGATTAATCACCAGCCTACCGTCATTGCATGATTGACTCCATTGTTGCAAAGCAAAGGATAGTTCATCTGAATCTGCAAGCATGTGTACCTGTTTAAATGGATTGTACTTATGGATAAAGACCTTCATCGCCGACGACTACGATCTGCGAACAGTACATCATGGCTTCAGCATCAAGCGCAGCGCATCTGCGGTCAAAGTTCCCATATTAGGCTTGAACGATGCGTTGTACCACGTTCGACGTTGTAAAATGGCATTTCGGAGTCAATGAGAGTCTCAATGAAAGTCCAGGAAAGCCCGTGTCACAGTTGAACGTGACAGCGCGTGGTGCTTGTCCAAGGTCACGCTTAGTCAGGCACGTAAGGACAAAAAGTCGTTCTCAACGTCGTCGCCGACGTCGCCGCCGCTGTCGCCATTGTTGTCGCCGTCAGCAAGTACTATTTACGTCGATGGCGACGCCCTACACAGCCTACCCGGGTCCATCGTACGCGGCGCCGACCCCGCCGCCTCCTTTCGCGAATCCCGTCTCGCCAACGTACCCGACGGTCGCCGCGCCTTATGGCGCCTCGCAAGCGCCTCCATATGCTGGGTACCCGCCTCAAGCTTATGGACAACCATCGGCGCCTTACGGGCAGCCTCCGCTTGTTCCGCAGATGACTCAGGCAGGCCAGGCGCCCTACGCGCATTCGCCTTCGACCTCGTCCGCGCCTGCTTACTATCCGCCACATTCTCCGGGGCCTTTTCCGAGGGGCTTTCAGCCTCCCCCACAACCCGGATACGCGCAGATGCCCTATCAGCCGCACCAGTACCCGGGCGCTCCGCCATTCCAGCCGCAGGGCGCGTTCCAGCCGGGCTACCTGCCGCCCCAACCCGGGTACCAGCCGGTCAACGGCTACCCCAACGGGCATGCCCCGCCCTTCCAGCAGCCAGGATATGCCTCACCACCCGGCCAGTACGCCGCCCCGCGGCAACATTGGAACGGGAACGCGCAGGCTCTCCCAAAGCAGCTGCTCTCACCGCGACAAGGGCCGGTACACGCGTTGAAGCACGGTTCCCCCAAAATGGCGCATCGATCACCCAAGTTCCATTCGCCGAAGATCCACACGCAACGATCTCCCAGATTACATCCTCAAAACTCGCTGCAGCTATCCACTTCTCCACGACCGACCGCACCACACATCTCACAACCGCCCGCGACCTCACCCTTGCAATCCACCGTAGAACCTTCACAACCTCCCGCCCCATCCCCACAAGTCATCGTCACAGAGACTCCGGCATCGCCCTCCAAGGTAGCCGAAGAGGTTGAACCACCCCCGCCCATTCAGCCTCCTCCTGACCCTGAGCCACCATCGGAACCAGAACTGCCTCCGTCAGAGTCTCCTGCACTTGAAGCTATTGGTACAGCGGAGAGCGCGGAGTCACCCACTGTCGACACCCCGTCCGAGGAACAGGCTGCATCGTCCGATCCTGACTGGCCCACCGATGGCCGAGGCGTCTGGTCCCCCATCTTCATTCTTTCTCGCCCTCCTTCTAATCCCCTTCACGCCACCGGCATCATCATCTCACCGAATGCGAAGCCCCCTGCGAACATCCTTCGCGTAGCCATTCCCTTCCATCACGAAGAGGAAGCGGCTGCTGAGGAGACCCCGGTTGCGTCGTCTGAGCCTGAGGTCAAGGAGAATGTAGTTGAGCCTGCGCCTGCTGCTTCCGAGCCCAAACAGGAGACCAAAGAGCCTTCGCCGGTGCCGCAGGTCGTACTGAGCACGTCGACTTCGGAGACTGGCACGGAAACGGGCACAGAGAAGACGGAGGCTACTCGGCCAACGTCCCCTGCTTCGACGAACACCAGCGTTGAGCAGTGCGCGCCTACTACTGCAGCTCCTGCTCCTGCCACGCCCGCTGCCCCGCCTGTCAAGAAGTCGTGGGCGGCCCTCCTGAAGCAGCCCCAGGCGCCCTCTGCGGACGGTCACGCTGCCGGGGTCCGTGCAAAGATCCCGACGTCCAGCGTCGTTGGCGTCAGCGTTCCCGCCGATGTCCCACCCTCGTCCGTCGCGTCTCCCTCAGGTTCTACATCCGGGCAGACCACCCGTCCTCGTCGCGCAACATTGATCTCACTTCTGAACAACTACCCGGCGCCGCCCCCTACAAAGTCGACTGCGCCGGTTTCGTTCGCCTCCGCGGCAGCCAAGGCTGCGCCCTCGCCTACACTCGCCCCGCCGCCGACCCGCGTAGTCCCCCGCGGTCTGATCAACACCGGCAATCTCTGCTTCGCAAACTCGGTCCTGCAGGTGCTCGTCGTGTACTGTGGTGCTATGCGCGGGTTGCTCACCGCGCTCGAACCCTTGCTTGAGCGCGACGTGGCGCTGGGCGAGGGTTCGTTCCCGGGTCTCAATGACAGCGATGCGCCTACCAGCGCGAAGGAGAGTTCGACGCCGGTGCTGGACGCGACGATCCGCTTGCTGAAGGAGTTCTTGCCAAGTGGAAAGGGGAAGGAGCGCGCGGTGGAGGGTGCAGTGGCGAATGGCGATGCTTCGGGCTGGTCGAGGGTGGGGAAGTCAGGGTTGGAGGAAGAGGAGGAACGCGAGGCGTTTACGCCGACGTTTGTGTACGATGCATTGATGAAGAAGAGGCGGTTCGGCCATCTTAAGGTATGCTTCGTTAGTGCCAGACTTGATCAAATAGCTGACCAATCGCGATAGCTTGGTCAACAGGAGGACGCGGAAGAGTTCCTCGGGTTCTATCTTGATGAGTTGGAGGAGGAACTCGAAAGCTTGCTGAAGGACTCGCAAGGTATGTGCTTGACTCCATATGCTCATTGCCAGCCTCACCTTCGTGTAGAGGATCAGCAAGGTGGGCACTCCGGTGAGGCCGAAGGTTGGACTGAGGTCGGCAAGGGCAAAGCGAAGAACGCTGTCGTTCGTGGCTCGGTAAGCTTACTTGTCAACTGGCACGTCGCGTGCGCTGATATATCATAGGGTCCCTTGCACAACTCGCCGATCTCCAGGATCTTTGGAGGTACTTTCCGCTCGACGTTGAAGCAGCCAAAGAAGCCCGACTCCGTTACGGTCGAGCGCTGGCAGCGCCTTATGCTGGATGTTGAGGTATGTTCAATGCTATCCCTGTGCGTCGTGTACCCTGACTCTTGACCCCAGCACGAGTCTATTGATACCATCGAGGACGCCATCCAGAGGCTGGTGCAGCCGCAGACCATCTCCGATCCCGCGTCTCCAACTTCGCAAGGCCCGATGATGTTGCAACTGCAGATCGCGTCGTTACCTCCGGTGCTTGTGCTGCACCTGAAGCGCTTCTTCTACTCCGCCGACGAGGTCAAGAAGGTCAGCAAGGAGGTGCGGTATGGGCCTATCTTGGAGTTCCCGGCCAACAGCAGTACGTATTCGTCTCATCGTCTTCAGTACCTTGTTGATACTGTCTTCAGACGTCCTTGCGAAGCGCACGGCGGCGGCCAAGTACAGGCTCTTCGCGGTTCTGTACCATCACGGCCGCTCTGCGGCTGGTGGTCACTACACGCTCGACGTGTTGTGTCCGACCCGCTTCGCTCTTCCCGCAGCGCAAGCTAGCAAGCCTGCTCCGCCAAAGGCAGCGCCCGGTGTCGCTGTTAGCAAGCCGGGTCCGCGTTTCCGCGAGGGCTGGATCCGCATCGACGACGAACTCGTGTCTGACATCCGTCCCGAGGACGTTTTCGGCCCTGGCTCTCGGTCGGGCGGGCGCTGGGAGGAAGAAGGCGGCCGATGCGCGTATCTGCTCTTTTACGAGCGCATTGGCTGAAGCGTGCCCCTCCAGGCGCGTGTAGGTGTGGGTAGTTGGGGACAGACGTGCACCGCGCGCGCCCGTGTGGCGCGAGGAAGGGAGCGGGTGGCTGAGCGAGCGACCTACGGCATAGGTCGCGAGGGACGCGTCCGACTAGCGCGCGTCGCGGGGCGCTTCGGGCCCGCTCGCAGAGCGTGCAAAAAGGAGAGGCTCTCAGGGAAGGAGACGCCGGTCTCGAAGAGGGACGCGGCGTCCGGCGTTGTCTATATAGCTGTTACGTGCTGTCACTTGCATTGTTGTGATTCGTAGCTTTCGGATGCATTTACTTAGAGTAGCACATGTACAGGATGGCAAGGAAATTTGCACAATTCAATGTATCTCTAATCTCATCACCCTTTGGCTTATGGGACAGTCCAGCCGGAGGCGGTGGCATCGAAGGAAGCTGCGAGGTCGACCCAAAGACATTCGCAGGTATCTAGAAGTGCCCTTTCCCCAATGAGCAGAGTCATGGCTGTACGAGTGCGCGTCCATGTTTCGGGTACGTTCTGAACATAGGAGTGAGGATGCAGTATGAACCGTAGGTTGATGAGGCACGTACATCGAACGCAGCGACCACCTCATGTGCTGCCTTTGTACCTGCGCCAAAGTACCTCTCCCGCCGACGCCGACATAATGCTCTGACGAGGCGAGGGAGCTTGATGGCCGCCTCGTCAAGCTCAGTTTCTTTCATCCGCATATGGGCCCTGTCCTCGTCACTCGCTTCCATATACAGTTGCGTCGCGATCGTGGCAGGCAAGCGAGCGACAATGGATTCCGCCGTAGGCTCTCCAAAAGCGGCAGTCCTATGCTCGGCCATCAGGATCTGCACTACGAGCAGCAGCCATAGGCTCCCATTCAGCGTCCCCTCGCCAGTGATGGAGAAGGGGGGCAGATTCGTGTTCTGCTCTACGAGCTCCGATTGGAGGAGTGGCGCCAGAGAACCAGCCGGTAACTTCTCGAGGGCGCTGCGGTATAGGTCAAGCACGCCCTCGGCGTCTGGTCCAAGGAGATCCGGCTCTGCAGGATCCCAGCTCAGATGGTCGTTGTCGTTCTGCTTGAGTATGAAGCCGTAGGAAAGGAGGAGTTGGGCGTTCGTGAGCGTCTCTCCATACGTGTTGAAGACTTCTGTTCCTGGCGGTATATATGTCGTAGCAACCATGTCGAAGGTGGGGTCCTCTGCGTCAGAAGTCTGATCGGATAGGGCGTCTGGGACATCCGAGTCATGCAGGCAGGCGTCGAATGCGCCGCATTGAGGGCACACGGCCTCTTCTACCTACGTCTAAAGGTCAGCGCCAGTCTGATGATAGATGGTTGGGAACTCTTACCGCGAGTTGAACATGATTCTGAACGTGGTGATTGAAGCTGAAGCGTTCAGTGGGTTGGGATGATCCAGGAAGGGAACGCACTCACGCGTCGGCTATGGGTATCATACAAAGACCGTAGTATAGGTCTGTTACGAACGCTCGAGAGCACACCAATGCGTAAGCACGAATGAAGCCATCAAACGTCGTTTTCTTCGGCGAGAGCGATCCTGCCGAAGGCAAGGAACGGGAGTGAATACTGAAAGGCGCCACCACTTTTCTGTAAAACTGGCGTATGACTTCCTGGCGATCGAACATGAAGAAACTTCGGACACGGTGTGTAGCATTGCACTCACTATAGGCGAAGCTTCTGTTTCTTTTCTTCCACGAAGCCGGTCGGCTTCGGTACCCTGAAGCCATCGAGATGCGCTCTTTCCATCTTCCTCAAGGTATTCCGTCGTTCCTAGATTCCAGAAAAGAGGGAGATCCGGGGCCGATTCGGGAAGTGCCTGCAGATAACCATACCAGCGTGACTGACGGTCGAGAAGACTTTATGAGTTAGAGAACAGGCGTGATTCGGCAGAAGGGGCGCTTACATTTCTGAGTACAGTGCGAAAGCAAGCTTCAAGTGATTATAATCCCAGTCTTCGTATGCGCCATCGGGGACATGGTCTCGAAACGTGCAATTGCGAAGGGATAGGGCGGAGGTTCGAGGTACGGTAACGACTTCATGGCTATGAGAACGAATAGATGGACAGAAAAGAAATGGATCAAGTACCTGTCTCATCGGGAGATATATCGCCCTGCTTAGAACAGACAGATATACCAGAAGGCGCAGCCACAACGTGGAGTCGGTCGTCAATGAAGATGCCCTCGCGGGCGCACCACGTCAGCAAAGTGCTGACTTGGCAATTCATGTGGAGATCTTGTACGAGCAATGACAGCGTGCAGTGCCAGCGAAGATGAGAGTGAACCTGATTTGAACAACGACAAAGAGGTGGCAGGAAGGGGTTCGAAAGTAAGTTGTGCGTCTCGGCAATCACCGATAAGCCGTGATGTGACGTCCTCTTAGTAGGCGCCTCACGCTGGATCTCACACTCGCAATGGTTTCTGTTCCGATTATTGCTCTTCGCAGCTCTTGAAGCGCGGTACTCAGTACCATGCGTGATTCAGACGCCGCGAAGCTAAAGGTGCTCGGCACACATAATTATACATAGCGTGGATGAGGAAAGTTATAACGAGGGATACAATAATGAGGGCAGATTATAGTGAGTGTTACGAATATGCACAGGTATTACGGGAAGCATGCACCAGGCACGAGAGGAAAGAAAGGCGTTACAGTGAGGGAGTTCAGTTAATAAGAGTTGATGCTGACTCGAACGGCAAGTGTACACCGAGCCCCAATAAATAATGCGGTAGGAAGCGAGACATTCGAGAGAATAGGAAGAGATGGGGATGAAGTAAATGTGGCTTTACTTGCCGAGCTTGCCGCCCTTCTTCGAAGCGCCGTTGCTCGAGGTGCGCGCTGTGGACTTATTCACGTCTTGCGCCTTGACCTTCTTCCTCGCCCTCCTTGCAGGTAAGAATACCAGCCCGCCGTCGTCATCTTCATCGTCGCTCTTGTCGTCATCCTCCCCGTCATCGCGCGTGCGCTTGTCCCCCGTTTGCTTGCCTTGAGAGGGGCGCGCCGCAGGTGCTCGATCAGTGGACGAGGAGGCGGCCGCCGCTATAGAACTGGTAGCTGTAGCCTGAGATATCGCAGAGGGATGGCCCGCAGTTGACCGAGCGGGCAGTGGCGCAGTCGTAGCGTTTCGAGAAAGCGTTGACGGGGCAGCCGATGAAGCCGCACGAGCAGACTGATTGGCGATGGTGTCATTGGAGGGGTTTGCTTTTCTATGTCTCCCACCTACGCCAGAGAAGCGCACTGACCGTCCCGAGGTGCGCGCAGGGATTGCCATCTGTCTGCCACCGGAGGACTTGGAAGCAACTGCCTCGGTTGACGTTGTTGCCTTACCCGAGTGGGCGGGCGACCCGATCTTGTCAGGGACGCCTACGTCCGATGATGCGTATGCGTTGAGCGCTAGGTGCTCGAATGTCGATAGTTGCCTCCCAGAGTTATTGCCAGTGAATAGACCGTCATCGCTTGCCATTGACGCGATGTTGGTCGGGTTCTCGGGCACCGCGTGTCGGCTCGCATCGTCATTGTTGCCGCCGCCGTTCTGATGCGCAAGCGGAAGGACAACATGTTCGCCAACGCCGTCGTCGTCAAGGAAGCGCACGGTGCGTTTGATCTTGTGGTTCGTACTCGTAGTCTTCTTGCCAGCGATGGAGTCTCGAATGCGATGTGACCTCGACGAGGTTGCCAACTGCTGGCTAGTCCTCGTCGTCCCATGGGTGTTGCGCTGCGATGGGCCCACGGCAGGATCTCCCGCATCAGAAGACGGGTAGGCGGAGGCTGCGTGCACGCGTCGTTCGATCGTCGTGGAGGAATGGGTAGGATTGTCTTGGACCAAGAACATCCGCACTTTCTCGTCGATGGCGTCTTCATCCACCGGGGGGTCCGATGAAAGATCGAGTCCGCGCGAGTCCTGGTTTCCGAGAGGTTCTTCAGGCGCACTCCGTGCGAGTCGCGGTGGAGGCTTGGCAATGGGAGCAGATTGGCCGACTCCCTCGGATTGTGTACCACCACGTCGTACAGTCGTCTTAGACGGGTATGCCTGATCCTCCGGAATGTCTTCCCAGATCCCGTCCTCTTCGACGTCCGAGCTTTCCTCGAACTCAGGGCCCTCTTCCGCGTTGTCGCTCTCTTGCGCGTCTGTCTCTTCAGCGTCCGTGCTCTCTTGCGCGCTCGTCTCCTCATCGGTGTCTTCGAACCAATGTCAGATTGCTGGCCAGAGAACATTTTCGAAATATTCGACATCCTCGCGGGGAATGCCCTCTGCACGCTCGCCAGTTGGGTCGTCGAGACGATATTTCATCTTCATGGCGTGGACGAAGACCAGGTTGAGGTGACTGACAAGAACGAAAACTTGGTCTCCCGTCTGCAGTATGAGGCGTTCGACTTCTAGCTCGTCGAGTTGATGGTCAATGTATTCTTGGTAGATGTCCTCGTACGTCAGTTTGCAGCCATCTGGGGTCGTGCGCCTGTAGGAGCGCTGGTAGGTCGAATATCGGGCAAAATAGTGCTTGTGCTTGTTCGGGAAACCATACATGATGAGCTCGTGTTTGCCGTCAGGGGAAAGCTGCATGAAGGCGTTAGCGTAGGGTTTCAAGCGCTCGTTGACGACGCACCTCCTTATAGTCCATTTTAGGATTTGCCTTCACGCGCGCGACGAATTCGTCAAGGTTCCTTGGACGAAAAGCTCAATCGCCCTGCCACGCTGAACCTGCCACGACGGAAGGTCCGTCGAAAGGAAGATGCAACGCGAAATGTACTACGATCCATGTTTAAGATACCGTATTCAGGTCGACGCGATGAGGTCACTCACCAAATTCGTAGTTACCCTTGCTATCCAAGTCGACACGCTTCACCCATTTGCGGATCTCCTCGTCGTAAGTCCAGCGCCCGACACTATTCTCGAAGCGTTCGAACTAGTGCAGCAATCGTCAGCATGATGGTAACCAAAAGGGGAAGATGCGGACCACTGACCAGTTCTTTATGTGTGCTTGGAAGTCTGCGACTTACGACATGAATACCATGCACCAAGTAGGGGCAGGTCATCATGTTAGTGATGAGACATATCCTGAGCCCGATGAGGCTCTCCAGTTCCTCTCGGGCATTGCTGTTGCGCGTGTCGCTGGTCTTTCCGGGTGGCGTGTTCTTGACGTCCTTAATCGTTCTGCTCTTGCCGCCCTTGGCTTTCGGCTTGCCCTTCCCGCCAGCAGAGGCACCAGACTTGGGGCGGCGCGTGCCACCGGCTCGAGGCATAAGAGAAAGACGAAGAGAGGGGATGGGTAAGAGAGAACGAGAAGAGGAGAATATGTCACGCACACTGGAGGTCCTCTTGATATACGAGCCATCATCCGCCGGTCACACCTCGTTTGCTTGACGAATCGCCCGGGCACATGTCTGCGTACAGACGGCGAAAGGCCTTATATGGCAATTGATGGCTGGCGCGCAGCCGATATGCATTACTGAAACGGCCACCGAGGCCTTCTCCATGTGCGGGCGTCCACGAGCCGGCAACACAGTGCTTTCGGAGACGAGGGTGACAAAGAGAACAATGGATGGTCATTTGATGGCCGATGTTTGTCGCCGTGGAGTGATTGCGGATCAACGGGCCGAGATCGGAATCCTTGGACCCCTGCCACTTCCGTCCCACCATTGCCATCCTTCTCGTTATGCCTCTTTATGGAGATCCCGTTTGCCCCATCTCGGGCGCAACTGCCAACATATATCGCTCTCCGCTTATCCCTTACAAGGATGCTGAACAAAACGAGATTCAAGTAAGTCACAGCAACGTGTGTGCATGCTCCAGTAGTTGAGAGAAGACTATAGGTTGCGTGCATAGAGTGGATCTTTGGGTTAAGACGAGGTGGATTCTTCTACTACCTTCGTTCGGAAGATAACTATGCCTTCTGTAAGCGGTGTGGTACTATATGTTTGACGCATGCTTATATTTGCAGTTCGACGAGATATTAATGACATGTTCCGGCGCGGAGAATTTGTTCTCGCCCCCACATACAAAACATATCTGGACACTATGCGATTCGTAGAACGTTCAGACCTCAAGAACCGAAAAGTGAGCGATAGATCTCCCAGACGCCCACTGTCAGTGGTAAGCGCCACGCTTTTGTGTGTGACCAAGAGATCTGACGAAAGCAGCTCGCACCTCCCAATGGGATGTATCGCTACGTGTTCATACCGCTCACGAAGGCAGCACGCGCTCTGCAGACAGAGTTCGAAATGCAACCACAAACTCCAGAAGACACGAACGGAGGTGTATACCCCCTCAACAACAGGCCGTCTCCCAAGGGAAGCCACCGATATCCTGTGATTGAATGTCTGGCACACCCTTTCTCCATGTGTACGCGCGCATCTCAAATATTCTCCAAACGCTCGACACCCCTCACCGCCCAGTGGCACAGGCTGTGTAAGGCCATCGTCGGGCTTTGGGAGCGCCCGAATATTCATATCCCTGGCTGGTTCGTCGACGAGCCCAAGTATGGGCAGGATGACGAGGAGCTCCCGCCTTCCGAAGCCACGGGTTACATCATGGAGACGCCTACCCACGCTCTCGACCCCATCGCACTTCTGAAAGACGACAGCTACGTGGACGAACATTACTGCAAGAAGTGTGCTAAGTGGGCGCTTGACGTGCCCCCGGACGCACCGCCGCCCGAGGAAGATCAGCCCCTCGCTCCCTACCGCGAGCGCCGCTCCGTACGCATCGCGAAGCGCGGGCGCCCATACCCTCAGCCATCGGTCTCCTCGACATCCGATGACTCGACGTCCGATGAGTGCTACGGTCCGCTGCCGTCACCGACTCGCCGAGGGCAGCGTGCGCTGCAGACGTGCAGGCGCGACCCCGTCAAGAACCCGCCATGGTGGGCGGCGCGGAGCGGGCGCTTCCCCACGCCAACGTTCTCCAGCAACGACTGGGCGTACTTTCGCTGTAAAGTCTACCTCGCCTCGGCCGAGTACACCTAGCACGCTTGACATTCGCGTGCCTTCGGACTTGACGGACATATAACACTCTGGCGACCTTGTCCATACGACTATCGTGCATCTCACAATGCCGCGCCGCTCGCGCACCTCGCATCGGCGTCTTCGCATACGCACACGCCAACTTCACCCCAATCGCAGGCTGCGCGCCAAACTCCTGCGTCGGTCAACCTTGGGGCCGCTTAGAGCACGATCGTGGTCCTCACTGTCGGCCATCGATGCTTTGACCGCACATCCATCCGGCCGTCGTGACTTGGTCGGCACTCGTCGTGTATAGCTCGCGCGCTGCGCGCAGGAGAAGTCTGGCGTCGTATTCGTACCTGCCAGCATACCGAAGCGTTAGCAATGCGCCCCTCGTCTCGCGGACGGCAAGCCGGGCGCCCGAGGACATCACGAGGGTCCGATATGAGGCACTCGCCAATATGCATCGGTGTTAACGCCACAGCTGGGTCGCTGGGCTTGTCATCGGCCCAAGGATGGTACCTTGCTGTACCGTAGTGCACTTCTCACGACGTGACAAGCATCCGACGCACTGCTTGCCATGCATCTCATTTCCCTCGAGGCGTACCGCGCTCCGGCCGTGATTTAGGCAGGCTTATGGTATTCATAGCGAAAAGAGTTGTTCGAAGACCCTTGTACAGGACCGTGGACATGCTTGTTATAGTTTGTTTCTGACCAGGTTCACTCTAATTCATAGCATACTTGCCTTGCTTCCTGGTTGTAATCGCGGGCCATATATCAGCTTCATACATATCCACTCTGCACTCTTCAGGTCATCGCTCGTCATCGCTCTCAGGTCATCGAAAAGGATCGCTCGGTAATTCATGCCTATATACTGTTCCACCAGCGCGACAGCTATTGCGAGTATTGGGTGAGCTGAGGATTCATTGAGCCGTTGCTGAGTGCATCCACTTACTGGGCGCTATCGTCTTACCTAAAGGAGATATCCACTTATAGTAAGTGATGGTCGTCGGCCTTCATCGGGTCGGGCCGGTCGGCGGACCGGTGCGGACAAACGCGTGCTCTTTGGTTTTCCACCATCATCATCCCCAAACTCATGACTCCCGTTCACGGCGACTACAGAGGCGACCATGTCTGCGCAATATCCGGAGCTAAGACCAATCTCATGTGCTGCACATTGATACAGGACATGGTTCTAGAGCGCAAGGAGGCCCCCGATGTAAGTCCGTGCTAATCGTGCGCACCAGCGTTACTGATTGCCCGCGCGTAGATTCTGGCCATCGAGTGGATATATGGGCTACCGAGAGGGGGTTTAAAATCCTATATGGCCTCGAGGGATAACCACGTTCTCCGTACGCTTTTGTTATCCTTCTTGAATCCTTCATCTTAGACTGAGCTGCTTTACAGTCCGCAAAGACATCAGCCGTCTATTTTGCCGCGGAGAGTTTATGCTGGCTCCAACATTCAAGACCTACATTGACATTGTTCACTTCGTGAAACGTGCCGGTATCCAGGATCGCAAGACGGGCGATAGGTCGCCTCGTCGGCCGTTGACAGCGGTTGGTCAAGTCAACTCGTCGTTCAAGCATTAGCTCATGATTCGCAGCTAGCATCCTCCAAAGGGATGTATCGATATGTCTTCATTCCACGTACGGACGCCGCACGCAAGCTTCAGGCCGAATTCAGCTTGGCGCCACAGACTGCGGAGGACCTCAATCACGGCATACATCCCCTCACCAACACACCGTACAAGGAGGGGACCGAAAATTTCCCCGTGGTGGAGTGTCATGCGCACCCGTTCTCCATCGCCGTGCTTGCCTATTGGCGGCTTCACACATGCTGCACCCTTCTCACTGGGCAGTGGTATGGGCTGGCGTGGAAAATAACCCGAATCTGGAGCAGCGAGTTCGTGAAACCGCCGCAGTGGTTTCTTGACTCGCCTGAGTACAATCAACACGACGAAGTTCTCAGCCCTAGCGAAGCTACTGGATACATTCCGGCTCTGCCAGAGCAACTTGAACATTGCATCCCTATACAGCCTCGAGGACGCGACGTTATCAGGAGCCTCCTCGACTGCAAGTTACCGGAGGACAGCTATCCCGACAAGTGCACCAAGTGGGCTTTCGAGGTCCCTCCTGACGCACCCACGCCCGAGGAAGACCCACCTTGCCCTCCCTATCGCGAACGCCGCTCGGTTCGCATTGCGAGCCGCACACACCCTCTGCTCGTCGGGTTCCCAGTCGGCGAGTGAAGATTGCGGTGGTCCGCTTCCTTCGCCGACGCGCAAGGGTCGGCGTGCGCTCCAGACGTGCAAGCGCGACCCCGTCAAGAACCCGCCGTGGTGGGCGTCGAGCAACGGGCGGTACCCTACGGAGCGGTTCTGCAGCAACGACTGGGCGTACTTCCGATTCAACCTTCGCCTGGCCTCACCAGAGTACACATAGGATGCTCTAGAGCCAGGCTTGCCATCTCCAACATGCTCTTCATTGAGCGCCATCTGGTCGATAGGACCATCCAGGATGTTTGCGAGCGTCCTGCTGTCCTTCGCGCGCGAATGCGCATCACGCCTTCGCGGACCTCGCCTACGCGTTCACTGGTCTTCTGCGATAGCGGGCGGCCCTCCCCTGCGCACCTAGGCGACCAGCATCTGCACTGACACGCGCAGTGATCTTGAATAATACGCGTGTCGCCTCCCGTGTACTAGCTGCATATGCGCCTCGCGTACTGGCTGTTGCACACCGTCCGGCGCCGTCTTGCAGCAAGACCCCTACGATATCATGCCTCTTACGCGCTAGTGTGCTCTTCGGAGACCCTTCGCCTCGATTCCCGGGTCCTGACGACGTCTTGTCCGCGCGCTCTCACCCCGCTTGACTGACTCGGACGCACGTACGCGCGTCTCGCGAGCAGGATCCGTGATGGTCCAGTCTCTCGCCGAGGTGGTCCTGACGTAGGATACAGGTTGTGGTACATATCTATTGGCCAGCGAAAGAATCAACTATAATACTTCTTGCTTTTTGGGCGCGTCCGCGGGGATGTATACATCCCGCCGGGATTGATTGCTTCTGATCCTTACCGTGCTAGGTAAAGCTCTCATTGCTCACCCCTAGCCACATTTTCCATTCTACTACTCATGGAGGGCGCGACGGAGTCAAGTCGCGGTGAAGTTAGGATTGGCACCACGTGACGATCGCGTGCCGTTCGGCAAGAACCGACAGAGGGCGTTGGCCACTTTTGCCACTCACGCTCATGGTCCATCCATCACATAATCGCATACGACTTGATCACTGGCCCTCGCCCACTTCAGAATGCTATATCTCAAAAGACATCGCAGCCCATATCAATGTCCCATATCAGGAGCTACGCGCAAATTGTGGTCTTGTACTCTCTTGCCGCAGAGGGCCGCGGAAGGAGACGAAGACAGTGTACGTCTATCCCCTTCGTCCCCCATGACAAAGCAAAAGATAAATCATGTGGCCAGGTTGCCTGCAAGGAATGGCTCTTTGGCTTACCTCGCGGGGGCCTCTCCCATTACATCGCATCGCGGGAGAACATAATCTACTGTGAGCTGATCCCTAGCCGGTGGGTATACTCTGCTGATGTAACAAGTTCGCGAGGACATCACAAAAATGTTCAGGAAGGAGGACTTCATCTTGGCACCGACATTCAAACTATATAAGGACCTGATGGAGTATATACGCCACGCAAGGGTGGCTGCAGGGCAAGACCACGAGACACCACGTCGACCATTGACTGCTGTGCGTTATTTATCTATCATCGCTGAAGGGATGCTTACTATGGAATAGCTGGGATCACCTGGAGGTCTATATCGCTACGTAGTCATCCCTCGGACCGATGCTGGTGCAGCTTTGCTGAAGGAATTCGACCTTCCATCCCAGACTAGGGAGGACATGTGCGGCGGGTTTCATCCCATACTGAACTTTCCTTTACTAGCGGGGTGTGCCGACTTTCCGGTCGTGGAATGCTGCGTGCATCCGTTCTCGGTCTGCGCCATGATCAACAAGACCCTGCGGCAGAACAGCACTTCCGTGACAGCGCAATGGCGTTCATGCGTGCGCAAAGTGGCTGACCACTGGCAGTCTAAGCTGACCAAGCCGCCTCAATGGTCCATCGATACGCCAAAGGTCGAGTCCTACGACGAAGCGCTCACACCTTCGGAGGCGACGGGCTACATCCCTTATGCTCCCGAGGGCCTCGTCGTACCAAAGCCGTACAGCGTCCTTCGTGATACCGAGATCCCCGAGGACGACTTCCGGAAGGGAGTTGCGCGCTGGGCGTGCAAAGTCGAACCCAACTCCAAGCCGAAGGAAGACCCGCCACACATACTGTACAAACTGCGTCGTTCCAAGCGACTTCAGAAGAAACCATACGCCTCGCCATCGCCTGACCTTTCGCCGCCCTCTCCCGTCCGCAATGGCCCGCGCGCAGCGCGTGCTGCCAGGCGAGACCTCGTGCGACAGCCACCGCCTTGGGAGAGATCCTACGGCCGATTCCCCACGGATACATTCACCAGTAACGATTGGGCGTACTTCAATTACCACGTCGCGTTGGGCGCACCTGTTGTATCCTGACATGATTGCTCTCCGTCGAACTCCCCCTGGGTTGCTGTACCTCTCGCCGAAACGTAGGCCTTGCGCTTCCCATGGCTCGCGCTCCTCGCCGTCCATGTCTGGTCTCCAATGCAGCGCCGTCAACTTCGAGCCAAAGCGTGCTCTGTAGCCTGAAATCCCTCGTCCTATTTGAGGCTCGCGCGCCCGACGGTACTACGATATCGATGTGGTGTCAAGGCCACCTAATTCTTTCGTGCGGAGACGCCACATGTGGCTCTGCTAGGGCGCACCATCCATGCTTAACCCGTCACTACGGCGCTCCCGCACGACATGCTTACGCTATCTCTACTGGCTCGTAAACATCGGCCCGTGCAATTCTCGTCTGCGACCTCAGGCGAGTGATGCAGCGATGTCCGTTTGCGCTCAAATCACGGCAAAGGCTTTTCAGCCCGCATCTCCTTTTTTGTGCCGATCGTACCCTGACATGAAGAGACATGGAGAATTAGACCATTTTGCTTCCAATTGTATTCATCTGCTGCTTCACTTACAATTCGCTACCTCTGCTAGCGTTCCCAGCACCTCACATGATCACGGGCTTCGCTATGATGTTCTGTCCGACGCACCTCGCGAACTTCGAGATAACCCAAGACGTATATCGGTGCTGTCCGAACCCGTGCCTCGTTTAACGTCGCAGCCGCAAGCTCGACCATAAAGCCTTCCTTTTTGGGATGAATAGCCGCACTTAGATGCCAATTTGTGGCGCAACGTAGCGAGTGGGATCTTGGAAACGAGTACCTGCAACACCGCTATCTGGGTAGTAGTGATGAATGATAGGTCAAGGACATACTGTGGGTTGGCCCTAGATGAACACTGAGGAGCAGTTCCCAGTTACATCGGCCGCCAACCCTTGCGCCTTGGTGTACATTCCTTTGTTCACAGCATACCCACATGGCGCACGAAGGACGCAGCCGATAGCTCGCGACTGACATGAAAAGCAGTGAAGGGCCGTCTTACAGCAGGAACAACCCACTTATCGAGATGACATGTTGGGTAAACGATCGACGTTCACAAGCTATTTTATCAAGGATCAGGCTCATACAACCAGAGCGGTATAGACGACAGCATATACAAGTTCAAGAAGCCTCGGCTGGTTTGCCCTCAGCTAGGTTCGGATCGATATTAGAGGGTTGCGGGGGTGGAACGTTCTCCTGAGGTGGTGGAGGCGGCGGGGGAGCGGGAATCGAGTAAGGAGTGCTGCCTTGGAAGACGCGCTGAAGCTGCTCGCGGAGCGCTTCCCGGTTATCAGGACTCCCTTCGCCAGAGCCTGACGGATTGTTGGGGTCGGAACCGTATGGTGGATGTGGAGGCGGTGGGAGGATTTCGGGTGCGGTGATGGTGCCAAGGGGAGGAGCGAATGCGGATGGAGGAGGCATGGGGACACCGTGTATTGCTTGGAAAGCCATTCGTCTCTGATTGCGATGAGATGAGGAGAGTAGACCATGTACAAAGTCCGATACACACCTGGCGATCCCAGTGGTCGAACGCCTGCGCGATGATGGGCTCAAGCGACGCGAGCTCTTCATTCGTCATGTGCAACGTGCGCAGAAGGTGTTGCTTCAGCAAAGGCACGCAAGAGAACGAGAGCAACAGCGTCGTCGCGAACGTCTGTCCCCCGAGTACCGAGTTGGGTGGTACGACCTGCCGCGGCTGGTGAGGCGGTGGCGGTGGGTACGTCTCGTACTGCTGCTCCGCGGCCGGGTCCATTTCCAGCCCCATCTCCTGCAGCTTTCGCTGCTTCACGGCCATCCGATGCCTCCGCTGACGCTCCCTCGCCGCGGCGCGCACGCGTTCCCTGCGCGCCTGCTCCTCCTCATCCAGCTCCTGCGTGTGCGCGTTCACGCCAGGCTGCCCTTCGTCGTCCCGCCCCTCGCGGTCGCGCTGGCGCTTCCGGAGCTGTCGCTCCGCGGCCTTCTCGCGCTTGCGCCGCTGCGTGTCCGTCTCGTCCTCGTCGTCGCGCTCGCGCTTGCCGAGGCTGGGGGTCGGGGTAGGGTGGAAAACAGAGACTGTAGTGGGCGGCATCATCGTCGCTCCCGGGTGTGCGGTCATCCACGGGGGCGCGCCGGCGACGACGCGCGCGGTGGCTGACTGCTGATCGTCGGCCAGGGTGGGCGTGACTGTGGGGGAGACTGGTGACGGATTCGTGACGGTCGGCGTCGAGGATGTGACAAAGGAGTACAAAGGATTATTTCGCCTTTTTCCCTCTCCTGCCGTGGGAATTTCTCGGCCGTTTCCATCTACTCTGTCAGCCGCCCTCGAAGGTGAAGTTCAACTTGTCTCCTACGCTTTTTCTTTCTCCCAAACCACTTGCTCGTCTCGCCACGATTGCACTGGCTACTACGCTACAGGATACCTCCGATCTCTACAGCGACAGTTTTTCTCGATATCACCCATGAGGTGACGACGCCCGGCTGCTTCAACATTCAAGTCGCTGGTCACTTTCAGGCGGCGGCCTCTCCACTCGACTAGCGCCCTCGGCGGCATCCCGACCCGCCCGAGCTCTCTCGATCGAATCACATTTTTTCCAAACTCATTTCCCGTGCCATGAGTCGTGATACTTCTTTGTGTTCGTCTGCCGCGTGCCCAACTGTGACGATCACAATGGGCTCGTCACCTTTAATTGATCTCCCCCGCACCTCATGTTGCAGAACGGTCTTACGGTTGGGACACGATGGGCCTGCGCGCGCCTTATGCGCCTTCAGGAAAGGCCCTAGCCGTCCGCGGGCGACGTTTGTCGCCCCTGCCCTTTGAGCAAACCTTTGTGCTCGTCTGGAAGACGCGTCGATATTTAACGCTGCTCGGTATGAGTGCCACTCCTCAGTTCCCCCGCCTCTCAGCGCCTCTGCGCCTGCCTGTACTGCCCGCTCTCCTCGTTCCCCGCCCCCGCTTCCGCTTCCCCTACTCGCATACCCGCCTAATCCACCTGATCCACCCTACCTATACTCCCCGTAATCATGCCCTCCCCCAACACCGCCTCTCTCATCGACGCGTGGAACACCGTCACGTTCGAGCAGTACAACACCTTGGCCGGCTCCCACCGCGAGGCCTACCAGGCCGGTCACCGCCCAGGAGGCATCGTCCGCATCGACAAGAACCGGGTCCTCATCCCCCAGCCGCTTCCGCCCAATGTCTTCGGCGCGCCGCAGCCCCAGAACTCGATACACTTCCCGCACGTCAACGGGACGCAGGGCATACCGCTCCAGATCCTCATGGAGCGCGGCGCGGACGGCCTGAGGATGCTCATGAAGGGTGCGATGGACATGCCAGCCCCCAAGGCGAGGTACATCCATCTGCACATCTTGGTGAGCTTGTTCGTGCTGCTCATGGCGCGCCGGCCGCTGATCATGCTCCGCAGTGGCCGGGCATGAGCACCCAGTTCGAGTACAAGAAGCGGATCCCGGCGGTGGTCAACGGCGCGCCGCTCACCCGCGCGCAGATCGGGCACCAGGTCGCGCTCGCGTACTTTGAGTTCTTCAGGGTACGTCCAGCTCTCCCCCCTGGTCAACCTTGCGTCTGACGCCGTCCCTTCATCAGAGCCTCTCCACGCGCGGCATGAGCACGAAGGGCCTGGCTTGGGACGTCACCCACATTGGCATCCACAAGCTCGCGGTGCTCTCGGTCTGCAACATCGCCGACGAGCACTGGCAGGCTGAGCTTGCGATCATGATTTGAGCTGGCTCTCATCCTCTGGTCGTTACTTCCTCTTGCTTGAGTTTCTGCGCTGCGCGCGGTTGCTCCTTCGCCTCTTCGCGCTTTCCTCGACGCGTTCTCCGCTACTTCCGCGGCTCGGCTCGACCAACATCGAACCTCACATCTTGCATCACATCATCACGCACGCAAGCACAACACGCATCATCATCACGAACATAGACTGCATCGCACTCATCCCCGTTGTATTTCTAGCATTAGCTTCTCTGTATCCATCATCTACTACTGTCACCACTAATATCTCTTGCCTACGAGTAGAGTATTGCTACTGTACCAACACCTATTGCATGTAGCTTACTACGTACGCGCATACAGTACACCATTAGTTCGTCACCCTTATAATAATGACTGCCTACGCTGCAATGGCAGCTGCGTCTATAATCCTGCGTGTGTATCTGAAGTCGTAGCATGAGACACATACCCAACTTGGTCGCAAGCTCGCACACAGCCATTCACTGGACGAGTAAAAAGTTGGAAAAAGAGCAAGGAGAAAAAGAAGGGCCTGACCGGGAATTGGACCCGGGACCTCCTCGATAAGCAAGCTGCCCTAACAAGGAATCATACTACTAGACCATCAGGCCATGGGAGGACGGCACTTGGCGTACACCTGAACCTCCGAGTCCTTCGGACGGCGCTCGCATTCTGTTCCTCCTCCTCGTATCTCTACAGAATCTTTTAAGCCTTGTCAGAGACGACTCTTCAGCGTTTCTTTCCCACTGCGGAAAGGTACCATCCATACGTGGATAGACGGTCGAGGCGCGGTAGGTCGTCATAGACCTGAGTCTCGCGATCGTGTGAGGCTGGAGGTCAAGGAATCTGCCGAACTTTCACTGCCCTTGGCACTGCATGCGCATGCAAATCCCACTGAGGGCCAGTGGATTTCTTTGGGAAGGTTCTGCGTCCGAAACATCTATGCACAAGACCTGCCATATATGGTTAAGAACTCCATACACAGACTAATTACCGCCTGCTCGTACGACATGGGGCGGTGAAGAGAGCTCCTGGGGGCCGCGGCTGGAAGCACAGGCGATCTTCTGGCGCCGGTGGCTGGGATGAGCGCACGCTGTTCAGAACGAGGAAGTCATGATTGGATCACCGTGCGAGCATTCGGAGATCAATGTCAGGATGATCACTGTCTCTGCCCACCGTCATGAACGACGCGCGCGACCATTTCCCCTTGCCCAGGCGCGTCGCCCTTGCTCTCAATGGGAGACTAGGAGCGGCTGAGACCGCACGGAGACTGCGGCGGCGAGTGTGCGAAGATGGAGGCAGTCTGAGATTGCGATCGCTAGCATTCATGACATCAACACCCGCGCGCGCCCCTGGCGGACCTCATACTCCTCCCGTTTTTCGCGACAGCTGGATCGTGGAGCGCTGACGGCCTGCCTAAATACCCGACACGCTAATTCGACCTCATCGCTTCCTTCTTGTCCTGAACCACCACCTCAATCATGTCGGCGTCCGCAGACAAGGCGGCAGAGAGCACCGACTCGTCCTTCCTCACCGCGCTCGTCGCCAATGCGGCCCTGCTCGGTGTGGAGGTCCTCGCCTTCGTCATTCTCAAACAGAGACTCGAGCGCATCTACTACCCTCGCACGTTCCTCCCCCCGCCAGAGTGCGTCCCCTCACCCTATACGCGTGCATATACTGACCCCCCTCGCAGGCGTCGCTCGCAGCAGCTGCCGAAGGGCGTGTTTGGATGGTTGCCAGCGCTTTTACGAGCCCCCACCGCAGACATCATACAGAAAAATGGCCTCGACTCGTACATGTTCATTCGCTTCCTTCGCCTCCTCGTCATTGTCTTCTTCGTCAACATGATCCTCACCATTGCCGTCCTCGTCCCCGTCAACCACATCGGAGTGGGAACGTATACTGGTCTAAAGTCGATTACTTGGGAAAAGTGAGTTCCCCGCTCTTTCCCCCTTTCCCCCCACTGACGCGCGCTCTTCAGCATCGGTGACAACGACGCCTACGCGAAGCGCTTCGCGGCGCACGTCATCGTCGTGTATATCCTCACATTCTTCACTCTTTACATGCTGCGCCGCGAAATGAACCACTTCGTCCGTGCGCGTCACCAGTTCCTCCTCTCCGACTACCACCAGCGCCTGCCGCAGTCGCGGACGGTCCTCATCACCAACGTTCCCGAGGAGCTCGCGTCGGAGAAGGCCATGCACACCTTTGCATCGTTCATCCCCGGCGGAATCGACCGCGTCTGGCTCTACCGCGACACACGCGATTTGAACAAGCTCTTCGAGGAGCGTCAGAAGGCGTGTAAGAAGCTGGAGGGTGCGGAGAGCAAGTTGCTGCGGCTCGCGGTCAAGAACCACCGCAAGAAGCAGGCACAACACGACAAGCTTGTGAAGAAGAGTAAGAAGGCCGATCCTGAGAGCGCGACGCCTGAGGGTCTTGATCTTCCTCCGCCGTCTGTGGACCTCCTCAACGAGCTCGTGCCTGCGAACAAGCGTCCCCACCACCGCACTGGCTTCCTGGGCCTCATTGGCAAGAAGGTCGACTCGACTGAGTACTGGAAGGTACCCCTCTACCTCCCCTTCCCACTGACACTTCCCTGACATTACCTTCTAGTTTGAAATCGACCGCCTGAACAAGGAGATCGACGTCCTGCGCTCTGACAGCCACACCAAGGAGTTCAAGGGCAGCGTCTTTGTGCGTTGCAACCTACAGATGGGCGCGCACATCCTCGCGCAGACGGTCAGCCACCACGAGCCGCTTCGCATGACGGAGAAGTGGATGGAGGCACACCCGAAGGATATCGTCTGGGCGAACTTGGACGATGGCCCGGTGGAGATGAAGGTAAGGGTGATGAGATAAAGGGGCTATATGCGTGCTAATTTGCATCCCTTAGCTTCGCAAGACGATCTCGTGGGCTGCGACGATTGCGCTCATTGTGTTTTGGGCGATCCCGGTCGCGTTCGTGGGTACCGTCAGCAATGTCTCCGGCCTTTGCGAGAACATCTCGTGGCTGGCGTGGTTGTGCAAGAGTAAGTCCGATGCTTGAGCCTCGTGCGCCTGTAACTGACGATCTTGCAGTTCCCTCTGTTCCTCTCGGTATCATTGAGGGTTTTCTGCCGCCCGTCCTGCTCGCCGTCCTCTTCGCGCTCCTGCCGGTTATTCTGCGCTGTGCGTCTTTGCCTTTTCTTCACATCTGCTATCGCTCATTCCCCCCGCAGTCCTAGCTTGGTACTCCTGCCTCCCCCGTTACTCGCTCATCTCGACGAATGTGTACAAGCGCTACTTTGCGTTCTTGGTGATGTGAGTATGATGCTCTTCATATCCCGACCAGTCAATCTGACAGATACCTACAGTCACGGTTTCCTCATCGTGACTCTATCTGCGGGTATCGTCAACGCGATTAAGGATGTAAGTGGCAATTGTCGCCCACTTAGATGGGCTCAGCTGACCATTGACGTAGATCATCGACGACCCGACGAACACCGTGTCCGTCCTTGCGACGAAGCTTCCGGGCGCCAGCACGTTCTTCTTGACCTACATCCGTATGTTGTATTTCTGTACGACCGATCACCCAGATGCTAACAATCTCTACAGTCGTCCAGGGCTTGACCGGTGCCGGTGGCGCGCTCGCGCAGCTCGTCCCCATCGTCATGTACTTCATCAAGAAGAGGCTGCTCGGTAGCACTCCCCGTCAGACCTACGACATCACCTACAAGATGCCCTCGGTCGACTTTGGCACGCTCCTTCCCCGCCTTTCGCTCATCGCGACCATCGGCTTCGCCTACAGCATCCTGTCGCCGCTCATCAACGCGGTCGCCTTTGTCAGCTTTGCGCTCTTCTTCGTCGCGTACAAGTTCCTGTTCATGCAGGTGTACGACCAGCCGGAGGAAGCGGAGTCGGGCGGGATGTATTTCCCTATGGCGATCAGCAACTTGTGTATGTGTTTCTCTGCAAATCGAGATTTGAGTTGTTCGCTGACTAGGTGGTGCAGTCGTCGGCCTTTACATCGAGCAGCTCGTCCTGGCGATTCTGTTCTTCCTGAAGGTTAAGACGTCGAAGGTGTCGTCGATCATCGAGGGTGTTCTCATGATCATCCTCTTGCTCTTCACCATTGGCACGCACTCCATGATCCGGTCGGCGTATGAGCGTGAGTTTGAAGACTTTGCCGTGTAAGAACGCATCGCTGACGCGCGCCTGCAGCGATCACCAATTATTTGCCGATGGACATTGCGACCATCGACGCGGCAGAGCGCTACAAACATGAGAACGAGAACGAGCTTTACAGGGGCGAGATGGACTTGTTCAGCCGCGATCGTGAGAGTTTTCCTGCAAACACTTGGATTGGGGTTGACGTTGCTGTAGACATGCAGAATGGTGTCCGCCGCCGTCTGGGCAAGATCGGCGACCTGAAGCACAAGCTCAAGAGCTCCTCTCCCAAGGCGGCCTCCACCTCGCCGAAGTTGTCGACCGAGAAACCCCGCCGCAGCGACGAGGGCTCCAGTGGTACGCGAATCATCGGCAAATCCAACGTGTCGACCGACAGTTCTTCAGTCATCAGCGACCAGCCGAACCTCGACCCGGCCGACGCGGGCGCGCGCAATGGCTACCGTGCGGACGACAAGGCCTATGGCTACCGCACGGACCTGGGCGACGTCAAGGCGTACCGCGAGGACCGCATTGAGGAGGGCCAGCGCGGCGACGCGGACTACGATGACGCGCACGCGTTCGACCACCCGGCGCTCAGCGAGCCGCAGCCGTGGATTTGGGTGCCGCGGGATCCGCTCGGACTGAGCGGGCTGCTCGTGAGCGAGCTCACCAGCGCGGGCGTGGAGGCGAGCGACGTGGGCGCCGTGATGAGCGAGAAGGGCGTCGTGGACGTGTCGAGGGGTCCGCCCGATGAGGAGTGGAAGGGTGGCAACGACAAGTAGGCGGTGCAATTGGAGCAGTGATACCATTTTTGCTTGTCTATTTGTTTGCTTGAATCTTGGAAGGACCTCGTTCCATCTCTTTATCTGCCTTTCCATCGCCCCGTCTACCCATACGCATCCGCCCCTACTCTTGCATTCACGCACCCTACACATCTCTTGCACCCTCTTGCGACGACCTCTTTCTCGATTTGTATGATTCGACTCTGTTGTTTGTTTTACGACCTCCGTACGCCTTGCATTCAACTACCTGTACAATATCGTATACTTTGGCTTATAGCATCATATTACTTGAGATGAGATCGTACGCGAGGGATAGAACAGCATGAATTCAAGCGAGAGATAGAGTCGACAGATACGAAAGCAATGATGAAAAACCCGGACAAGGAGTGGAGGACCTATTGGCCGATGATCAATGAGACGCCCGCGCCAGGGCAGTTCGCCCGCGAACACTGAGTACTGAATCTTGAGTCTAACCATCCGCGTATATACATTCGAGACCACATAAAACCAAGAAGAGCATAGAGTGTAGTAATTCTGAAGCTGATCTAATCGCGCCGGCGGTAGCACTTCGCGTGCGCCACCCACTTCTCCAGCGAGGGCAGCTGGATGCCACATTCGGGGCACGTGAGCGAGGTCATGGTAGGGGAGGACGCGAGCTCGTAGTACTCTTCCATGTCCATCGGAGGGAGGTCCGCGAGTGCGGGGGACGTGACGAACGCGTCGTCCTCGGGGTGCGCCCTGAGCGGCGAGGTTTGGTTGGACACGCGGAGGCGCTTAGTCATGTACGTGCGCCGGAGGGAGAGCTCGGGGCGCAGGGCGAGGCGGGGGAAGTTGCGCGTGGGCGAGGGGGCGGGCTCGGGCGAGGAAGCGGCGGACACCGTCACCGAGTCTGGCGGGGTGATCACGGCCTGGCGTATGAGGTCGTCCGCGGTCATGTCCACGTCGTAGTCGTCCTCGAAGCGCATGACGTGCGGATAGTTGAGCGCGTCCGGGTCGGGCTCGGTGGGCGCGTCGGAGAAGGTGAACGAGGGCTCGGCGGCAAGCCCGGTGGCGTGATGGGTGGGCAGCTCTGAGTCGGTGGCCTCGTCATCGCCCATCATCTCGTCGTCCCCCGTGTCATGGTGGCCCCCCATCCCGTCGTCGCTGTCGCTCTCGGCGAGCGCGTCGAGGTAGTACTGCTCCGAGTCCTCGCACACGCCGATGATGTGGAAGTCGCCGTACAGCATGTCGAGGTCCCACTCGTCCACCCAGCGCGCCGCGGCGAGGATCTGCATCTTGGTGTTGTGCGTCGCGACGAGGGGCAGTGACTCGTCGGCCCCGTCCTCGGAGTCCGACGCGCAGGAGGAGACGGAGTCATCGCCGGCCTCGGAGGGTGGCGCGGCGGCTCCGGTGGCACAGCCGCGGATGGTGGCACACGAGCTCGTGCGGCTGAGCGCGCCAGTGCGCGGGATGAGCATGTCCTCGACGGCCTGGATGGACGCGAGCGAGTCGCCATACATCGACTTGAGCGACGCGACGGAGGCGAGGGAGCGCCGGGAGGTGGAATGGAAGGACATGGCTGGTTTGGGTGGCAGGCGCGGCGAGTGGCTGGTGGTGGTAATTGCGAAGCCGGGGGGTGCGCGTGTTCGAGATGGGGGCCCTCGCACGAATGGGGGATGCAACCGGTGGGGTGGGCTTTCAGTAAGCGCCCTGGGGACCGAGCTTTCTCTTTATATGTTAGCCGTGCCGGTCATAAACGAGGCCAGGTCCCGGGGCCTCTTTGTCGGTTGTCAGAATGTCCATAGACAACATAACCCCGACGATCAAAGGTGGGTATGCACATACCTTACGGACGGTGAGGGTACATATAAGGCAATTCTGAGAGCGTCCTACCTGAATGATGAGTTGACCATGTGGTAGATAGCACTGCCTTGGTCTTTGTCTGCATTCGGAGGTAAATGATTGCCTTGTTGCGCGCATGAATAGTCCGCGCATCGACGCGTCAGAGTTGCCCTGCATGGTCCGCGAGCGGTGGAAGTTCCGGAAGAAGCGTGAATGTGGTTAAGCGAGCATCGGCATAAACGGCCAGCTGTTGCTTGCCATGGATGCAAGGGAAGATGTGCTGCTACCGGCCCAGTGGTCTAGTAGTATGATACGTGCTTCGGGCTTGTCTGCCAGCTCATGGAATGAGTCGTATGCACGGGGTCCCGGGTTCAATTCCCGGCTGGGCCCTCCTTTTTTTCTTTTTTGCGTTTCTCACTTACACCACAGCGACATTGTCCGGATAGTGAAGTTGGATAGTCAGAGATGGAGTCGTCTCCGGGATACTGTTAGGTAATGGCAGCGACATTGTTGTGTTACATACTGTATGTGCATGCAGACTGTTACAGTCAGGATAGGCCGCGGCGGGTGGCGCATGCACAGAACATCTTCGAGACGTTCTCTGCGCTAATACGTGAGTGTATAGACTACTCTGAGCTGCGTAAGCGGGATGAATGAACAGCTGATTGGGGGCTTGCGCGCACACTGCAGTGGCAGCCCTTTAACGGCTGCCTTCCAACGGCCTGATGGTCTAGTAGTATGATTCCTTGTTAGGGCAGCTTGCTTATCGAGGAGGTCCCGGGTTCAATTCCCGGTCAGGCCCTTTTTCTACTTGGACCTCCGACGGCTTCGGATGACACCAACACCTCTAGTCCCAGATCTATCTAGTTCGAGTGATCGAAGCTCCTTGCATGTCATTGCAGTCAAGCTAAGATCGTGTACTAAGGGTTGACCTTGGTCGTACCTGTAAAGCCAGCGATTGTGTTGCCTCGTCACTTGCCTTCTACCATCATCCTCAAGTCCACTTGTCGCTCTTAGTCGCTACTTGGGTGTCGTAAGAGCTCGCTAGATACTCAAGGTGTATTCTGCATGGGCAGCTAGGACGTCTCTTGTTGGTTCTTTCAACATGACTGCCCATCCGTGGCCTCCGGACTCTCGGATGGTTTCGAGACGATGCGGCGCCCGCACGTCGAGGAAAGCGTTTGGCACACCGTAGTGGAGCTTTTTACGCAGATCTTCACTTGTTCTCATCCTACCCCCTCGCCTCGGGACACAGCCTTCAGGAACGTTCAATTTACGCTGTCGAGCAACTCTTCCAGTGTCGCCACTTCCCGAGACTTGAAGCTTGAAGCTTTCCAAAATTACACTACGCGTAGATCCCATGCCCCTACGATGACTAGTACCTGGTGCTGCTCTGAATGTCTTTCTTCGCAAGTAGCCCAGCATCTTAGCGTACCCACGCTGACCTCGCTGCCAACTGATAGATTTATCCTGCATTGAACTGAACAGAAATATAGTGCGACGCGAGCTGCGTTTGGGCCCGTAAGCGGCCGCGTCAACTCGCGCGCCCGCTGCGCCGCGCTGCCCACCCCGTCTGCGGCACGGGCCCGTCCCGCACCCTCCCAGCGTGCGGAATACAGACACCCGGCCCCAGACACCGTCCCGTTCAGTGGTATAAAACCCCCAACCCAGCGACGGCCGTTTCTTCATTCTCCACTCCCTCACCTTCCCTTCGCCACTTTCATACTTTCCTTCGCGCTTCAACTTCGCTCCCCGCCTAATCTTCCACTAGTCAAGATGATGTTCGCCAAGACGCTCGCTCTGCTCGCGACGGCTGCCTTCGCGGCGGCGGAGACGCACACGGTCTCGTTCGACAACCGCTGCGGTTATGGCGAGGTGGGTGACGCGGGGATCCCATAATGGGAACAATAGCGCTGACGGCCCTCGCCAGCCCGTCATCTTCCAGAACTTCAAGCAGCTGAACTCGAACGGTGGCTCGTACACCTTCAACGGCCCCGCGACGGCCGTCATTGCGTGAGTTCTCATCGGCGTGTTAGTAAATGGTCTTTTAGACTGACGCCCCCACCAGCTACCTCCAGAACGGCAACTGCGGCCAGTCGGGCGAGAACTGCTCCCTCATGGAGCTCACGCTCATCAACGGCGGCGTCAGCAGCGCGGACATCTCGCTCATCCCGCCCCACTCGTTCTCGCAGACCATCGGCTTCGGGTGAGTGACATTCATCCTCGCATCTTCGCCCGAGCGTCGTGCTGATGCGGATACAGCTACTACAACGGCTGCGACGGCGCCGGCAAGCAGTGCACGTCCGCGAACTGCCCGGAGGCGTTCCACGTCACCGACGATTACGGTGCGCAGGTCCAGTGCACGGCCAACGATGTGAGTCCTTCCGCGGTCTACTTCTCCCGTATACATGACGCTCATGCCACCTCCAGGTCAACCTCGCCATCACATTCTGCTAAACGATTATGGGTATACGCGCTTGAAGCCTTGGGGACTCTATGATACTGGCTTTAAGTTATTTCCGGGTATTTAAGGCAATCCGTTTGTTGGTATTGTTGGGCTCTTCTTCTGCGTGACCCGAGCCTAGTAAGACTTACTCGAACTCAAGCAAGACGGCAAGACGAGGAAGTTCTGGGACCGCATGAGCATTGAGTCTAGTGTCGTGAAGCTCGCAGCACTCGAGACGCATAGAATAGCAATCAAAGGATATATCAGGAGCACCGAGTCGTAAGGCTACAGAAACAATGGTAGAAAAATACAGTCGTCGATACAATGAAGTCCAAGACCATCTATGGGTAGGTATCCGAGTCGTGAGTCGTGAGGAAAAGTCCATATGGGCAGCGCCAGCGCTCCGAGTCCGAGGTCGTATATGAGTCGTACAATGGTCGTGAAGGTCAGTCGTACACGTCCGTACATGCCCGATCTCCTGATCAGTAGTACCCGCGATGCCACCACAGCTGCTGATGGTAGGGGTAGCGGTAGGGGTGGTACGCCCGGCGAGTTCGCTCCTGCCCTTCGATGGCGCGCTGCGCGAGGGATAGATACGGCTGCCACTCTTCATCGCGGTTCGACGGCCCAGCCACCACGGCGACGGGTTCGTCCGAGCAGCGCTCCAGGTTCAACCAGTTCTCCTCAAGTCCGGGCTGAACTGCCTCGGAAGCTTCCTGCGCGGGGAGGGAGGCAGGCTGCGGGCTGAAGCCCTCGAGATTCCACCCTATCTCGGATGTCGGGAACACAGGTTGGTCCAAGAGGAGCGACGGCGTCGGCGCGAATGGAGGGCCGATAGGACCGCTTCGCTCGGCCTGCGGCTCAGGCGCTGGATGAGGAGCGGTGTGGGCGGTCTATTAAGTATCGTTAGCCGCTGCCGTGGAAGTACTCAAGCAAGCGCACACCCACCTGAGCAGAGGGCCCCGCGACAGTATCCGCATCGGGGAAGAAACTGAGGCCAATAGCAACCTGCTCCGGAGTCCAGTGGACATCTTCATCTAGAGGCAGAGGCGAAGGACAAGGGGTGAGTTGATGCTGGGTGTCGAAGCTGGCCGGCGCGGTCGGGAAGTCCTGTGAGGCGGTGGGGACGATCTGTCAAGTATCGTAAGTTGACGTGAAGGTACTCAAAGAAGCGCACACTCACTGGAGTAGAAGGACCCGCGACAATATCCGCCTCGGGGAAGAAACTGAGGCCAATTGCCGCCTGCTGCGGAGTCCAGCTGACAACGTCACCTAGAGGCAGAGGCGAAGGCGAAGGGGTATAATCAAGCTGAGTGTCGAAACCGATCGTTGCGGTAGGGAAGTCCTGTACGCCGTTGAGGCCCAGCATATTGACAGAAGGGCCATATTCGACCTGACGACGCAGTGAATAAAGGAATATAGACGGACGAGCGCATGCGTACGTGAGGACGATACGCGAGCGGCCCAAGCTCCTCGCCGATTGCGACCATCTGAGCGAAGTCGTCATAACCGAACGGCTTCTCCTGCATCGTCAGAACCTGCGGCATCATAGCGGCGGGCATCACGGGAGCTGGGGTGCGCGTCCAGCGCGCGGACGGCAATGCATGATTGTCTCTGCGAGGCGTGTACTCGTAGACGGACGAGCCCGAGGGTGACAGCGCGGGTGTGCAGCACGAAGGGGTCACGGAACCACGGTAGAGACCTTCCTCTGCGCCAGACAAGGGACCCGGTGCAGGTGCCGGCGTCGAAGGCGAGCGATCCTGGGGACGGACGACAGCAGCACGACGTGCCCGCGCTGCGCCCTTGGAAGCCCGCTGTTTTTTGGTCACCTTCTTGCCCTTGGCCTTCGCATTCCACTCGAAGTCCGGGTGCTCTGCAAACAGCAGAGTCTTGCGTCGCTCACTCTCCTCCATGAACAGAGCCCGCTCTGCGGAGGTCATGCGCCGCCATACGTCTGTGGCGGCCATACTAATACGTTGTTGCAGAGTGCAGCTCGGCCCCATGATCGAGTTATACCAGGATCGGAAGACCATGAAGCCGTTCGGCGAGCGACGGGGTTCTACGGGAGGGCGATAGGCTGCTTGCAATGCATCCCGGACGTTCTCCTTCTTCGCGAGCAAGACGAGCACGGTGCGATACCCAGGTTGCGCTACGGTGATGTGATCAGCAAAGGATAGCACATCAAGAAGGACTCGAAAGCCCACCTGAGAGAACCGAAACGTCATCCGACGGGCCAGGCTGCATCGCGAGCATTATAAAAGGCGTTTCTGTGCGTTGGCCGAGCCTGGGGTAAAGGGAAGGGAAAGGAAGCGATGGACTCCGCCATCCCGCTGAGCCTTTATAAAGGGCAGGGCAGTAGCCCACCGCGACACAAAGGTCTTTGTCCGCAATGCGGAAGCCTCATTAGAAAGGCCTCGTGCTGCTTTTCGATCATCACATTTATCCCCGGTTGGGGCTCCAAGCTCGTGCGAGAAGGAGGTCGGGATATGTACGTCCTGACGATGCAGGATAAACTCGGGGTAACGACGCACGTACCTCAGTTGTCTATTCGATGTCAGGCTCCTACGATGGCCATGCTCGACCAGGGGAAAGGTAGAGAAGGAATAAAGACGTGGCTGCGAGGCAACAAGGGCTCTCATCGGATGCGGTAGGTGGTGTGATGTACTTAAGATATGCCTGCGGGGTCGCGTCAGCATGTTTTTCATGTGTCGCAGTATAAAAGAGCGTACCGGCGGAAGTACTTGCATACCCTCCTTGCTCGTCAGATGGAGCAAAGGACGCCACGATCAACAGCCGCCCCGACTCCTAATTCCTTTCTCGCCACTCACAAGAGATCGATTACGCCGCGCTCTGCAGATACGACGCCGACCACCTTACTGCCAAAGTCGAGCAGTCCACCACTGCGCGTCGCGACGAGATCGCCACTCGATTTCGCCCCCAGCAGCTTCTCCACGTTAGTCGACGCGAGCGCCAGCGCGTGTTCCTTTGACAGCCTCCCATCACTCTCGAGCAGTAACTACAAAGGACAAAGGAAGATGAAAGATGATCAGTTCCATGTGCGTCGGGCATCGCCGCATCGCTCACCCAGATAACATCGAACCGCGTATTGCGCACGCCCCAGCTGCTCGGCCCGCTCGCGCCATGGGGCCCGATGCCCACTGTGACGCCCGCCTCGACGAGCGCGAGGACGTTGCTGTCCTTGGTCAGCGGTGGTCCAGGTGAGCTGGCGGCGGAAATGAGTATGCATGTTACTGTCACACTTGCGGAGACTCACATCCGCTTCCTCTCCCAGTCATACGGGAACGACCGTGGCGAAAGCACGAGGACGCCCACCCCGGACGCCGCTAGCTCGGGTGCGATCAGGTGCGCCTCCGTGCCCCCTGCAATCGTCAAAGAGAAAGCTCGGCCGGTCTCGGCTTCGACGTCCTTCTTCAAATCCAGCAGCGTCGCGATTACGTCCGCACTGTGGGCCTTGACGACTAGCGGGATTTCGCCCTTTGTATCGATCGGTCAGTCATCGCGACGACCTGGCTCCGAACAAGTTGACTTACCCTGACTACCCTTTGTGCAGCCTCAATGAGCTCACTGGCTTGCTTTCCCGTATCGGACCTCCACGCGTCCAGAAGCAGAGCCCTCAGCCGAGCCACCTGCGTGCTCACGCTCTCCTTGGCCTTCAAAGTTACTTCCGCATGAAGTGCGACTATTCGCTGCGTAACCGCGCCCTTCTCCACCTTGTTCAACGCGCCGAGCGAGAAAGCGACGCTCAGCCCAGAAACCAGCTTGTCGCTGCTCTGAGGGGCTACGACACCGCGCGTGACGCCATGTCGGTACGCAAGTCTACGATGAGAAGGGGGCGTGAGTCAAGTGGTCGGGAAGGATGATTAGATACGCACAAGGCATCTCTCGTCCCAAATAGCAAACCATCTACCGCGCGCGGTAGCACTGCACCGACTTCTCCCACCGGTCCGTCTGCCGTGCTCGTATCCGACGAGATCTCAGCGAGTCCCAACGGTGTGCCGAATGTCACGAAGCCGGGAGACAGTGCGCCACCTTCCAACTCGACAATGCGTGCACCGGCAGCGTCCGTGACACCGGCGCAATGAATGCCTACGCAGGTGATGACCCCGTCGCGCGCGATGACGGCCAAGTCCTCCGCAGATGTGACCGTCGTTCCATTGTGGGTGATGATCTCGCGTACTCCAGTAAAAACGACAGCTTGCTCCTTGATATTCTCGGGCGCCAGAGGTGGTAAGCCTTCGTACCCGATCGTGCTCGCTGCCTCATCCGCCCAATCCGGCACCGCGGGCGAGGTCTGCAGAGCCTTGTCCTTGTTCGCGGTGACCACGGGATGGTCGAGCTGCGCTGCACCATCCACAAACACCTGCGTCGGCGTCGCGCCCAGCTGCAGCGGATGGCTGTCCCAGATAACGACGTCTATACAGACGCACCCTTGAGTACTTAGGCGAGGATGTCGAAGCCAGCGATAACTCACCCGCATCGTAAGCCGGCCTCAGGAACCCAATACGATGGTCCATCCCCATCACCTCTGCCGGGGTGGAAATGACACTGGCGAGCGCAACGTTTTCCGGTAAGCCAAAGTAGTGAACCTGGTGATCGTCAGTCGAACCGTGTCTCGCAAAGCAAGAGAACCAGAAACTGACTTGCTGTGCCTCGTGCAGAAGGTATCTCGAAACCACACCGCTGTGGTCACTCTTGAGCACCACCTTCAGACCAGCGTCGTACAGGATACGCGCAGCGAACTCCGAGTGGCGGTAGGCTTCGCGTTTGTATCTGGTGCTGGTGAGTGACGAACAAGCACCCAGGTGGTCGGGGCGCACCTAGAGAACGCAGCGAAGATGGCCGAAGCCGGTGGGTGATCTAAAGAAGGGTTCATATATGCGTCGTGAATTCTCATGTTGAGCGGCCCACCATAGGCTCTCTTCAAGACGTCCGGGACGAGGTACGATTCATGCGCGTGATGGAATGCCGCGATCGGAAACCTGAACTCGTTCGAGAGCTAGACAACGCTCAGCGATGCGAAGTGACATGGTTGAGCGTACACCATACCCTCACGAAGTCGTCAAGGTCGACCGCTTCGTAGCAATGCGTCTGGACCTTCGAAACGGTCAACTGCTGTCACCATGTCGCGTACGTAACATACCTTGACTTTCCCTCGTAGCACGTCTACCAGAGCCTCCCATTGGAGCTCCTCCGGGAAGGCCTTGCCCTCGACCAAATTCCACTGCCCAGCAAGCGCTGCCTCGCAGTACTCGTCCTGAGCTTCCTTGATCTGACGAGCCTTGTCGTAGGCCTCACGAAATTGCCAGAAGGTGTCCATCCGAGTTTGCGAGTATACCCGAGCTTCAACAACGTTCAGGTCTTGACGAAGATACTGGGAAGGGAGGCGACTTACACGGGTTCTCGCCTTTGGAGAGCGCTCACAGTCAGTATCTTAGCGAGCCATCGCTAATCAGGACTTCATACCACAGGCATGTCTAGCACGCGATAAGTCGAGGATAGCAGACGGCAGGGAAGAGCGTACTTCATCTGTCGCCATCTCGGAGGTCCATCCGCACCCACTTGACTCCCATTCAGCCCGAAGGGAGGCTCGAGCAGCATCGCAGAAGGAGACCGCTCCTCGGTCTCGCGCAGTTTGATGACGAACGCTTGTCCGCCTATCCATTGGCGTCAGCAAAAGTGCATATATGCGCATGAAGTTGAAGTACCGATGCCATTGGCGGATCCGGGGAGGATTAGCGCTGTGGTTAGGCCACCCGCTATGCCGAGCTTGAAGCTCTCATCGTGCGTGTTCAAGCCATCGATGGAGCGAAGCCAGGGTTGCATCGGCGCCGCGTGTGAGTTCGTGTCTCCCGCGCCTTGAAGCTTGGGGGACGCGCCGACGCCCATATGCGAGTGCAGGTCGACCAGTCTATAATATTGAGGTTAAATATGCACCAGTCTCTTCATGTGAGTACTCACCCCGGCGTCACCCATGCAGCTCGCGCGTCGATGCTTTCTACGTCGGGATATGCGCGTAGCAGCGCGTCGGGGATGATGCCGACTGCCTTGATAAGGCCGTCCGCGAGCAGGAGATCGCCAGTAACAACTTCAGTACCGTTTGCGTTGCCAGTCCAGAGCGTCGCGTTGCGCACCCACACGGGCTTCGTCCCGGGTACATGGCGATCGGATACGGCACGATCGTGGAAGGAGGGTGGGGGACCGGGCTTGACGTGAAGCGACTTGCACTTGGCGATGCTCATATCTGCATGGCGGGGTACGATGTGCACCTCTGTAGGCGTAGTTACCAGCAGATATTGGTAGCAGTGAAGGAGAAGACAGAGTAGGATCAGAGCTGGGAGGGCGAAGCGAGGGCGCTGGTGGGGAGCGCGACCGCGCATATCACTGGACAATATCCCGCTCATCTTCTTAACTGTACTATCCATCTCCTGCTAAACTGCTGGGAATGCCTATCTGCGCGCGTCAGGAGGATGGATTGGGCGACCGCGCCGGAACTCACCAGTCTCGATTCACCGCCTCTCGTTGGAGTGAAGCAAGGAGAGTATCCTCCTGAAAAGCTCATGCTTCATGTCGTGCTCTAGATAATCACTATGTTCCTGAAGGCTTCACAGGCAAAGCTTCTGGCGTGCTGACGGTTCGGTATGGCGATAAGCGATTGCATTCCACTGAATACCGGTGTTAAATCTTCAAAATATACAGAAAATGGGGGCGACATGATGTGAGCATTCAACGGTGTTGAAGCCCAACGAGAAGTCCACCTGCGCAGGGCGTGCGAGAACGACTGTGATTGAGTTGAATCTGTGTGGTAATCCGTTGCCCGGTGAGCGTCGACGAACCGGTGGCTCAGTGCGATCCCAAACGATGCACCTCCATCGCGTTCGCTCAGCTCGCCCCGCCTCGTTCTCCATTATTCATTTTGAGGCACTTCATCATGTGACCTTCGCACTCATATCCATTGACTACGATTGGCAAGGAAAACGATTCATTGCTATTAGCTAAGCAGTAAGTATGGGTGTAAACGAAGGAGCAGGTCAACGGCATGCCATGCGAGTAGGTAGGGTAGATATACGGCAGTATGGGGGTAGCAAAAAGTATACCGATATGTAATGTATTGTGAATGTGTCGTCCGAAATGCAGGTCATTGAGGCGATACACGAACTATGCAGCTGCCTGGGGAGCATCAGTCAGGATGTCGAAGGGTCAAAGAAACCTGGTACTAACCGTAACCTGGGCCTTCTTTGCTTCGGAAGCGCGTGCGAGCCAGACCTGCAAGCCTGGTTAGTTGGTGCATTCAACGGCGAGAAGAGAAGATGTTGTACGTCTTCGTGGGGTGTGCTAACAACCAGCTTATCCCAATAGTACTTGAACTCATCCGACGTCGACTTCGGGAACTTCTTGGCAAACGCGACCTGACAAAGCGCCCTATAGATGAATAATCAGTAACTGGACCGCTCGCAAATGAGACAGAAGCGACTTACCGGGGGGTCTGACTTGTCTTGTTGGGCTGGATCTTATGCCCCTTGTTCGGTACACCGGGTGGAAGCCCAGTCCACGCTGGCAACCCGTCTCCGGTTGACGATGGTCCGGCCGTAGCAGCAGGTCTCGATGATGACGTTGATGATGCCGAAGCTGTAGGCGAGCGAGAAGAGGTGATTGCGGGGGACGATGCGCTTGGCAAAGGAGCGGTGGGTGGGGTGGTTGAAGGCGTGGCCAGTATACTCGAAGGTGGTGTGGTGGTGGTGGGAGCCAATGAGCCGAAGCTAGACAGGTTGCGGCTGGGTCGCGAATGTTCGGGGAGCGATGGGGGCACTACGGCATGGGCACTGTGCACAGCGTCAGCTTCTGAGCGTAAATTACTGCTTGGTACGCCTACAGGGGGTCCACGAACTATTGCGATGTGTCAGTGAAGCAGTCAGACAAAAGGAACAGGCCACGTACCGCCACTGGCTCAGGTGACTTGCGAGCGCGTCCGCCATCTCCACCTCCTTCTCCGTGCACGTCTGCATCAATTCTGCCCTGCTCGGCCTGCGCACCGTGGGGGGAGTACTCGAGCTCTGCTTCGCCGTTCCCGACGAAGGGCCTGGGGGTGTGCGCGCGGAATTCGGTCGGTGGGGCGAGTTGTTGAGGCTCCGGCGCTACCTCTGAAGCAAGGGCTGGGACGGACGTCGGCACCTGCGCGCACGGTGCTCTGGCGGGCAATACAATCTCTGGGATGCTGGTGGTCGGAGCCTGGCAGCGGTTCGTCGGTTGGGTCTGATCGCGATCGATGATGACATCAGCATCGGCCTGCCCCCTTGCTTTCTTGGTCATCGGCTGCGACGATGAAGCCGGCGAAGCCGTGGCGGGGCGCTTGCCGGTAGACGTAGAGGGAGGGGAGGGGCTGTCTTCGGGTTCAGGGGTGAATGCGAACGGGAAGGTCGGCGGAGTGGGGGCCGGAGTGGGCGTGGGGGCGGGGGGCGGCGGCGCGGGTGTAGGTGGTGGTGGTCCGTACGTCGAGTACCATGTTGGATAATAGTAGATAGCCATTCTCGTCACTTTCCAGTGCCCGAAGCACAGACGGAGGACGTTGTAGGCATCCTCCATCACAGCAATATAGTATTGCGATGCGAGGTGGGTTGCTTGATCCCATGAACGCGGCGCGACACCCCAAGTTAGCAGCTGCTGGAACACGGTTCGCGCCATGGTACGCATGCTCTGCGCGACCTCGCCCGAGACCGGCCCGCCACTTTCGTCGGTGATGTACAACTGTGCATTGTTCTCCACCCGCGAGTTGGACTTGACGGGCCTGTCTGTACGAGTGACACCTCGCTTCCCCTTCTCCACGCCCTTCCACATCCCAGAAAACCAGTAGGTGGCCCCTGGAAAGTTGCTCTGATCGAGGGTAATAATGAGCGGATGTATATGAATGGTCCCGCCAGGCGGAGCAATGATTCCGTCGTGCACAGTTTCGAGCTTGTCGGACAGACGGGTCAAAAGAGCACGGAAATTCTCCCTGTCCTGGTTGTCAGCCCTACGCACATCCCAAGTTATACAAGGGCATACTGCAGTCTCTCCTTCTCAGCGGTCAAGGCCACGTTCTGCTGCCGAAGCAGGAGGCACTCCGCTTGAATATCCGCAACGTGAAGTTGGAAGTTGTTGTGAGCGTCGTATTCCGATGAAGCGAACGGAATGTCAGAAGACGAGAGAGAAGAAATATGGTTGGAGGAGAAAGAAAGACGCGCGTCGTTGAAGAGGCTCGGTATGGGGGCGGGCAATGATCCCGACGTCGAGAACGACATATTGTCCATCTCGCAAGCCCTGTATGCCTTGGAAAGTGACGACGCCTGACGGAAAGATAGAGTAAAGACGGGACAATGAGTGGAAGAGGAGAGACGGGAAAACACGAACGCAACGCGGGCCCGGCGTGTGCTGGGACATCACGTGCAACAAAACAAGCACCCACAAGTTCGACTTCCGGATCTATCGAGTTATACCATCCTGAACTGCATGTGGCAACCCACGAATTTATTATCCAGCAGCAGATTCTGTACCAGCAGATGAGGAAAGGCTGTCAGCAAGGCCAATCATACTGAAAACCTTGAGGCCAGGCTTTTCCACCAAATACCAGCGCTTGTGAAGCGCACCGACCACCGTCTTTCGCTCATCTAGCACCATACCAATGACTGCCTTGACCGAGTCCAGCTCGACAACCCGAACATCCATGTCTGCTCTATCCTCGCAGCTATAGAATGTCTTTGAGGAATCCTGATAGAGCTGCTGATCGGGAGGGCCGAAGAACGATGCGAGGGCCAGGGCGCGCTTCTCGATGTGACCATGGTCAAGCAGGAAGAAATAGTGAATCTCAGCGAATTCAGTTTTTCCATTGACCTCGAGCTTGGGAAGGTCATGAGCAACGTCAATGATTGCATACAGACATATAGTACATACCTTGACGCAGCGTGCCCTTCGGAGATCGTCCTCTGATTTCTCCTCCTCCTTCCAACGAGACCGTGCGATTTGACCATTGGGAAGCGCAGCACGCGCCCAGCGTACAACACGAGGGTGCCATGAAGTTGGCACGCTTTCGCCTTTTGACTCTAAGTAATTCTTGAGCGCCATGGCTTCTGCTGCAGTCACCGGGCGCTCGCAGTTGTCGGTCGCAGCCAGAAGTGCATAGCCACGACCAACGTCACAAGCTGACTTGGGGAGGGGATCGGAAGAGGGCTCTAAATCAGGTAACATCGCTTTGAGGGCATTGAGTTGGCAGCGGCGCAAGCCACGTTCAGCGAGATTGGCATAGGGATCAGAGTGCTGCCTAATCTCTTCGCCAAGGTTGCCGATAGTGCGCTCCATTGTCCACTGCGATGAGATTATCCCAGGCCCAATGCGGACAGTCTCGCCTGGTAGGTGAGAAGGGGCGTGGACACTAGGTCGGACGAAGTGCAAGCGATCTGCTCTTCGCTGCACGTACAAATTCTCGAAGTCATCAGAGAATTGAACAAGCAAGGTATTCGCCTCTTGTACCTCGTCAGGCGTGATCTCCTCTTGGAGCAGCAGGCGGATAGCACGGACCAGCTTGCAGTAGTGCACCCAATAAACAAACGGCAGGACGAGATGAAAGAGCGCAGGCCCAAGATAGTAAAACCAGATCAGGAATTCCCAGGCTTTGTAGCCGCTCGAAATCTTCTCTGCAGGATTTCGAGGTGCACGTCCGTACGAGCCGGGAAGATATTTCTTGGCGGAGTCGACATGTTTCCCATGCTTGGAGAATGCTTGGGGAGGGAGAACACGCCATTCCCACTCATCACGGTTGTCGGATTTGTCGCACTCGAAAGTACCACGCCAGAGGGGAATCATGAGGTCGGGGATATTCAGGCAAGGGAGGTGCATGACGTCGCCGCAGAAGCAGCCTGGTACACCCAGTATACGGTCCGAGGGGAATGCACTGAATATGGTGGGCTTGCAGAGGCCCGTCTCTAGCCTGCGTTTAGCATACTGCGACGCATTTGGTGATGCCTCTACACGCTCGAGATTCTCCTTGTAGCGCTTCTGCGTCTCCTCCGTGTTGAGGGAACGCAGCAGCTCCATGAGATCGACGTCGGGATGGTCACAGCCATGAACGTCGTAATTGTCAGGCTTCTGGCGAGCTGGGTAGTACGTCTTCCCATTCTGCTTGTGGCGGCCCTTCAGAGGGCAGTACAGGCGACAGTGGCATTTTCCGTTATGGCCAACAAAGCCGTTCAGGCAGGCCATGCCAGGACCGTCGGCAGAGACAAGAGCCAAGTATGGGTGCGATGTAAAGACCTGGCCTGAGTTCGCATCCCAGATAGCAAGACCCTCCGCCATGACAGCCCGAAGATGGTAGAGCCCAGGAAAGAGAAAGCTGTCGAGGAGTTTGGGCTTGTTAGGGCCAGGAATGAATGTCCCGGGCGCCACTCGGTGCTTCTTGTATCGCTCTTCGGGCGCCAGATCCATGATGACCCAGATTTGGATCCAGCAGTCCGATGCCTTGTTACGATACAGCTGCGCACCATCGACCGACATCATGAGTACCGTATCCCCGTCCTGTATGTCCTCGCGGCGAACCGCATCGATGTAATCACGGCCGTGAAAAAAGTCCGTGTATGGGCTTATTTTCCGGCCGCCATTGTCATCGAGCTCGCGCAGCACTTGTTCCGTGCACGCTTTGCGATACTGCATGGCCTGCGCTCCCTCCTTCGTTCTCCACAGGGCCTGCAGCTGCGGCGAGATGAGCAGTGTCATGAATTGCTGTTGTGGCACTCTCTTCGTCGGAGGGGGCTCCTCGCCGCCGTCACCGCCACGAGCATCCTTTGCAGGCTCTCGCCATCGGCTCTTGCCACAGAACATGCAGCTTTCGAGCTCCGCCAGCGGTCCGGTGTATGCCATGCACGAATCAATGCACATGTCATGCCAGACTGGGGTCACCCCGCTCAGTTGAGTGACGAGTTTCTGCACCTTGTAGTACGATAGCACGCCAGAGGATGGATAGCGTCGAAGGATGGCGTCTCGAATTGTATTATACGAGTCGACAGACGCGTTCCCGACAGCAAGATAGATATCAATCGAGAGACGGTTGTCGGGGTTGTCGAGCGAGAGGATCTCTTGATCAGGGTTGCGGATCTGCTCAAGAAGTTCGTCGGAAAGGGGTTCCAGGTCACTGTCCAGTCGCGCGTCCTTCAGCGCGTCAATGTACTTCTTGGCAATCTTGATATCGTCGATGACTGGTTGGAAGTTCGGCGGATCGGTCGCAGGGTCTTCATGCACATCAGGAGGGGGACCCATAGCATTTCTAGTGATTGGAACATCATCCAAGGTAGGGCTATGACGAGGGGAAGGGGGGCGGGAGGATGGGGGATGGGCGGAGCAGCGCGTATGATCGTGATCTTCCAACTCGTCTGGGAGAGCGCGCGTTCCTTCGACATCTGTCCTGACATCATCCGATATGGGCATCTATAAAGAACAGTTAGACAGGTCCGAGGAGCGAAGTGGTCCATCACGCGCACCTCGACATCTTCATCCTCAACACCCTCCTTGTCCCTCCCCATGCTTGGGCCAGCCGACGCGCTACTGCCGACGCTTCCGTCCTGATAAAGCAGCTGCTCTTTCATTCTCTTCCGCTTCTCCCTGCGAGCTCCGCCTGCTCCACGATGGTCGGTGCGACGTATGGTCTTGGGGGGACGGTTCGACATGATCGCAGTGGGGGAAGAGAAGGGCCGCATGTGATTTCCATTTGTGGCAAGAAGGCGGCCCGGTGAGGCGAGCAGATCAACAGCGAGTAGTTTGTGGTACTTGGCAACAAGGGTTTGCGAGTTTCCTTGACTGTCAAACGAAAGAATATACATGTATATACATGTCTGAACTGTGCATATGCGCCTAGGTTGCCTCGGACAAAAATGACACCTCGATAAGTACTAACAGGGGCGTGGGAAATTCAAGGAGGCACAGCGAGCGCCTTCCCCGAAGACTTCACCAAGTCCGTGCCACCTCCCGCTATTTTGTACCTCATCTCAATGGAATCAGACAAGTTCATCCAATTTTTGCAAGGAAGTCGCATGAGAAGGCTATGCACATTATGAAAACCTCGTCAGGATCGAACTCCGTCGATGTGCACTGGGGAAACGCGCTTAATTTAATAAAGTCTCGCTGTAGCCCGTTGACGGTCGGTGCGGCTGAACCGACTTCTCGTTGGGGTTGAAGCAGCCAGCATCATGGTTAGAGGTAAGCCGCTGTGCAGATGTGCCCTTGTTGACGTGGGATTCGGAAGGCCGGATCAATCGTGGTCACGTGGACTCGTGTTGAACTTCTGGTGTCACGGTCACGCGTTCGGACATAGTATCGTCGAATGCCTGAGAAAGGTTCGTCTACATCCCAAGTCATACGCTCAGACCAAAACATACTCAGAATACTATCTATGTCCGTTTTCGCGGGACCGAGAGAACATGGTAAGCACGTGAAATCCGAGTCCAAAAGTCTACTGTAATCGATCAGGTCCACGAGCCAGGAAGGTAAGTAAGTACTGTAATCTACCGTATCAAGTAATTACGAGGAGATGCAAAAAAAGAACAAAAGGGTCTCTGAGCATAGTATCTCACACTTGCGCCTCACATTTCCGCCTCAATCTGCCTCCAATCCCCGGCAGAACGCTCAAATGCATCGGCGACCCGGTAGACGGTGCCCTCGTCCCACAGGTTACCGACGATCTTCAAGTACGTCAGGCCTCGAGAAGCACGACATGCGCAGAAGTGCCTCACCTGCAGACCGACTGGAAGGCGAATATCCTTATCCGAAGGTGAGAGAATGAAATCATCCGTCGGCGGCGCGACCCCCATGGGAATCGAGAGCGCAGGGTGCCCGGTGCCGTTGAATTGCGACGTGTTCGCGATGATCCCCGCTGGATGGAGTTCAGCATTCGGCACTCCGATGCCCGCAAATGAATTCTCACTTACCATAGTGGTCGTGCGTATGCCAGGGCCCTCCATCCGGGCTCGAGTGTCGCTTCGCAGTAAACGGCACCGTAGGCATGATGAGCACGTCACACTCCTGCAGCACCGCGTCGTATTCCTCCTTCAGCCTCCGGACCTGGTTGACCGCGCGGCCGTACGCGGTAGCATACTTCAGCCCGGCGCCACCCCACGCGTACTCGGCGCACAGGCTCGTGTTCTTCACGTACGTGTGTGCGCGATCCCACTTCGCCTGGTCCCACGGTAGCAGCTTCTCGAAGTACTCGTTCAGGTAGAGCGCGCGGCGCTGACACTGGCGGCCAATCCGCGTCTGCGAGCTGCCCATCTTGTTGAGGACGGTCATCACGGGGAGAATCTCGCGGTGCCGTGGGACGGAGACGGGAGTGACCTGCGCGCCAAGGTGTCGGAAGCGCTGGACTGCGAGCTCGAAGAGGCGCCCGACCTGAGGCTGCAGTCGGGGAAGCTCGATGCCCTGCTGAAGAATGCCGATACGTATGCCCATGAGAGGATATTCGGGTCGCCTGGAAGAGAGAACGTCGTTCGCGTAATGAGGGACGAAAGCGCGAGCGGGGGCGCCTAGCTGGCGGTCGTCGATCCCATCGTAGCCAGCGACGATCTCGAGTAGGAGCGCATTGTCAAGCACAGTCCTCGTCATAGGCCCAACGTAGTCCACACTGGCCTCCGAAGACAAGACGCCAGTGTAAGGCACCAGGCCCACCGTAGGCTTCAGCCCGACCAGACCACAGAAAGCAGCAGGCTACGCGAGAAGGTCAGCATGAGGACTACACCTGTAAACCAGCAACAACACGCACCAAGCGAACGCTACCGCCTTGGTCACCGCCCATGCCCATATCAACTTCGCCAGAGCCAATGAGCGCGCCGCAGCCAGAGCTAGAACCACCAGCGCTGAACCCTTTGGCGTACGGGTTTTCGACTGGGCGTCCAGGCGAGGAGTCGGATGCCGCGCCGTGAGACATGTTCTGAAGAGAGATTAGTAACGGCGGGAAGACGGTTAGCGCAGTATATACCTCGCAAGTAGCCTTCCCGATGATGTTGCCGCCCGCCTCGAGGATGCGGGTCACAATAGTGGCGTCCGTGCTGGCTGAGACGAACGTGAGAGGCGAGCGTGTGGCGCTTCAGAGGACACGCACGGACGAATTCCGAGACGACATCCGTGCCGAACTGGCAGGGAACGCCAGCCAGGCAGATGTTGTCCTTCAGACAAATGGTCTTGCCCTCGAGACAACCACCACGCCTCCCGCTGACAGTCACCTTGGTCGCCCAGCCCTTCAACCGATTTTCTGCGTCCGGCGGTGCGCGAATGTTGTATCGAGGGAAAACATCGTAGTCGACGGGTGGCATATGGTCTGCAGAAAGTCGGTCATCGTACAGCTCGAAGAGACAGGCGAAGAAACAAACCTGGAAAGCGCATAACCATGTCGAGAGACTGCTTGAACTGCCCCATGAGCTTGAGGTAGTCCTCAGTCTCCTCCTCCTTGATGGTCAGTCCGAGTCGCTGAGACGCCTCTCGAAGATCATCTTCCGAGACCGTCGCCACCTCGGTCAAGAGAACGTTCGCGTCTGTCATGTCGTCGTGTAGCAGTGGACAAGTAGACGAGGACTTGGGGAGAGCGAAAGGCTAGCGGTTTGCTGCCACCTCAGCGCGAAAAATGCCTCATATAACCCACCTAAAGTTCGCGAAGGTCAGATATGTGCCCGGTCGGTCTTTCGATAGCTCGATAGAGCACTGCTGGAGATAGCGTTTTGGGCTCGCTGGGTATTGGGCTAGGGCTCGCCTTCGCGCACGATAACAGCGGCCCACCCTCCCTGCACGCGTAGGCCTCCGGGATGCCTCATGTGTGGGTCGCGCACAGTCGGCTTCGCGGATAGCGAGCCGCCATGGGTGGCGGAGGCAATTCGCGCAGTGACAAAGCGCTGGCCAAATGCACATACGGGCCACAGGAGATCCCCATGCGGAAGGTCTTGATCGGCGAAAGCGGGCTCGGGGGCCGCGAATACGACTTCCTTTCATCTTGGTCGAATCGAATGCAATATCGATCCAGCGATGAACAGTGTCGACCCGATAGCATGTTTGTATTTCTCCGAGGACGCCAAGAAGAGAGTGTGAGCGCGAGCGTCATCCTTGTAGCCGTTCTTCTATCTCGCCTCTTCGAGCGCGCAAGTCGGAACTTCTTGCGGGAGACCCTGGAGCCTACCGTCGAGGACGAGAGATACGCTGACGCAAGCCTGGTCGTAAACTTTGGGCTAGTGGCTTGGTATTCATCGAAATGAAGTTCCTCAGCGCTGCCTCATTGTCGAACTCGTTAAGAACGGATCCTGAAGTTTCTATCAGCGAGTTGGAAGGTCCGGAGCGGATATAGCTGCGCGAAAAAGGCGTTCAGCGTACGTACATCGTCCAGGAGAAGTTGTGCTCGTCATGGCCCACGACCTGCGTATCTCTTCGAAGCGATGAAGTAAACTGTCGCACGCGAGCACTGAGAAACAAGGACAAGTAGTCGAGCTAGCTGTCCTCGCACACAGGCGCTAAGATGAGCCCCAATCTGAGAGTTTCACGTGCTGGACATGGCGTCGCCGACGGCAACAATCGACAGTGCGACAGCGTCGAGATCGAGTACGCAAGCTGCAATGCCGACAGTCGTCAATATGCAAACCCCGCAGACGTGCTGCGTGGGCAGGGACATGAAGCGCATGCTGTATCATACAAGGGTGACTGGCGAGAACTAGGGGCGGGACCGTTGATACATGTTTGGGCGGCCCATCAGCTCGCCTAGACCCAAAGTTCAAACGTTCAAACCCTGCCTTCCAATTCCGTGGACCCACCATTCCACAAGCACCGTCAATAACCTCAGCCATCCCTCGAAGCGCGCCCTCTGTCCGGATAAATACATCATTCATTGGCCACCCGTCACGTATTACACATGCCGCTACAGCGCTAGCACGACAACATTTTACAGCACGAGCGAGGGCTACCCCGCGACATGATAGGATGGTACGCGTCATTACAACAGGCATGCGTTACAACAGTGCGGTAGGTGCAAGGGTGATGAGGGGGGCAGGGCGAACGCACGGAATATTGGTCGGCGGCGGACGCAGAGAATGACGCGCGAGCGCACGGCGGTGCTACAGTACGATATGATGAGACAGAGAGACGCAGTGAGGAAGGACGAAAACAAGAGGAGAAAGAAACGTGTGCAAGCGTCAGAGTTCGTCGAGGGTTCGTCAAACGCTTAAATGAGGTCGGCAACGTTGAGAGGCATTTCGTCGATCTGGGTGTTGTAGAATTCTATGGGGTTCGGTCAGACAACGGCGGCGTAGACTCGATGCTGAATATACTCACGCTCGATGTCGCGGAGCATGCGCACGTCGTCGGTGGTCACGAAGTTGATTGCGACACCCTTGCGACCGAAACGACCGCCACGGCCGATACGGTGGATGTAGTTCTCCCGGTTCGTCGGCAAGTCGTAGTTGATGACGAGGGATACTTGCTGAACATCGATACCGCGGGCGAGCAAGTCGGTGGTGATCAGGACACGAGAAGAGCCTGAACGGAACTCCTTCATGAGGACCTCACGCTGCTTCTGCTCCATGTCGCCGTGCTGTGAAGCCTGTCAGCGAAGATCGGAGGTCAGAGGGGACTGTATGCTCACCATGGCGGACACGGTGAATTCGCGCGCGTGCATCTTCTCCGTCAGCCAGTCGACCTTTCGGCGGGTGTTGCAGAAGATGACGGCCTGCGTGATGGTGACGGTCTCGTACAAATCGCAGAGCGTGTCGAGCTTCCACTCCTCGCGCTCGACGGCGATGTAGAACTGCTTGATACCCTCAAGCGTAAGCTCGTCGCGCTTGACGAGGATGCGAACGGGCTCGCGCATGAACTTCTTCGTGACCTCCAAGACCTCGGCCGGCATCGTGGCGGACAGGAGGACGACCTGGATGTCCTGAGGAAGAAGCTGGAAGACTGTTCGAGTGTCAGTCATGAATTTCGACCCTCCATGTGATCGACGCACCCTCGTAGATCTGGTCCTTGAAACCACGCGACAACATCTCATCGGCCTCATCGAGACAGAAGATCTTGATGTTGTCGGTGCGGAGGGCGCGACGGTTGATCATGTCGTGGACACGACCCGGGGTGCCGACAACGACGTGAACACCCTCCTGGAGCTTTGCAATGTCCTCGCGGACGACGGTACCACCGACACACGCGTGGCACTCGATGTTCATGTAGTCGCCAAGCGCGATGACGACCTTTTGGATCTGCTGCGCGAGCTCACGCGTGGGTGCGAGGATAAGCGCCTGGGTGCCCTTGATCGACATATCGAGCTGGGGAGGGGGATCAGCATACGAAGTGTGTGATCGGGAATGTGTGGACGCACCTGCTGCAGGATGGAGATCGAGAAGGTAGCGGTCTTGCCGGTACCCGACTGCGCCTGCGCAATAACGTCGTGGCCCTTCACGACGGGGACGATAGCGCGCTGCTGAATCGCAGACGGACGCTCAAAACTTTTTACAGCTGTCAGTGATCGGCGCGCATCGGAAGTAGCAGCAGACGCACCCGTAGGCGTAGATACCACGGAGAAGCTCCGGCTTCAGGTTCATGTTGTCGAAGTTGTCGACGACCTGGTCCCAGTTGGACTCAATCTCGCCCTCGGCGACATCCTGGAGAGTATCTTCGCTGCATTCGCTGTTAGCTGGCGCCCTCCCTCGCACTCCGGGCGACGTACGCAGACATATTGGGCGGTTTTGGTGACTTCCAAGCACTTGCTTGGGATGTGGGGGCTTTTGGTGGTGGCGACGAGCGCGGAAGACGGTGGCTGCTGAGCGCGAAAGTCGCCGACGATGATGATCAAGGATCAAGATGGAACGCTGTGATGAAGATTTTTGTGTCGGCATTCGCCGGCTTACTAATCCGGACATTGGGCCTGGTCCTCCTCGGACCTTGACACCAACCTATGCCGGAGCTCGCGTTTCTAGTACACCGAAGCGCTCAAGAAGATTGACCTTCGAAGTTGGGTGAACGTTCGTGAAAGCAATCTGACATATTCTCTCGCCAATGCTACTGGACCAGGGCATGCCTCAGTTCGACGTCATGCCCTTGGCTCTATGAAGGAAAGGAAGAACTCATACACTGAATGAGAAGAATGCATGTTGGTCATGTGTCCACCGCATCTCTCAGTCTGGGAAAGATGGGAAGAACATGACAAGCAATCAGCCACATCTGGAAAGAGGCTTTATTAGCGAATGCGTCATCTCAAATCATGAAGACTCACGCTATACCACCAGTACGCGCGGGCGTCTGCCGCTTCCGTGCACCCCCTTGCAAAGAGCATGGTGCTGGTCAACCCAATCCCGCCGAGAAGGAAGGCAAAGGCGACGGGAGGCTCCCAGTAGTACACTAGCGCGGATGTCCAGCCAAATAGCGATACGCCTAGCAACCATCGCGAAAGACGAGGAAGGATGAGAGGAACTGTATTGCGCCCTACTGCGGCGTCACCTGCGCGGTCTCGGAAATCCTGCGCGTAACCCTGTAGGATGGAAAGACGATCGCATCATGCACTGTCCGTATAGGTAAAGACCTCTGACCGTGGTCGCGAATATAGCGCCGGTCATGGCCAATGCGCTACGAGCGAGAGGCGAAAGTGGGCGGCCATGATCTGTTAAGTCGCAAGTTAGTCGGTGCATGCCTGAACATTCCTCGACTTACCAAAGCAGACCGTCATTCCCCAGCCATAACAAACATACCCGATGGCGGATAACGCAGTCTTCAGTACGCCAATTCGCGCCAGCCCACCCTCATTATACACATAGGTGGGCCACGAAGTAGAGCGCGCTGCACGGAAGAAGACCCCGATAGGCGCTCAGAGCAAGCGACGCGGCGAAGAAGGCAAAGTGAAGGATGCGCGTCGCCTCGGGAGTGATGCGGCCGGCGGAGACAGGGCGATGCGGCTTCGAGAGGCGGTCTTCTTCCAGCCCGAGAAGCTGCGAGAGATCAGACATACCATTGAGCAGGTAAATCTGAGTGTACCTGGTTCTTGGTCTGCAGCAGACTTGGGTCAGAAGAGTCAATGCGAAGACCTATGAACGCGGCGGCGTACCTGGAAGGAAAGAAGGTGAAGCTCTGTCCACACAATCCCCTCGACTAACGCGAGCGTGTCTGGGGGTCCAGCGAGGACCATGCCCATGGCCAGCTGCAAGTTCGTTGATCAGTAAGAACAGTTGACTGAGCCGCATCCAGAACAACGCACCGCAGGACAAAGAAAGGGTGAAATATCCGTCTCGGTAAATAAGTAGACCGTGTAGATCCCCTTGGTCAGAGAAGCAATGAAGTCCCGCAGCGAGGACGACATCGTGAGTTGAGGATGTGGCCCTGGCTTTCGTCTCGCCTTATAGCGCTGAGCTATCAGTTCTCCGCCCGAGCATCGCGCAGTAAGACCCGAAGACAGGTTCAGGTCCTAGAAGTGCATGCAGGGTGTGTATCTATCACGACGCTCAAGGAGCGGCTACGCTAGATGGGCGACAGAGGCTGTCAACCTTGGACTCCCTTAGGCGACAGCGGAAGGAACTTCGGGCTAGTAGGGTCGGCAATAACCTTGGCTACAATCCATATCAGAGAGGTATGGCAGATACTAGTGCATCTTGGTAGTTCATATGCGTTATCAGTGAGGGCCTGAACGGACATGGTGGGAGTACAGAGCAAGCCGGCGCGTGTGTCAGCGTGTGATGCTTGGTGTGATGTTCTGTTTGGCAGCATTCGGCTATTTCCGGTGGACCCACACGACCCAATAACATTCATCATGAGGCCAGAAGATAACTACACTTCTTCAAGCAAGTCTTTCGAACCCAAGGCTTCTCTCTCCTACGCCACCTGAAGGACATAAGCTTGGCAGCCGGGAATCACGTAGAGGTTTACACGGTAGCAAAGTGGCGCAGATACTCCCATTACCCTAGCCAGTCGGCGCGCTGTGCACATCCAAGATGGAATATGCAGACACGCGAAATCGCTAGACAGCTTAGCTCTTCGTCCGGAGCGAATGCGCAGGGTGACTGTCCGCGCCTTGCGCTCGTCGTCGGAGCGGCCACCCAAAGCCATCGTTGAATGAGTGGCTATGAGAGCCCGCGTCGTCTTCGAGGCGCTACATTCCCCGAGAATAACACCGAGCACGCGCGTAAGAGAGCGACGCTGAGGAGCGGCGAGATGTGTAGCGCGTTGGACGGGCGGTGTCGGCGTGGTCAACCTCCGAGTCGAGATCGACGCTTCGTCGAGCGACAGTGCAGACGGCGCGAATGCAGCGAGGGCTACCTCGCGGTCTCTACATGGATCCGCGGGCCAGGAGAGCGCCAGAGAGCTGCGGCCAGAGTGCCAATTAGATCGCTTGACGCGCAGCGGGGACGGCGTACGCGAGTCGAAGGCGGCTATGCGCCATCATGCCTCGCGATGAGCTATACACAAGTTCGACAACGGCGCGAGCGCGAAGTCGAGCTGCAGTCTCGCTACCTGTCGTCGAACGAGGCTAGATAGACGTTGTACTTGAAGTACGCCCAGTCGTTGCTGCAGAACGTCTGCGTTGGGTACTTGCCGTTCCGCACTGCCCACGACGGCGGGTTCTTGATGGGGTCGCGCTTGCATGTCTGCAGCGCACGTTGGCCTTTGCGCGTCGGCGACGGGAGCGGGCCAGAGCAGTCTTCCTCTGCAGAAGGTGACTTGGGTGGCCGGTAATACGGGTGCGCGCGCTTTGCGATGCGTACTGAGCGACGCTCGCGGTAGACGGAGTAAGGAGGGTCCTCCTCGGGAGGTGGCGCATCCGGAGGTACGTCGAGCGTCCACTTGGCGCACTTCTTGCAGTAATTGTCCTCCTCGATAGCGGCGTTTTTTAGTATCTCGACGGGATCGTGTTTACGCGGACGGTGATCGGGTATGACATAGCCCGTTGCCTCGGAGGGAGTGAGGGCCTCGTCGTCCTGTGTGTACTTTGGAGCTTCAAAGAACCACGTAGGAGGCTTGATCCGCTCATGTTGCCACTGTCGGACGATCCGCCCACAAAGCACATGCCACTGTGATGTAAGGGGTGTGGAGCACCTGTAGAGCATCGCAAACGCCCATGAGCAGACGGAGAATGGATGCGTGAGACACTCGATGACCCGAAACTGATCGCTTCCTGGAAGATATGGTTTGTTGTGCACTGGGCTGATACCGCCATTGAGGTCCTCCTTGGTTTGTGGTTTGAGATGAAACTCATCTTGAAGTGCACGAGCGGCCTCTGTGAGCGGTATGAATACGTAGCGGTAAAGGCCGCTCGCCGGAGCCAGCTGTCCTGGTTAGCACTTCGCTTGGGGAAGGAATTGGACTGACTTACTGCGGACAATGGCCGACGAGGCCTGTTATTGCGACCCTTCTGCGCTGCGGACTCTATGAAGTGCATGACGTCCAGATACGTCCTGTAAGTGGGCACAAGCACGAAGGCTCCTTCCCGCAACATTTCGCCTATGTCTTTGCGAACTAAAACCTTGTCAGATGAGCTAATGCGGTGGCAGCTATATAACGTACATACGATATGGTTTTCCGGAGAGTGCAGGTAGTAGGGAAGGCCTCCTCGCTTGAGACCAAATATCCACTCCTGACATGCGACCTATATCCACTGTGCTCAGGAGGAAGGCGAGCAGCCAAGGCAGGATTGAGCTCACAGTCATAGGGCTGGCATCGCTGGCATCATAAGGTATTAGAGGACACTCATATACGTCACTTGTAGCGCCGGTGATTGGACAGAGGAATTCATCGCGGTAGTGCTCATACGCAGTCATGGTCGGACGGATGGAATGGCGAGAAGGAAGGGGCAAATCTGCCTCCGAGCTCGGTCCGACACGCCGATACCAAACATTGTCAAATTGAAACCCGTCGCAACCTTTATTGTTTTCTCCTTTGTTCCTTTGTTCCTTTGTTCTCTTTGTCGCCGCCTAGTTGCAACCATGCGTTGTGGCTGAAACACGGCGCACTGGCTCGCGTGAATACCCTCGACGTCCGTGCGATGACCAATTCCCACCGTCCAGCAGCCATCACATACCATATGGGGCATTCGATAGCTGCGAGATGGTCACGGCCACCCGGGAGGCCGAGAGGGCATGGCCCAAATGAAATGAACCGGACCACATAAATGCATCGACTTTTCTCCCTTATTCTCTCCTTCATCCTCTTCTGCCTCTTCCTCTCTTCCTCCTCCTCCTCCTCTCCCTCCTTGCATTGCTCGACATGACACGGCGTAGGCGCAATGGTGTGTCGAGCAAGCCTTCCGCCACAGCTGGCAAGTGCTCGCAACCCAAAGCCACTCAAGCTCGTCGCAACTACCACGGCAGTGTTGAGGGGTCACCTGTGAAGGACACCGCCAAAGAGCGTCCGCCCGAGCTCCCACGCAAATTGTTGAAGCTGGTAGGGCTGAGGAGATGCGTAGTTGGCTGTATGATTGGTCCTCCTTGGCTGGTCCAGGGCATACACATCGTCAGCCGGACACTCAAGAACTCGCACGCAGATATCGTAAGCCCATCGTTCGTCAACGTAGTAGAGACCGCGCTAACGCCTCGTACAGTATCACCGTTTCAGAAACTGTGTCGGAATTTTGGACGAGAAAACGGGAGAGAAAGTCATAGATCTGGATGGCACAGGAAATTATGAATGGGGTGAGTCGCACTTCAGTTCTTCACGTTGATAACTCAGTCTTGCTTCGCAGTCCACTTCGACATGCATCATCTTTTCGATGGCCGCTCTGTACAAGGAAGCGCATACGGAGGGGGAGAATGGGCTTTTTGCCCAAAGAATCTGAGGGCATTCGTCGCACATATGAAGGCCAATCCTGGGGCAGACTACAAGACGGTGCGTTGCTAAAATGTATTTCGGGGATGTGGCGCTCATCAAGGTTTGACAGTTGTGTCCAAGTGGCCTTTACGAATTCATCATATACGGCTTTCCCAGTGGTCAGCAACATCTGTTCGGCCGGTATTCTGATGACCAACGCACCTACGCTCACCTCAATAAGGACGGCAAGGCATGGACTAAGGACGAAATCCTCCAGTGGTACATGGATAGCCAACACCGTCACGGTCCAGTCGAAGCGCGCATTCTGCAAGTAGGTGACCAGGGCTTCGTCATTATCAGCCACATGAACCCCGTCTTCGTAGTCTTCGACTACGCCTTGAAGATGAAGTACCGCGTTATCGACCGCTCAAATGAGCCGGATCTCATCAAGGGGATACCACAAGAAGACATTGACTTCTTCAAAGACGAGTTGTGGCCTGTGGTACAATGCTGGTTCGAGGCTCCCTCGCCGAATTTGACCCTCGCGCTCAAGAAGCAAGTGGCTCGACCTACCGGTCTCGGTGGCGCCGTGCGGTCGGAAGGCGCCGTCAAAGTCGCCCCTGTCACCCCACCAGTGCGCACCTTCCGCAGCGCCCCAGAGAAGGTCCCGGTCACCCGCGATTCCCCGCCTCCAGCCTTCCTCGTTCCAGAGTCGGCCAAAGTTGCTGAGGTCAAGCAACACGTCCTCTTCGGCGGTCCATCAACCGACCGAAGTGAAGTGAGATACCGCTACGCGTCGTCCGACGCAGGCGCATCCGACGCGACCCAATCGCAATACGATGATACCGAGTCTCTGGACGACGGTTCATCTAGCTCAACAAGCACTGCTATTCCTGGCTCCGGGCTTGTGTCCGCCTTCCCCGACGACTACGACTACGATGTTGATCCTGAATACGGCGCCGACGAATGTGATCCCAAGTATGACGACTGTGACTATGTCGACGACGGCCAGCCCAATGCGGAGCCCGACGACGACGTCCAGGAGCACGGTCTCGCACCACCTGACGACGATGAGGACGATTTAGACTATCAAAGGACTAAGAGCGAGTCGCCTTGCCCTGCGCGCCCAATGTACGCGGACGATCCTTCCACTGACGACGACTCGGATGGGGAATCGACTGCGACTGTACGAGACGAGCGCGACACCGATACATTTGCTGACGCGAGTGCGACTGATCAAGAGCCACCACCGTCTGGCGAGCCTCCCGCAATCCCGTCTGCACTTTCAGCTGCACCGTCAACGTCGACGGCGCACCCCGTTCCCTCCACATCTGTACTCAAGAAGCCTGCCGCGTCCAAGAAATCCAAGAAGATCGTGCACTTCTCTGGCGAAGACGAAGAAAATCCTGGGGAGCTCGAAGAGCATTCTGACGGTATCAAGAATCAGTCGTTACCGTCCTCCACGTCGGCCTCCTCGTCCACATCGGACCCCACCTCGTCCTCCGCGATGACGACCACTGGAACGCCTCCCATCGGACCGCATCCGGCGACCACCTCTGAGCCACCTCCGGACGACTCGCCGCCCAAACCACGACGCTCCACACGTGCCAAGCAACCTCCCAAGCCTCCCGGGACTGTCCACGCGCCTCCTCCGAACGCGCCATCTCTGGCTGACCGACCCAAGCGCACCGGTAAGGCCAACAAAGCGGCTTCAGCAAGGGCTTCGGCATCTGCATCTGCATCTTCGTCTAGTGGCCAAGGGCCCGGCCAGCCCCGTCCTCCCGCTAAGCCACGCGGTCAAAAACGTACTCGAGACGACCGCGATGCGGACGATGATCAAGACGACCGAGACATCGACGACCAGTTCGAGGACGACGAAGACGCGGACGAGAGCGACGACGTCGAGTCCGTTCATTCCGAATACCTACCTCGCGCAAAGAGGGCTAAGAAGACCAAGGCGCCCACTCAGGGCAAGGGCAAGCCCCACAAGTAATCTCACGTTCATTCAACGACCGCTCGCTCCACTCGATTATTTATCTGACGATCTTTACTCCTAACTTATTCCGTTCTTTTCCTCCGTGCCCGGCGCACCCCTTCTGTGACCTCGTGCATGTTTGTTGTACCCTACGGCCCTCTGTTTCCACTCCCTTAATTTTAACCGCTCATCAATATTTATACTATACGCCATCGTTATAATCTATACTATGCGCGCTGGGCACGCCACTCTGGAAGCTGCTGGGATAAGTCCAGCGCAAGTCTACGAGCTCGCATGTGCTCCCGAAGTGATTGAATATCTGGCGGAACGTTCTGGGCGAGCGACGCGCAGGTTCGTGCTAGTTCTGGCCCGCGTACGAGGCAAGGTAGACATTATGTCGAAAGAAGGCCCAGTCGTTGCTGCAGAATCGGTGAGTCGGGTATCGGCCGTTCCGAGACAACCACGAAGGCGGTTTCATGATCGCATTGCGCTTGCATGTCTGCAGCGCATGGCGGCCTTTGCGTATTGGCGACGGAAGCGGGCCAGAGGATTCTTCTGGAGGTGATGACTTCGGCGGGCGTTGATACGGATGCGGCGCGCGCTTTGCGATTCGTACCGAACGGCGCTCGCTGTAGACGATGCGAGAGCGATCCTCTTCGGGAGGCGGCGCATCTGGAGGTACACCGAGCGCCCACTGCGCGCATTTCTTGAGGAAGTGATTGTCCGGCAACTGGCCGCTTTCGAGCAGCTTGGCGGACTCGTCAGCATCACGCGTGCTCTCTAAAAGGTATCCTGTCGCTTCAGAGGGTGTGAGGTCTTCGTCGTCCAGCCCATATTCGGGCTCGTCCAGAAACCATCCTGGCGGCTTGATCCTCCCATACAACCAGTGGCCAACGACGCGTCCACAGAGAACTTGCCACTGCGACGTAAGGGTTGTTGAGCGCTTGTGCAACACGTTGTACGCGTGCGAGCAGACCGAGAACGGATGCGCCAGACATTCGACCACTGGAAATTGATCGCTACCGTTCAGAAATGGCTTGTTGTGCACCGGGCTTATGCCGTCATTGAGATCCTCCTTGGTTTGCGCCTGCATCTTGAACTTCTTCTGAAGCGCGCGCGCCGCATCAGTGCATGGGATGAAGACGTAACGGTACTTTCCATTGGCAGATGCGAGCTGTTCATTGGTGAATACACATCTCGCCGGTGTAACAAAAAGCCTACCGCGCATGACGGCCTCCGCGCTGACTTGTCATTAAATTTGCGTCCTTTAATGCCTGCACAGTCTATAAATCTCATCGTGTCCAAGTAGGTCTTGTAAGTAGGAGCCAAGATGAATTCTCCTCGTCGGAAAAGATCGTTGATCTCCCTTTGGACTGAGCAGCGCGTCAGATTGATCCTGTGCACACAGACTAGGAGCTCACAGAAGACATAGTTATCCTGAGAACGGAGATAGTAGCAAAGGCCACCTCTTCTGAGTCCGAACACCCATTCCTGGCAAGCGACCTGGGCGATACATGCTTAATAACAGGTAAAGGCGTAGAAATGTATCGTACCGTCTTTGCATCAGCGTCTACCGCATCATAAGGGATGAGGGGGCATCGATACATATTCTTCGTCGAGCCAGAGATGGGACAGATGTATTCAGTGGGGTACCGCTCAGAGTCGGGCATGGCTGCAGACGAATGAGGTGCAAGATGCCAAGACCAAAGCGTGAATCACAAAAGCCACGCGTACCACCACGTGACGTGCACGCGAGATGGGTGGCTGCGAACTTGCCGCTGGTTCTAAGTTAGCTTGAAGGCTCGGTTGAAGGCTTGGGAATCCGTCCACATACATATGATGTGTGACTTTGAGATCGCAAGGAATGGCCTTGAATACGAGAGACCTTTGAGGTGGTTTAAATCAGCGACCAATGCTCGTCAACCCGCGGCTCAACGCCTCTATTTGGGTCTACCTAGTCACGTACGCGTGAGTAATCTATCCACAAGATCGTCCGGAGATCACCCAGCCACTATCCACTCTAAAATTTGCCCCAGAATTTCCTCAAGACCATGAAGCGCACGATGAGCATCATGGAGACCGCGGCCACGATCATGCTGCCTGTGAACGTCATCAGCACACCGAACGTAATTGTTACACCCCCCCGACTACTGATAGGAAGTGCGAAGAGCGTGAACGCGTCTCATAAAGGCGGCACTCACCTGCATAGTACCCCACCGCCTCATACCCGCCCGTCTGACCGTAGATAGCGCCGCTTATGGGCGGGCCAGCGAGCGCGCCGCACGCAGCGAAGGTCATCGCCATGCCGGTGCGGCGACCAATGTCCTCGACCTCGCCCATCTCGTAGAGCGGGATAAGGAAGTTGGACACGTAAGCGCCGGATGGGACACTGAAAGGGGTCTCAGTACGACATTACAGCGTTGCTCAGGTGGGGGTGAGGGCATTGAGAAGAGGGTAGGGGAGAGGGAACACGAGAAGAAAGCTGTTGACATACCCATAAAGCACGGCGACGGCGATTAAGCTGCCTTGAGAGCGCGCAAAGGGCCACGCATAGGTCATAACCGCGCAGATGAGCGTGAGCGGTGCCATCACATTGATCGCGCCTTCATCCCCTCGTCAGTCTCATGCCGCTCTTAGGAAACATTTGTGGCACCCACCATATCTATCCGTCAGAATGCCCGCCCCCAAACGGCCAAGGGAGCTGCTCGCATTCGCTATGGACACGAGATAGAAGGAGAAATCCTCAGAGACGCCGGCCTTGGTTGCACTTACGTCGATGTAGGTGAGAACTGTCGCGTCAGATGAGTTGAAATTGAGTGTGCCGAAATATCGACGGACCTGTATACAGCCCCAAGAACGCGACGATACCAGACAGGCAGTAGATCGTGAAGGGCAGATACTTGAAGGCCTTTGGGTTCACGAGGCCGCCAGCCACCCTTTTCGGCGGTAGGCGGCGCTGGAGGACGAGGTTTGGCACGGAAAGCGCGACGAGGATGATGAAGCCGAGAATGCGCATCGTCCAGGGGAACCTAAAATGTGCGATTTAGCGGTCTGAGGATTCGGGAAATGCATGAAAGATCGCACCCTACGCGCTCAATGAGGTTACGTGCGGCGATAGGAAAGATCGTTCCGCCCATCGACGACCCGATGGCGTTCATACCCAGCGCCAGGCCGCGCCTGCGCCTGAACCAGTGGCCGATGATGCCCATCATGGGACCGAAGATGATGCCACACGCGAACTGAAGAGTATGATTAGTATTATTAATGGCCGGAATTAGCCAAGGAGCGAGGGGAATCGCGCATACGCACCCCCGTGACTATGCCCTGGCAAAGGAGGAAATGCCAGTATTTGGTGCATTCGGCGACGAGGAAGGTCGCGACGACGAAGACGCAGGTGGCGAGGAAGAGGGGGGCCTTGAGATAGCCGAGGTCGAAAAGGCGGCCGGTGACCAGGCCGGGGATGAAGACGAGGGCGTATTGGATGGAGCCGATCCATGCACTAAGATTGGTTAGCGATACGGTGATGAATGAAGGGGATGAGTTCAGCTCACATTGCCGAGGCGGACGTATCCGGAAGGACGTTCTCCTCGTAATAAGACTGGAAGACCTTGGGGGAAGCGTCAGTCTCGATCGAGACGCGTACACAGGGTAAGACTCACGCCCCACGAGTTGACATAGCCGAAGCTGCGCGTAGCTTTCAGCCAACAGTTCTCTCTGCAAGTAGTACATACTCACGTTGAGAAGGTACCGCACATCGTCTGCAATGAGAGGTCAGTATTGTTCCCCGCGATCAAGACACAGTGCACGTACCCCCGCCACCACCGTCCAAGCTCTGAGGCCGCCGTCAGGAAAGTCGTCATAGACTGCCTTTTCGTCCTTGATGGCCTCCTCGTCGCCGCCGATGGGGACCTCGTTGATGGTCGCGCCGTCGAGATCGCGGTCCTGGATCTGCGACTGCTGGGGGATAGACTCTGCTGGCACAGACATGATTGAGAGGCGTAAAAGATCGTCAAGAGAGCGAATGTTCGTAGCCAATGTCGTGAGCCAGCGCCGCCCGTCGCGCGCCCTTATAAGCTGGCGCAGGACGAAAAGAAGGGAGCATGAGTCGCAGAGACAGTCCGGAATGATCGGACCGGCGTAATGTTGAGACGGAATCAAACCATATCACCCACCTTCCCCCGCCCTTGGCCTTATAAATCGCTGACCAACACAGGCGCTTTGGGACGGACATCGACCTCGTTCAGTGCTTCTAGGAGATAAGGCTCTTCATCCCCTCCAATGCCCAGCAGAAAATGGGATCGCTGTGGGCTACCTTGCGATGGAGAGCGCATTGTGACATCTTCCGAACTGGCTGGTGGAGTTGTAACGCTCGAGGGCCCGTCGTACGTCGGCCTGCACCGTCTTGTGAGCCCACACAGGTGGCGAATGAATGTAAGTTGAAGTCGGAAAAGTACCTTGACGGTTGGCCGAGGTGTATCTGATTAGATTTCGTCCACGCGAGGCGACGCGTGAGCCGGGACGACGCGGCCCGCGAACCTCCGCCGCCATTGTTCGCGAGACACAAAGGTCAGAAAATCGTCGAAGCTGGCCGGAGCATCGAGCACTTGATACGGAGAGCAATACATTGTCCAGCCGTACGCGGACGTCACCAGGAACACGAGCTCGGGCATGACTCGGGCGAAGACAAGAAGCCTAGAAGCGACATCATCTACATTTGAAGGTCTTCCAAGATACTAGTTATGTCAACATTGTAGCTATGGTACACGCCTGCTGAAGTTCGCAGATACATAGGATAGATAGTCCGAGCTATAGAGCACGAGATTAATAGCTTGGTCCTTGAGACGGAACAGGGATGCGCTGTGCAGATCGTATGCAAGACGGGCCAGGGTATATACACCAACGTCTGTGTTTGCCACTCGTGGGCTGCGGCTTTTGGGGCACGGCTGAGTCTAGAGGGAGCCGGGCGCGACAAGGCGGAGATATCCTGTTCTAAGTGACCGGTCGCATGTGCCTACGCGCCGTGCTGGGGCAAGGCGGGCGGGACGGGCGACCTCCTACACGGCGTTCAACATGACAAGCGGGCGCAGGGAGCAGGGCGGGCGGGCTAGATGCCGCCTGGCAGCGCGTGCTATGTCGACGTGCGGCGAGGAGCGGCGAGCAGCTTGGTTTCTTGCAAGCGTGGCGCGGCAGAGTGCGGATGGGTCTCCGATGGGACGAGGGATGGTGCGGTGGCGGCGCCTGCCCAGGGCGCCTCTTCCCCTGCGGCGCGCTCGATCGCGTCGGCGGATGGGACCGCGATGTCGCGTCCTAGATGATCGCGCGCGTACTCGTGCAGCTGCTGAACGAAGCCGAAGTTAGGGCGCGCGATCCGCCGGCGGGCGGCGATATGGCGGAGAGCATCCATGGGCGTGCGACCATGAGCCTTGACGAGGTACGCGGCCGCGACAGCGACAGAACGCGAGACACCTTCTGCGCAGTGCACGAGCACAATGGCGGGTGATGACGTCGAGAGGGCTTCCTCGATGAAGTGAACCATGGAGGGTAGATGCGCCGCGAGCTCCGCGAAGGGCGAGTCCTCGATGCGGACCTGTTTACGCTGTATACGCCGGCCGGCGGCGGAGGCGGGCACCGTGATCGGTTCTGGAAGTATGCTGAGGACATGCGTGATGCCCGCGTTCGCCAAACAAGGGGCGCTCTCCGCGAACGCGAGGTCGGAGATGAATAGGTTCGGCAGTATTTGCGAAGCGCTGCCTGCACACGGCCGCTTGCTCGTGGACGCGATCATGGGTGCCGGGGACATGGGGGACGGCGACAGTGGCCAGTCGGCGCGCTTAACAGAGTGGGACGATGGGGGCGGGAGGCAGAGCGCGCTCGGGGCCTGCTGGAACACGAGGCACTGAGCCATGTTTCAGCGGACGGAAGGCGGGACACGCACCATCGCAGGAACCTCTACACACATCGAGATGGACACGCGCGGGGGAAACGTCGTGGGGGGCGAAGACAGGAAGCGATGAGCAGAATCCGGGGCGCACACGGGCAGCTCCACTGGCGATGGGGTGGCGGGAGCGCGGACGGGTGAGGTAATATATATGCGGGCACGCGGGCGGGGCGGGGCGGGTGGGGTTGCAGGCTTTCGCGTCAGAGAGGACGTTTGGGTTTTGTACCCGCCCGTCCCCCTCGAGCTCCGTGCCCGGCAGTGTGCGTCGCAGCAGCACTCCCCCGGCGTCCGCGTCAGGCCCTGGCTGGGCCGTCAAATTCCCGCTTCACCCGTGTCACAGGCCGCCATCAGCATGCTGTGCCCGCCAACAGCCACTCATGTTGCTTTTCCCGGTCTTGTTCTCGAGCTTCATTGGCTGTCCGGTTGCTCCTTGCGACGCGAGACAATGGTCAATGACAACATCCTCGGAGCGGAGCACGGGGAGGAGGGTGATGCGTGACTACTCTTTCTTGTCACAATTTGGACCTTGCCTCCTCTCCACCGTTGTCCGCGTCAGAGCGGGTTGTTTGGAGTTTTGCACATCTCCCCTCGTTATCGTCTGGCGCGTCGGGGGACAAGAGATGCCGCCTCAATCCACTTGAAGAATCGGGGACAACAGAGAAAGTGAGGCCGACGTCACATCTTCACGATGGCGCCAAGTCGGCAACTGCGCATCCCGAACCGGTCAATGCAGTGACCGCGAAGAAGTTCAACTTCGGATTCCCCGACTTCGACCACCCAGCACTGCAGCGCAGCCCTTCATACAGCCCAGGCTTACTTGATCAGCAGTGGGCTGTGAGCATAGTCGGTTTCGGATGCCTGTACCAGAGAAGCCCGCGAGTACTCTGCCGTTCACACTCGTCATCTCAATCCAAATCGTCTGCTCAAAATTCGCTATTCCCTTTCTCGGGGGTCTATCTCCCTCTTACGCTCACGTACCGTCTCGTACCGTTTGCTTCGCTCCAAAAGCCTAAATCCTCTGAGTTTCGTCTCATCGTCGTGCGCTAACCCGCGTCCTCGCTGCAGATGTCGTCAGGATCTCGTTTTGCGGTCAGCCTCACACTCGTCCTCACATCCCCGCCTTTCCCAAGCAGCATATCAGCAACCTGTAGCCTCTTTCCATTCAACTCAGTAGACATCACGCTGATCCCATCTAATCCTGCTGCGACATGATGCTCGCAGATCCTGCCAACTCCGGTACGTTCCCCACGCCGTCCTCAAGCAGTGCTTCTGGCAAAACCCCCAGGATGAACGCGTCGTCGGTGGTATCGCTGTACAGAGAATGCCGTCGAGGTCACATTCACCATCAAGGTCGAGAAGAAACGCCGCCGGACGTCGAGCGCATCCGTGGCCCTGTGCCCGCGACTCTCGCCACCACGCGCCGATGTAGCTCATCGACTCCCCCGGACACATCTTACCACCTATCAGTAACAACGTCAACTGTCAGATCGTGCAGATCTCCCGTTTAACCGGCCACAGCTCAGCCCCTGGACTGTGCTGCGTCATCCGCTTCGAAAGGTAATCGCACTCGTACGCTGCCGACGAGCACGACGCGACCACGGTGCGCCGCGACACTGGCTCCCTCAGCGGGCGTTCGCGGTGCTCTACTGCTTCAGTCCTTATGAGCGGCCTTTAACTACAGCTACTGTCGACGCTCGACAACTCTCCGACGCTGGCTTATTTTGCTTGCAGATCCAGATCGTCTGCTGGAAAGTTCTCTGCCACCCTTGGCGGCGCAGCTTAATCGACGCGTGGCGAAGTTGAGTTTGAGGCAACGGCCGCCAGCCCGCCTGATGGGCTCCTCGGACTCGTGTCGCAATATACCTGAGGTCCATTCAATTGTGCGGTCGGTCACCTTGCCGCCTTTGGGGTGAGGTCTTCCTCATCGTGTATTTTCTTGGGGAGCCGCACTTTCTAGTCGTCGCCTAAGACTCGCGCAATCCTTGTTCGAGCAGCGAAATTTTCCTGTGTTTTCACGTCCACGCCTATTATCATGACGCATCATCGTCTACTTTCTCTGGTTGCGACTGGTGTCGTGAGTCATTGTCACTCGTTGTGCGCAGGAGGAGCCCGGAGAGGAAGTCTGCACGACCTGCGGGCCAACATCGCCCGAAGACGAACTTTCGGGACCGAGGCACGCGGATATCACGCCCTTGATCACATTCAAAGTTCAACTTTGACGTCATTGCATCTGTTGCTCGCTTCGCATACTCCCCGCCAACGCAGTCGTCGACTCATAAGCATTTGACGACTGCAACACGGTCTGCTTTACTCATTGAGGGATACATAATACCTAATAAATATGTGGATGGACACGAGGTCGACCCGAGCCGTGCGCAAAGCCTTGAACAGCGACCCAAGAAGTGTTTCTTGATCCTTAAGCATGTTCGGTTTGGGCTAGTGCTCTTCTCCTCTTCTTTGTGGGAGGCTCGTGTTCCTCCGTGGTAGCTGGCGAAGGTTCAGACGGTCCAGGCGTTGGCGCGCGAGTCTCCTGGTCGGTCTTCCGTGGGTGCGGCGAGGAACGAGAGGCCTGAGGGTCTTGCAAGGGAATGACAGTGGGCGCGCTCGCCAAGGCCTTGCGCTTCTTGGGCACTTCCAATTGCGTTGTTGTCACTGCAGGTGCCGAGCGGGACTTGGCGAGACGCTCGGAGCGACGGCCATTGTTCACATAGTCCGCAACTTCGATCGCGTCGCTGCCTTCACCAGGGCCAGGAGATAGAGGGGGCACGTCCTCAAACCAATATCCGATGGTCGGCCACAGCTTCTTGTAGAGTTCGAGGTCCCTGCCGCGAAGACCACTCCCCTCCCTGTCAACCCTGCGATAGAGCAACTTGAGGCCGATGTCGGTATACACGTAGGCCTTGTTGAGGTGCGAGCAAACGACCCAGTTGAGGGTGGCGGGCTTCCGCGGGTCGACGATATGCGTGGCGATCTGTTCCGACTTGGAGTTCACCAGAGCGTTGGTGACGCGACGGCATTCTTCCGAGATTTCCTCCGGTTCGACTGTCGAGGAATATTCGGAGGGGCAGCACAGGTCGTCAAGAGCGCGATCCTCGGCTTCTTGCTCCTCGACACTTCGCGGCTTCACGTGTGCGTACGATCGCAGTCTTGGGCCGAGGATAGTGATTGGCAGACGATGCCCTTCGTAAACGTGCACCGCGAACAACGACGAAGTCTGAGGGAACCACTGGATGAATGGGAATCAGTGAGAGATGTTCACACCCAGACCATTGGAAAGCTGGATGAACGCACCTGGCGCGCGCTCTTCTTGGGGTTATTCCTGATTATTTCCATGTCCTTGTCCAGAGTAAGGGGAATGATCGAACAGATTCCGCTACCAGGGCCCTTTGTACCGTCGAAGGCAAGGTGACCAGTTCCGCATACTATAATGTCCGTAAGTCTTTGATATAGAAAGCGGGGAATGTCAGACGCACGGACGTCTTGATTGCCCGAGCAATCGAAGTGCACAACGCGAGATAACGTGTTATCGGCATTCTTGACGATTGAGCCGTATGCCGCAACAAGACGATAATACTGTAGCATGTCAGTATAGTGGATGAACGTTCAGAATCGTTGCGCTCACAATATCTGGACGTAGAGTTTTGAGGCACCTGGGCACCCAATGCGCGACGGTCATCGTGCACTCGGGGTACAGACCGTAGAACAGGCAAGATAGCCCGACCATTTCCAGTACCTTTCGACGTAACGCTTGCGACCTGTATTTTCCCGTCTCGTGCGGTGGTGTCGTAGCTCTACCTTTCTTGGACGCGGGGACGACTGAGCTGGCAGCAGTGGAGTCACCGTCCTCCTCCCCTTCGCTGACAACGGACTCGGCATCGTCAGTAAGGGAGGAGACAGAGAGGGGGGATGAAGGGGAAGCCATTCAAGGCATGGAGATATTATGGAACGCGCTTCGCGCCTGGACGATGCAGGAGGGCCTAACTTCAGGCCTATATACACGCCCGAGGGCGCAAAGACCGGCCGCTACGCATCATAGACCAGATACATCGCCTCCTAGTGCATTTCTCTTGTTTATGAGACAATTATTGTTCGCCGCCCCGTATACTGTCGTGCATGGGCCCGTGGAGGAGTGAAGAAGAGGAAGAAGCTAAAGTCCGGATCGGGAAGTCGATCGGGGATAGCGTGCATGCAAGTGATGCGATCAATTCCCTTGTTCCTTCGGTCCAAGCGCACGTGTTGGAACTTCTCCCACTTTGGCTATTCCCTCTCGGTCGCCAGAATAGGATGGAAAAGCCTTGGCTGAAGTGCCCACTTTCTGGCGAAACGGAGAAACTAAGCCGCGCCAAACTTATCTCGGATTCGGTGGTAGACGAAGAGGATCTCAAGGTTTAATCCCTCTATGAAGTTCTTTCTCACTGATCCTGATAGAGGGAGCTCAGGTGGCCAGGATAGAGTGGGTATGGGGCCTGAAGCGAGGAGGTCTTCTATACTATCTCGCACAGCCTCACAACTGTATATTCTGTACGTCGTCTATGGCGCCAAGTGCCACCCTACAAACACTAACCTTGCCTGCAGTTCGCAAGGACATCGCGCACATGTACGCCCGATTCGAGTTCACCCTTGCGCCCACATTCGACACATACACCGAAATAATGCAATTCTCTGAGCATGCCGGTATTAAGGATCGCAAAGAAAGGGATAAAACCCCGCGTCGCCCTCTAACTGCAGTGGGTATGAAACCCCTTGATTCCTTCAATTACTAATGCTGTCGTTCAAAGCTCTCACCTACGGGGCGCTTACACCGTTATGTCTTTATACCGTTTACCGACGCCGCCCGCAAGCTCCAGACCGAACTCAACTTGCTGCCTCAGACCGAAGCAGACCTTGCCGCCGAACTAGAACCCTACGAGTCGAATTCACAGCTGGCTACATTGCCTGAATGTCGCGAGTCGCTCCCGGTGGTTGAGTGCTACGCTCACCCATTCTCTGTAAGCACCTGCGCCGAGCGCGCCTTCAAGCACCACGCCTTGGGCACACACATAACGGCGCATTACTCTCTCGTGACCCACAATATCGTTCGCCTATGGTCCGAAGAGGGAATTCAGCCTCCGACGTGGTTCGTCAATACCCCTGGGATGGACGAAGACGACCAGACTCTCACGAGCTCCGAGGGCGCAGGCTACGAGATGAGCGTACTTCCGCAGGCTGAAGGATCACAGGCCGAGGGCACCGTGACGCCTCATAACCCGCGAAAGCGAATCGTCTTCGATGACGAGGAGGCCTTTCGAGCCAACGTATGCGACTGGGCGAAGAAAGTGGACCCCAAGTCGAAGCCTCGCAAGCAAGCACCTATACCTCGTTCGACCATCCCGCTGCGCCGTTCCGTCCGCATATATAACCTTGCGCACCCATATAGGAAGCCACCTCCTGTCTATCGAGCAGAATCTCCCGTGCGCGAGGCGCCGTGGCCGACCGAAGATGATCGAGACCCCGTGCGTCACCCACCGGCTTGGACGGAGCGTAACAGTCGCTTTCCGACGCGGACGTTCTCCAGCAACGACTGGGCATACTTCTGTCGCGGAGTCGCTCTTGCAGCCCCTGGAGTGTCCTAGCAGAAGTCGCTCGATTGCGCTTCTCTCGGCACTCTCGACTAGCTTGAGTCCAGTTTCTGGCTGCTGCTATCAATCGGAGTCCTCTTCCTTACGCCGCCTCCGCCAAGTAACTCCACCGGCTCGCGACTCATCCGCGCCATCTCGTCATGGATGTTGATTCCTCAAGCGATGAAGCGGTGCACTTCCACTGAGCGGCCGACCAAAGCATAGTCGCTTTCACCGCCGCTACAGCCAGTCCGAGCAGCATGCCCGGGACTCTATCAATGATGATCTCACATCAGCTCTGTTGCCTCCCTATGGACGTCGTCGCCTCCACTTGCAACCAAAGACGACGCACGCCTACTCGCCGGCATATCGTCTCTGCGGTCACGACGACTGTCTTACGCTCTAGGGTAGTCAACGCTGGTGGGACGGTTCTTGCATCGTCGGGCTCCCTGCAGACCACCCACGACTCGGCGCCACGGGCAGTGGGGATGCTCGCAAGGCGAACTGGTTGGCACACGAGCGGGTAACCACGACAATGTATAGATTTGCCGCGCTGTCGACGACCGGCGCCACAAATATGCAGGCGCGGTCGTGACGCCGCTCACTGTACTTTCGGCAGGCGATACTCTTGTTGCATCCCAATTAGGCAGTCTTTGTCGGATCTACCCGAGTATGAGCTAAGTTCTCACGGTCCATGCAGAGCCTGGCATCCCCTCCACTTCATTCTCAGCCTCTACATCGGTCTTCATGTCCTATAGCCCCTGGAACAGATGTCCTCTTTCTGGCGCGGTCGAAAATCTCGCGAGAATACAACTCATTCCAGACTCGGTTGTCGACGAGGACGAAATTCAGGTAAACGTTCTTCGTTCTTATCCTCGCTCTAAAGCTGATGGACGTATCACAGGTAGCCCGCATGGAATGGTACTGGGGCTTGAAGCGAGGCGGATTGCTGTACTATCTCGCCGAACCACATAATTATATCTACCGTGGGCGCAATTATTGCGTACGGTCAACTAGTGCTGATCTGGCCCTCGCAGTCCGCCACGATATCGCTGAATTATATGCGCGGTTTGAGTTCTTGCTTGCGCCCACCTTCAAGACACACCTGGATATCATAGAGTTTCGTAAACGCGCTGGTGTTATGGACCGTACGGTGGGAGATGCATCCTGCCGCCGCCCATTGACAGCTGTACGTATGAATTGCACCGTTCCTCATCCTATGACTCATCGCTCCCTGACAGCTCTCGCCCAAGGGTCGCCTCTATAGATATGCACTCGTCCCCTTCACCGACGCGGCACGCAAGCTGCAAGAGGAACTGCAGTTAACATCTCAAACAGAAGAGGATCTGGCGTACGGACTTCACCCAGTGTCGCGGACTCCGTGGGCCAGAGGCTGCGAAGCCTTTCCGGTCGTCGAATGCTACGCTCATCCATACTCCGTCAGCACCCTCGCCGAGCAAATCTTTGAGTATCGTAGACTCGGCACGCGCATCACGGCAGAGTATTCCCTCACTACTCTTGACATCGTTCGACAATGGTCCGAGGAGGGCATACAACCTCCAGAATGGTTCGTCGAAGCTCCTGGTATGGACGAGGACGACCAGACGTTGGGTGGATCCCAGGCCGACGGCTACGATGTTAGCATCGCCACACAATCGGACGCCACCCCAACACCTGACAACACCCGAAAGCGCAAGGTTCGCGACGACGATGACTTCACGGACGGGGTTACCAAGTGGGCTCGAGGCGTGGATCCGAAGTCAAAGCCACTCGAGCAGCCTCCGAGGCCACCCTCCCCAATCCCCGTCCGTCGCTCCGAACGTCTCCTGAAACGCGCCTATCCGGATGGGAACCCACCTCCCGTCTACAGACCGGATTCTCCTGTGCGCAAAGCGCCATGGCCGACAGCCTTCGGTCAGGATCCAATCGGCCACCCTCCTGCGTGGACGAGGCGTAACGGTCGATTTCCGACGCGGAGCTTTTCAAGCAATGATTGGGCTTATTTCTGTCGCGGCGTCGCTCTTGCAGCCCCTGGAGTGTCCTAGCGGAGGTCGCTCGATTGCGCTTCTCTCGACCCTCTCGACAAGCTCGAGTCCAGTCCTTAGCCGCTGTTCTCACTAGAAGTCCTCTTCCTAAAGCCGCCTTGACCAAGTAGCTCCATCAGCTCGCGACTCATCCGGGCCATCTCGTCATGGATGTTGCGTCTTCAGCAGGCGATGAAGGGGCGCACTTCCCTTGAGCGGCCGACCAGAGCGTCGTCGCTTCGGCCGCCGCCACAGCCACCGAGCAGCATGCTCGTGGCTCTATCGTCGAGGATTTCGCATCGCCTCTATTGCCTCCTTGTGGACGGCGTCGCCGACCAAAGACGACGCACGCCTACTCGCCGGCATATCGTCTCTGCGGTCACAACGAATGTCTTGCGCTCTAGGGTAGTCTACGCTGGTGGGACGGTCCTTGCATCGTCGAGCTCCCTGCAGACCACCTACGACTCGGCGCCGCGGGCAGCGGATCTGCTCGCAAGGCGAACTGGTCCGCACACGGGCGGGTTACCATGGACAATGTGGAGATTTGTCGCGCCGTCGACGACTGGCGCCACAAATATGCAGGCGCGGTCATGGCACCGCTCACTATACTTTCGGCGCCCTTGCTCAATCCCAATTAGACAGTCTTTGTCGGATCTACCCGAGCATGAGCTAAGTTGTCACGTCGTGCTGGTCCATGCAGAGCCTGCCAGTGGCGTCCCCTCTACTGCTTTCTCAGCCTCTGCATCTTCCTTTATGTCCCATAGCCCCTGGCACAGATGTCCTCCCTACCCTGCCTCGCACCACGCCGTCGCCGCTCCCAGCGATCGCCGCAGAGGTCATCGACTCGCCTTCAACCACGCCATACTACTCTATGACGCCTACCATTGATCCTCTACCGTCGCGATTCCGCACGAGGTCACCCTTCGTCCACGATGTTGTGCCCGGTCTAGTCCAACACCCGGACCACCTCGTCTCGAGTGTTCGCCCAATATCCCTTTTCTATCTTTTAGATACAGTGCGTTGTACGCTATGTCCCATCAGATTTCCCTTCATATATCGCCAGAGATGTCGATTGAGCCAGCAACTCGCGCGGCTTTGACCTTATTGCATCGCAGCCGCCGTGCGATGGCAATTGCTGTCCCTAAAATGACGAGGCGATCCTTGCAGTCGAGTTCAAGGTAGCCTCAAAGCAATCCGTGGGGCAGCGTCGTAAGACAAAGTCCAACTTGAGAAGATTGACGCACGCATCTGAGGGAGACTCAAACTATGCGAATAACGGCAGATCATCGATGCATTAGGCGACAGCGAAAGTGCAGAGTACAATTTATCGTAGGCGATGAGTACAGAGGTGATGGGAAGTCCATATACAACGGTGAGGTGCAGAGGCGGCCATGCGAAGGCGCTGATCTGTACAGGAGATTAGTTATCCGTGAGCGAGGTGCAGCAGACAATGTACCGAATGATTTGCGCTAAGCGGGGTCGGTGGTCGTAGGCGACGTCGAGGAGAGGAGGCGAGTCCTGAGGTTCCGGTTGAGAGGCGGCGAGAAAGTTGTTGTCAGCGAGTGCACAAAGGCGAGTGGCGCATAACGTACCGATTGATGCAGACGACTAGCGTGCGACGACGGCAGTATCGTCGCGCTCAGGTCTCCTACGAACAAAACGTAGCAGGGCTGTCATTCCGACGCGCCACTCAGCCACTAGTCCTCGCACCCACCCAAATCTTGAAGGCATGGCGCGCGTCGGGGGCCGGCGGCAGACAAGCGCGGGCTCGACGACACTGACATGGGGAGGGAGGTGAAGTCCCATCCATCCACCAGCACCGACGAGCAACCACCCCACCTTGCCGCGGACGTACCCAACACCGTCGCAGTCGTCGAGCTGTTGCAGGCGACGAC